GCAGTGGGGTCGTAGCCGGGGTAGCCCTGATTGGTTTTCATCAACGTTAGATATTGCTCAAAGTTCCCGCTCTCTGGCGCTAAATTGATGGGTGGGATCGGTGGAAGGGGCGCTTTTGCAGTTGAAGCGTAGATGGGTGAAAGTGATGGTCGACGATATGATCCTTTTCTTCGGGTTCCATATCCACGTCGGAAGGGTTTATTATGGGGAGTTCTCACAGATTGGGGTCCCATCGGTTGTCCAAAACCGTACGCCTGCGGGGGCATCTGCGCGTGTGCCATAGGAACCTGGTTCATCTGGGGAGTCGCAGGGTGCGCGTTTGCAAGAGCGGGACTGCGGCTCGCTTGGTGAGGAGAGTTGGGGAAAGGTGCGAGCGGGCGCCCTTGGTTAGGGGCGTGGAACTGAGGGCCCATGTTGGGAGCGCCGCGGGCCTGGTTGGGGGTGGTGCGGAAGTTGGGACCTGGAGAGTAAGGAACCTGACCCTGATAGCTCGACTGAGAATAACCACGGCCGCGACCGCCCTGATGGGGGTAACCGCCACGGCCGGGAACACTACCCATGTGACTGCTCATATCGCTGTGAGTCGACTGGGAAGATTCGCGACGGAGGTGGGTCGACTGAGGACCGGGGCCAAGGGGTGCCTGTGGAGCCGCGCGCATCTGTTGCTAGCGCAAGACAAAGATTAATACCAGCATATCTCAGGTGTGGGTAAATCAAGGTATGCCAAGACAGCAAACGTGCGCGCCCTTGCAAATTTTTTTGCTCCCCATCCATCTCCCTCTAAGTCGCCCTGGAGTATTTTGCCTCCTTCTTGGCTTCGCCATATGAAGTTGGACATCCAAGAGATACGTCGTAGGACAATGTAGGGTAAAATCACATAGTGCTATCCGGGCAAACTGTGCATAGGATAGAAGGGGTCCACTTACGTTGTCACCAGCATCGCCAAAGCTGCCAAAGTTGGGAACGTTACCCTGCGCCTGGTAGGTCGACGGCGGTGGCCGGCCACCGCTGGAAGCGGGTTGAGGAATAGGGGAAGGCGAAGTCTGGGGGGACGTCACACGGGGGTTCGCGGGCGGAGTGACACCAAGACCGGCCTGAGGCTGAGTAGCCAAAGACGCGGGATTGCCCATGCTAGGCGAGGACTGCTGGTTGGCGAAGCCGAACTGCAGACTGTTGGGACGACCGGTCTGGCCGCCGTTGGGAATATATCCGGAGGTGCCAGCAGAGGTGATGGTCACCGAGGGCTTGCGGGAGTGATCGCTTTGAGGAGCCGGGGCGCCATTGACGATGGTGACGCCGGGGGTTTGGGATTGCTGCATGGGTTTGCCGCTCACAGGAGATGCTGAGGTCGACTTCCCATGTTGCGACGAGCCGCCCACGGTGACGGGAGCGGCGGTCGAGTCCGTCGCGGACTTCTTGGTGGCGCTGGCGTAGGAACGAGGCGCCGTCGACGGCGAGGCAGACTGTGCGGGAGAGGAGGCGGCCTGGGTCGAGGTGCTCTGTCCTTGAGGTTGGAGGCCTGACTTGGGAGGGATCGAGCTCATTAGACAGGTAATGCGAGGTGAAAAGGATTCAAGCGCTTTTTAGTTAAATTTGATGATCGACTTTACGTCGTTCGAGAAGCAAGTCCGTTCGGGGAGGGGAGGGACCTGCAACAGAAGAGAGGAGAGGATGAGAAATCTTCAATAAAAAAAAATTGAAGAGATGGGAAAGATGGAAGAGGGAAGTGTCAAAGGGCGTGTTACAACAAACAAGGTACACGCTCTAGAACCACAACATCCACAAAAAAAAATCCTCACACAAAATGGGGGAGGAGGGGGGTGGAGGAGGAGGTGGGTGTGAGAGAGAAGGGTAGTGGAAGAGGGGAGGGGAGGGGAGTGGGAGTGGGAGTGGTGTTTTTTTCGTGTCAGGGAAGGACGACGAAAAGAGGAAGGGAAGGAAGAGAGAAAAAAAACGAAGACCACGGAACAAGGAAATTAATCACGTCGTGGTCAACGACGATAAGTCTGGGGTAGAAGAAAAGGGGAGGAGAAAAAAAAGAAAGAAGACTTGAAGGAGAGATAGAAATATTATCAACCTTTTTGACCCTATTGTTCTTTACTGCTCACTCTCTTACACTCTTGATCTTTCTCTTTTTTTTTTATTTTTGCCTTTTTGGCGTGAATAAAATTGGGTGGTGGTGGAGGATTTTTTTTTCTGCACAGTGTTTTTCACAATTTTTGCTGGGCTGAGGCTGGGCTGGGTTGTGGTTGGTATCTGATGTGACCATACCGTATTATTCTTTGTATCCGAATGAACCACACCAAACATTGTTCCCGGCTCTTAAGAAGCTGCTCTTCTCCGTCTATCGCTATCACACACGCACATACACACACAACAAAAAGCATTCAAATCAATCGATTAGATACATTCAAACTCAACAGATCATGTCCAAGTCTTGTGGCAGGTCATTATGCCCCATCTGGCAGTAGGAAAGATTTCCCGGTGACTCTTTTCCCCAGCAAATGAGACTGCGCACAGCTAGCTTTCTTGACATCTCTCCAGTCATTGACCACTGCGGAAGATCCGCCATTGTCGGGTGGAAGCGGCAAACACACCGAGCCAAGGTGGCTGTTGAGGACTAACCTTGAACTAGTAGGAAAGGTAGTTGGGCCAGTGTCATTATTGGTGGTTTTTGAATCATCGTCTTTCAGACCAGACAGTGCGTTGCCTTGCTCCATTCCATTCAAAAGTTGCTATCATCCTAGCGGCCTGGCCATAGTACTGTAGTCACTATCCCGGGAGCTGACCATTCAGATCTCCGAGCAGCCAGCAACATCATCATTATCATCATCAGCTTATATAGCAATGAGTCATGTCAGGCGTTTAGCCTGTCCAGTGGCCTCGTTCCGTGCGGCAACTGCTTTGCCTGTTTGGTAACATCATCCCACAAATCGGTTTTTGGCCTCCCTGGCGCATGACGTTTGGGCGACCATGAAATCATCGTCATGAGATGGACACCTGAGGCCAAGATACGTTCTGATTGATTACACCCGCTCGTTTGCCACACATTACCGCTCCCAAACCAGCACCTTCACATGATGATACCGTATCAAACCAACCTCATCATTCATCCTCTTCTCCGTCCTTTGACTTGGTTGTGTCTCCGTAGTGAGTGTGCTTGTCTGCTTATTATTGTGTTACCTGACATTTGGCGCGGAAAATCCACTCGTTAATTATGTTTATGCCTTGGCTTGATCTATTTTCTGCTGAAAAGTAAACTAGCGATGACTACTCCTACAATAATCTCACACACACACACACACACACACACACACATATACAAAAGCAAGAACCCGAACCCTACCGAGTACAGCAGGGCAGCAGCCAGCAATGAAAGAAGGAGAGAGGTCCGATTATCCAAGCCAATAATGCAACTCCGATCGCCCGGTCAACAAACCACCACCACGTTAAAAACGATCCGAGCATTCCAGGGCGCCGCCGCAGTAGATGATGGATAGATCGGAGACACATCCATACACACAACGCACACATCCCTCGCTCTGTATTCATCAACAAGAATTTTCCCATCTCTGCCACACCGTAAACAAAACCACAGACCGACTCCGACCTTCTAGCTCTAGCTCCAGCTTCTAAGTCAGGTCCTCATCCATCGTGGACGATTCATTCTTCCCAATTGACACCGCAAATTTATTTATAGTCCCCTAATCCCGAGCAGCTGATTCGACCCTCGCTAGCTGGGCGATCACCAACCCCCAGACAATAAATGCATTTGCATCTGTTTGATTCTGATCGGCCACGTCTGAACCTGACATCGGCCAGCCGACGCGACGCCTTGGTTGGGCCGACACTAAACTATTTGTTCGTGGATTTTGCTTCCTTACTTAGAGGGGAGGCTGTTCTGCATGCAGACCACGGACCACAAAACACCCGACAGCCTTGAAGATATCGCCCAAATGGGCGCCGTAGTAACTCCGCACTGTTTCTGGGACAATTCTCTTACTGTCCTAGGTCCGGCTTTATCTATACCTTCAGGGGCTGCTTCGTTTGCAAATGTTCTACAGTATTGCCGAATTGTGGCGATTTAAGTTCCCAACATTGATTATGTTCTGTTTACTCGTGGCTAACCTCTTCAACACTGTCAATATATATTTGCTGCTGTACATAGTGAACCGAGCTTCCAGAAAACACAAGGTAACATTCTTCGCACTGCAGCCACCTTCAGCCCCAACCACGCATTCTTTCTGCCTTGGTTTGCAACATCCCATTTTTCCAAGTACCAAATAAGGAAAAATTCAGATCAAAATAAAATAAGACAACTGAGGCGAATGAGCACAATAAGATTGAAGAATAACTCCCTCCCACTCATCTCTTCTCACAGGTACAACGAATCCAAAGACACTCGCCAAGAAGTCCGCCATGAATGCGCCCACCAGCCCCTAAGAACTGAGATCGAAAGACTCGTTTATTCACATCCTTGACTACCTACTCTTACCTCAGAGCAGTTTTGCATGGATGAATAAATCATCCGGCGGCTATGCACCCGTTGGGGCGGCAGTAGCCACAGGATAAGCTTTGCATCCTTCGATTATACATGGCGTTATGACGCCGACATGACACTAAGAAAAAAGGGCCGAGCATGGAGTCGGTTGGTGTCAGACATGAGTTCTAAGTGGCACGAAGGATGGCAAGGAGCAAGCAACTAAGCATGGAGAACCCACTGACCCCCTCGCCTACGGCAGTAAGGCTGCATTTCCCGGAGCACCAGAGAAGGAAAACAGCAGCAGTTCCCGTGACCTGGTCGCGTCTGATCCTCTGTTTCCGACGACAGTCACTCTACGCCTAGACCGGAAGCTCTAATTGATAAGTATAACCGAATTCCATTCTATTTGTTTCAAGATCCCTAGACCGTTGCAGAAGGGAAAGAGCACGGCACAACACCCAAAAACGAAGAAAAGAATATCAAGGAAGAACAACCACCACCCGTTGGATCTTATCTTTTAAGGATGGCGGTTACGCATATCAGTCGATTCGCCGTTGAACCACCCCGAAGACCAGGTACCGCTGGCCGTCCGGCCGGACAGATCCGGAGAGCTCCTGTGGAGGTCCTCGTGCTCCACGTGGTGGAACGAGTTCTCGCTCGGGTTCTTATGCAACGGGGTACTGCCGTACGCGAGGTCGTCCGTCTCCGTCTCGCTGCCGTGCAGCTCACGCTCCTCCTTCGCCAGCGCGCTGCGCAGCACCTCTAGCAGGTCGCGTTGGTGGGAGATGTACTGCGCTTTATCGGCGCGGGACATGGAGGCGATATCGCGGGGCAGCAGGTTGCCGCTGGCAGACAGTTCCTCGCCACGGGCTTCGGGGGTCTTGCCGGCGGAGGTCACAGCTGCCACGGCGGAACTGATGGTGGAGAACCAATCGTGAGCGCCGGCAGCGGGGGCCGATGGGGCCGTTGGCCCTCCAGATGCAGGAGCTACGGGGATGTTGAATCGCGAGAGAAGCGACTGCGCGTAGGCAGCAGGACCAGTCGGGGGCGGGGGAGGAGGAGCCGCCGGGCGCTGAGCCGGCCAGCCGAGGATGTTCTCTCGGATGTAATCCACGGCTTGGTAGAAATAATGCAGCCCCAGAGCCTTGGCGCGCTCGTGGCTACGGCCAATGAATTCCTCAATCTCTCGCTCATGGTGGGCAAGAAAAGGATCAACGTGTTCCTGGTATAGGATGATTGCGCCCTGCGTCTGGGGGAGGACAAGGTAAGAGAAGAAAAAGAGGCGGATCCAGCTGTAGAACGGCACCCTGCATCATGTCCATCAGCGCGAGACCAAATAGCCGTAATTTCCAGCTACGAACCATCCGAGGATAAAGACTGTCCAGGACTCAGCCATCAGCACGGCGGACAAAACCACCCAGTACATCAGCCATGGTGCCAGTTGAGAGGGGTCAGAGGACCGCAGAGCTTTATACGAGGCAAAGATAGGGAAGAGAATCGTGATGACCGATCTGTTTTCATGTGAGGGTTGGTTAGAATCTGGTCTACCTTAATTGGGGAGAGGGAGATCTCCGAATCTGCGGAGTGAGGGGAGGAGCGGTGGGGGACTGGCGAGGACTTACGAGAACAAATCTGCAATTATACCAAACATGATGGGCTGGCGCACTTGCAAAGACTGACCGCTCTAAGGATTGATTTTTTCCGATGGTAATATTGTAGCGGTTACTCTCAGGGGTGAGGGGATCGATTTATCGGTAAGCTGAACAGCAGTCGGATTGCGGGGCGGGGAAGCTTCACGCGACCTCCGGATGAGCAGCACAAAGGAGAGCGGCCGGCCGCAGCAAAGAAAGGGAAGAATGAAAGGGCTATAAGACTTGCGGGAGAATTGTGGAAAGAGGGAGAGATAAGAAGTGTAAAAAATCTTTGCACGAGAGGGCAACCCAGATGAAGCGTGGCTGCCTTGAGCAACTGGGGCCGGATCAGTAAGTAGTACGACCCATCGAGCCCTATTCTGGAGTCGGAGTCTTAATAATAGAAGACATCATCCACCTCAGGCATTCGTGCCGTCACGGGCGGGGCCAGTTTGTGGCCTTATGGCCTTGGAGCCTCCACAGCCTTGAGGCCTTGCTGCCTCATCGTCCTTCCGCTTTCCGCTTCCTGTGGATTTAATCTGGGTGACGTCATGACGGTATTCATGCTGTGATGAGCACATTTCGACAGGTTCATGAGCATGGAAAATTGGAAGATTTCTCTCTTCCCCTACTTCAGCGAAAGCGAGAAATCCAGGAGACGGATGCAAGGCCGACAGCAATGGCCAGGGACCAAGGGGGTACCGTACTGCATTGGCGGTCTGTGATTCGTCCTAATTGTGGATCGCAGGACAACGTTATCGAGCATTACCTAGGCATGATAGGTGCAACTTCGCTGGCTCCTAGGTCAGAGATCAGGGTGTTTGGATCAGTCACACCACCATTGTCATTGAGTGACGGTGCATAATTGTTTTCTCGCAATCGAAGCAGTCAATATCCGAAAATGAAAGTTCATATCCAGCTAGAAATTGAGCTTCAGTCTATGGCTCGTCCCTTATCGATAAATAGATATGGCGGCATGCGGTAGCCAGCGAAGTCGGGCGGTGGAGCCAAACTGCCGGTCGTGTTTGTTGTCGGATGACCTCAAGTGCCCAATAGTCGCCTCATTTCCCTCACTCACCGACCATACGACCAGTCTTTCGATTCTTTCTCAATATTGAGAGCTTGCTTCGATACTTGAATCAACCAGCGGAGTCAGCTCATACCGGTAGCTATCCACAATTCAACTGCGTGACTGTTCCACAAGCTCCAATCTGCCCCTCATACAAGTGGTGGCCAAGCTCTGGCCTGACATCCGTGGTCGAGCTCCCCGCAAGTGAATCGCTTACCTGCTCGTGCTTCTATTCCGACCATCGAGTTCTGCAACAATGTGTATTGCACTGTTATCAACTGCCCATCCATCATATTCATTGATCATAATTGACAATAGGGATGTACGAAGCAATTCCACCCCAGATGCTAGGTGGAGAGCTTTAGGACTGACGACGGCTAGGAATACCTCCGACGACCAACATCCCCCGCCGACTGGTGGCCAGAACCAACATCCGACATATTAGGTGGCCGAGATCTAGCCAGAGCGACACATGGGACGTGGATGGGAATCACTAGAGACGGAAAAGTAGCTGTGTTGACCAACTACCGCGAGGACACTTCTGAACAGGCTACTGGAGCGCGAAGTCGGGGTCTCATCGTTAACAGCTGGCTGACATCGGCTCCGGACCGACGACAGTCAACTGAGGAGTTTGTGCAAGGAATGGTTGCAAGTCCGTCTGCCAGGAATGTTGGGGGATTCAGTCTTCTGTGCGGTTACGTCAACGAACCCCTGGCCATTGTTTCCAATCGCTCGTCTACCATGGATCATATTGCCTGGGTTGCCACAGAGAAAGGTCAGACACTTGGCCTCAGCAATACAGTTTTCGACGACCGATCTTGGCCCAAAATCCTTGAGGGCGAGAGACTGATGAAGGAAGCCATTGCGGAGCACGCGCAGGCCGGGGAAGAGGAGGATGCACTCATCAACAGACTGCTCAATATGCTGAGTATCAACACGCTGCCCAAGCTCGCCGAGGATGCCACCGCAGAAGACTACCTCCCATACTTTAGGCAAAGCATATTTATCCCTGTATTGGGAGCTCGCGAGAAGCCTGTCAAACCCGCAGATGAGGTGCCTGCGGTCTGCGTCGAGAACACGACGGCGGAGGATGCTTCTTCCGGGCAACATGATGCTCTAGACCACTCCTTCCTGCAGGGGGCATATGGGACACAGCAGCAAACAATTATCCTGGTGAGTACAGACGGACGGGTGCGCTATTTTGAGCGTACGCTTTATGACAACGATGCCACTGCCATCCCGATCGGCCAAGGTGATCGATCGTTTGAATTCCATGTCGGCCGACGATGAGAAAAGGGGACTGGGGACTGGGATCTTAGGTAGATTGCAATGCACTTGCCTGCACATGGGTCTTTGCTCCGACTCTCAATGGGTGTGGCTTTGTAAATAGTATAATGGTTTAATATCGAGAATGCCAAAATAGCAACCGATTGCAAGCTACTGGACAAGCGAAGTGGGCATAAACTGGTTAGGCACCAGCTGGTAGTCTATTCGAGAAACTATCCAGTGCGACTAGAACCGCCACCCGTGTATCCGAGTGAATGCACGATGAGCATTTAGCTGATGTACAGCACAATAGATTGCGGTGAGGTTGAGGCGAATCTCCCACTGTGGTGTAATTTCGGCACGTGCCTGTCAGGAGAGAGTAGAGACAAACAAGCAACAAACGTTCCCTGCCAGCATATCCCCCCGTACTCCGTCCCTCCGTCCGTCCCTCCGTCCCCTCTCAAATCTCCACAACCACAAACAAACCAGAACCACTGGAACAAAATTACGTGCCATCGTCAACGGAACTCATCCTCGCTCCTCCCCATCATCATCAATTGGGAGAAAAATCTTCCTACTCAATGTCTGATTATTGATCATCATGAAGACGCCGACCAATATGACAGGTCGGTCGTCTGGAAATGAGCACTGCGAAGCCTGGAAGTTGGTGGACGGTTTCGGTGGGTCGCAAAGGGTGAATGTCTCAGGTGAAATAATATCGGACCGGCCCATTAATTAATTGGGAAGAACAGCCGGGCGAGTCGGGGAAAAAAAAGACGACCAAATCTTGCTCTGAGCTGAGGTGAATGAAATCAACCGCCCTCTTGACTGCCAGCACCTCGCCGTTTGTGTGCGTCCTCGGCCCGGAATTAATTAATTAATTGAATCCCATCGCCGAGCGCTCCACCAACGAACGGCAGGCTTGGGACGCGATGCTGTTTCATCTAGATCAGATTTCCTAGCCATTGCATGGTGTGGCCCCACGCCGCCAAACGGCAATTTGACCTGGAGAAATGAAGGACGACGGCTTGGGGCCAGTGCACGCCTCCGAAAAGGGTGATCATGATGGGGACACTTGTTTTTCCCTATTGTGCTAAGCCTTGAGCTGCGACAACGGTGCTGGCGACCTTCTCCACTAAACTCGAACGTTCCGTGAAGGAGAATTGAGGGGATGTCGCAACAATGCCGGAGTTGATGTCTGGGATACGGAATTATTTTTTGTTTCCAGCTGGGATTCCTTTTTCTTGACGAGGCGCGAAAGTCGTGGTCCGAGTCGCTGGCGAAGCGCCCAGATATCACATGTAAGTGATATTAAGGGTCCTTGCTAGCTTCGGCGCCGGCCTGGAGCCTGCTCATATCGGGGGAGATGGATTTGGGGCGAAAGGTTCTCGACTTTTACATATCCACCCGGGTGCATGGGTCCCGATTCCTCCAGTGGCGGTCTCAGGGGGATGCGCCCAATTCTGCTTCCGAGATTAAGCAGTGGAACCGTTGAATTGCCAGGGAATCTTCTGACTAGCTTCGGTGCCTGGACGATCGAGTGGTATAAGAACGAGAGCCCCCGGCCGTTCGTCTTTGCTGCTTGGCACATCACAATCAAGACTGGCTCTTGACGTTCCTTCTTTACTCTCACATTCATTCATTCTTTTCACCAGTCACTCTTTTAATCGACCAGATCGATATACATTCTTTTCAATATGAGAATCAGCAACTTGGTTATCGCGGCCTCGGCTGCCGGCATGGTTAACGCTCTTCCCAAGCGTGAGATGAAGAAGCGTGCTTCCTCTGGCTTCACCTGTAGGTCATGCCATGCTTTAAGGAGATAGAGAACAGCAGTGCTAACCGCCGCAGTCTTCGGTGTTAGCGAGTCTGGTGCTGAGTTTGGTTCCGGCGTTGGTACTCTGGGAACCACCTACACCTGGCCTACGACCAGCCAGATCCAGATCCTGAGAGATGCGGGCATGAACATGTTCCGTATTCCCTTCCTGATGGAGCGTCTTACTCCCGACAGCATCACCGGCTCGTTTGCTTCTGCCTACCTCAGCGACCTCAAATCGGTATGAGCCACATGATCATAGCCATCGAATCATTCTGACAAAAGACAGACCGTTCAGTTCGTCACTGACAGCGGAGCTTACGCTGTCCTCGATCCCCACAACTATGGAAGATAGTAGGTCGACCGGCATCCTGTGCTAGACGTGGCTAATAATCTACTAGCAACGGAAACATCATCACTTCCACCTCTGATTTCCAGACCTGGTGGAAGAACGTTGCCGCCGAGTTCGCTGACAATGACAAGGTTATCTTCGACACCAGTGAGTTGCATAGTGCCTGCTGATAAAGCATGAGACTAATCTGATCCATCAGACAACGAGTACCATGATATGGAGCAGTCGTTGGTCCTGAGCCTCAACCAGGCCGCCATTGACGGTATCCGTGCCGCAGGCGCCACCACCCAGTACATCTTCGTTGAGGGTAACAGCTACTCCGGTGCCTGGACCTGGACCGAAAACAACGACGACCTTTCCGGCCTGACCGACACTGAGGACAAGATCATCTACGAGATGCACCAGTACCTTGACTCCGATGCCTCTGGTACCTCGGAGACTTGCGTCAGCTCCACCATCGGTAAGGAGCGTCTCGAGAGCGCCACCGAGTGGCTCCAGACCAACAACAAGAAGGGTGTTATCGGAGAATTCGCCGGTGGTGTCAACTCCGTCTGTGAGGAGGCCGTTGAGGGCATGCTTTCCTACATGTCGGAGAACAGCGATGTCTGGGTTGGTGCCTCTTGGTGGTCTGCCGGTCCCTGGTGGGGATCCTACATGTACAGCCTGCAGCCCTCCGATGGCCCGGCTTACTCGACCTACCTTCCCATCCTGGAGAAGTACTTCCCCGATGGTGATTCTACCACCTCTGCTTCCAGCTCCGCTGCTACCTCTGTCGCTGCCGCCACCTCCGCGGCCACCTCCGCTGTCTCTGCCGTTCAGCAGACCACCACTGCCGCTCCCCACCCTCAGGTCTCGACCACCTCCGCCGTCTCCGTCGCTGCCGCCGCTCCCAGCAGCAGCTCTTCTGCTACCACCTTTGCCACCTCCACCAAGTCTAAGTCTCCTTGCAAGCTGCACAGCACCAGCAGCGCTGCTTCCGCCTCTGCCACCAGTGCTGTTGTTGCCACCCAGCCTACCACCACCGCCATTGTTGCCACTCAGCCTACCACCACCGCCGTTGTTGCCACTCAGCCTACCACCACCGCCGTTGTCGTCAAGCAGCCTACTACCACTTCTGCTGCCGTTGCCGCCACCACCCCTGCCGTCATCCCCAGCCCCATCACCTCCAGCGTGGCTGCTGCCAGCGGCAGCGCCGGTGTCAGCGACCCCCAGGGTGCCCTGGCCACCAACGCTGCTGGCCAGGTCAATCAGTACTACCAGTGCGGTGGACTTAACTGGACTGGACCCACCGAGTGCGCGAGCCCTTACACCTGCGTCAAGCAGAACGACTACTACTACCAGTGTGTCGCCTCCTCCAACTAAATTAGCGACGGTGCGGTAGCTCCGGGATGGTTAATTATCTGAAAGGCTAGTATGAGCCGAGGGGGTGGAAGGAGATTAGCTTGATTCTTATTCTTGTATATATCTAAGAAAAATTCATTAGGGAGATTCCCACACAATATAGATTGGCTTGCCCAGCATATTTGTGCCACCGGTGTATATGTAAGTTTTTACTGTCGAAATGCTTCAACCATGTTCCAGATTTTGTACAGCTGCCAGTTCATGTCGCACCGGAACCCACGTCCGAGGCCGTTGTTGGCAAACCGCCACCTTGGCTGCTCCGGGCGGTGTCTGCTTCGGAAGAGGCCTCCGAGAAAACCATCCTTGCTTCCTTCATTTGGACCCCGTCACTTTCTCTCTAATTCGATACATCTATTCCGTATCGCTGGTTACGTCGAGAATGCCACCGTTTCGACGGAAATCACGATTGGACAAGGTGCCAAATGCGTATTACCTCATTAATCAACTTCTCCGCGTGGACCATATCTGCTGACTCCCGCTAGCTGCGAAGAATGTAAAAAGCGGAAGACCAAATGCTCCGGCCGGTTCCCTTGTCAATCTTGTGTCGCCCGTCATGTCGATTGCACGTTCAAAAGACCCGAGAGAAAGGTTTTAGTGTCAGAAAGGTACGGTACCTTACCAACTTTGGCGACTCAGCGACTCATGAAACGACACTCACTGCGCTTTTAGTTATCTGCGTGCGCTCGAGGACAATTGTGCCCTGCGCCGCCCCCAATCAGCGCCACCGACCAAGGAATTGTCCGAAGAAAGAGTGCCCCGGAGTAGCCCCCCGTCACCTTCTCTCGCAGACGGTAATTGTAGGGATACTATACATCGCATTAGGGCACACCCATTGACTGATCTTAAGATGTGTCCCAACTTCCCCAAAGGAGCACCGCCGAGACACTCATCACCAACCCTCTTGTTTCTGCCACATCCTTCTACCTGAAGGATACCACCGGACGATATAGTAAGCTCCAGGTCTGAGATGACTTCCATGGATTTGGCTGAATCTTCAGGATATTGCGGGCCGTCGTCCTCCTGGTCCTTCTCCCAGCGCGTCTTCCTGCTGCTCAAATCGGCAGTTCCCGACTACCCGTGCCCAGATCTTCCTTTTCACATCGATGGTTGTACCTGGGAACTTAGCTGGTCCCGGACTGATTTCGATGATGTCTCTGTTGTGGAGGGACTGCCGTCGCTAGATGACTTTCTCTATTTGCTCAATACCGTCAAGTTCCATTCCTCCCGGATGCTATATCTTGTCGATGAAGACGAGTTTATACCTCACCTTCACGAGTTCTACGATAGAGGGCTCGAGAAAGCTAAAGCTCAGCCTCTATGGTTCATTCAATACCTCCTGATCATCGCTCTCGCCAAGGCGTTCCTTACTACACCCAGGAATCCCAAATTACCGCCAGGATCAGCTTTCTTCACACGAGCTATGTCGCTAGTACCAGACTTTATAGGCCTCAATCGCCAGCCCAATCGTGGCATGCAGATCCTGTACCTGATCGGCCTATATCTAGTGTCGGTGGACATGAAGGATGCTGCTTATGTTTATGTGGGAGACCTTGACGAAAGGTATTGACCAAGCGCTGACCGCAATCGCAGGTCGGCCAGGCGATTCGGATGTGTATCATGGAAGGAATATATCGGGAGCCACCCGACGGACTTTTTGGGACTGGTATCGCGCATCAGTGCCGTAACATCTGGTGGTCCGCATATATCCTTGATCGGCAGCTATCATCGATGATCGGGGGCCCAGTATCGATCCAGGATGCGGAGATCACCTGTGCGCTCCCCGTCGCTTATGATCAGTCAGAGGATGCCCTGTTCTTTACCATGCATGTCAAGCTTTCCCGGACGATCGGCCGCGTGTTGAATTGTAGGTGTAGGATTCGATGTGTGCGGCCCCTTCTAATATGGTGCTTCTAGCCGTATATACGACCGATTTTCGATTGCGCCAGTCATTCATCTCCACAATTCAGTCCGTGCTGCGAGAGATGGCTGATATCCTGCGGGAGACAGAGGAGATGGCCGCCAAAGTCTCGCATCATTCCCTACGGACAGTATCGACCATGACGAGCCATCTGACAGTCAAATACCACCAAGTAGGCTTATGTATAACTCACACATCACATGCCGACTGACGCTTGTCACAGTGCATTATTCTAGCCACGCGCCCGCTGTTCCTTCACTTTCTCATCAGTCGGCTCCAACCACAGGACCAGCGAGGCGAGACAGTGATCCCCGTTCAGCTGAGACCGCTTCTCGAAACCTCTCTGCAGTCAGCCAAGATCTCATTGAGGACTCTATCTGTGCTATACGAGCAGTCGCTCCTCGGTATGTCTGCTGATTTTCCTCTTCTTCCTCCTCTTCTTGCATGGAACTTACAAAACGCGTAGAGTCTTTCCTTCCCTTCGACCTGGAAGGGATCTTCTCCTCGGCATTCATCCTCACCATCGCCCACTTCATCGACCCTGCTCTGGTGCCGGACATGGCCAGCTACGTGCTCACCGCCTCACGCATGCTGTCCGACATCGTGGCCAAGGGCAACATGACAGCCGCGCTGCGGCAGAAGGAACTAGATTTGTTGCAGAGGATGACCGGACATGTCGTGAGCGGGGAGAGTAGTGCGGATGATGATGGAAGGGAGAGTGTCTCCCGCATGGTGAGCTTTCCCGAGCAGACGGATCGCGCGGTGGAGTCTGAATTCATGATGACGGATGAGGAAATCACGATGAGCCCTACCCAGATCTTGAGTCTGGCCGAGCATCTGGACTTGCTGAATGAGAGTGCGTGGGATATTGGATTCGGACTCGAGGGGCAGAGGTTGATGTGAGGGGTGCCTCATGAGTTCGAGTGAGGATGGTAGACATTCGCCGTATCTGTCTCACTCCCGAGGCCTGGCGGGCTCCTCGCAGCGAGGGCTGGCTTCCTAGGACTATCATCATCAGTCACTGCTTCAGCACTAAGGCTCCCAATGAACAGGCGTCTCGGCGGCCTGCGAGGCACCCAAGACACTATATTTGAATGTACATCGCGAGGAGCGAAGGCCGTGCAAGCCTTCCTCCTTTGTTTGCGCCCCATGAATGGAATGCTTGGCGGACAAGAAGTAGCTCATGCACTCTCCGTACCCTCACATCCCGTCCTCTCATGACGCCTGATATTCTGGCGTGTTGCAAGGGACAAGGGAAGCCTCACAATGCCGAGTCAAGCGGACGCTGCACGCAACCGTGTCAATTAATAGGTTCGACTGCCTCTTCCTCATAGGTATGTATAAGTATACACATCATTCCCCCACCCGATGAGGATGGAAGACCCCCCCCTAAAAGGTACAAGATCAGGCAAAACCCCTACAATAGTATTCAGCGCATCCTACCAGGCAAATCTCAAAGGTGCGTGTTTCAGTAGCCAGCTTCCTCACCGCTTGCCCATCATCCAATGCGTAGAGGGATTGTGGTCCAAGTAATGTATGTATCATATTCGATTAGAATTATAAACCAAGAGTGTATATCTATTATGCCCGGAAGGCAGGCATGTCCACCGATTGCATCCGGTAGTCCAGGAGGAGAGGAACCCCCCCCCTCCCCCTCTCGAATCAACCGGCCTGAGTGTAGACGGTGGTGTTGGTGACCGCCTCGGCGGGCAGCCACTGGCCGGCGACGGTATGGACGTAGGCGAGCTGGGCGAGGGTGAAGGTGTGGAGCTCGGAGACCAGGACGGTGGTGTCGAGGGGCAGCACGCGGTGGACCATGGCGTTCTGGGTGGGCATGGAGACGTACTCCTCGTCGGCGACGGCGGTGAGGTTGGCGTCGAAGGTCACGCGGATCAGCGCGTCCGGCGAGTTGCTGCTCAGCAGGGAGGTGGACAGCAGCCACAGGGCGGGCCCGCCGCCGCCGGCCTCGGTCGACGACGACGACGACGCATCCGCGATGTGCAGCAGGCCCGCGTTGGTGCCGAGCAAGGGGTGCTGCAGCTTGAAGAAGGCCATGGCGCCATCGGCGCCGATGTGCCCGAAGGTGCCCGTGCCGCCGGTGGCGTTGCCGGCCAGCGTGAACCACACGCCGCGCAACGGGCCCGTGGCGATGGCGACCATCCCCACGGCGTTGTTGCCGACGGCGGGCGGGATGGCCAGCTGCGCCGTCTCGCCGCTGGTGGCGTTGATGCGCATGATGGACGAGTCGGTGTCCTGGGTCACGTAGATCAGGCCGGTGGCGGGCTCCTCCTTGATGAAGACGGGGCTGTTGAGGCAGGGGTACAGCTTCGGGTCCCGGACGGTGGCGACGGCCGTGGCGTTCAGGTGCGAGACATCGGCCGAGAAGACGTAGTACTGGCCCGTCTGCGGCGAGGCGACCTTCAGACCGGCCCACACGCGGTTCCCGATCTCGAAGACGCAGTGCGGCCCGTTGCCGGGGACGGGGATGTCGAGGGTGCGCACCACCACCGGCTTGCTCGCCAGCGTGCGGCCGGGGTCCACCAGCAGCAGCTGGTTCTCCGCCTGCAGCGTCAGCCACATCAGCCCCGGGTACAGCGTCGACGGCCACACGCCGTGCAGCTGCGAGCTGCGGTTGCGTCCCATCGGAAACGACTGCCACGCGATCGGCTCCTCCGTGGCGGGGTCGAGCTCGATCTTGATCAGCGCGCTGTCCGACATCTGCGACAGCAGCACGAAGTTCGTGTTCGGCACGCGCGCGAACTCGTGCGTCTCCGTCGCCACCGGCAGCAGGTACTCGGTCAGTCGCCGGCTCACCAGCGTGCTGGCGTTGGCCGACTGCTGCGCCAGCGCCGTGGGGAGGACGGCGCTCAGCCCCAGCGCGGCGACCACGAGCGACTTCTTGAGAGCTTGGGCCAGCATGATTCTGTCCGAAGCCAAGGTTTCTGATGCTTGCTGGACTGGGATGGACCCTTCAGCTTGGGAGGAGGGGGGAGGGGGACTGGACCTCCTATTTGAATTTTCCTGGGTTGCCCACTACCAAGGCGATTCGCGGCGATGCGAAAGACACTTCACCTAGGGCAGTCGGGTTCCTCTTCACAAACCTAACATCACCACCCGAAGATGTCGATCACTGCCTGTTGGGCACAAGTGCTGAGTAGCTGAATGGCGGAGCGAGCGGCCGGCTTGATCCCTGAGTCGAAGATAGTCGAAGATCGCTGATCGCTTGCCCGATCTGCGCTAGACCAGGATTCATGGCGCGCGATCAACCACCCGCACTATTGGGAATGTGGAATTGACCGAGCTGCTAGGGTGATCTGATTGCTGGATCGGGATAATGCAAAGCACACCTTCTTGGGCCCTGGGCGGGTGGGGTTTCGCTGCAATGGGTTTAGAGTTGGCTGGATGGGGAGTGGGGGAATACGGGGCTGGAAGCAACATACAACTTACGTATCAAGAGCCAGGGAGATACTAAGGCAATGACCGTCTGTCATCCGGAAGTACGAATCCGAGATCCTCCGGTGGCTTCATTCGCACCCCTAACGCATATATCCGGATATCTTGTACGTACCCCGTGCCATGTTTTGGAATTCAATCAAAGGTTGCTGGACTAGTAGACTAGATAGATGGACACGGGGAATTGACTTAATCGTGCCTGCCAAAGGCAACTGTACCCGCAGGAGCAAGCATTGGAAGGGCAAAAAAAACATACAACAGAAGGGATTCGCTGGTGGTCACCCACCCAACTACTAACCTCCCGGCGTGTGGCTTGAGTACGGCTGAGCGGACGGGAAGCCCTATTTTCCACACCCTGTGGTCGTATGTGCTTGGTGCATGGTTTTGCTAGTATAAGATGCTCCAAAGCTTTATTATCAGCACTGTAATTGGCTTTTCATCCTTCATCCTTGCCTCCACCAGCAGCAAATTTCCAAATGATAGAACGTGCAGCTAGAAAGACTTATACGAGTAGATCAATCCCAGGCAGGTGAAGGGTTCACTAAAGGGTAACTTACTACTGACAGAGACAAAAAAGACCCTTGGTGGTCCAAAGTATGGCCTGACGAAAACTCGGCGCCAACGATCACAATAATGGCGGCAGTCTTTGTTATGCATGCTGCTGGTGGAACAATGGCCTCACTCCTTTGTCGTGAGCTTTGTAGCTTCACACATATCAGAGATTCCCCTGCGGGCGTTCCCGACTGGGTCCCTCGCCTCCGTGGCCGCTAGGCAGCCCCACCGATTGTAAGCCGATGGGTGCTTGGGTTCAGTCTACCACGGTAACCTTCCGATTCAATGATAACTCGCTGTCGCAGATATACACATAACCTAGAGCAGACAAGACGATGTCTCCTGCCCTCACGAGACCGGAGAGATATAACCCCGAGCTGATCCGAACTATCTCCGATGCCGGAGTTGCCGCTCTCCCCGCCCATCCTTTGAACCCAAGGGCCCATTGTATTCTGTGCATTGTATGGGCCTGTACGCGAGGTGTGTTGCGAAACTACAACAATGAGAGCCAGAGACTGACAAAGGACCAACAAAGGCATTCTCTGAAAGGTGAGGGTGCTCGTCAGATTCCTCTATTCCTCTGTCAAGAAAGCTCTTACACGCCGGTGAACAAAAGATCCACAATGACAAAGAGAACTGGTTCAGGGTTCCGTGTATATAACCCCCCTCAGCCTGCCCTTTCTGGCTCAATCCAGTACAGCATGCCAGCTTCAGGTTGCTAAACATTGATCATCAATACGAACATCATGTCGCACTCCGATCTCGCCGAGATGTCCGTGATGCCATGGAGGAGATATATTGATGTAGAAGTGTATGACTCACATGAGGAGGATGTGAATGGCATGTATGAAGAGACTGAATCGAGCACATCCAGTGAGTCCGAGGTTGACTCTGATTTCGATGATTGTGACGAGAGCGCTCGTACGCCGAGATGCCCACGGGCTGTCGAGAAGCTGCTGCGAGATGTGGGGTCCCTCCTGGATGGCAATGACATTGGCAGTGCCCTCTTTGGAGAGACTGCCCTCGCGTTTATGGGCGTGCCCATCATTCCTCACTGTGTCGCGTTCATGATTCCGGATCAGCAAATCGACCAGGCGGTCCAGGTGCTACGTGAAGCCCAGTACCCCGACTGCAAGGATCTGGACCTGTTCGCAGCCAACCCTATCAATTTCCTATCCCAAATCCGCTGTCATGCATTGACGGGGGGCGCCACCCGCGACCGTCCCATCCCGGACCATCATTTCCACACCGACGGTCGCTTCCCAAAGGACCCCGACGACAGCCGCAATCAGACTCGAGGCGTCTTCCTCTATCGTGCGTCTAAGATTTTGGGCCCGGGCATTCCGATGCCATCTGCGCAGCCTCCACTGCCCGAGAACCCCTATTACATGGTCACTTCCGATGCGCGGCTCTACTGTCCATTGTTCCTGGACCGGGTAATGCTGAACTGTTGGGGCCCGCAGAGTACGAAGGCTTACCCGGTCAAGATGCTCCACCCGGCGCGATATGCGGAGAATCTGGTCTACCTGATGGTCCGCGACATTGGGTACAGCGTCTGCAACGGGTGGAAAAGCGAGTTTGACTGTATGTTGACTTACACTCGGCTCTTGTCAGCTCCGATCCAAGCGCTGGGCGTGATCGATGTCCGGCTCGAGGACTTACCGAATGGGCCGATCGCGGACTGGATTGGGCTGTACAGTGAAGGGGAAAGGAATCGTTCGGCCATCTTGGTTCAGTTCGCGGCTCTTCACCGACAAGGGAAGAAGTCGGGCCAACTGGGTGAACCCCTGATGACCCCCCGAGAAGAAGATATTGTCACGCCGGAAGACATTGAGGACTGCCTCAAGAACATGGAAGAGGGGAAGCCCCCAAGCCTGATTCGACCCTTTGAGGAGTCCGGCTGGAGTTGTCAGTTGATGTAGGGTACCTATATACTATATACTATATACTATATCTATACAAAAATCTATCTATCGGATATCTTGAATCTATACAAAAGTTACAAAGTAGTACATATAACTAAAAGGACTGCTTCTATGAAGTTGGGTTGGGCTTTCTACGGCAAGCTAAGCTAAGCTACCTTGGGGTTATTGCAGATTGGCACGAGTAGCCCAAGCTCACTGTAGTATCTGAGTAATCGAACCACATGATTCAAAGGCGGTCCACGGTTGGTTACCAGGCTGCTGCTCCATCCATGATCATGGCATCAATGGCTTCAATCCAAATTGATATCTGACGGAGTCCCATGCCTCTTCTGATTGGTTGGTAGCACCTCACCGCTTCGGCCGCGCGTAGATCATGCCCTGGATACTACTAGGTACTATGCTAGGTAGTTCCTCCCAGATAGCCTGGTATACACGTCCTTCACGCTCTCCTTAATACCTCTTCTTGCTCCCCTTGTACCAAGCGTGAAGAGCTGTCTGTGTCCGAAGGAGATTCAAGCTTTCTGTATCGAGAATCGCCCAGCCCCCGCGTCATCAGTCGGGAACGGAGAGAGAGCTGCCAACTCATGAGACATAATGCAAACAGGGCATATGTTCGTTCGTATTCCCCGTCACCGAATATCATAACCCCCTCTCCTTCCGGAGACTTTTCTTTCTCTTTCTCTTTCCCCTTCCCATCGCGGATTGGACTTGACTCTCCGTGTATGAAAACGATCGTCCACCACAATGTTCGCCGGAGCCAAAGCGGTCTTTCGCAGATATCCCAACAGTAAGGCGGGGGCGATAATGGCGGTGTTTGAGTTCCTGGCAGCTCAAGGGGTGCGTTTGGGCCCGATCACGCTGGAGACTCAGTTTGAGGATTACTTCATTGAGGGCAGCCGTAGGGCTTATGAGGTCTACCCCCCCCACCCCCCACAACCTGGTATCAGCACGACAGCGAGGTTGACTGGTACTGAAGGTTAGGACAACATATCTCGTGTCCGAAGAGCTAATCAACCGTGTCGAGTCTCTGCTCAAGGACGGCAAAAAGTCGCCTCTGAAAACCACGAGTGAGGGCAAATTGGTCTGGAAACGCTGGCTCGAATTCAAGTTTGTAAAAGCCGGAAAAGGTAGGCGAGGTAGGCGAGTAGGTTGGATTCCCCACACATGCCTTTCACCTTTGGCTCTGAGAGACTGAAATCTCCCTTCAAACTAGCGTCGTGTCGTCGCGGAGTATAAATCGAAGATTGCCTGCAAGCCTCAAGAGCCGGCTACCGTGACCTTCCGCATCTGGGGCAAGGTCACCGGCATATATCAAACTTACCGTCACGGAATGCTCACCGTCATTCTATGTGTGACTTGCGGCCTGTTGTACTATCTGGTCCAGCTTTTACTTGCTTATCCGCCTCCCAAATCCGACTGGCAAAAGTTTCTAGACGGGTGCAAGGCATTAATCGGCTGGTGATTCGGTCGGGTTTAGGCAATCGGCCAAGAAAGGAATGCCGAACCCGAGTTTGAACTAGGTCGCTACCGTTGATGCCCTTGGCTGAAGTACCGGGCACATTGTACAGTACTTCGTTGTGCCATAGAATATCACGTATCAAGCTGCCGTCTTGGATTATCACTATCTAGTAGGAGCACCAACCCTCCTGGCCCCTCCCAAGATTGCCAGCTGGGGGGGCGGTTCCCAGCTGCCAGTCAGACAAGATACTATCAAGAAGGAACAATCAGACACTATCTAGCTAGAGGAATTTGCCGATACTGTCTAGCTTAGAAAGCCTTTATCACGGCGTCTAAATCTAAAATAGCTCCGTCCTTGGTGTCACATTTGCTTTTGTCCAGGTTTTCTTTTGGCGGTGCACGATTATCTACTCGTAATAGACCTAGTGACTATTCCATCCCAGTAGTATCACTATCTTTGCGCTGTACTGTTTATTCTGCTATTTGAAGGAAGAGTAGCCTTTCCCCCTGTTCCTTCGCCTCCTTTCTGGTGCCTCTCTAGATGTGTGCGAAATGGGCAGCACTACTGCCAGTGTTACAGAGATATAATCAGAGAAAAATACTTCGAACCTTTCGTAAAGCTTCTAGACATTGTAGTATACGTAGTTACCCTGTCGTGGTCTACGATAAATGGTGAGCGTTATCATGCGGAGATCCCGTCATTGATTATCAAGAAGGATCTAGATCTCAGCTGCTGTGTAGACATCTGCCGCACTTTCTCAGGTACAGACTGTACGTAAAGACTCCATCGTCCTTACCTTGTAACTTATAATTCCAACTTGCTGATCTTGCTATTCTAGCATACAATCCTAAATCCAGCCATTCGTCCTCTTCATCTTTTCCCATCCTCGCTTCAAAAAGCAACATCACCACAGGAGGTTCTTGATATGGGCAGCACGGCACAGCAGACAGAAGTGATCCATCCTTTCACTGGTTATGGTAGGCACCGAGAAGGGCCAGTTCTCGCAGCAAGTCGCCCCGTCGAGGAGGGGCTACACCTGCGAGTTCAAAGCCAAACTCAGTCCCGTGAAGATAGAGTGTGAGGTCGATGGTGCCGCATCTTCTGGTGTGTGGGAGCTTCGCGCTTTCGGAGCTTTCTCGGTAAGGCAGCTGAGGTGAGGAAGTTCGTGGGAAAGGATCGGGCATCACTGTTGGGGCGGATCTGGATGGTGGGATGCGTCGCCACCCTGCTGCGGATCGGTGTTGCACATGTGAGCATACGACTGACTGACTGACTGACCGACTCTCTTGTCCGTGGGCATCAGGAATCAGGGCAAATCCAATCTTGGTGGGGCCATTGTGCAACGGCTAGAAGTTCAATTCCGCTCGATGGCATCGCGGGGTGGTCGGCACGGGAGGCCTGGGGATATCTCTATGTAAAAGGGGGGGCAGGCAAGGCAGAGCCTCGAACCGGAACACGCTGCAATACTCCATCCATCCCTGTCCGCGCGCCACGCGCCGCTTCATTCGCAGGCCAGGCGCGTCTACAGCGCGGCAAATCAGTATACGTCAAAGCCCCAACTGTTCAGCCACTGCGTTTCACCAGAATCGAGCCTAAGCCCCACACACGCCATTGATGCGGACTGGGAGGATATGCACTGCCTACCACTTGAGACAGAGCTCAGTCGGATACTATGAGGATGGCAACCTGCAAGAATTCATTGAGAGGCATATATGCACGTACAAATTTTGGTTGCTCCCCCCCCCCCCCCCCTGCTCCAGTCTGCATCTAGAAAGTGAGAAATTCTACCAACTAACATGTACACAGCCCACTAGCAGCCAAATTATGAGCCAATAAAACAGCGGGGCCATGAGGAGTTCCTCGGCGGCGAGAGGTCCTTACACAGAAGAAATATTCGACGTTGGGGCATGGTACATACTTAGCAAGAGCGGCCATCACTCTCTGTAACAGATACAGTTCAACATTGGATCGACTTGAGATAATCTAGGGTACTGAGCCAATTCTAGTTTATTAGGCATTCGACTTTTTCTTGACTCCTCGTCCCAACCTCCCGCCATATATATATAACTCCCACACTCTATAAAGCCATTCTATTGCAGCAGGATGAGGGCTAAGGCTTTCCACTCCTCGTGGTCGTATGTACATATCCGCATGCGTTCAATAACCGGAAGACAATGTACTCCCGTAAGAATGGACTCCTTCCAAGCTCCGCCCCACAGCGGCGACGCAGCTTAATGTTCTGCCTCAGATTTCCTTCTTATAGCTCTTTAGCTGAGAGGGATTTGAAAGAGACAAGTTCGACTATGCAATAGCACACCCCTGAGATACCTCTTTTCCCTTCCGGTGGGGGGAAAGACAACTTGAACAATCATATCCAGATCAGAAGCCCGAAGTCCCGAGCTCGGGGCTCGGTGCTACCGGCGGGAATCTAAATCCGATATAGACCGAGCACTGACTCCCCGGCCGCCCACATAATGCAACTGCCCAGAATGACAGCGCCAAAAGGCACCGACCCTACAACTCTACGACCGTCCAATAGCTCGTAAGCGGGATCCGTAGACCCACAGTATCACAGGAATAGGCCAGCCGACAGCAACAAAGATAAATCCCAGCAGGCTGTTTCCCCACCCGTATCCGAGGGCGGCATACAGATCTGGGGCGAAGATGGGGAACACGAAGCCGAGGATGTTGGAAAGCATGCGCGCGGCGGCGTTGGCCGAGGCGGCGTGCGTGGTGAACTCGTCCAGCAGGTAGGCCAGCATGCCCTGGGACAGGATGAAGCTGCCCGTGACGAAGATGGCGGTGCCGACGTCGACGACGACCCAATGCAGCCGCTTCTCCGCTGACCAGCCGTATAGAAAAATGCCTACGGGGACTAGGAGGACGCCGGGGATTAGGAAAGGGATCCTGAACTCGGGGGTGGGTGTGGCGTCGTGGTGGCGCGTCTTTAGGGCTTGGTAGATCCAGTCCATCAGGTGGCCGCCTACCTGCGAGGCCGTGATGGTGCCGATTGCGATGGCGATGTAGTTCAGACTGCTGACGGTCGCGGACTCGCCGTACCGCTCGATCCAGAGGGTAGCGTAGGTGGACAGCAGCAGGCAGTAGATGGCGAAGTTCAGCGCCATGATCAGCGCGATGACTTGGATCGCGGGGCGGCAGACGAGGAGCCCCAGCGGGCGGATGAGGTGGGCCCCTAGCCGGGTGCTGAGGTTCTGATAGAACGCCTTGTCGAGCAGGAGCGTGAGCCGGCGTTTGCTGAAGGACGAGAGGGGAGCATTGGCGGCATCCTGGAGGTGGCGGTGGAGGGCGGCCTTCTTCCGGAGTAGACTTGGGGTGTAGCATTCAGGTAGGAAGCAAATGCCGATCAGCACAATGGCGGCGTCGAACAGGGAGAGGACCCAGAATAGCCAGCCCCACGGCAGATGCTGCGAGATCACTCCGCCGATCATGGGGCCCAGGGCCGGACCCAGGTAGGGGATAAAGGTGGCCAGCGCTAGGGAGCGTCCTCGATGTTCCGGCCGATACATGTCGGCAAGTATAGGCCCTGTGAGCTATACAAAATGATGGGTTGCGTCAGTTCGCTGTGCAATTAACCTAAATTCGTATGAAGCACTAAAGTACACCACTGACCGTGATACCTGCACTCGCGCCCGATCCGGCAAGGAATCGCCCGACCGTCATGAGCCCAACGGAGGAACTCACGGGACACAGTGCATTCCACATGATATAGAAAAGGTTACTGGCAATCCAGATCGGTCGTCGCCCGTACATCTCGGAGAGAGCCGCGATTAAGAAAGGAGCAAAGGCGAGACCTAAAATGAAGATTGAAAAGGTGACCTGAGTAGCGGTGCTACCCAAATGGAGGTCGGCGCCGATCTGGGTTAGGGCGGCGGCCATCATACTAGTCGACATGAGGGTGACGAGTTGCCCCAGCGAGACGACCAGCGCGACTGAAATCTTCCGAATGGAAGGCCAGTTGTAGGGGTCATGGGGATCGTCGGGCGAGTCCCAGGTCGCCTAGAGATGTTTCAGAAATTAGATCAGAATCGGTTGAAGACAAGTATAATCATATATCGAAGTTCTCGACCTACGCCATGTTCGTCGAGCAAGGCGTTCAATCGCCCTTGCTGCTGTCCGGCGACGGTCAACACAGGCGACGACGAAGTCGCTCCAACCGGAATACCCTTTTCTTCGGAAGACATGATGAAGCCGCTTGGATTCGGTTTTCTCGATTTGAGTGTCAAGCAGACTCAAGAGAATGTTGACGGTGTTGGGATGCTATATGGAGAAGACGTCTCGGAGGAAAGTGGAAAGGTCGGAGAAGGGTCGGAGACTGAAAAGCTTAACACCGAGGCAGGTGTAATTTTAGAGGAATGGAAGAGAACAGTACAACACATACTGCGACCTTACAGCGAATGTAAATGTAAAATCACGGCATGTCGTCAATTAACAGGACTTGGGTTATCATATCGATTGCTGGCTCACGTGGCCCAGGTAGGGTTGAGCGGGCGGGAAGTCCCATCTTTCACACCGAGTGATCGTACGTAGTGACCATTCCTGTAATCCAGTCATATAGATGTAGTTTACCAATTTAGAGTAAGACCCGCGACAGTGGTACGAAATTGATGCTAGTGTAATCGGTTCTTCATCGAGGGCCCTTGTCAACCGAGAGATTATCCGACGTTCGATCTAGAGATACGGTCTTTAGCAAATAGCCCGGACAGCCCCTAAATCAAAGACGGTCCATCCTTAGATATGAGTTGCGACTAGGTATGTGCAGGCTATAAGCTGGTGGTATATGAAAGGCTAGCATGGCGTCTTATTGCACCTACCTCGCCGTACATATATTAATCAATAACCATCTAACATCGCACTATGACAGCAGGATGAGGGTCGTGGTCTCAAGTCCGATGAGAATAGTCACCGATTTTGTATATCCATCGTTACTTCCAGAATCCGTCATCTAATCACCGAGGGATCGGAGACGCTTATGTCCCGAGGCGAGCTTTTTTGAGCTAAAGGCTTCAGCACCTCGAAGCTGCAAAGTAATTCATCCGATATGCTCATGACCCCGCCCCAGTTGTCGAACTCTCCACAGTACTATGAAATAGTGAGCTCGGGGCGCTGCAGAATACAGAATCCTTTGACCTGAATAGCAAAATGCTGAGATCATCAATCAACGAAGCGGGTAGGTACTTACGTTCGGGGCAGAGAAAACGGTCACCAGGAGCCGATCCTGGTAGAACTCGTACCCATCTTCCACAACCATATGGGCCCGGCAAATCAGGTCAAAGTCATGGCGCTGCAAGAAATCCACAATGACCCGTCGGCCGAAACAATAACTGACACCCCGTTCGTTGGGCTCCCAGTCCTCCTCCTGGTCTGCGGGGTCGCTCCACAGGATGTCATTCAGGAGGCCGTAGTCCGGCACGTCCGTCGGGCGGGCGATGCGGCGGATATCCTCCATGTCCGACAGGGACGGCGAGAGGCCGCCGTGCACGCAAAAGACCTTTCCGGCGACGATCGCGGCGACGGGCATGCAGTTGAACACATCGATGAAGGTCTTCCAGGTTTTGATGGTCGACCGGCGCTTGCACTCGTCGTAGAACCCGTACACCCGGGTCACGTTGGCGCATTCGTGGTTGCCCCGCAGGAGGAAGAAGTTCGCGGGGTAGCGTAGCTTGTAGCACAGGAGGAGGAGGATGCTCTCCAGACTCTGCTTGCCGCGGTCCACGTAGTCGCCCAGGAAAAGATAGTTGGCCGCGGGCGGGAAGCCGCAGAGCTGGAAGAGGCGGAGCAAGTCGCTGTACTGGCCGTGAATGTCCCCGACCACCTTGACGGGGGCATTGAGCTCGAGCAGTATGGGCTGCGAGAGGAATAGCTCGCGCGATGCCTGACAGACCTGCCGGATTTCGGCCTCGTCGAGGCATAGGCTCTTCTTCGAGGGGCCAACACGAGCAAGTAGGCGTGCGATCATGGCGTCCAGAAGAGCGTTGTCAACAACTCCCTTTTTCGGATGCCCCGGCAGAGACTGAGTATTATGTTCCATTGGGGTGTTCGTGCCGAACTGGAGGATTGGTCCTATCGGCGTGTTTTCAACAAGGATAGACGCACGAGGCTGGGTGGGCGATCCAAGCATAGATCCGGGCAGCGGGTGCATAGCGGGAACATCGGAGACACCATCGACCTCCCCGGACTGTTGCATGAGAGTGACATCCTTATGGCCCCGTTCAGAAAGATCACCATGTACTGGTGATGGGGGCGGACTCGTCCCGTCTCTTTCCTCAGCTTCCGTCGCAAGCCGCTGTGAAATGACCGAGAAGGGCTCATCCTTCGCTGGGACAGAATTTGATATTTCGGGCTTCGAGCGCTTACTCATCTTTTTCTCTAGCATCTGCCGTAACTTTGAATCTTTGTGTGACGCGGTATGCTGCAGACTGTGGTTGCTCTCCCGACGCGCTATTCTTGCCTCATGGTCAGTCCGGAGGACGCCCAGGGGATCTTCAGTTTCAGCTTGTCCCGAGGGCTGTTGAGAATTTCCACCCAGAGCACCGGCAGGTTTGTCGCCTTGGATGTCATCAGTACTGTACACATAGCCATCTGCCAGATCGTCGGTGTCAGTATCTTGCTCAGGTTGACTCATAACCGGGAATGGCAGACGCTGCTTGCGAGCCAGATCTTGAAGCACGGGGTCATCAACATTCCTAAAGGATTCCATATCCACGGTCGCAAAGCCCCATTCAAGTAGCCTAAGCCTTCCCAGGGACATATTATTACTTGAGGGGGGAACATGGATGAAACTACCCCATTCCTCTATCGGGCTGGAGCTCTCGAGGCTGGGTAACGATTCCGTGGAATACGCCTTAGTGAGGCCACCATCGCCATCTGAACCAAACTTGCCAAAAGAATTCTCTAGACTGCTCTGCTCCAAGTAGGAGATCTCGTCGGCTGTGCCGCTACCGATATCTTCGAAGGTCAGGGTGATGAATCTATCCGGGTCGTTGTCTATGGTGCTCCGCTTATGAGGCTTGGATGCTCGAGAACTAGCATTTTCAGCAGCCGAGCTTTCCGACCCTTCATCCTCATACGGTGGTAGAGACTTCAGAGCAAGAAACCTCAAATGCCCCACGATATGTTCTATGATCGTGTCTCCCTGCGCAGTATCGCTGGAGCCACAGAGTGGACATGATCCAAACAGTGGTTCAACCGCTCGCGCGTTCCTGTCAGCCAGCACGCGAAGCTGGACATCACTGAAGGCCCCCTGGTGAGCCTGTCGCATGTGGTCTATGTAGCGATCTCGCGTGTGGAAAATCAGCAGTCCGTGCGATTTCGAGTTGCAGCGCCAGCGCAAGGCATGGTCTTGCATATGTTTCAGCCATTGTTCGTTGTGACTGTATAGTTGATTCGGAATCTCGCATTCGTCGAAGAGACAGACGTATGAATCCAGATCATTCTTGACGTGAGCCCTAGACCTCTTAGTCAGGTGTTTCTGGAGACAGAGTATAGACGGATTTGTGAGAGACCACTGGTGATACCTACTTCCATTTAGCGTCGTTCTGCATCTCCCGTGCTGGAATAGCGTAGAAGCAAAAAGGGCATGTTATTTCTCCGATGGCTTCGACACACAAATCCCAATTCTTATCCAAGTCTTGCTTGAGATCTGCTTCCGCTGTCCTTTTGAAGGTCTCGATAGTGGACAGTGATTCAGTATCGCACTTGTCAAATAATGACTGCAGGTACCGTCTATGTTTCTCCTCCAGGGTTCGTTTTATTCTTCTGTATCTCTGTCTCACGCGGCCAAGAGGTGGCGCCGGAAATGACAGCGCTTCGTGGCTGTCCAGCGCTACCGTTCTCGCACCGGAAACTGTGGAGGGGGTAGAAGCTTTTCTGAACCTTTCGACGGCTAGCGTGGTTGCACTGACTCCAGCCTGAGAGTTCGCTGGCACTTCGACGGCAATTGGAGTCGATGCCGACGGGACCGCGGGGATACCGCCAGCGGTCTGCTGAGGCGCATCTGTCGGCGGCAGTATTATCTTCGGCCGAGCAGTTGTTGGTGGTACCTTCAGCGCCCGATGGCCGAAGCGAGATCTCTTGTAAAGAACTCGCCTTCGGCGGAGAATCATCGCGGAAACCAGTCGTCGCAAGATTTTCTCGTCTACATCGCGGAACCGATCGCGAATGTAATTTGCAAACACGACCTCCAGGCACGGCTCCACATCGTTCCCCTCTTCATCCTGGATCTTGAAGGACATGGACACCTTTGCATTGTGGGCCTCGCTGCTTGCTCTTCGGATCGTGTTGGACAGTCGATGAAGAAGTGCTATCTGACCGGCAACGGCGCGCCTTGAACGAGTGATCGTTTCGCTTGCAGATGCGAAAGCAATCTCCGACATCTGAGATCTGGGGTCCGACTCACAAAGCATGTGCGACCCTCCCAAATAATTCAGTATGTCTGGTTCCCATCCCGGCGCGACATTTGTCTCACTTACAGGCTTCGACTAGGTCTTCTAGCGTTTCTAGAAGCCCGATAATCACTTCATGTACCTCCTGTGCTTCTCTTAGGCGGTGGTCCAATGAGGCGCGCCCTCCGGCAAAAACACCGATATTGGCCGCCCAGAGAGAGAAACGCGCGAGCTGGTCTTCCACCAAGGTCATTTCGAGAGACGAGATTGATGCAGACTGCTTCAAGCATTGCTGGAAAAGATTCAAGCATCGATCGGCCCTTGCCGCGATTGTGTGGAACTGTTCTGGCTCTGGTGACATGCCGACAACTTCTTTTTCCCAAAGGAAGCAAACCCGAGAATTCAGTTGATGAAAGGCGGACTGACAGATGGATGAGAGAGGATGCAAGGCTGAGACGTGCCACGAGAGGCAGGCCTGGCCCAAACCGGTTTAGTGGTTTTGAGGCACCGATAAGGCATACCCCGCATCTTCAAGGTCGACGACTCTTGCACGGCTCAGCCTCGGGGAACACCAGCACGCCGAGTAATGCAAGGGTATGGCCATGACCGTTATTCACAATGTGGAACTCTTGCTTCAGGTGTCGGAGATGTTTCGTGAAATTGCGAAACATCTCCGTAGCCATGGCGCTACCCGAGAGTCTAAGCATTTCTACAGCAGCGTAATGGCTCATTGCTTGATGATCCACGATCACATCAGCCGCATCGAGACCTTCATTGCCGATGATAATATTTTGATCACGAGCATATTGCTTCGACTCGAGGCAACTGTCACCCCAGATATTTTGAAAGCTCAATCGGTGCTCTCAACCACGATCCGATCAGTGCTCCCAACCACAGCTTATCCCCGGCTCGCAGCTTTACACGTCGCGTGGAACCATGCTCGCCGTGAGGGCGGTACGGTTGATCTGCAGCTCGTAATGCTATCAGTTGACCTCGCAGACGATTCAGAGCAACCTGATAAGCTGATTGAATTTTTCGAAGACTGGGAAGATGACCTCAAGGTTCAATATCCCGACGACCCAGCACTGTGGGCTCGAGATGATATGGTTAGCTTGAAGAAGAATAGGAGACAGCCTTCATACTTGGTTTTGAATGCCCCGCAGTCACTGTTCCTTGCCCTGATGGATTTGAAGGACTGCACCTGCCAGCCTGTGCATGACTTCGGTGTCCGCCTTTGCCTGGGAACATTTCAGACTGCCCCGGAGACTGAGAAGGAGCAGGATCACGACTGCGCGTTCGAGATGTTTCTATCTATGCAACAGGAGTGGCACGAGACAGACGTGTGTTTTGCCAAGAGTGCCGGAATCAACTTTGCGCAGACCAACAAAGCCACGCAGAGGCCAAAGGTCCCCGCCATGAAGATCAAGAGTCTATGTGAGCCCATTAAAAAGAGAAAGCCTTATGATCGTCTTAAGCTGAAAGTTGGCGAAGACGGACGGCTGTGGAAGCTGCGATCCGAAAAGTGTTGCTTTGCAGTGGATGAGACTAGAGCACCGGTATCACTACAGAATTTTATTCAGGGACAGTACAGGTCGCTGACCGACAAAACCAAACGGATTCTGGCCGTAATTCTCGGATATGCTGTTCTATACCTCCATGAGACTCCCTGGCTCCCGCCCTCATGGGGCCCTTCGAGTATCTTGTTCTTCCACACGACTTCGTCAGCGATTCCTCTCAAACCTTTTATCCAAACTCAATTAGCAAAGGATCACGCGGTCGATTCGCCGGACACTTCCATTCTGGATCCCGATGACTTTGATCCCGACGACTTAGACCCTGATGACATTATGATCCACCAGTGTCCGCATCTGGTGACGCTGGGGATTGTGTTGATGGAATTGTATCTCGCCACGTCTTTCGAAGAACTAGCTGCGAAATACGGAGTGTCTCTAAACGATCGGACGAGGTCTATCGATGCAGAGCTAGTGTTCGACCAGTGCAAGAATGAAATCCCGGAGAATTCCCAATTTCATTACGCCGTGAAGAAATGCTTAGACCCAAAAGTGTGGGAGGATAACAATGGGGCCCGATTGAGCGACAATGCACTGAAAGCCGCGATATACCAGGAGGTTGTTAGTCCATTGGAGGATGAGCTGAGCCAAGCATTTAGCTACATCTCCCTTGAGCAACTTGATCGCATTGCGCAAACTCTAGACCTAGCCAGTTGGGGCCAGGCTACCCAGAATTATCAGACTTCTCCTCGCTCTCCTGGAACTCCTGTCGACATGGCAATGAGACCAGCACAGGGGCTCTCATCAATCCAAGACTTGAAAGATCAATATCAACAACAGCAGAAATACCTAGCGCATATTCAGGGACCCATCACGTTCCCAGTGATGCCTATCTTCCAGCCCGTTTCTTCTGCGATGCTCGTGCCCCAGCCCGGAAACTTGACTGATTTTCATTACCAAAGCATGAGATTCTTTGATGATGAGACAATTGCCGAAGAGCATTCAGCGGAAGCGTAAGTCTAATCATTAGGAACCCTTTACCTGAAGGTCCAGCTAACAGCGATATAAACGAGCCAGGTGTCTAAACTACCGCAACTGGCGGCGAAGATTCAAGGATGTCTACGAGAAGTACATCCTTCAGCCACCCAATATCCCAGTAAAAATCGCGGTTTTCGATACAGGGGTGGATCAGACACACCCAGACGTAGATGCATGCATTGAGCAGATCAAGGGGCAATTCAATTGGACGAATGAGAAGTTTCCTCGGCTGGTCGACGACTACAACGGACATGGAACATTCATCACAAGCTTGCTCATGGAATATTGCCCCGATGCCGAGATCTACATCGCCAAGATCTCCGACGGCAAACCATGCAGCCCCAACATCATCGCCAAGGTAAGATCGGACATGGTGTTGTAATGGCACATCAACTGACTTTGACAGGCTCTCGACTATGCAGTCAACGAATGGCAGGTTGATATCATCTCCATGTCGTTTGGTTTTCACTCACGTGATGTCGAAGGTTATGATGAATTGGAACGTGCCATTCACCACGCATACTCCAGCCGCGTTCTTCTCTTTGCTGCCGCCTCGAACAGCGGTGCGAACTTGGACAGGGCTTACCCGGCCCGCGATGAGAACGTGATCTGTATCAACTCGACCGATGCGAACGGGAATCGCTCACCCTTTAGCCCTACTGCTCTTGCGGACACACTGAACCTGGCCACGGTCGGCGAGGCCGTGGAGTCTGCTTGGCCAATGCGGCTCTGCGAATCGCCGTCCGGCCTCAAGCATAAATCGGGGACATCATTTGCCACCCCCATCGCAGTTTCCATTGCGGGCTTCCTGCTGCAGTACGCCCGGTTGCATATCCCCGAGCATGCCTATCTATTGCAACGACAGTCCAAAATGAAAGCCGTGCTCCGGAAGATCGCGGAGAAGAGCCTGGACTCGCGCGCCCGCGATGATTACCATTTTGTGGCCTTGAGCCTTTATTCCGATAATCTATTTGGGAAGGATCCGGAGTTCATCAACCATACACTGCGCGACATACTCCGCCGGTAGTCACTGGAGACTTGCTGCGCCGTCCGACCGAGGCACGCCAACCGTAATAAGCTCGTCTCCCTCGGTCATTTGCATGCCTGTCCACTCTTTCTCATCGCCGCCCACTTCCAGGTCATCCTCCTCAAGAACTAAAACACCCTGCGATTCGCCCAAGACCACCGGCTCATTCCCCAGCATAGCGCCTGTCGCATAATCTTCCGCCTCGCGCACCTCGTTCGTCTTCCTCGCCACCTTGATCCTTTTGACACGAAAGGCTAGAACAAAATCCCCCCCATTCTCCCAGTCCATACCCACCTTCTTGGACTGGGTGAGTTCGAACTCCGGGCCCCCAGCCACCGGAACCACGCCGCCGCTCCACACCGTCCCGTCCACGGTGGCCGCCAGATTGCCGCTGATCTCCCGCCCGGTCCGCGACCGGCCCGCCTTCGCCCCGTGGACCACCTTCAACCCCACGATGAGGTACAGCGGCTTCCGGTATCGGGACCGCTCGAGCCACCGCTGCACCACGGGGGAGGCGTCGATGCATTTCTCCTGGACGTAGCCGGGCCGCGGCACGAATTGCGTGGTGGTGATGGTCTCGAAGCGGAAGGTCTCCTCGGCACTGCAGCACGTAGAGGTCAAAATTTTTCTCATTTCTTTGGCTTACGCTATGTATTTAGGGTGTGCCCTTGTAAAACTATTCTAGTATAGATTCAAGCACTGCACATGCAGACACAAAGACCTCCCCAAGAAAATCTCGCACCTTCTCTCCCACGCTCCCCCAACATCCACCCCGAACCCTAGCAACGAGAGGAACTGGGTGAGGACCCCGAACTTCCCGGCCCGCAGGCGCTCGCGCGAGAAGGTGACGGCGGTCTTGTCCGAGGCGAAGACCTCGGATGCGGCGGGCGGCGACGCGGTGAAGAGGGGCTGGTCGGGTTTCTGCAGCGAGGTGAGCACGTTGCCCAGCTGGATGGGCCCGGCGGGCGGCGGCGGGTAGTCCCACGTGGGCGCGAAGAAGAAGTAGGGGGTTTGGTTGGCCATCACTTTCGTTTTGGATTAGCTTTGGGGGGTTTTCCTTTGTCTCTGTTTGTTTCGAATTTTCTGATGTGAGTTGGGTAAGTGAGCATATCTTGTTGGAGCGGTCGGTGCGGTGCGACTTGCGGCTGACGGTCGAAAAGGCGGGGTTCGGGGCGCTGGTCTTACCTGGTCTTTACTAGTGATGCAGGCACCTGACAGTCTGTCCAGCCTTGATGTATGCGCTCCTGGGGAAGCTGTTCTCGGTACTTTCTAAATTCTTTGTAAATTTAGAACAGTCGATGATAAGATAGGTTTTTAACTGTTGCAAGAATTCTATCTACTGCCATGTAAATAGCTGCCACCAACTCGGCCACGAGTGCTAAGCCTTACAAATTGCCCTGCGGGCAGATCACGTGCGCGCATCATTAGGATCAATAGGTCCACAGTTAGGGCTGATTCATGGGATGAATCAAGACTACGGGTAATGTTGACCGAACGGCTTTTGTTTTGAATGAATCCTATTGTTCCTTCTCTACACCAGGCAGCTCTCACCACTTCAGCCGCGCCGTGTAGATAGTTCCTCCCAGATAACCTAGAATCTACCATCTTTTACACTCTCCGTCAGACCATTGCCTCAAAGACTATCTACTATTCTCTTCCAAGATCTCTAAACTACAATATAAACTAACAAAGTCAAGTGTCACAACGAACGATAGCTCGACATTCAGGCCAATTCAAAGGGATCGGGGCGTTTACACCAGTCCCACTGCCCCCATCTCAGCCGCCAATTGTATCTTTTCTGTCTGAGGTCGACCGTAAATTGCCCTTCTTCGTGCCCCAATTGTTGAAACTCCGCGCTCTCACTGAGTTGCTTCAGCCTCGAAAAACAATAGGTCACCAGCAGATTCTGCAAACAAGATCGCTCATCGTCACGAGTGAGTGTAAACAGGTACGAAACGCGCACCACTTTAATCAGATTGTGCACGTGATCCTCGAACAGCTCCAAGTCTTCGAGGAGCGTCGCCAGCTTTCCTAAGACTAGATCCCGAAGGGGAGCGATGTCGTATTGCTCCGCCAAGACGTATAGTCTGACGTGGCCGAGAAGGTCGGGCGTCCGTATTTTCCGGCGGTTGGGGGGTATCTTGCTAGGAGCATAGGCTTCCTTTCTGGCTTCGTAGGCTTGGCTCTGCTTGGCCGTGAGGGAGGAGTGCAGATGTTTGAAGGCATCGCGAGTACTAGACGGCTGGAAAATCCAAGGTAAATCCCGCGCGACCGCTTCTGAGCCAGTGTCTGGCTGTGAGACTGATCTGTCTAAAGTGTTGGAGCGTGCTGGAGGTCTCCGTGATTGACCGGAGGTTTTGTTTTCAACGTTTGACAGGCGCGGGACGGAAGAGCTTGCTTGAGGCCTCCAGGATTTGCTGTAGATTCTTTTCGTATCACTCGACAGGACCGGGATGAAAGGGCTTGCATGAGCATCCAACGGAGACTGATCGGTGGTATCTGATGGCTGAGGAACCCTGTAGAAACTCGGTGGGGGCGTGTAGTCGCCGACGTACGCGTACTCGCACAGCCGGATGAATGTGCCCTCATTGACATCCGGCCAGTCGAGCTCGCTGACCCCTCTGACCACCTGCGCGCTTAGGAGGTCGCCAAGCTCGGAGGAGAGGCTTGCTAGGACTTTATAGTGAACGGTGATCCTCGTCTCTTCTGCACCGACAACGAATGTAAACAAACGAGATGAGATGATTCTGTTTGCAAAGTGGAGTCAGCATTCGGCCACGAGGGACCCTCACAACAGGGCTCAGGGTCTCACTCAGCGAATTTTGTATCCATGGACGCAAGTGACCGTGGGAAGGATTCTGCAATTCAAAGGAGAGAGGGGTTGGAAGGGAAGAAAAGCGTAGCGTATCGCCGTTCTGAATAGTTGGGTTCTATGTACTGAATGCCGGTGATCAAGATAGTCACGCTGCCAGGTGGCGGACGGGGCAAATCAGGTAGCCAAGGAGCGGAATCAGAGGTAAATGAAGTAATGATATCGGTGTCTATAATGATACGACAATCGTAGGAAGAATAGTATCCATATTCCGATACAATGATCCTAAAGGTAACTGCAAGAGATGAAGGATGAGGTATAGGATCACTGTTGCGAGTAAAATGGTTCAAAATGATTGTTGCTCTGAGATTGCCGCAGGTGAAGCATGGGTTTTTTTTTGACTACAAGAGGAGTGCGCCTGCCTCAGCTATGTAAGCTCTCAGAAATGTTGTGATGGGAAACTGTGTAAGCAGGCGGCAGAATGAAGAAAGCACGATGTGGACCACCTGGGTTGTCAAACAGCCTGCCACACCTGGCGGCTTTGTGAGGATTTGTTTTCGGATCTAGCAAGTTGGTAGAATGGGGTTTATGCGAGCGAGCGAGGGCAGTTCATACAAGCAAGAAACTGCGCGACGATTCCTGCTTGTAAGGTGGCTCATGAAAGTGAGGTGGTGCATGAGAACAAGTTGACTTACGTTAACAAGGTGGTTCAAGTAAATAGAAAGCCCTCGCAGTTAAAGAAGTATTACATAACAGCAGGAATTATAGATACCAATCACAAGGATCATAGATGACTTCAAATTCAACAAGCCTTGAGCACTGAGAGCCGAGAGCCAACTACGGTGTATAGGAGTCCTGGATATCCACTAGGTAATGAGCGCAGCCACTCACTTGTCGCTTGGTAGCCAGTCTCTCATGGGGCTCGGCAATTAACGTCATACTTCGCAATCATGGAATGATCTTGTAAAAGCTGGTATAAATCAACATAAATCTGCAAAGAGCGCAATGGTCAATCCAAAAACTTTCATCGAATTATAGCAAGAGTTTCAAAACGGCAAAAAGAAAAAAGAATTATGTAGTCCCAACTGGATGATATTCTGAGAGGGGTAGGGATATGCTCAAACTGGTAAAGCAAAAAAGACCTAGAAACCCTATACTTCACAAAAAAGCGACCTCAGGTCACAATCGCCGTCTTTGTCAAGCTTCAATCCCCAAACCAAGTAAAGGTATCAAGGGTAAGGAGGCAAGGCTCGAATGCCCATAATCTCGTCGTGAAGATGCACCGTTAAATGGGCGATGGCACTGGGCCCCAACCACGTGGAACAGAGAGGGCACTTCTCATCCACCAGATCCCTCCAGTCATGTTTGACCATATGGGCCTCCCACGCCGCGACCGTCGGAAACGCCGCGTTCACGCCGCATTGCTCATGCAGGCAGATGTACGGGTGGAAATCGTAAAGCACATGGTCCCGCCAAGGCGCCGGGGCACAGATCGCCGCGGGGATGAAGTCGCCGCAATACGGGCTCTGCACCTCCTCCGCCCCGGGGCTTAGCGCCGGCGGGGGCGGGAAGTTCCCGCCCGGCGAGCTGTGGTCGTCCGTCTGCGGCCGGGGGGTGCCACCCGGCGCCTCGCGCCGCTGCCATTGCAGAAACCGCCAGCGCACGAGCTTCGCGTCCGCCAGCCGCTCGTGCAGCGCGTGGCTCGCGTCCGGGTACCAGGTGCGGAGGCTGCGCAGTGCCTGCTGCCGGTAGTCGGCGCTGCGGTCGTCGCCAATCTCATCAGGAACATCGTAGTCTGGACTCGTGAGGATGAACGGCGCGCTTTCGTACGTCCGGCCCCGTTGTCCGCCGCGGAGGGTCAGCAACATGAACTGGATCCAGTGCTTGGCTTCTGCTTGCGCTTCTTCGAAGGCGAGCGCCGCTGCGTCGCACCAGATGCCGTTGTCCAGGGGACTGGCCTGCGAGAGGGCGACCTCCACGTTGGCGAGCGCGTAGCCGACGCTGAGCCGCGCCATGGGCAGGGTCCGTAGCTTGCTGGCGCACGATGATTTATAGTCGGTCAGGAATTGGCCCTCGAGTTCCAACCATCGCAGTGGGTCTCGGGGTCCCGACCTGGACCGCGGGATCGCCTTGTGGAGTTTGCTGCATCGCAGGACTTGCGCTATGAGTTGAGTGTTCCTGGGAATGGCCACTGTTATGGTACGGGGGGCTGCTTCTGCCGACATTGATGAGTTCTTGGTGGTTTGGGAACCTATGATTGGAGATGATAAGCATTTATAAGGATGTACAAGCCGGCATATATACCTTATGCTGGCGGTGCATGGGCCAACGTCTTAAAGACGGTGTACAATGGAACATCGAGTAGGGGGGTTCTTATAATGAGAAGAATGACTGGGTTGCGCATAGTGCGTTCAAACAATGAATCTGAAGATCTGGTTAACGGAGATTTGCTGGTATGTGGATGAAGTTTACCAGCACCAAATGCGACATCAAAGGAAGTCACAGACAAAAGTAAGAGCCATGAAGCATCCGCCCCCTGCGATAGATAGGGCTAAGCATGAACTCTGGGACTATGGCACTAACGCAATATGTAGAGCTCATCACTTGCACTTCAGCCCCGCCACGTTTATCTCAGAATAAACCAGGTAGACCCGAATGATGTTTTGTCGTCATTTCATTAAATCTTTCATTCTTTCTCCTCTCTGAGGGAAAGTGAGAGAAATGTCGCCTTCTTTTATTTTATTTCTTCCCCTCCATGACCTATTTGTAGCATGGAACGGGGTATACATGCATTGAAACCAGATCTATCGACCACACACCAAAAGAAGGGAGCATCTTCAGCAATTTAATGCTGAAGCGGCGTATACATCCTAGATCAATCCATTCACGTCCAGAAATATACAATATTTCTTCTATCTGCCTGTGCCCAAGAATATCATTAGAAGTACAGTTTGACAACACACCAAGCGAGCAAGCCTCTACCCGGATCAGTCCTTCAAGGAACCTAGGTAAGTTACCACTCCCGTGTTCGCCAGGAAGGAATTAGCTCTACCATTCTATCTCGGATACTCGCTTGTCTGAAACAGCTCCATCCAGTGTGAAATTGCTGCCGACCGGTAGGTATCTGGCTCCACCCGACAGAGCTCGGTGGCATTGACATCGAATACTAATGCCTCGGGCTCGGCCAGGCTGTATTTGGGCCAAGTCTTGGTTCCGTTAACTAGAAAGGATTTCCGTCAGTGTCTGTGGCCCATCGCAATTATCACATGTAAATCAACATGGCAGCAACTCACTAGAATTATGGTTCGGATCCAAGGTGCTGATAAAGCTGATCCACATGCTCGTCATCAGGTAGCTCAGCGGCTCGAATGTTTTCTTCTGGTCGGCCTGATCGGTGGGGCTGAGCGACTCGGACAGGGTCACATTGTGGAAGAGGAAGGCGATGTCGTCCTGCTCCTGTGCACCGTACTGCCACCATTTGGCGTGGAAGAGAACGTCATAAACATAGGTATAAACGTCGACGCCGTGTTTGGCCCACTAATACCGAGTACGGGATGTTAGTTTAGAGCCAGCGGGGAGCGGAAATAGTTGGACTTAACTGCTTGACTGGCCATGCGACGACCTGCCTGCATTATCTTGTCTCCGTTGTACGCGCTCGATCGCTTCCACTGCCAGCCCAGACCCGTTTCGTTTCCGGGTCGGCCGTCCAGCGTTGACGGGATGCCCTGGGCCGGGTCGTCTGGATAGAGCTGCGCGATCTTGCTGGCTGCGGTAGTGCTTAGCCCATCATACTCGACCATGGCACGGAACTCGGCAGTGGTGTTAATCCCCTCGACACCATAATAGCTCCAGGTGCCCTCGTCTTGTGTGGTGCCGAGCAGCAGGGGCACCTTGACGAAGTCGCCGGCCTCGAGTGCGGAGGACCCCAACTTTGGGAGAAAATCGCCGTCCACGACGGGATTAGGCCGGTTGAACGTGGTGAGGTCGCTGCTGAAAACGTCGGAGAGGGTGGCGGCCGGAACGCGGCGTAGACAATCCAGTGTGCTGCCCGAGACGGCATCTGTGCAGTTCGTAGCATTTAGAAAGGCCTCATACAGCGGCTGCCAGTCCGTGGCCGAGGCGGAGGGCCACATCAGCATGGGACTGCCACTCTGGGCGATCGCAGCGCGGAAGAGCCCATCGTCGCGGCCCCCGTACGCTAGCAGCTGCAAGCCGACGCTGAAGGCGCCTGCCTCCTGACCCCAGATGGTAATTTTGGTTGGGTCGCCACCAAAGGCCGCGATGTTCTCCTGCACCCACTGCAGCGCCAACCGCTGGTCACGCAAGCCCAGGTTGGTCGCCCCCTCGCGCGCCACCTCCTCCCCGGAGAGGAATCCCCAGTAGCTGAGTCGGTAGTTCAGCGTCACCCCGACAAACTCCTGCCCGTTATGCACCCCCACCTGCAGCAACGACGTCATGTTGTAGCGCGGGTCGCTGCCCGCCCCGTGCTTGAAGAGCCCCCCGTGGATGTACACCACCACCGGGAGTAAGCCCTTAGGCGAGGACACGTTGGATGCCCGTACTACATTCAACGTCAGGCAATCCTCCGACACGTGCTCGCCATTGGCCATCTGCGTCGGCCCATACCCGTAGCACATGGGACCCATCTCCGTCGCGTTGCGCTCGCCCGTCCAGGAGGTGTTGAGAGAGTGCGGTGGGCGGAATCGCAGCTCGTCCACAGGGGGCTGCGCGTACGGGATACCGAAGAAGTAGTCCTGATGCCATTTGGACTGATGGATGCCATAGTAGGTTCCGTTCCGCGTTTCGGCGGTAGGGTGCTGTACAGAAGAGGAGGAGGAGGATGAAGGGTCTTGTCTGCGGCCGACATTGAATGCCTCAGCCGTGATGGCCAAAGCCGCCAACCCGAAGGTGTAAAGTCCACGCATATTTGAGAAAGACCTGGAGATTGCGCTGTGCAGGTGTTTCCCCGTCCAGGCAGGGAATGCCTATATATACCCACGGCAGTTAGGGCGCTGTCGTTGGCTACCGCTTAGGCACCATTAGATACAATCTCCGGCTCCGGCTAAGCTTGCGGCAGATCGTGCGCTGCATGCCACCAAGTCAACATTGGCTTGCATGATCTTGTCAATATCGATGTCCCAGTATGTAGCCAAGGCTACAAGGACTGTGGTGGTTGGCGTCCCGTTGCTGCATGGAGACACTACTCCGACGGGATTCGAGTTTTCCGGCCCTAAAGCTCTTCCTGCAGGCTGGCGGTGATTCTAACGGGTCGACGGAGGTAAGTCTATGATTCAACTCTCCGACCTCCGTCTTGGCACGAGGCCAAAGCCACATCTCGATCGGATTTCTAGTCGCAATGCTGGGGTTTAATCCTTTCAATCGCGTCAATTGCGTGGCTGCCAAGCCGCTTGCCCCACACATTCTCCACATACCGCGCAAAGACCGCAGATCGCTTAGAGGTGGAAACCCTGGAGAAGCAGCTTCGGACTATACGGGGTCGAGACTTCCATCAGTGAGACTTCCTCTTGCAAAATATACGTCACGGTCGATCCATCCAGACGCTACCCAGCCTTTGCAGCGTTCCAGATTTTACCACAAAGCACACATCTCTAGGCAACTGCGTAAAATCCACGAGTATGAGGCAAGCGGATCGGTCAAGTGTTCTGTGCCTGGTTGTGCGGCCCAGTCGGGCATTATCCTGTTTTCACAGGAGAAAATGAAGATGACCTGTACCAAGACTTCAGGCCGCGTGTGCATCTTTACTGAAGATGATGGTCATGACCGGACAGTCGGCAACAGTGAGCGGCACTTGCACGGTATGAAGACTTGATTCTGCAGGACCGGAATGATAAGTAGAGCCTCTTACGCTCGCCTTTGATCGGACCTGGATCGTTTTTATCTATCTCCCCTGACGCTATCCTTTGCACCCTAAGCCAACAATGGCACTCTCTTTGGCCAAATGTGCCCTTTGGGGCATAGCCACCAGCCTAGTATTGGTCGAGGCGTCCCCCGTTCTGGCGGGGAGGAAGACTCTCATACATAAGCCAGCTGTTGCCAACACCTGCGAGAAGATCAATTATCGCAAATCGGTATGCAATTCTCTTCCCTGTTACTTCCATACCAACCAGACCAATGCTAACATGACCACATAGTGGAACGCCCTCACCGATGCAGAGAAACACGAATACATCCAAGCCGAGCTGTGTCTGATGAGCCACCCCCCGGTGACCGGACTCGTCGAGAATTCAACCAACGTTTGGGATGAGTTTGCCAACATACACATTACCCAGGGAAACGACATCCGTAAGATAATCTCTCTAATGCCTACTGTATTCCTCTTCTTATGGCTGATCCTCCTCCCCTCTCTTTTCCCTCCAGACTACGTCGGCCAATTCCTCCCCTGGCACCGCTACTACGTGCGAACCCACGAGCTGGCCCTGCAGCAACTGTGCAACTACACAGGGGCGCATCCGTACTGGGACGAGCTGACGGACCTGAGCCGCGGCAACATCAGCGCCTCGCCCATCTTTGACCCGCACACCGGCTTCGGCGGCAACGGGACGGGTACAAATAGCTGTGTCGCCGACGGACCTTTCAAAAATCTCACCCTGCATATCAGCAACCATCACCAGCGCGGCGACGAGTTCTGTCTCTCGCGGGCGTTGAGCCAGAGCAGCTTCTCCACCGAGAAGGCCGCCAACGTAGAGACCTGCTTCGGGTATGCCAACTATACTGATGCATGGTGCGTGCATCCCTCGTTTTCACATCCCCAATACCTTCTCCCTCTCCCTTTTGAGCAGATTACTGAACGTTCAATGATGCAGGCAATGCTACAACGGCAACCCGCACGGCGGCGGCCACGGCGGCGTCGGCGGACTGATGCTCGACCCGATCGACAGCTGCAACGACCCTCTGTTCTTCATGCACCACGCCTACCTCGACAAGCTGTGGTGGGAGTGGCAGCTGGCCGACTACCCGCACCGGCTGGTTGACATGGGCGGCAACAACACCGCCCCGCAGTATATCCTCGACCAGGCTGGACTGTCGCAGCCGGGCGCGGACATCTTGAACTACGATGGCGACCCGGGCACAACCACAACGCTGAACCACACGCTGTGGATGAACTGGATCACGGCCAACACCACCATCGGGGCGGTCATGCAGCTGAATGGGTCGGTCATGTGTGCGGAGTATGTCATCGATGAGCGAGCGACGATTTACAATACCAGCGTGCATACGGAGGGGAATTATGCTTCTGAGTTTTAGGAGGGGGTCATCCTCCCACCCGGGAGGATCAGTCCCCTTTCCCGACTTCAGGGCCGCCGACGTTTGAGGTAACCTCGAGGTTTCGAAACTACCGTAATATTGCTCTATAGACCCCTGTGTGTCCTCTCTCGCTCTCGAGGGGATGAGGTTCTGCTTGATGCCGAGCTTTAAATTTACAGGGCTGATGATGGTCTTAGTTTTCTCTCTGGTGGTGATCCTGCGTATGTAATATTCGTACATATGTTTCTGAGATAGTCAAGGTGGCTGGTACCTAGACTTTAACTCGTAACTACTTCTGTAATGAAAGCGTCGGTTGAACTGAATGAGCTCGATGGATGGACGGTCAAAATTGTTAAGGATTGACAGGACGTGGTGTTGAAAGTAATGAAAAAGGTCTGTTCTATGAGAGGGATTATAACTCGACAAAGATTGCTGAAGATGGTGGATTTCCGGCTATCTGGGGGGAAGTACTAGGATCCACAAAGTACGGAAAAATATAGTGGCCACTCTGCAGAAACAAATCTGCCGGCAAAATGATAAGAGTGAAAGGATTTGGACCTCTATATAACTCCCGACAACGATACTGAAAAGTATAATATTCGCTAATGAAGAACCTTAAAAGATCCCGGATATCCTAATGTAGAGGGCATATATAGTCACGTGACCAAAAAGACTGTGAGGGGATGAAATACAGGGCTTAAAAAGGTATACACTGCGGAGTGGCCACTATATCCTTCCGTACAGATCGCGCGGCAGACGTAGTGAGAGCTTGCCAGCAATCAGAGGCCTGAGACCCCGAACTAATGCTATTGACTACGGTATCACCAAAAGCCGAACAAACTCTTCCATTGACTAGAGCAATGACGGATACAGGGACTCCAAGCAAAGAACACATTGTATGTGTATTCAAAACACCAAACAGTGGATGGCGGCAACTCTCCAAAGCACCGAGCCTCACCAGAATGTTGAGGGCTTCACCCCACAGGGGTCGCCAATGGAATCCGAAGGAGACGAGACCAAGTCCCCATCAAAGTCGGACCAAGATGCAGCGTCCGAGCCCTCGCTCTTCACGCTGTCACTGTCAGACAGCACGAAGCCGAAAAGTTCGTCGCGCAGTCTCCTCTCTCGACGCGCCCACTCCCCCAAGAGAACCGGGTTCTCCAGCCCCCAGACCAGAACATCTCTGGTCGCCAACGCGTCCTCGACGGCACTGTGCCCCTGACTACTGCCCTGGATGTGTCGCCCCAGCATGTCCATCGCCAGGGTCTTCAGCCCCCACAGCCGCGGGAACCGCCTCATCTCTCCCCACTGCGTCGAGAACACGGCCTCGGCCGTGACGATCCCCGTGTCGACCACACGCGGATGGATGATCCCCAAGGCGTTGAGATCGTTGTGTAGCGCATGCCCGATCAGCACCGTGTCGCGGTCGACGAACTCCCACAGCGCCTGGCGGGCCGTCTCCCACGACCCGAACGCCTGCCCGTGCTTGATGGCCGCGTTCATCTTCCCTGGCGTGATGCCCGTGACCCGGGTGTTCCAGTACGTCACCCGCCCCGCGGGCCGCACGTAGCGGTCGATGAGCACCTCCCCAGTCAGGAAGTCCACCGCCGCCAGGTACGCCAGCGCGTTGTAGCTTCGACCCCGTCCGTAGGGGTCGTCCGTCATCATCATCTCGCAGTCGATGACCACGGCCTTTCTTGCTCGTGGTCTGGTGTGTGTGGGCGTGTGTTGGAAGAGTGACTTGGGGATTGCTTTGTTCCACGGCTGCTGCCATGTTGCCTCGGCTGTCGAGAGGTTGTACCCCTGTGTGCTGAGGCAGGTGGCTCAGTGGCAGCGTGGAAGGAGGCGTGCCGAGAGGAGGTCCTGCTTTGTCAGGGCTGATGATGTAGTGGTGGTGGTGGCTGTGGTTCTTGATGATGGTGGTGATGATGTAGTGGTGGTGGTGGTGGTGGTGGTAGTGATACTGTCACTCTTACGTAGATTGACTGGCTCCACAGCCAGGCTGGAAGACTGCACTGGCTTCTCCAGAGGGAGAAGTGACACCTCGCCCATGTCTGTGAGGTAGGCGACTCGAGGATGCTGCTGGTTCTTTGCATCCGCACAGCTCGGCTCAGAAGGCTGCGCGCTGGAAGTCGAAGCGAGAGGCTTTGCTGTCGTGGCTCCATGAGGCTGAGAAGGGCAAGGACTTGATCCCTTTGCTGTTGATGTCGAGCCATGGGCGGCTCGTTGGTGCTGAGATACTGCATCCGCAGTAACGAAGGTCTTCAGACAGCTCGTACAGGCGAGTCTGTGCCACATGGGGATTTGGTGCTTTCGGAGAAGCTCCACGCTCTTATAGAGCTGCTGGCAGATAGGACACGTACGGTCTACTGCTGCGGTGATGTTTATCGGGCCCGGTTGTCTCGGGCTAGAAGTGATTTGAGGCATGATCGTTGTGGTGGTGGTGCTGAGTGTGGAGATAAAGATAGGAGGTTAAGTTCTGAGTAGTTGTAGTTGTTGTTGCGGATGCAAAAAAGAGGAAGAGAGTTGATGGCTGACTTCGGGGGTGGACGATGGTTTTGCCTCTCTGCATGGTTCTCCTTGCGAGCGTTGACTCATGGTGTCTCGTCAGTATAGCATCATGCGACGCTGGCTCGTCGAGCAAAAGACGGTTAGATTACCGCATTTCCACGCTCCATGTTTAGCAGACTTTTCGACAGCCAGCAATCACAGGAGCATCATTACGAGAGCTCCAGTGTAGAGTTGAACTTTAATCAGATTCTTCAAAACGTCAAGCGAGGGAAACTTCAGAGAACTGATGTAGTACTGCCAAAGCGCCGACTCGGTCAACGAGACGGACTCATCCATTCTCAGAGCAACACTACAAGGATTGGAAGAATCCAAAGCTACACAAGTCACAATGCGAGAGAGGCCAGATGCTTCAATTTGCTGTGATCCGACGTGAACTTTGAGATAGTACTTTTGTTCTACCTCCTACATCGTCTTTGAGATACAAAATCGTGTACTCTCGGGGAAGAAAGGACGATATAATGGGAGTTTACAGAATCTCCCACACTAGTGGATGGTGATTCAGATTCAACAATTGAATTATTCTCAAACTTAATCTAGATGAACTACCTAGTGGCTACATCGACCTTGCCTGCTTCGATTTTCCGAGCCACACGCGATTCATGTCATGCTTACTACGTCAATTGGACTTTTCGCTCAAAGGATCATGCTGAAGTATCTTTTCCTCGCCCACTATGTGGTGACTTAGAAATTCCGTTGGCCAGATATCAGTCCACTTCGGGTGTTGTTGTAGTCAATAGTACGTATTGATGTAGCATTACAAGTTGTCAGATCGAAGGACCCACTGGATCCGTCTAGGAACCAATTGGAAATAGTTTCCGAGATGCGGTAATTTGATCGTCGATAACCACGCCCGCACGCTCAATCTTTCAATACCGGGCCGTTCTCGGAACAAACTACCTTAAAACGTACCTTAAAAGTCAAGCGGGCCACGATCTGGACCCTGAGCCGAGTTAGGGCTCGATGGGCCCTCTTTTTTTGGCCTAGCGCCGACAGGCACCGGAACAACAAATCAAGACAAAAAAAGTTAACAGCGACCGACGAAGATGGTTTTGTAGCCCCTGACTAAATACTACCTTCATATTCATGAGTAGAGTTCACGCGGATGTGGGTCCTGTCCCAGTGTTATCTGTGGTCAATCTGGAATGATCGCTGCAGCTAGAGTTGTTGCCTGCTCGGTAGACGGGAACTAAATCAGCACCGTCAGACAGCGAGTGCTAGCATCGGTTGGGAGGTGTCACATGTCGATGCCAATGTAGTGTACTCGTGGGAATGAGACCTGTCAGATTCGGGAACAAGCGGTGAACAAATGATATTGCTTTGGTTCTGACTAAAGTAAAGCGCGGCGCGGCATCCTGCAATCCGTCAGGAGAATCGCACGTGATGATAGGGATAAGAGCTCAAATTTGCTCTCCGTCAACAAGTGACAAAATCTTCTCCTCTTGCTGACACTTCCCGCAAGCGGAACATCAGATCTCGAAAGGCAGCTGTCAACCCCGATTAACTCAATTTCATAACCGTTCTTGGATAAGAGACTGGCGTTTACACGCCCCTCCTTATTGCTTAGTCCCTTACCAGGCGCGCATCATACGCTCGTTGCATAGGACAGAGCAGCTGCCACACAGATTAAGTACGCCATGACGATTTCCAACGCGTCAACCGACACTCTCGAATTTCCTCCAGACCTCCCGGTTGCGAAGCTGCAGACTATCGATTTGGGGAGCCTGCAAGCTGGTGACCAGGATGCAGCTCAGTGTCTACTCGAGGCTAGTCGAAAGGATGGTGTCTTCTACTTGAATTTAGCATCTGCGCAGAAGGAAATTGTTCCGGTCCTGGATTCTATCTACGAGCTTTCAGAGGGACTCTTTGACCTGCCGCTCGATGAGAAATGTCTGTATGATGTGGATCGGTTGGGTAAAATGAAATGCAATGGGTACGTTATGCTTCCTTATATTTGAATTCCTGCTGCAAACATGGCTAACACGAGCTGATCAGGTACAAACCCGTGGGCCGTAATTTTGGTGGGTTAGAAGGAAAGCGCGATGGATTCGAGACCTACGTGGTAATATCCAAAATATCCTCTCATCTATGAAAATGTCCAAGATCCATTTGATCATATCTAACAAACCCAAAAGATTCCCAAGAACGGGATCCTGAGCCTAGACAATCAGCAGGACTTTCCCCGCCCCCACCTAATCGACCAATACATGAACACCCTGCAACAATTTACCAACTTCGTCAACACAACCTCCCAGACCATCTTCGACCAACTCTCCCACTCCCTACAGCTTCCCGACTCCGGAAACCTGAAGCGATTCCACCGCCCGTCCGCCCCATCGCCAGACATCATCCGTCTCCTCAAGTACCAGCCCCAGCCTGCCGAGCAGTGCGGAGTCCCGCACGCCGCCCACACCGACATGGGCACGCTGACATTCCTCTTCACCCGTCAGCCCGGTCTGCAGATCCAGAATCCAGGTGAGGAGTTTTGGAGATGGGTGCTGCCGCGCGAGGGCCACGCCATCGTCAACCTGGGTGACGGGCTCTCCCTGCTCACGAACGGCTACTTGCAGTCCTGCGTCCACCGCGTGGGGCCCCTTCCAGGTCGAGCTATGCCGACCCGCTATTCGTTCGCGTACATGGTGCGCCCGGAAAATGAGACGGTGATGGCCGCGCCGCAGGCGGGCTGCATTCCTGCTCGTGACCTCGATGCGACGGTGCTGACGGCGCAGGAGTGGTTGGAGAAGAAGTACTCTGTGCTGCGGTTGGATGCGCGGCCGGATGATCTGGTGTGGATGATGACGGGGCAGCAAGGGCTGTAGAGGTTTCACTGCGATTGGAGGAGATATGATGTACTAATAGTAAGCTCTGAACAAGATGGTGAGGTGTGACTGATGTGTATTCTTGGTTGTAAGGGCATTTGCTTCTGGAATCATCAGACCAGTCTTCAAAACGATGGCGAGGATTTGGAGATTGGTGGGTAACTAGCTACTTTCTTCCTGATAACAGCGGAACCTTGCATGCATTTGGCGTGATAGTTTTTGAATCTTTCAAGGTGTATTTTCCGCTAACGAGGTTCTAATCTTTGCGCATCAGAGAGGCAACATGGAGAGGAATGGTTGTAGTTCAAGGTTAATCCCGCATCGCACGTTTTGTAATCACCATGGTCATTTGAGGCTATACCTTCCCGAAGTGAGGGCAAAGAATCAAGTACAAGCACATAGTAATCATGAAGATGGCAGCCTAGAAACATTTGACAATTTTGAACAATGCGAGGTAAACAGCATGGCCTCTCTCGCTCTGTGTGTGGATGTATATGTTTGTTCTCAGTTGATATCGTGGCGCTCTAGTACTGACCATGGTACATTATTCGCTGCGCGCATATACGTCCATACTATCCATTGTCAACGTAATCCGCATCAGACCTATCAGGTCACTGGGCCTCGCCGCTCAACTTCAGTTTGTCAATCATTCAAGAATCCACGTGCCCGGAGATTGTGAGCAGTTCTAATGATGGTTGTGATGATGACCAAAGTGCCCGTGCCGATGCCGCTTGAAATGATCTGCGGATGCCTGATTTGCCTGTGACGATTCGCATTGAATAAGTCAAGGGATCATGCACGAGGATAGAGTACGGGAAGGACTTACATTCGACGCCGGAACAGAAGAATGAGAAACAGAGACGACTCCACGAGAGGCCGACGGCCCAGGTACCAGCTTGGATGAAGGCGAAACAGTTGGCGTATTAGCATGCTCCTCACCACACAGTCCCAAGATGAAGCCCGCATTCTGCGCCTGCGCAACCGGGTCCGAGCCGTACAATTGGCATTCCTTGCCATTGACGGTGAAGAGCCATGCCTGACAGGTGCTCAGGCTCTCGCACTCAATGGCACACTCCGATGGTGACGGATGGGTGTATCCGAAGGCCAGAGGGGCTTTGCTGAAAAAGCCAATCTTCCCATGTTGAGCACTGCTGAGACAGGACGCGGATACCGCGAGGGAGAAGATAGTCCATGCGAGGACAAAAGAACGAAGGGGTAGCATGGTTCAGACAGGTCTGAGAAGTTTTTCCGCCAGAGTTGCGGGAGAGGATGGAAACTGGAGGAATTCCAAACAGCCTTTGCTGGTAGTCCAGCTATTAAAATCCAGGGGTCCGAAAATTCGGATGCCTGGGCGAGTGTGGGGTGTGGTGGCACGATCTTTTCGCGGTAATCTCCGAATCTTTTTCTTTACTGACTCGCCAAGCTCCGGTGGAATTGATTCATGTTATCTCCTACGGACGTCCGGGAGGCGAATAGGATCCACTTGTCGCTTACAAAACTATTGATTTAGGGGTCCGACGCTAGTGCTGCGCGCGACAAGCTATGGCTAAGCTACGGCCAAGCTAAACACCCGCTAGATCCCCGCTAAAGGATGGCAGCTGCGCCAGACCCTGACTGGAGACCCTGATGACAAATTCACTCCCGTGTATTGACATTACCACTTGTTTTTTTCGGTCACCTGACACCATGCCTCTTCCCCCACCCGGGCAACAGACACCCGTCGCCGGGCGCCCTTTCGATATATTGCTGGAACCGCAACGCAACTCTCACCATGGCTTCGCGTCGCGCTCTGCTGCCATTTTACTCCCGCTCTCGTCCTCAACTCCCCATCCGTATCTCGTACATACGAAATTCATTCTCTTTTACTCGTCTACACTCGCAGCAATTTCCAAAAATGAACAACAGCGGCGATGGCCCTCTCCAAGTTCCTGGATTCAATGATGTTCCTCTTTACTATGAGCTACCCAGAGGCTTTCGCTTCGCGCATGGGATCGCAGACTGGAGACAGAGCCCACAGTTGACCCTGCGGGAGGTTTGTATGCTACAGTTCATGTCCTACGTCACGGAGCAGCCAGACTGGGAAAACAAGTGTGACGATCCCGACACCCTCGAGATCTGGCGTGAAAAGGCCGATAGTGCTTTTGACCTGGATCAGCCATGCTGGGACTGGTGCCACAAAGAGCTGCGAGACAAAGCAGCTGACTTCAAGCGCAAGGGTCACGTGGCCGTTTTTGATGCAGACTCTCGAGTCATCAAGGCGGAAGTCGACGCTAGTCTTCTCGCCGATCTTCGGACAGCCATGGAACCACTTTTCTCATCGACAGAAGAGCCCAACTCGGAAGACAAAAAGGCGCCCGTGGAAGCTGGTGTTCAAGGCCCCATCCGGCATGTGGTTGATCCATCTATGTATCCTCTTGTGTATGGACGGACCAAAGTTCTCATCAATGGAGGCAAGGTCAATCTCGACAGCTTTGAGTCATGCGATAACTCTCGATGCCAGACTGCTCCGATTCCTGACAAGTTGACCAAACATCCGTATGAGCTAAACCACGAGGAGAGAGATCCAGACGATGGTCGAGTGACAAACAAGCCTAAATACTGGTCAAACAAATTCCAGTGGCTTCCGTGCGAAGTCAACCTCACGAATCGAGGAGAAACCAAGATCACCTCCTACATCAATGGTGTGAATCCAAGGGAGAAAGAAACTTACCGCGCACTTGAGAAACTAATCGCCACCGCCATACAGCCGTGGAATGAGATGCTTATCCTTGGAAACCAAGGTCGAACTCCGATTCGTATTAGAACTTATGACTTCCAAACCGAAAACGAGGCGTTGCCGCAGGCGTACAACCTTCTCTGGGGTACAACTGTGGGGTTGAAAGTGAGATTCTCCGAAGAGCAGTGGCCTGAAATCCGATCGCAAGTCAGAGACTACTTGAATCTCCCCGAATATGAACAACGATACCAGGTCGATCCGAGTGAATCCAATGTCAAGGACCTCCTCGTCAGCATGAACCCGTCGCAGTGGAGCTCTCCCGCAGCACTAGAAGAACTAATCATCGAAAAGCATCGTCGACGATACGTCGTCAAAGGCGTAGAACCTGGTATCTCCTTCACGTACAACGAATGGAAGGCCGGGCAAAACACCGGTCGTGCAATCCTACCCAAAGTCAACAATTCTTTGCGCAGCAAGAACCCCACACCACCGCCTCCTGACCCAGACCACCAATTCTACACCGTTTCTCTTCGGAACCAATTTCAGGACCTACAGGTGATTATCAGGGTGTCTGGCATTGATCTGACCCCAGAAAGGCCCCTGTATACTGGGGAACCCCATTTCGGGGTGGCCGGTATTCTCAATGAGCATATTGTTGCCACAGCCGTTTGCTATTTGGACGTGGATAATATCAAAGATCCGAAAGTGTCATATCAACAAGAGACGCTTTTGAGTACCCTGGACTTTAATGTTGAAAAGTACCTAATTATGAATCGAGTTTTCGACATTCCAGAGGAGGAAGACGATGAACTACCACCAGCACTGCAGAACCTGGGCTCTATAACTGTTTCCCAAGCCGGGCAGCTCCTCTCTTGGCCGAACACGCTGCGATCCCGAGCAGAGTCTTTCACTCTTCGCGACCCGTCTCAACCCGGCCGCCTTCGATTTGTAACCCTATGGCTGGTAGATCCCCATTACCGAATCTGCTCAACCCAGAATGTCCCACCCCAGGATGAAAGCTGGGTTGGCAGAGCCATGGTTCCTTCACAGGAGCATACGCAGACTCGGGGATCAATGACGCTCGCGGAAGCGATTTATACTAAGGAACAGATGAACCAGGAGAGAATCTCTGCCGCCTGTGCATTTCACTGGTATGGTCATGGTGCTCACAGATACGCCGATGATTATCACGCATTTTACTATGGCAGTCGCGAAGAGTCCTGAGTACAACTTTGTTTTCATCCCTTTTTTGTCATACTGTAGCAACTAGGCTATCATACATCATATATAAAGATACCATACCGCCCCCAGAACGTTTCAAAGCAGTGCGGCCTTTCACTGTTCGAACTTTCTGGCCAGGTCCTAGACAGAACTGGGGACAAAAAGACAACTTCATCCACGTTAATCTACTTTCTCGTGTAGTAAATATTTGGGTGGTGACTGACGATCACGAATCAACAAATTCTTAGTCGCTTATACACAAACAAGCCTGGACATATGTCCCCAAGTATTACAAAGCATACTGAAAGCAGAACCACGAAAGCATTGACAGGCCTAGCGCGCCTTGCAGCTGTCCACACTATCGAGCTCACTCAAGCTCTGTCCAATTGTGTTGGTAATCTTTTGATGGTTTCTGAATTTCCTGGCCTCTTGTCCGCTTCTTCCTGAAAGACTCACGTACCAGGTAAGGTAGGTCTTAATCTCCTCCGGGGATTCTCCGTTCGCCGCAGCGGTCGCGCTCCAGTCCGGCTGGAGGAAGGTAACATCCGTGTCCAGGACGGCGACCTCCGAGGCCTTGAGGGTCTTGTCGGGGAAATCTGCTTCCCACAATATGCTCACGCTGGTACGATACATATCCTGCAACCGTACGGCTTGTGTTCCGGCCAGCGCCCTTCTGAACTCTGGATACTGGTTATTCCAGACGTCGGCAAAGCCTGCGGCAGTGCTACCGCGTGTGGACTTGACAATGTCGGCGATTCGCTGGAGCGTTGAACGGTGATTAAGTTGAGCGCCCTCTTCAAGACCAAGAAGTTCAACAAGGCTGTACTTGTCAGTTTCCAGAGAGGCACTAATCTTGTCCAGTGTGGCTTGGTTATATTGCGGATTCATGCTTGTCCAAATGCCACTTTGGGGGAGACGTTGCGCAAAAACCGTGGAGATAAACGTCCCGAAGTCGACGAGGGCCGTGTTGTCCAGTTTTGGCGCCAGTGTGCGTGAGGCCCCGTTCGCCGAAAAGTCCAAGACGAAAGCGCTGTACATGAGAATCGCCTCGGTGGGAACCGCGAAGGGAGAACCTTGGCAGAGGTTGCCTAGCAGTGCTAGGGTGAACAAGATGGCTCGTAAGGCCTTCATCGTGACCGCGCAAGGGAAAGGAGTGACGGATAGCCACAACAGATATAGTAAAACAATTGGATTTCGGACGCGGCAATTAGCTGCTGTGACTATCGAGTTGGTCAAAGTTGAAAAAGAAAATAATGAGTGAGACAGGAGATTGGATGGATAAATGAATGACAGGCTTGAAATGGTGGCATGAAGAGAATTTTATCACGACAGCATAAAGGAAAACGACGCGTCAAAGAGGTAAGCAGCAAAGTATCAGTCAGGGATCTATTCAAATTTTAACTGTTGACCTAGGGAATACGCTTGTTCTGGATACCATCCCTATGTGCTGGGTGTGAAACGAGTTGGTATTGGGTATTTTACACTAAGAAGTGCACTAAACCCTAGTTCCAATTTCGTACATCGACGGACTGAGACATGCGGAGATGAGGTAACAAACCACAATCACTCCATCAGAGCGTCGTTGACAGGCATTTTGCTAGTTTGGATTTAGCGAGATTAAGCTCGAAGGCGATTGAAAAAATCATAGAGGGGCGCTAGACATGGTACCGAGGTGCGTCGTGGTTATGCCCATGAACTTCCCTGATGCCGTGTACCCAAGAGATAGGAAATCCTCTTTATCTTTAACCCTTCGAGCTTTCTTTTTTCTGCCGTCAAGACCCTCGCAAACATCAACGGACCTACTCACACACTCTCTTACGTTGCCGTCCCTCCGGCTTCTTTCCTTTTTCATTTCTGATCACATTCTTTAATCCATAACAGCTTCAGCTTTCTCTCTTTTTTTTTTACATTTTATTCTTTCTTTCATCTTGCTCTTGCTCTTGCTCGAAGGCTCTGGCGTACCTTCCCTGCCCATAAATTCGAAATATGAGTCTTCCCATCCGCTTGTGGTTTTGTATGCTTGTCTCGACATGCTGCCTCTGGTATCAGGTTCAGGCTCGTGCTGTGTTTGCTCATTTTATGCTCTCAAACACGGCAGGATACACTTCCGACGATTGGGAAAGTGAGATCCAGCTTGCTCTGGATGCCCACATCGATGCATTCGCACTCAACATGGCGGCTGGAGAAGGTACCACCACTACCTCTCTCCCAAACGCGTTTGCGGCCGCTCAAAAGCTCAAATTCCACCTGTTTTTCTCGTTCGATTACGCTGGGAACGGGCCTTGGGACAAGAACGATGTCGTGAGCCTGCTGGGTCAATATGTGAGTAATGATGCTTACTACTTTCACGGATCGAATCCTCTGGTGTCGACGTTCGAAGGGCCCGATAATGCAGAAGACTGGGTGGACATCAAGTCCCAGCAATTCTGCTTCTTCGTTCCGGACTGGTCGTCGGTTGGGGCCAAAGCCGCTATGGCCCTGGCCGATGGGGTAGCAGACGGCCTTTTCAGTTGGGCTGCCTGGCCCAACGGACCCAACGACATGAATACCTATGTGGATGCGTCGTATATCCAGTACCTGGACAAGAAGCCTTACATGATGCCGATCTCTCCATGGTTCTTCACCAATATGCCCGGATACGACAAGAATTGGCTGTGGCGTGGTGACGATCTCTGGTATACTCGGTGGGAACAGGCACTCTACCTCGCTCCGGAGTTCATCGAGATCATCTCCTGGAACGACTTCGGCGAGTCCCACTACATTGGGCCTATCGTTGACAGCCACAATCCGCTAGCTGACTCCATGTACACCGCGTTCGAGACAGGCGAAGCCCCTTACAACTATGTCGAGGGCTTCGACCACAGTGGCTGGAGACAATTCCTGCCTTATGTGATTGACCTCTACAAGTATAACCAGACCAATATCGACAGTGAAGGCTTGGTGACCTGGTATCGGCTGAATGCAGCAGGTTCGTGCCCTGACGGTGGCACGACTGGCAACACGGTGTCTCAACTGCAGTTGGAATACTGGCCCAAGGATATCGCACAAGATAAGATCTTCTTCTCCGCATTGCTTGGGGAGGCTGGAGATATCTCGGTGACTATCGGAGGAGTAAATGTTGATGCAACGTGGACCAACACCCCAAGTGGTGGAGGGGGCATCTATCACGGCAGTGTCTCCTTTGCCGGCCATTCTGGCTCAGTTGTCGTGTCTGTTACTGGATCTACCGGCACTATCACAGTGAGCGGACAAGACATTAGCAGCGGATGCTGGGAAGGGGATCAGGTCGAGAACTGGAATGCTTGGGTGGGCTACAGTTTGGGCGGCGCAGTCGATGTGGATTCCCCCAAGCTAAACAAGGAGGTATGTATGGAAGGATGGGGAATGGGCGACTTCAATGGGCTCTGTAGCTACTCCTGCAGCCTGGGCTATTGTCCCGTCGGAGCGTGCGTTTGCACAAAATTAGGACCTCAGCCAGAGTTGCCCACGTCCACCGGGATCCAGGGATATCCCGCGGCTGGAAAGGACGCCAACTACGCTGGGCTGTGTTCATTCGCCTGCAACTATGGGTATTGCCCTTCTACTGCCTGTGGAACAGTATCGGTTCCATTGACTATCCCAACCGTGTCCCCTTTCACCCCAGACACCTGTGTGGCAGGAACAGGCGAGAATGACCTAGCCGGCTTGTGCAGTTTCGGCTGTAATTATGGCTACTGCCCCATCTACAATTGCACCTGCACGGCGACAGGCCCTCTGAACATGCCTCCTGCCCAGAATACCAGTATCACGGGTTGGGCACCCGACGAAGATGATAATGGTCTTTGCGAATTTGCCTGTACCCGGAACTACTGTCCAGAGCCGGTGTGTTTAGACGTGACGCCTGATGATGACGCATGCGGGAATATTGACGATGACAGCGATGAGTGTGTAGGTGTCTTCAACTGCGATTTTACTATCAGTTACACCTCTCTGGACGCTCTACAGGCTGATATGGATACCTTTGACCCCTATTGTGTTGACTTCTATGTTTTGGGCGCACTGTATGGGGAGTTGGAAGCCACGGTCGCCAACTTCACCAGCATTGCCAACACGAGCAACTATGATGAGTATTTCAAGGACTACGAGTCTTATATGAAAGGCCAAGTGGGGACACAGCTTACATATTTTATGAATATGAGCGATACTGGTGCGCAGGGTGAGGGCAACCGCTTCTTCACGTGCACACTCAGTTTTGGAGGGGTGAACAGGACGGCGGGACCATGTCCTGACGATCTCGGGTACGAAAATCGTGCACATACCGTCTTTTATAACTTGATCGATGCGGACGGCTTCTATGGAAACCTCAGCGCGGAATTTGGGATAGAACCTGACTGGGTTGTGCTAGGGGGCTGGTCGAGCACGGAAGGGCCCTACTACGACGACAAGGGCAATACCGCGTGCAACGTCTATGACAACCCTGAGGCTGCCTGCTGGTGGCATCGTGGCTTCCCGATTCCAGCCCAGAAGATCACCATCAGCGACCCGCGGGAGCTGATGAGACAGGCCCTGCCCAACATCCCAAACCTCCAGCTTTCCCTTCTCATCACCGAGCTCCAGATCCTATCAGGTTCGTTCGACGGCGTGATCGACGACGTCGTCCAGACGTACTCCACCGCCGTGTTCACCTTGGCCGAGCTGGTCGACCGCGTCTACTCCGTGGTCGCCATTGGCGAGAAGATCGAGGCCGAGAAGAAAAAGGAGCTGATCCTGCAGATCCTCGGGGGCGTGTTCCTGATCGTGCCCTTCCTCGGCCCACTCTCTGGTCTTGGAGATGTCATCGAGGGTCTGGACGCGGCGCTCGCGCTCGTGGGTACCGCCGCGAACGAGGCGACCGATATCTACACCATGGTGCAGGACCCAGAAAGCGCCCCAGTCGCGATCTTGAGCATGCTCCTCGACTTCAACGTTGGTGCAGCCGCCGGTGTGGCCACCAAGGATGGAGTCAGCGCGATCGAGTTTGACTCCATGGCCTTGAGGCGGCGCGGCATGAAGGGCTCGGATATTAAGTCGGTCGGGGTTTTGTTCGAGCAAAAGATGGATCAATTGGAGTCCATTGTCAGCAAATGCGCGAGGATTTAAGCCTTCAGTGAGTTATAGCCACCTTAATATAGATTCATGTAAAAGCTTTTCCCGAGTTGCCTGTATCGATTTGTGGTATAATCTCAACATAATGTAGGGTCACGAATTCCTTCGATGTATGTTTATGTTGCCATAAACCCCTCTTGAAGTATATCAAGAACATCACATGAGATGCGAGTATCAATATCAATCATAAGCACGCGAGGTCGGCACCGCCGCACGGATGACCCTTTGTGAGATCTTTCACGACAATGGCGACCATAGAGATTTATTGCTACTGTCGTACTCGGCTTGGCTTCTGCAGTATGTTTAAATAAGCTCGGCGGGGTGGGTCGCACAGATCTGCGTAGCACACGGCAGATGAGCGCAGGATCCGCACCCCCGCACGCAGATTTCTGTGGCTCACAACGGGTAGCACCGAGCCTATTGGTATGGTATGTTATGACTTACTCAAGTCGCAATCCTTTTTAGGATTCCCGATTAATTTGCGTATTCTGCTTTCGAGCATCAAAAAGGTCGAGAAGGTCTAGCTCCGCTTGGTTTGAGCAGTTCTACCCACAGGGCTGACTTTTCCCATCGATGGGACTGGCATTATTCGGATCGGGGGTATATGGTAGGCATATCAAGGGCGAATTCATAAGCAAGACAAAGTTATGATTGACGAGAGGTTCTGAAGGAACATTATAAAAGTTTGATACACTTCTGCAAGGTTCTAAAACACTTAGTCTACTTTGATAGTAAAAACCCAACAAATCTTCAGTACTAAGATACCGAGATATATTAGGGCTTTCGTGGCCTGATTTTAGGACTCTTAGGGTTTTCTTAGGGCCGAAGCTATTGCCCCTAGCATCTTTGGCTAGGTGGTATCTTCCTTATTAAGGACCTTTTGAAGTCTGCATAAGCAAAGTAGTTGAGATGGTATATATCTACAGTTAATATTTATGACGCCTCTGAGAGAGGTGGAAGAGGCTTGGATTCTGACTACGTCAGGTTCACTGTTCTAGAACTGTATGCTCGAGATACCTCGGGCCCCGGCCGCTGCAGCTATTCTTTTCTTGACCAAATCAGACTACCCGCCGACGGCCAAGACACGCCGCTGGCCTAGACTCACCCGGTGCCGGAGTCAAGTTGACCCGACCAGCAACGCAACAAACTTTGCAGTCGCGCGTTATTACGGGCATTAGAAAGGGAAGATCAATCTACGGTGCCTGAGCTTACCATGGGTCGACTATACATGTAGTCATAAATATTGATCGACACCGAGTCCAGGTCTTGGTACCCCAGAACTGTAGGCTACCTCAGTCTCAATATTGTTATTCGTTTCCCCACACAAGGACAAGCCTCCGTTGCCTAGAAGTGGATACGAGCTGGTTGCCTAGATGACTCATTTGCTTAAGCTTCATGAATTGGCTATTAAGTTCATGCCGGCGTAGAAAAGATTCCATAAAAGGAAAATATATAATCAGTACCTACCACTATAGAATTTCTCCATCAACACGAGTAGATAGCTGCTGCCACCACTTACCCTTCCGAAACCGACTCACCACCCCAAAAAGAAAAAACCAAACCAACAGCCTTCCACAAGCAAACCACAATGGCCAGCCCACAAAACACCCTCGCCCAACACTTCAAATCCCTCCACCGCCCGCACATCCCGCTAGTCCTCGCCAACGTCTACGACGCGGCCACCGCCCAAGCCGTCGCCTCCCTCCCGTGCGCCCGAGCCATCGCAACCGCCAGCTACGCCGTCGCCGCCGCAGCCGGCACGTCGGACGAGGCCCTCCCGCTCGCGGAGCTCCTCCGCTCCGCGACCTCCATCGCCTCCGCCGTCCGCCCCACCGGCAAACCCCTCAGCGTCGACATCCGCGACGGCTACAACACCGACCTCCCCATGATCGTCCAGGAGCTCCTGGATGCAGGCGTGGTCGGCGTCAACCTGGAGGATTTCGACAACGCCGCTCAGACGATGTACAGTCCCGCGGACGCGGTCCAGCGGATCCGGACGGTGCTGGACACGGCGCGCGCGGCGGGCGTGCCGGACTTTGTGGTCAATGCGCGCTGCGACGCGCTGCTCTATGGCGGGACGCTGGAGGAGGTGGTGGTGCGTGGGCGAGATTATCTTGCGGCGGGCGCGACGACGGTGTTTGTGTGGGGCGGGTCTAAGAGGGGCGGGATTACGCGGGAGGAGGTGGCGCGGTTGGTCGAGGCGTTTGAGGGGCGGTTGAATGTCAAGGTCGTTCCGGGCGGGCTGTCTACGAAGGAGCTGGCGGGGATGGGGGTGGCTAGGCTAAGTGTTGGGCCTGGGTTGTTGGTGGCGGCGTTGGAGCGGGTGAGGGAGGTTGCTGAGGGGTGGCTGAGGGGATAGGGGCTGTGAAGTTGTAAAACTGTTGGTGAGGAAGAGCCTAGATGGTGGAAGTGAGATTTGATTGGGTTTGATGCATGTGGGTGTGATTCAAAGAAGCAAGCGGGCGCCGTGTACTGTACCAACATCTGGCAAGGCTTTGTCTTCAGCTGCAAGCTTCGGAAATCAAGAGCGAAGCTGAGATGATTCTGGGGTCCCCACGTAGGTAATCTCAGATCCGCTGGGTCGATTGTTACTTTTGAAAATTGTCCGATCAAGTTCGGGTCTTGGGACTGTCTGTATGGGAAGCGCTGGAGTCATCTTAGTAAGAAACAGATGGTGCTAGCAAAAGTCCACGTACAACATCAGAGCACTCAGTCACGTACTGCAATCAATGCAAGCGAAAAGATGCCGCCGGCCCCGTAGGCTGACATCCGCGGACGGCCCGAGCCTTGGCCCCGATCTCCTCGTCGGACTTTTGTTCCACTTTCCAGCACATTTCCCCTTATGTACAGTATGTGAAACCGAGATTTAAGTGGGATCTTTCAGAACATGTCCATGCCTCCCATACCCCACTTCAAAAGAAAGAAAGAGAGTAATTAAGAAGAGCAAAGAACGGAAAGTCTTTTGTATAATCTCAGAGCTTGGTACAGGGGTAACATGACTCAGGCATAACCAGCGGAATAGAAGTCATTTCCCAGAATCATGCAACACGGTGCTACGGCGGCTTCCCCCTCACGTTGCGTTTGACCTCGGATGAGATGCGCATACAAGAGAATGCGGGTTCCATGATCAGGTGGCTGGCTCAAGGTTCTGCATCTTCAAGAAAAAGAAAAACAGAACCCAGTTACCCCTCATTCGGCGCCCCCACCAAAGGGCTCCATCAACTTCTATTCGCCACTTCCATCTGTCTCCGGTGTAAGCAAACAATGCCCGCGTGCATCGAGCTCAAAGTAGCAAGCGGGGCTGACACCATCTGCAGGGTTTATCTCGTTTTTCTGGGTGGGATCAATTAAGACCCCGGCATGATTAATCTGCTCAAGACTTAGGGTACCTGCAACTCCGCGGCGCCTTGCCACTTTGACGTATTTGTGCATCTTTCCAACATCGACCTTTTCTGATCAGTGAACTATCAGGTTACACCAGCTCTACCATTGTGTCACCAGCGGGGTCGTCACGTCAACTTGCATGTTCCTCGTTATCCTTGACCATGCCAGCCAGAAAAGCATAAAAGGGGGAAGAAGGCACCTTAATGCTCATGGAAACTGCACACACCACGCAGCTCAATAGCTTGATACCAAGGCCATTTCTATCAACATCTCTGCAAAGCAACACTTCTGGTCAAGATGGCTACCAAATCTCGGGTAAGGCCGACTATTTAGGTGTCCTTTTTATCTCCTGTTCGCGGTGGTCTGGAGATTGACATGCATTCCTCCGGGGTAGGTTGCGATTCGATTCACTAGTATAGACAATTGGCAAGAGAAGGATGAAGAAATCCTCAAGTGAGTTGCAGTCCGACCGGACCTCATCAAGGCAAGGGCCTGACTAGAGATTCCTTGCAGGATTATCAAGGACGACACCGGTACGGATGGCTTCCCCGTTGTCAAAACTGTCCCTCCGCTTTACCTCCCCCCGTGAGTCCTCCCCGGTCTTGGCGCCACCTTCCTGCGTGAGTCCACTACTGAACGAAGAGAAATCAACCAGGGCGCTCTCGCAAAAAGCGATCGACAAGCTGAAGGCTCTGGATGGTATCAGTGTCGAAGTTATCGAGGAATAGGCCCCGAGAGGTGAGATTGAGAGTATAGCCTCAGCCATTGTATGACTCCACTGGAGTCCCTAGCATTGCTTTTTACTTAGCTCAATATGAGTTCTTTCTTCATGAGATCAGCGCGCGGTTGAGCCTGAGGTAAACGAGCAATGCCTCTGTAAAGGCAGGAATTCTTTTCCAGCACCTGAGAAGAGGAGTGAATGTCCCTTGAAGTCACTGGCATCCGCTAGCCGCTGATTTCAGATTTTCCCGCGTTCTATCTTCCAGGCAAGTAAGGATAATGGGCATTTTCTCACTTGTTAAAGCCGCGTCTGCCACAACAGCTGAACGACCATTGTTGTGACCCATGGAAAGTCCACGAAAAAGAGAATGTTGTGGGTAAAGTTGTTCCACCGATAGTTGCTTTTCACTAGGGACAAACGTCGGATGGATTGATGATCGGTCGTTCTTGTCGTAGTTTCTTCCCGCATTGGCACCCAGACTGTCGCTAGAAACATTTTACATTTTAATCTGTTTGTCGAATGCGAGGTGGAATAAATTACGATAGCAGCGAAGTGACTTTACCAACAGGAACTTCTAGACGAGTGATGGGGTAATGGGGGGTGTATTGGTCGATTCGGGCGCCAGTTGTCAGACTCCACGAGCTCCAGCACAGTTTGCGGTAGCATCGCTCCACTCAGGTGAGCAAGTGCCAGCGCCCCAGGAACTGATAGGATACGCAGTACAACCATTACAGGTCAATGCATGAACATAAGGAAAACCATCAATTCCAGAGACAGAGACAGTATGGCGCCCGATGTGCGCACCGAGTCATACACCTCATACGAACCGAAAAGCACACAATTTGCCTCGCTCGCGGCCCATCCACAGTGCTGCAGCTACAAAATAGCGAGTATGTCTTTACAGAAGGCTGCAGGCGGTTTCGATTGACACGTCGGCCAAGCAAGTATTAGACTGTGGCCTCGCCCGATACAAACTATCTGTACGCTATTTATACTTCTTCTTACATGTACTCAAGTTTTATAAAGCACTACTTTAAGCTGTTCTCCATCTTCAAACTTCTGTATGAGTAAAAGTATTTTGATTTTGCTAGGCTAATAATTCCGTAATAGCTCTTTGTAATGCTATATGTCTGGTATCATTCTGTTTCTTTTCTGTTCTTGTCTTTTCTCTTCATTTTTCATTTTTTCTTTGCCACAATAAGCAATGAGTTCAAAGACTAACGGTAAGACTTCACGCATGATTATTGGGAGTAGTCGGAAATGCACAGCCAAGGAGTGGATACTTGTGTGAGCAGTTCTTTACTAGTGCTGTAGATGAGAGCAAAAGGCGGAAAGCATGCGAGACTACTTGAGTGGGGATTGTCGTCAGCGGCACGGACTCGAAGCCAAGCAGATCCATAGAACAGGACTGTGGTGATATAAGATGCCCGTGTCACCTCAGGCAGCATAACCTGGTTCTCCTACGTCCGACACTATGTACTGTACTGCCTTTTTAAAACCGTAGCAATTACAACACATGTACTTAGGTGGTCGCGATCGCCTCGGATAATATGTACGGTCTGATGTGGGTCCACAATTCCACAGCCTATACATTCCCGCCGAAGGGCTAGTGAACGGTCGGGCGGACCGTACGCCGACGGGCCGTGTCGATCTTTACCGAGAGTCAAAGTTTCGATCCACTCTGCAGCCAAGATTCCCGCCAACAAGTTTTGATGTCGGACGAGTAAACGAGAACGTCAGCATCCCGCATGTTTAGCTCGATCAAATTCTCGGATTCCACTGTATACCTAGGTCTGACTTCAGCGAAACAAAAGACATGGGTCAAGGATGTGCAATGTGCAGCAGCCTCTACTATACATAGAGAGGTTCGTGCAATCTCGGACCGAAATTGAGATACCGTGAGGGAAATCTCTTCGATGACGAAGTGGCCGGCGCAGGATTAGGCTACAATTTCCAGAAACAAGAACCAGAACAGGTTGGTATCGCCACATTACACCATCTCAGATGCAAGTAATCTATGCATGTGTAGGTGTTAAGCAATTAGAAGCAAGCGGGGCGGACAAGCTGGAACGGCAGCTCGGCTCTTTGGTGGGGCCGATGCAAACCGCCACATTCATTGGCCCGCCCACGAGTAAGAACCGCAACTTGCGTCTTAGCTGCATTCGAGTACTGTACATACACGCACGAAATTCCAGTCGATCACGCTGCAGTGAGGGGACTGTCGTCGGACCAGAGGGGTTTATGGCGTCATGAGAAGGGTAGTGACGGTGATCTGCTTTCTTCATTTTGTTCTACCTTCGACCATGTCAGCCCGAACGAAAGCTATAAATAAGGGGGACGGGGGCGTCTGCTACTCGAAAACCCACACAGAACTCAACAATCAAACTTAAAAACCTCTCGTTTCGTCGCTGCAGAAGAAGAACCACCAGTCCAGAATGACTTCCAGTGTAGGTTGCCTTTTCCTTTCTCTGACGAGTAAAGGTTGACATGCACTTGCGTGGTAGGTTTCCATCCGGTTCAAAAGTCTCGAAGCGTTTGAGAAGAATAATGACGCAGTCATGAAGTGAGTCGCAGTCTGTCCATTCTGGGTCAAGGCTCAGCTAGAGCTAAAGAATGTCATAGGATCATCAGGGAGATTGGCGGTACGGACAAATTTGTTGCGACTAAGTCTTTCCCTCCAGCCTACTCGCATTGGTAAGCATCCCCGCCTCCCCCGGTTCCCCGGCTGTGGAGGTCCATCGCTGATAGAGGCAACAAGGGCGCTTTCCCAGGAGGCAATTGACAAGCTAAAGGCCTTAGATGGTGTTGTTGTTCAGGTCAGTGCCGAAGATGACGAAGATCTTCCAGTGTGATATTGGGAAAATAGCCTTCGTCCATGTATCATCCTTCTGGCACGTACGCTCGTCTGCTTAGGGAATGGGAGATGTTCTTCCGGGGAAGGTGCGTCGTGGAGGCCAACCGATCGCAAGACCTTTGATGTAACGAGCGGGAATATGTAGCATGACAAATGGAATCTTTCCCACGGTGTAAGCTCACGTCACTAACACAGAATAAAGTAATGTTGTAGATATAGAAAGCTGGATCTGACGAGTACAGTCCTCGTTGCCACAGCAGGGACGAATGGTTGTGTTTCCGTCAGAGAGGTTGGGCGCAGTCGCTCCCCACGCAACTGCTCAGCGCATCGACATCCATGCAGTTACCAAAGGCCACAATGTCCCGGTACCGGATTACAAGCTCGGCTGAATCGGGACACTAACGAAGTCCACTGAGGTTCCATGCCAGATAGTATTGTCTCGCTCAAGTGATCAACTGCAAGCCTTCGAAGGACTTGGCTGGATACGACCTTCGATCGTCCACGCGGAAGGGCCGGCAAGTCGAGCACCATGGCACTACCTGTCCCCGGTAGACGCTCTACAGGGTGACGAAAACCACTCTCCGACGTCTGCATGCATCGTGTACAAAGCTACAGGGGTTGTCCATCGCAACAGCCGGCGAAACAGAAGATGGTATCGGGAAAGTATAGGGCCCGGTTGCCACAGACGGACGGCGCGCTGCGAAGAAGAAGAGAGACCTGCGGGGTTGAGATGGGCGCGAGGGGGGGTTTATACTTGCCGGGGGTCAGGCACTCAGGCACACGCTCTCCAAAATGGCAAGCGCCATCGTCGACCCTGCCCATTCAGCACCACCATACCCCGCACGAAAGGTCTTGGAACAGCCAGTCCCCAACGCTACGGCTGGAACGATTACCACCTGCCACACGGGAGACATGGTTCTTGGGAACAGAAGAGAAACCGTGGGCATGAGCCCGCTAACATGCGATACACGTCAAGACCAAGAATGTCCCCGTGCGTGGAAATCAATAACCAATCGATACGAATACCAGAATTCCGTTCGTACATTTTGTATGGGGACTGCTGTCCGCAAATTATGCGCGCACTCGAGTGCATCATAGGGTCCCACTTACGGGGAGAGCCGAGCCGCTATGGGGAATACCGCGGACTACACCTGAGGGCTCCACCAAGCCGTTACGGGGTATGTGGCTATCTGCCACATGGGTGGAACAAGCCTCCCGACCGACGAGGTCGGCCAGTCCTGTTAGGCATTGTACTGTACTGTACATACAGTTCATTGAGGTAGGTCTGCGTCAAGGATACTACGCACATGGGAGACTGATCCTTGCTCAGCCAATCAATCGGCCAAACTCCGTCGCAGACCGATCCGCACCCGAATCACCACTACTTAGGACTAATAACTGGAGAGAAAGAATTTCTGAGTCGAGCCGAGGCGACCATTTCTCCAGCCCTGCAGGTGTACCACGGGGCCATTCAGAGTGAGCCTCGACGCGGGTCAATAGCACGAAGACCGGGAAGGGCTTGGCGCGAGCGAACCGAAGCGTTACCCATTGAAGGCCTCAATAGCCCGCACGATTAAGCTTCGGCATTGGGACCCGCCCGCGAGATTTCATTGTTTGACAGCGCGGGACCCGTTCCTAAGCGTTTCGTATTGAGCAGCCGTGGACGGATTTCGAATGGTGCCACGTAAAATGGTAAAGCTACCTCTAAAGTGGAAATGATTCTTCAAACGCGAAATCAGAGGCGATGGAGACACTGATTCAAAATGTAGCCAAGACGTATATACTGAGAGAGCCCCATCGCATTTGCGGTTGTCCCGTGTCCCGTGTCCCATACAGTCCCTGCACTGCTATCTCCATATATGAATCATGTCGTCTAGGCCAGAGTTCGAACACCGAGAATCCGACGAGTACCTGCTCAAGCGGGACCACTACGTCGACCAGATCAATCGATCCCGGCGCTGGGCCTGCCTGCGCCCGCTCATCTACATCGGGGTGGTGGTGGTTGGCTTCGTCGAGATCATCGTGCTCTTGGTCTACTTGGTCGAGACGAGCAGGCAGCCGCCCCTACGCGATCTGAACGGGTTGGTCCCGGATTGTAAGCGCTCTCCTGTCTGCTGGCGAGATGTTCCCGCAACGACGGCTAACAGAGGATTGCCTGCCCGACTCTAGTCCCCACGCATCAAGTTCTCTTTCGGCTCGATCCCATGGCCGTCTCGGACCATCGGACAGAAAGCTCCAAAGCCGCCACGAAGGAGAATTGGCTTTCGTACATGCCGCGTGAGTTGGGTTAGACCGACACAATTGTGGTATCAATGAGTTGATTAAATGTGTAAATGGCAGGGGGTAATGGGTTCATCGCGGTAAACCACACGGAACAGCTGGAATACGTCCTGTCCCCGCCAATCGAGAAGTTCGGCAAGAATCTGTACGCGGTGGCGGTCTTCCACCAGATGCATTGCCTGGTACGTCTGAGCAGGTTACCCCGCATCAACTGAGCCCTTTCGTGCCAGAATCACCGTTGATCTTGATTGGGTGATTTGATCTGATGAAATTCAAAACAACAGTATGCGATCATGTCCGCGTACGACGATCTCATCGCCGGCACATCGTCCACGCACAAGGTCCGCGACGTCCACGAGCACGACCATTTCCATCACCATGGACATAGCGATGACCCCACCGAGGGTCCCCACGGGCATGTGAACCATTGCTTCCAGTATCTGCGGGAGTCGCTGCTGTGCTGCGGCGACACCGCCCTGGAGGGCCAGGGCCAGCGGGCGCAGCCCGGCACCGACGGGACCGGGGCCGTGCATGAGTGTAAGGACTTTGATGCGATCATGGCGTGGGCGGATGACAGACGGATTATGGACGGTAAGCATCCGTGAGAGCGCTTTGTGCGTAACCAGGCAGACAGAGGTGGAGCGGAGTATACGCAAGACTTTCATGATACTTTCTGTGATGACTGGATGTTACGAACTGTGGGATAACACTTGATTTGGGCGAGCAAGAATGCCATGTCAAGTGCATTCGTCCTCGAAACCCGTGAATGCGGGAGGATCTCTTTGTCTACGTGTACTTGGTTTAAAAGACATTTCGAAGATGCTATCTATGATGGGCAAGTCAATTACCATGCGCATAATCACAGGTTATCTGTGCCATCTTTGACTGGGGCGAGGAATCCCGGACTATTGTATGAAGGCTTTGTTCGTTCCTGGGCAGGACATAATGGAATCTCATTTTCACAGGTCGGGGCAAAGTAGGGATGAGTGCATTATAAGTAGTATTTTGAGACAATTCAAGGGCGTCAAAGAAGACTGCAAATCAAGTCTAAACACAAGTCCAGTACACCTTAACAAACACCATCATGGAGAACCCCTACCCCAGCACTCTCCGCCTCCTCTGCACCACGACAAGATCCCCAAAGAATACCCCAGCGACGACGCCCTCTGCACCGAGGGAGCAGTGATGAGGGCCCTAGCCCAGGACCCCGAGATCCCCGCGCCGCGCGTCCTGCACGAGTGGGTCGACAGCAACGGGCGGTACTTCATCCTCCAAGACGTTTGGCCGCGACTGTCCCAGCCACAGAAGCGAGCGATCGCCGCCGAGGTGGGCCAGGTCCGCAAGCGTCTGCGACGGCTGACCTCACCTCGCATCCAGTCGGTCGGCGGGGGCGCGTGCTATCCGCCGTACGAATGGGGGTTCCGGACTCGCGCGCAGGGCCCCTTCGGCTCGGACGCGGACCTCCGGGCGGCGATCCGCTCGTACCTGGCGGGCCTCCTGGACCGGGAGCTACCCGACCAAATCCTCGAGAACCTGATGGCGCGCATGCCCGCGTCCGGGCCCTACGTCCTCACCCACGGGGACCTCCACATCAGCAATATCATGGTCGATGAGGACGGGCGGCTGGTCGGGATCATCGACTGGGAGTACGCGGCGTATTATCCCATCTGGTTCGACTATCTCCTGGTCGCCCGCGGCAATGTCGACCCCGATGATGCGGAGTGGAAAGACCTGCTGCTGCTGCAGTTCGAGGCCCAAGGGAATGGCCATCCAGACGCGGTGCAGTTCCGCGATCATATCTTCCTCTTGAAGGGATACCCGTACCTGGATGATGGAGAACGCGAGCTGCTGGCGAAGCTCTGTTCGGGTCCGGATATGAAAAGAAGAACCGAAATGGTTTTGGACAATAGATAGGATCCTCAGGTCCTGTTGCATCAACCCGATCCCTTGGCGATGATGCTATCCCCAAAGAGAGCTATTGAATTCTTGGGCTCGACAAATGCAATAGGAACTCGGTAATATCCACTAACATAAATATCTAGACGCACAATTACTCTATGGACCAAAAATAAAGTTCTATCATCAAACCCAACACACCAGGATTCAAAGTAGACAAAGAAGAAGCCCGTCTAAACCTCTGCCAACATCGCCACGTTGCCAGGCCGGCTGAAAGTGACGTGGGAGAGGTGCAAAACCTTCGTATCGAATGCAGCCGCTGTATACGCAAAGTAGTACTGTTGGATCAGGTCAGAGCGGGACCCACTGCGGGGACAGAGACGTTTTGACTCACAGTGTATTTCCGATAAAAGATATCCACGTCGTTTTCCGATAGGTGATACTTTTCTCGCATGAGGGGGGCAATGATGCCCCGAAAGTTGTGCTGGAACTTCCTACTCCATTCGTTGAGACATCTCACATAGTGGGCGCCATATTGCTGTACAGAGTCTAGGTCGAGTCGAGCATTGGAATTTTGCACTGCTCCCAACAGTCTGGTGACACTGGGGCAATGACCTCCGGGGAAGATCTATTCAGTGATGAAAAATTAGGTCCATCTTTGCAAGATACGAATTCTGACGAAGGATATACTTACATAACGACGAATGAACCTGAAATGGAGCTATGCGTTAGAACCGCAGATGATTGAATCCTTGATTTCGTCAGAGACTCACCCCTCGCCCTTGGGAAACATATTCTTATATCGCTAGAGACGGATGAGCTCGGATTTTGGGAAATCAACCTCTCCCGAGAAAGACACTCACCGACTCCGGCATAATACTCGACTGAATCGAGACGATGCCGCCATCTGGCTTGAGGAGCTTATCCACTGTCTCCCAAAAGGTCTGCAGCTCATGATCCCCCATCGCCTCCATCATCTCCACGGCGACGATCTTGTCGTAGGGCACTTCCGGCACTGGGAGCAGGCGATAGTCACACAGCAGCACCGTGACCTTCTCCTCGAGCCCTAGGGCGCGCACGCGCTTCTGCGCCCGCTGGTACTGCATCTCGGAGAGCGTGCAGGTCGTCACGCGGCAGCCGATCGTCGTCGCCGCGCGGATCGCCATGCTGCCCCAGCCTGTGCCGAACTCCAGGAGGTGGTCCGTGGGCTGCGCGTGCACGTTCGCCAGCAGTTGGTCCAGCTTGCGCATCTGCGCGGCCTCCAAAGTGTCGTCCGCGTACTGCGGATGCGACCGGGGCAGCCAGATCGGACAGGAGTAACTCATGTCCGGGGAGAGGAATGCTTCGAACATCCCGTTAGAGAGGTCGTACGCGGCGGTCATGTTCAGACTGGCGTTCTTGAGGGTGCCGGTGTCGACCGTGCGGAAGAGCACATCAGAGATGGCGGAGACAGCTCGATACGGGGTGGTGCTGAGGTTGGATAGGTGCTGTCCGTTTTCGATGAAGAGCTGGAAGGGGGAACGGGTCAGCGCTGCAGTTAGGGTTAGTGAGTTTGAGGTTGCACAAGTACCTCCATCAGTGCCATCAGGTCTGGGGTCGAGAATTCTTCCAACATGAAGGAGTCGGCAAAGCCCTGGGGAATCGAGCCGTGAGCGGGGTCTCGCTCGCGTGTGCTATCGATTATTGGTCATCAAGTCGACGCGGTAGAACGACTCACAAGGTCTGCCGATACAAGGACACGGAACCAGAATGAATCGCTCTCGACATGTATGCTTCCTTTGTGTCCTCCATTCCCTTGACCAAATCTCCATTCTCCCCCGTCGTGAGAGTAGATTTCTAGGATCCCGACTTTGATATTAGACAGAATCGATAGGACAAGGTTCCTGACTAGGCTGACAGGAACGGCAGCCGTGCCCAAGGAGATGAGGGTAGTTTGTGCCCTATCTAACAACTGCTTTCCCGTCGAGCCGAGCACACGTCCCAGATCCATTGCTGTGTCCCGTGGAGAATACTGCCGGACCAGTCTGCGTTGACCCGAAAGTTTGGATAATACCAACTTGCCGAAAGGTTAAGAGGCAAAATATGAATCGATCCTGCGTGACAACCGGCGAGAATGAGAGGATGAAAGCTCGGATTTTATAGGCTCAGCACAGGCTGCGCTAGGCCAGAACTAGCCATTTTCACAAGTCGAGGGACGCGCCTTGATGGTAAGGCCATGAGGCGTTGACCTGTTCTCGATTGCCTCATGGCGGCACTCCAACTCCAACAAGCGTCGGGGCGTTTTGCTTGCCACAGAATTACCGCTGGATATAGTAAGCATCCACACAGGGATTGGTCAGCCCCAGCCCAAGGCATGTATTTTAAAGAATCGGAACTTCGAATGACACCGCGATTACGTCGCTTACTGGTGGCTGTAGCGGTCAGTGACTGACAGATAAGGCAACGGCTCCACCACGCCGGGGTGATCACGAGGACACCCATGCCTTGTTCCTGAGCGCTACATACCGGATCCTGCGAACCACTCCAATGGGTATGACTAGTCCTAGGATGTGATAAAGGAAAAAGCCAGCCACCCCTATCGGCTTTTTACCCGGGCAAGCAGAAACGGTGTCGTCGTTGGGTCGACATTGAGTCAACGAGCAAGGTTTCAGTCGATGAAAGCATCCCGCAGATCGCACGGCAATGAAATATAAGATACAGTGTGCCGTCCAAATCCAATTCATAATCGTGAGAGTTTAGCGTGGATAGCGCCCTTTGATGACCTCGATATTCGTCCGACAATTAGAGTACCAAAGACTGCCCTCCAGGCTGGCCCGAGCCAGTGTCGGTCGCTCGAGGTTATAGATCGGTCTAGTAAGTCAGCAGAGGCAACTCTGAATTAGACTAATGCGCCACTAGCGTTCCAGACAAAGGAGCGTTCTTATCATGGAACAAAGAGAGTTACCATTTGAGTCTGGGCTCGAACTATAAACGACAAGATTATAGCATCGACGCAAATCCCGAAAGACTATTCAGTAGAGCATTTCTCCCGAGGATCAGTGGCTTACATTTGTGTCCACCTTGCTCCTCAAGCCGTGGAATGATCCAGAAGCATTCACATATCACTCAAATGAGTCGTAGAGGATATGTGGGATTGTGAGAATGTTGAGCATGTATTGTCGCCCCTGAGAGACAGTCAGCATAGCGTGGCTAAGGCCAGGTACTGTACTAGGTACCCCGCCCGCCTTCCCAAAAGCGGCTCCGTCCGCAGGATTCGGGCGGGTTACCCCGCGGCGGGCTCGAACCCGGATGGGTCGGGCTCAAGATCTCGTATTACGGGACAACCCTAAGGCATTCGTGTATCAGATTTGTTGGCTCAAATCTCGAGTGAGATTTTAGAATGTAAGCTTCACGAGGAATACGAACCTGACATCCAGTCGTGGTCCAATCGCACTGCCTACTCCCCTAGGACTTGAGGTGATACAAGGGAAGATACCGATTCACCACACTAAAATGAACGAAGGACATGAGCAGGAGTCAGCGACAGCAGACCATGACTATTTGCTGGGACATCGGCCCGGCCAGGTAGAAGCCTCGGATACGTTTGCTTCGAGCATTACTGAATCGAGCCCATCTTATCTCCAAGACGTCAGCTTCGCATCTGTTCCTGTGTTCTAAATTCCAATGGAAATCGACCGAGTCGCTTGTCGGTGCTTGCTCCAAAGCAAGATGAGTAAGTAGAGAACAAGATGTGCAACCCATCCGATCGCAAGGTCTAGCCCAGAGAACGTGGAAACCTGACTCGCAGGGTCAAACAGACCTGGCCGGAACCGATTCAAGCAATCTGCAAGTGGGGGCATGTAATCTATATCGAACCAATGAATCCACTTCCGGGACACATGGCCCATCTCATGCTAGCCAGCAAAGCTAAGATATGCATCCATGAATAATGAAGACTAGCCAACGACCACGAGACAAAGCACAAATCCCCGCCCTCCCTTTCATCTTCACTTTCCCCTCCCCGCTTCCATCACCAGGAACCTCATCACCCACCCTTCCCCCCGACATCAAAAAAAAATGCCCTCCGAAAGCAAAACCTACATCCTAACCGGCGGCTTCTCGGGCATCGGCCTGGCGATCCTCACGCACCTCCTCACCCCAAAACACCCAGACACCCCACTCCCCACAATCCACGTCCTCGACCTGGCCTCCACACCCCCAACCCTCCCCGCCACCCTCCTAACCTCAACCGTCCACTTCCACCCAAACACCGACGTAACCTCGCGCGCAGGGATAACCGCCCTGTTCAACCGGATCCTGGCGCACTCCCCGCAGATCGACGGCCTGATCAACAGCGCGGGGATCTGCCCGCCGCCGACGATCGGCGGGATCGAGAGCGACGAGGTCTTCGACCGGGTCCTGGATGTGAATCTGCGGGGCACGTGGGTCGTGGGGACGGAGTTTCTGAAGCACATCCTGAAGCAGGAAGACGCGGACCCAGCGGCTGGGACACCCGGGGCCGCGGGCGGCGGGGGGGTTTCTGCGCGCGCCGCGATCGTCAATATCGCGTCCACGGCGGCGATCTCGCCCCCGCCGGGCATGGTCGCGTACGCGACGAGTAAGTATGCGGTGCTGGGGTTGACCAAGGCGTGGGCCAAGGAGTTTACGCCGCGGGGGGTGCGGGTGAATTGTGTGGCGCCGGGGGGTACGCCCACGCCGTTGGTGGACTCGGCGTTGACGGAGGGGATGATCGATGCGTATGCGGAGAGCGCGCCGATGGGCCGGTTGGCGGCGCCGGAGGAGATTGCTAGTGTGGTGGGGTTTTTGCTGGAGGGTGGCGCCGGGTTTGTGAGTGGGCAGATGGTGGTGGTCGATGGGGGGTATTATTTGTGAGGATGTCGCCTCAAGAGGGGTGGAGGTAGTGGGGCATGATTTGCTTCAGGAGAAAGGAAAGACCTCGACAGCGGTGATTGCTTTTCGAACGGTATCTAAGCTTTTGGACAATGATAAAAGAAAAAAAAAAGGAAAGAAAGAAAGAAAGTATTTCATGGCACCGGTCTCTGGTAAACACGTACACATACAAGAATTTGACAATTGAGAAAATCAGGCAATCAATGAGAAGAATGCACCATGTCAGTGACTACAGGCTGGACGCACATTGTGGTTGTCGAAAAGCCATCCTTGGTCCTTGGACACTGCCGACTGTTCTTCTATTAGCTCTACTCGAAGATCTGCAGCCTCATTTTCACTGATCAGATCATCGCCACCAAGATATTCCTTGATCATATCCTGCAATTCTGTGGGCAGCCTGGCCAAGACTTCATCTCGCGCACGGGCAGTCTCTTTGAACCAGTCCGCTTGCTGCGGAGGCACGTTGGCGGTCGAAATTATCTGAAGATTGGGATCCACTAGAAACAAGGTTAGAATCTTGCGATGGCCCAACCTTGTCGGATCGGCTAGTGCGAAAGGCATCACTCGATGCTGGAGAATATTCGGAAATGTGAGAAGACGGCCCTGTCGACACTCCACGCTACCGAGGACTTGAGTGAAAGGTTCACCTAAGCTTCCGGTACCGAAAGCACCTGGAACCCATTCACAGGGGCAACCTTCGTATTCTGAAAACTCCACAACATCGTCCAAGTTGAGTCGTTGGCGGAAGCAGATTCTACCAGGAGTGATATTATGGTTCGAGTAGTAATAGATCGCGGTTGCACAAATATGTTCGTTCAATCAAATCGGAGGGACAAATGACACCGAATTAGCTTCATTCGATGAATGTGCGTGTTGACAGATATGGTAAGGTGAGAAAAGGATTGCATACCATTCTTCCTGCGATATGCCAGAACCCACCCGCGTATGATGGCTTTTCCGGGGTTAATTCAATATTGGTCAACTTGACGATAACCTGCAACCCATGTTTCTGAAACATAGTTTTCATGTCTACCTCGATCTCCACAGGGGGAAATGGTTCGAACTCTCCGATCTTGGGAGGAGGGAGTCGGTGTGAAACTCTCCACTGGCGCAAGAGATTAGTCCAGTCGTCGAGCATAGGCCCTTCGTGTTCAATATCTTCTTCAGATTCTGTACATTTCTCTGGTTCAGGCGGAGACATGTCAGGCCCGCTATAATCGATCCGGTTAAAGTTTCGGTACGCGTCATCGATCAAGGGTGTCAGGGTCTCATTCCACAAAGGTACCGTACATGTTATGATTTTCTCAATGGCATCGTAAAGCGGGCAATCCCTGTCGGGGCGGAGATTGTTGATGTAGGAGGTAATGCGACAGTGGCCGTCAGGATGAATCTTAACATTGCAGGGAAGCCATTGAAAACGACGGCTGTAATCCTCTGTTCGGTAAGGAGAGTGATCTGGTCGGCGCGCATGCGTTCCGCTCTCATCCGGAACAGGTAGTATCTCACCTCTTCCACTATGTTCCAGGAAGTTGGGAAGGTTGGTGATATCATTGCTTAAAATCCGCGTGCGGCCATAGACCAGCGGATACAGGGACGGATGTACCAGATCAACGATCTTCCGATCCGACGAGGGACGGTAATCTTTCTCGTTCTCTGGAAGGTCGTCAAGTGGACGCACCGCCGCGAGAAGGGCAAGGCGAAGATCTTCGGGAACGATAGAGTCGGATTTCATGACACCCTCATCGAAAGCCTTGACCATGTTCTCGCAGAAGAAGAACTCGGCCTTGTACCGAAGCTCCTTGAAGATCCAGTCAATCATCTCGGTAGTGAGAGGAACTATTCCAGGACTGTCTTGCTCCGTAATTTCACGTCGCCACCTTGCGACGATGTGCTTGTTGAAGATCTGAAATCAATCAGTCCTGCCCTGCTGACGATGCAGATAGGCACTGACCTTCTCAAACCATCTGTGCTTATCCGTGATTCTGTCCATTATCTGCAGCATGGCTAACTCCCATGACGTTCTTTGGCCCCTTGACCTTGTATCAGAAATTTGCTTCGTGACTTTGTATGCATCTCCGACACATGGGCTCACCCGATCATAATCAGCGGAATGGGTTCTACGGCATTAGGGAAAGGATTTCCAGCCTAAGTCACAGATTAGCAAAGGCTGCCCGAAAAGAGAGAATTGAATACCGACCAGGTAAGCAAGAGGACGATTGAAACCGGGCAAAACAGTTTGAAACACTTGAGGTCCTGTCGATGTCATAGCGACAGTCAAGTAATCAGAGAATAGCGGAAGCGCCGCAGCGAGTGGGAAAAGCAAATGTGAATTACGGAAAGTGACAAAAGTCCAAACAAGACGCAGCTAAGAAAAAGCAGCGTTTGGTCAGGAAAGGGTTGTTGTGTTGGGCTGGGCCTTGAGTGAGGGGAGGTTGAAGATGAGAGGATGAGGGAAGCTCCGACCCGCATGAAGCATAGTGGCCACGACAAGCCTGAGGCCAGTAAGCTTTCGGCGGGCTATAGAGACCCCGATGCCTCACCCTCCAGGCTCCCCACGAAGTCCAATCGTCCTGGCAATCACAAGATGTTTGCTTTTTGCCCATTCACATCCCACATCAATCACATCATGATCTACATACATGGTCTCGTCTCATGCATGCTCTTGATGGGCTGCAGGGGTATTGATCTTGTTCGAAGTTCAGTCAGACGCTCTGTTGAACTTAAAGTCGGGTCCCACCCACAGGTGAGATTCGCTTTCAATAACACTGAGACGTCTGAGCCACCTATCATCGCTGGTCCTAGCTTTGCCAACATGCCTGTCTACAATACTGACTCGACTGAAGGGCTTAGGAATGCCATTTTCGACTTCATTATCATCGGCGGAGGCACCGCCGGCCTGGTCGCCGCCAACCGGCTGACCGAGCGATCCGATATACGCGTCCTGGTCCTCGAAGCCGGCACCAACCGACTCGGCGATCCTCACACTCAAATCCCAGCCCTGGGGCCGACAACATACGCAGACCAAGACTTTGACTGGGATCTACCAACCTTACCCCAGGAACAACTACATAACCGCTGCTTGTTTGGGACCAAGGGCCGCACGCTCGGAGGGTCCTCTGTCATCAACCAGGGGTTGGTAGTCTACCCGTCGCAGGCTGGGATGAATACCTGGGAACAGCTGGGCAATCCTGGTTGGGGTTGGGATGACTTCGCGCCATACCTACGCAAGTTTGAAACTGCTTTCGGGCCTTCAGAGTCAGTGCGCGACTATTTTCCGGGCATGCAGTATGATCCGGAAGCGCACGGCCAATCCGGGCCGCTGCAAGTATCCTTCGCAAGTCAGTACATGCCCGTCCATGCAGCATGCTGGCAGGGTTTCCGCGAAATGGGATATCCAGCGAGCGCAGATCCTATCAACGGGAGAGGCCTCGGGCCGTTTGTGGCAGCCGGTGCGGTGGATCCGGCTCAGCATACGCGCAGTCATGCCGGCGCAGCGTATCTGCCGGATTCTGTGCAGCGAAGACCGAATCTGAGGGTCGTAACAGGGATCCAGGTAGATCGGCTAGGCCTTGAGCAAGACGAGTCCACCAAGATCGTCCGGGCTATGGCCGTCGAAGTATCGCACGACAACCAGACGTACCAGATCCGCGTCAAAAATGAGGTAATTCTGGCGGCAGGCGCAGTCCAGACACCGCAACTCCTCGAACTGTCCGGCATAGGAGACGGCCCCTTGCTTCGAGCCCACGGCATCAACCCGATCATCCAAAATCCCGGAGTGGGTGAGAACCTGCAAGACCACGGCATTGTCAGCTTCGGGTACGAGGTCGCAGACGGGGTGTCATCATTCGACGAGATGGCGCATAACCCAAATGCAGCTGCCGCTGCCATGGCCGCGTATCAGCAGGACGGCTCCGGTCCACTAGGCATGGTGCCGTACATCTGCGCCAACATGCCGTGCGTCGATCTGCAGCCCACGGAGCGAGACAATCTTCTGGGCAAGATTGACGGAGCTTCTGGACCCAGCCCGAAACAAGCGCAGGTCCTGCGGCAACTCCTCCAAGACCCAGACGAGCCCACCTCGCAGTACACGCTGTTGCCCTTCCAACTCGACCCACGCCAAGGTTCCAAGGGTATCAAAGCCCTCATGTCGCCCGCCCACCCTCGGAATTTCATCACGCTCGTCTCGACGCTATGCTATCCGCTGTCGCGGGGGTCGGTGCATATCCGCTCCTCAAACCCCCGGCATCACCCGGCTCTTGACCATGGGATCCTCCGCCACCCCGTGGATCTTGAGCTGCATGCCCGCCACGCGATGTGGATGGAGCAATTGGCCGCGACGCCGCCAATGACTGCGGTGCTCAAGGAAAACGGCGTCCGGCTGCATAGCCCCGAGCCCATTACCGATCTAGAGCATGCTAAGAAAGTGACAAAGGAGTTGTTACTTTCCACATTCCATCTGGCGGGGACGTGTGCCATGACGCCGCGTGAGGACGGGGGCGTGGTCGATCCTCGCCTGTGCGTGTACGGTACCACGAACGTTCGTGTAGTCGATGCCAGTATCTTCCCGTTGGTGCCGCGCGGGAATATCCAGGCGACTGTGTTCGCCGTCGCGGAGAAGGCTGCTGATCTGATCAAGGAGGACCTCGACGGTAAGCAGGACAAGATCTAGGCATGCTGTCCGCTACGTTGGCATTATGTATTTCGGACTAGAACTCTCCGTTCATCACGGTGCAAGAAGATGATCTTAGAACGTGCCTAGGATATATATCGGTTGAATATTCATGAGACCCGCTAGCTTCAGCTTTGGCAGCACCATTAGAATGAGACTCTCGTGCCGTCGGAAATCAACTTTACTAAAAACTGCCACATTCGAACGCAGTCAGTGTAGTGTTTCTGAATAGCAAAATTACGTTGCGCGAGCACTGAGGATACATCCGTCCTCATGTAACCAAGCATGAAGCATGACGGTCGGAATAGGCGCAGACCAAATCGAGTTAGAGGCCTTTCTGCCGTGCGACACCGGCTCCATTTTGCCACACCCACCTTACGAGACTAGTGTACATAGTAGTACCGTACATGCACTCTCATCCGTTCTTTGATTAGGCTGGAATTAAAAACTGCCAGTCCGCTGGCTCTATCCAAGGCTACACTTTGCGACAACCAATCAGCTTATACCCCTCCCCAAAAGAAAATCAAGAACTTCCAGAGTCATTCGTCATGAAAAGTGGTCTATCGCTAAAGTTCTAGATGAACTGTACGTGCTTTTTGTATATCATGCGCTAAAGCCTCCTCTTCGAAATCTCCTACTCCGCAGCCGGCTTCTCCGGCTCCGCGGCAGCACCGGGGTGGCGGGTGCCCTTGTTCTTGACCTTCTTCTGCTTCTTCTCGACGACAGGAGGCGGGTAAGCCTTGGCGGTGATCTCCTGCCACTCGGTGGAGGCTTGGTAGGCCGCCTGGATGGGAGCCATGAGGTTGATGAGGCCGTCCGCGACGGCGGGCTTGAGCATTTGTGGCGTCAACTGCACAGGGTTGAGGTTAGTGGGGAAGGTGCAAACGAGGGGGAAAGAGGGGCAAGGTAGGCAAAAAACATACAACATCGTTCTTGTAGTCCTCCTCGAGCTGCTTGATGTCGGTGTAGATCAAGGGCTCCTGGTCCTTGCGCTCAACGCGGAACTCCTTCTTGCCCTTGAGGTCGGCGGCGGGCAGGAGGACGTATTCCACGAGAGCGATGACACCGTTGCCTTCGACGACCTTGGGGGCAGATTCGGCCTTCTTAATCTTCTTGGTGATGCTGTCGGCCGAGTCGAGTAGATCGATCTTGCTGTCTGTTTGGTTGGTGTGCGAGTTAGCCCGAGGCTCCAGAGCGATGGTGTGTGAGAGTATTACCTTCAATACTGGAACTCATCTTGGCGCCCTTCAATCCGCTGATCATGGGGTTGATGAGATGTGCGCGCTAGATGACATCCATTAGCCTTCGGCCAATTCCTGGCAAGACGATCGGAGGCAGACATACCTTCCGGTAACCAAGCTTAGGCAGCCACTCCACGGCAGCGGCAAAGAGTTTGCGCTGGTCCATACCACCCAGCTGACAATCCACCTTCAAGTGCTCCTCATCCAGAACCTGAAGCACAGGGTATAGCAGACCACTCAGGGGTGCATTGTCGGTCTGCTTGACGACCTCCGCACCGGCCTTCTTGGCATCCGACTCGGAGATCAAACTCGACAGGCGGTAAACATCCATGACATATTCGGGGGACTTCTGGTAGGAGCTGCCGAGCACGAACTCGAGCTTCTCGGTCGACACCCCGACGGACTCAAGAATGGCGGTGATGACCTTGCGGTAGTACTGAGCGCGGTTGTCCACCAGCTCCAGCGGCGCCTTCAGGTTGTCGAGGAAACCGTGAATGTCGGCGAGCAGGACGACGACGTCGCATTGGGCACGAAGCAATTGGGCGATCTTCAGGGCAGCGAGGAAGTAGCCGACGTGGGGTCTGCCGGTGGTGGCCGTTCCTAAATTCAGGGAACCATTAGTCGGTGCATGCATTACGACGTGGTGTTTAGACTGACTCACCCCAGTAGATGCGGGGATGGCGGCCCTCGGCCAGGATACCCTCGAGAATCTCGGGGTTCAGGACCTCAGCGAGGTTCTCCTTGATAAGATCATAACGTGCCTGCGCTGCGGAGTCCATCGTGACGAGCCAGAGCCAGAGCCGGAGCCAGGGATTGGGATTTGTGAGGGGGCAAAGACAAACGATGGGCAAGTGGGCTGATAAGATGGTGGGAGTGGGATGGTTTTCTCGAGGCGGGCGCAAACGGAACAATACTTCTTCCGCCTGCAATTTGAGTCAAGGTGGCGCGGCAGAAGCAGGCGGTCAGCGTCGGGCAGATACTTGATCCGTGATCCGGAAAGCTTCCGACTCTGGGTTCCGAGGTCCATTCCGCACTAATCGGCAGCCTTCCGCTGACTCAATATACTTCAAAGGAAAACACACGTATGGCGTTCTTTCCTTCATGTCGCTCCGTCACCTCTTATGCTGTACTCCTTTTAGCAAAACTCATTATGCTTCAGAAACGGGTTGTCAGCTTGATCGGTTTTGGGAATGACCGTCTGGATTTTTTCCTACGATTCAATCCTAATTGGTCGGGCTCAGAGCTGGTCCAGCGCACATCTCCAGTCTTCTTCCAATGCCAAACCGTATTTTTTTCTGGATGTCTGTGTCGCCGTATCTCCTGGAAGGGGGTAATTATTCATTCCTTTGGCATCTCATTGCTGGGAGCCACCATCACCTCAGGCTCTTCTTGCCAATATTGATCACGCCCTGGTCAGTCGCATTCACTTCCTAATCAACGAGGGCAGGTGTGATCATCCACAGTATGTGTGGTCTCGAGATACATCCAACAACTACTCGCATCTATAGATATCTATAGATAGTTAACAGCTATCGTTGGTCATCCTTGTTGAAACATAGTATATCCGGGTGCCATGTTTGGATTGTACATATTTCAGCACAACCACGCTAGCCTGGGATAAGGGCGAGAACGAGGAAAATATGTTCTAGGCAACTGCAAAAGGGCTATAAAAAGCCTTAGTAACTCTGATTGTCTTTACCAATTTCTAACTCTTTCTAAGCTGATACGCTTGTAACTAATTTGCTATATGCTCATCATGCTTGAGTGGTCTACTCATGTCTAAGGCCTGGAGGAGTAAATTTGAAATTACTAACTTCGTTTGGATGATGAGGCAGACACTGTGACGACCTAACCTACCTAGGTAAAGTATTTGTGATGTATTATAATGGTCGCCTTGTGATACTTGGAGTCCCCACTTTGCAAAATAGATCTAGCAGGCTAATTAATCAAACAGCCAAGTCTGCCTACTTCCCGCCTTTAAATCAGGCCCGGGCTGGCACTGGCCATCACTCTGGCCCATGCAACGCACTTCGTGTACGCACATCATTCATCATACAGAGGGCTGTGCAGGAGCTGTAAGGCTTGATCCCGACCAGGATAATCAATAGGGAAGGGTATATCTCAATACCTGCTGTGACAGTCAGCAAAATGTAATATTTCAGAAACGCCCACACTAATGCAACCTGGTCCATCGCCGTAGAGCTGGTGGGCCAGACAGAGCATGCCACAACCTCATTCGGGTGGGGTTAGCTCGTCCAATCAGGTCTGCAAGTTTAGATTGCTTGATTGGCTGGCAAAAGTACACCCTGGTCAGCACGACAAAAGACGCAGGTCAAAAGACTGCAACAGTCAAGTTTCCACGCGGAGCTGAACTTGAAACCGTCACCCACAGAGAGCTTCGGGAACCATAGAAGACTACCTTATCATCATGGGTGATGCTTTGCATACGAACCACGACAAGCTACACAGGTTATAGCGCCCTTTTTCTTCGACGAAAAAGCGGCTACGAGCAAATCAGAGCAAGGGATCTCGGCTGTCAGCAGCTGCGACGCCGCCGACGCAAATCAACACCCCCGACGCTCCGAGTTCTTCGCGCCCAGTGAGTGGTCAATCCATGAGGACGGACCGGAATGGAAATGGACAGAGTCAGTCGACTGCAAGCGATGCACAGTCACCAGAAACCAATACCCAAGCCCAGCCTGATCTGTGACAAAAAGCACTACAAGAAGCGCAGAAGTCTACCGACTGGAGATCGCACCAAAAGAAGTATGATGAGGCAATTCGAAAATGCAACGATGTCAACGGATGTTTATTCACCGAGTTCTTGTTACAGACAAACCCTTCGATGGAGATATCCAATGACCTGATTCTGTGGGCTATTGAAGCCTCCAGGAGCCCCGTCGAGATCATTGGTCTTCTAACTCGCCACGGGACAGCAGTTCGAAGCTTTTCGCGGTCAGATGTCAAGGCGGCCCTCGAGCATGTGAGCGGTGTTTCCGGGATTATGGCCGCTCTTTTGAGATCCTCTCCCGGATTAGATGTTGACCAAGAAGCTTTTACCAGAGCGGCTTCACAATACAGGGTTCTGCCCGAGGATTTGTGGCTTCTTTTCTCTCGTGCCACAGATATTTCTCTCACCGGAGAGCTCATTGACGGTATAGAGACGGCTGCGTCTGACCAGATCGTCAGTGAAGTTGTTTTTTCGAGTATATTTGAGCAAATTACCGATGAGCTCTTGACGATCGCTCTAGGTAACGGATATATCTGTGGGACTGGTGACTATAGTCATGATTACAAGCCTCCATGGCTAACGATGGTCCAATTACTTTCGCGGGCTCCGGACACCTTGGAACTGTCAGAAGAGACCCTGTACCTTGTTTGCAAATCTACACACTGAATTATGGAGCAGGTATTTCTGCGTTGGCCAAATGTGCATCTGTCACAACGTGCGGTCGACGCTACTGTGGATGATTTACGAAAATTTCCTACGCTTGTGAAGGAAAGACCTTCTATCAAGGTCTCTACCGAGGCTATCACATCTCTGTGCAATTCATGGAGAAACCCAAATCGGGTCGATACGATGAAGGAGATTTTAATCTTCCAACCAGGTGTCATCCTCACGGAGGAGATGTTCCTTGCCGCTACTGAATACTCAGAGGTCTTCGATGCGCTTTTGAGACATGAACCTTGCGTGAACTTGACAGACAATGTGATTGGACGTGCAATGAGCCGCATGAACCGGACTAACTTGCTGCGCGCGATATTAGTAGCCCGAAAGGATTTCCACTTCAGCCCGCAGTCGATCAGTATAATATGCGATCGATATGGCTATGATAAGGATATCCAGGCTTGTGTGACTGAAGTCTTAGCTAGATCGCGGAATACCATCCTAGGCGAAAATGAGATGTGCGACGTTGTCAAAACAGGCTCGCCAGGAAGTCTTGGGGTTATACTGTCGCAAAGGCCAGATGCGGTTGTGACGGAGAATGTCGTCAAGTATCTCATGGATGTCATCAAGGCTGATAGAGGTGCTGAGAACTTTCTTCGCAGATGGCGCTATGAATTCGAGGATGAGGCATTCGATATGTTGCTTGAGCGATCGGGCCTGATCGATCTCAAGCGTCAGATGTTGAAATCTCAAGTTCGTAAATTGATTTGGGGTTGATCCAAATTCAGAGTCAGAATTCGCTGTGGTAAGCTTTGGCTCTGCTTACTGTATTGATTGTTCAAGATATAGATGAGCATGTCTAGAAGGTTCAGAATATTGCTCGATGAGAATTGACTCAGCTGAGTTGCGAAATGAGCTTGGAAACAATTTGCATAAGCTTGGACATCATTGATTCAATAGAGTATGTATTTCTCTAGAAACTCGAGCTTGGGTTTATTGTCATAGTCTAGACTATTAAAATCTCCTAAGTTATGATCTCAAATTAGGGTTGGACTTAAGTGAGTTATTGGTCCGTGCGTGCGCTTGCTTATGGGAAGACCATCTATGGCCGTTTCCGCTACTGTATCTGTGATATAGGAGAGGTATCCGACTACTTGTAGCTAAAGAGGCTCTGTGGAGCTACACAAGAAGCCACGTCGGCTCGCGATAGAAAAGGTGCGAGTTGGAGAAAAATTGGTGAGATGGGATTTTCAAGGCGAGAATTTTCAAGGTGAGAGATCCTAGAGAGGAGAAAGACAGGGCAACAAGAAAGGGCAGTAAGGATTGCTGATACAGTAAGAACAATAAGTGCAAAAACATACAACAGAAGGGATTCGCTGGTGGTCACCCACCCAACTACTAACCTCCCGGCGTGTGGCTTGAGTACGGCTGAGCGGACGGGAAGCCCTATTTTCCACACCCTGTGGTCGTATGTGATTGAACAAGATACAAATTAGTCTGAGATCAACGAGAAACAAATCGTTTGCAGGATGGCTGCGAAAAAGCCCGTCTCAAACTGATAGAAGGCTTGATGGAGGTGATATTCCGGCCGTTCAGACAAACTGGCAGACATAGTGACTAGGACTGAAATCGGTCTATCAACAAGGTCTTTGAGCCTCCGTCACACATGTTATGCATCGTTCGGTAGTCAAAAGATGGAACTGTGGCACATAGTCGGAGATTCCTACAGGGGTTGTGACGGGTACTGTACATATATATACATGATTGGTGCAAAGGCCACTATCCATCCCTAGCTCTTTTATATACCTACCATTAGAGTTCGTCATGCCTAGCGCCTGCACTGTTCTGCCTTAGAAGTAGGTTTTCCCTCCGCTTCCACGCCAACCTCGCAGCACCGTCCGCCGCCATAGTCATTTCCTTCAACGAACCAAGAATAGGAACTCCATCCCCGATAGCCTCCCGAACAGCGCGTCGCACGAGCTCGCCATCAAAGTGGTCCGTCAATACAATCGCATAGTCCACCCTCTGGGCTTTCGTTGCGCTTGTCTTCTTGCGTGATCCTAGGGGTAGCATTGTTAGATCAGTCATGATATAGATTCTAGGGTACGTGGTTCGGGGTCCATACGTCTGGTAGCTTGCAGGTAAGCATGGATACTTCCTGCCAGAGTCTCCACATACTTGTCTGCAACCGCCGTGATTTGGCTACGTGTGAGGACCAAATCTGGGAAGTTCCCATGTGCCCACCAGGAGTCCAGATTGATCGGAAGTTCGGCGAGCATTTCCCCGTCATCGTCTTCGTTACCACCAGCCTCATTCCGCAGCGGCCGCTCCAAACCCAGCAACAGCTCGACTGCCGGGTCATACCCCATCAACGTCAACCTTGCCTTCTGTACCGCGTGTGTCAGAAACCCCCGGTCGCCTCCCTGGTTAACCAGAGTCCTCAAATAGGGATCACCGCTAACAATCTCATCCACAAGCTGGTGTTGAATGCGGTCACTCGCCCACGGAGTCAACGGAAGATATGGATACCCTGATCGGCGGCGGCGGCGGGTTTGCGGCCTATCGTACAACTGAACGCCACAATGGAACTGTCCTTGGTGGATAACCAGTACCCTAGCATCGGCGTCAATCGCCGGATTCAGATAGTGCGTGCAGAACGAGCGCGGGGGAATTGCCTCCTCGAGGATTGTGATTCCCGCCTGCTGCCCGGCTTGCATGACGGCATGTTTCAGGGTGTCGTTGAAGAAGTCCGGCACACCGACCACGGCCCAGGTCACGTTGACGCTATGAGCTTCAAAAGCCGTGGTCTTGATTTCGGTAAATACTTCGGTAAATGTTTTGATAATGTCGGGTATAGACAGCTTCTTCTTCAAGAGGCCGCACGAGATGAGGGTGGACCTGATCCTCCGCTTGATAGGGATGGGGATAGCCCCGGAGACATCATCGTAAATCGAACGAATCGAACCTCGAGTCCAGGCGACATATGAAGTGCTACTAACGGCGAATCTCGCATCGATGACCTGGAAGAATTGCCAGGCGGCGCTCCTCATGAGCGCCAACGGCGTCGAACCCCGGGAGTTCGGCCCCGGCCCCGCTAGCCCTGATTGCCAAAAGTGATTCATGGACAATTCTAGAATCTGTTTCTGATAGTCTTGGTGTTTGACTGCGCCTAAGAGCGTGAAACTGTCTGCGGAGTTGGCGTAGGAGGCCATGATAAGATGGTGACCAAGGTCAATGCCGATGGGTTCGTTGAGGGGTGCATTCTCGCACGTCTCCTGCGCCACAGCCGCAAAGGAGACGGACCACAACAGCAGAGCCAGAAAGACTCTGGAGACGATCATATCGTGGCTGTAGTCAGTCTTATTCTTCCTTTTGCTTCATATATTTGTTCTTTTCTTTTTTTTTTCCCTTCTTTCTCTACAAATTTGAGGCCGGTGGGTGGTTAGCTCTATTTATTGGGAGGTCGCTAGGCAGAATCGGAGCTAAAGCGCATCGTGCCTGAACCGAGTGGATAAGTGGAGACCAATGGAGAAGGGGCTACGATCTCGGGAGGTATCCCGGGAGGAGTCTGGTCGGCTTGACCCGCTCACATTGAATGTCAACCAGATAGTTCTACCTTATATCAAGAACAAAACCATGTATGTATGTATGTGCTCACAGACAACGGGCTTGCTGAACGGCCTATTTGGAAGGGCAACTCCGATGAGATAAGCCCTTCAAAAGAGGTGGTCGATAGGTGTACTGTCGGCAGAATATTAGTTGTTCCTACCACAAGGCCGTGACCGCCCATTAAGGTCGCAGCAAAATTCCTTAAGACTGCAACACATCAACTTAATAGCATGTCCCATGCAATTTTAACTATTATTCTACTAGCTATCTCATATCTTGCGCATCACAAGCATGTTCGCAATGAGAATATAGCTGGAGCTCTAGGGATGACATTTGTCGGCGCCCGGCTGCTTTCCCTCGCTCGCTTACTATCTCGTCGAGTTTCAGCATCCTTGAACCCATTATGCGATACTCTCGTGTACAATCCCTTTTAACTGCTATTGCCACTTAACAGCATCTAGGATGTGTGTTAGGACGGTAGAACTGTTCCCAACCGAGCAGTAAACGCAAACCATGTGTGAGTTAAATACTAGTCCCTTTGTTCTAAAACAGGATAGGCCGACCCATGCTTGTCTCCCCATGATCCCTTTGTTTTGAACATCATATAAGAGAACTTTCAGAAATAATTGTTCCACTTTTTTTGGTCCCTACATCACCTCCTCACCTCCTCAACTCCTTCTATTTCTTCTTCCATGAATATCCACTATATGCCGTCTCCTGCCCGCCAGCATCCCAGACGGAAGCGCCGTGTTTACCATCCTCCTCCACTGTTCTGGGATAAACTGACTAAGCTGTGGCTGACCAAGAGCGCTTTACTTGAGAACAACCGACGAATCCTATCTCTATCCTCAACCCAGACTTCCTTGCCCAAGCTATACACCTTTGCCCCTGATTTCTTGCGCAGTTGCCCCGCTACTTGTTTACAAGAGATCAGAAGACTTTCCCGCTGCGGAGGTCCGGATCTATCGGATCTTAGGCATGTAAGTTGCTTATCTGTCCAATTCATCTCCATGTCTATACCTAAAGTAAGACATATCAACTAATCTTGCGCTCAGCATCCCCCACCAGCCGACTTCTGTCAGTACTCTACAGTGCCTACCAGCTCAGACTCAAGACGCCCTACCACCATGTGCACTCAGACTTGGATTGGGAAGACCACAGTCTATGACCCGCACTTTGAGAACCATCTACTTCAAAATGGTATCTATATGCCATTTTCTAGATATCCAGATGGTACCCGACCATCCAAACCGAAGAACTTTGCGGAGATCACGAGAAGAGTACAGGCCCCTCGCCCGTCGTCAGCATTGTCGAGAAGCACGACTCTTGACCAGGAGTACGAGGACTTCCTCGAGCTCAATCAAGATGCTGCTGACGATCAGGTAGTCATCACGGAGGTCTTGCCAGTTCTCGAGGGCAAGCACCGGGCTCGTTCCCAGGTTGCGGGCGGGCACCCATTCAAGAACCTGGCCCCTTTGACCGACGGCACCCTCGCCAGTGCGAAGCCCGATCTCTACCACGGCGCACGACCCAACCAGCTCGCGCCCGCCATCCAGAAGCAGCTGGACAAACAGATCCTCCCATCACGCCAGAGCAATCGTCCAGTGGCCCCGAACCTCTTCATCGAGGCCAAGGGTCATGATGGCACGGCCCGTGCAGCCATGCGCCAGGCGTGCTATGATGGTGCGCTGGGGGCGCGCGCAATGCATTCCCTCCGGCTGTTTGGGGGGGTGAGGGACGGCGGATATGACGACAATGCCTACACTATCATGTCGACATATTGTGCTGGAACCCTGGGGATCTACGCGACTCACCCGACCAAGTCTAGGAGCCCAGATCGTCCCACTGACTATGTGATGACACAGATTGGGCATTACTCGCTAATCGGCAGTCCAGAGTCCTATCGACAAGGGCTGGACGCCTTTCGAAATAGCAGAGACCTGGCTAAAGAATACAGAGACGAGATCATCCGGCAAGCAAACCATCGATATGCGGGCTTTATGCAAGGTCGCCCCGACGCAGAAGCTAAGATCTCAACTCAGTCTGCAGGAGCGCGGGTCTAGCGGAATTTTGGGGTTGGTGGGGGTTCGTTCCTCGACTCTGTGGCAGGTCTGGGTGAGCAAGGCCCAGATGGTTTTCGACTTGGTCACAATTACACCTGTTGCTTAGGGCAGAGGGCACGAGATGAATTGAGTGCGCTGGATTCTTGGACAAGGGTTTTCCAACGCTATTCTGGAGAGTAAGTTACCATTGGGCATCGAAGTGGACGATAGAGGACGAGCATCAGCCGTCTATTAGGGCATCTGTTGCTCGACCCTTAGGGCATGGATTGCGGCAGAAGGACGTGCATATGTGGGGCCAAAAATAGGAGCAGAAAAATTTATGCTCAACCTCGGGATCGAACCGAGGACCTTCTGTGTTTTTATTGCAGGGCAATGTAAGACAGACGCCTTAACCACTGGGCCAGTCGAGCTTCTTTTACGGCTGTTGTCGCCGTGTTGATATTATGATCTATGTGAGTCTCATTTTGCATGTCCGCAGCCGCAGCACCTGACCCTTACACACATCAATGGCTTCTATCCTCTTTGCTCGTCTGTGACTGAATATTTAAGTAAGAAAATTTCACATCCTTCTATAGACTGAGGCGAAACTGCTTCGGCTTTCCTACCACCATTGAGTCCATCTTCCTGGCCATGGAACGGCGCTCGGTAGTTATTATCTTGAGCCCAGATCGGTTCCCGTCAGTTATGAGTATCGAGCGACCGCGACTTCAGTTGTGGTACCAAATGCAAAAAGAAAAGTGAAAAAAAAAAAAGAAAAAGAAAAAGCCTCGGACATGTATTACGGCCAAGACATAAGTCTAAGCCAGGTAATCCGTGGAAATGTACGCTTGCCCCATGGAAACATCGTGTTCGCACATGATACTAGCTAGCATGGACTGATAGCATTGTTCAACACATGCATCAACAGAAACCTGTATTGTCCGCCAAGAGTAAGTTTGATGATGTTATTTTACATAGATCTAAGGCTCACCTGACGACCGTTCCTCCTACCAGCTTGTCCCAGAAGCCGGTTCGCTGAGAACAATACCTGGTGACATGATAGAATGAAGGCGAACCCCGTAGTCTAAGCATAGTTTCAGAGAACCCAGCCGGATATGTTGTCTTACAAGGAAAGTCAGCTCGTAGCCCCAAATCAGGAACAAAGCTGACGCCGATAGTCCGATAGGTGAACTCAGTGAAAATATGCGGCTGACTACCCCAGACGTAGGGATAAATCCTCTCTTGCGGACACAGTACGGGCATCGGAGGTGTTGCGTTGGTAGCGTCTCAGTAGCATTTCATACAGTTGTATACTATCATCTCTGTCGATTTTTATGTGATTGTCTCGCCATTCCTGATACTCTGCTACCATTTCCCATGCGATCTGCAGCGCTGCATATCATGGATGAACATCTTTTCACCCAATTAATGTCCCCATGAGATGATATACCTCTACGTCTAGAACCGCTTATTGAACGCTACCAGCGCAAGCCTGCTTTGGTCTATCAACAAAACCACGGCGAAGCATTCCCCTCGTGGGAAAACTCGCGCCTACAGAAGAGTCGTCAACTGCATTTTGAAATGCTTAATAGGAACTAGAAAGAAACTGGGGACGATAGCCAGGACCCTATTCTACGAGGTCAATTAATTTCAGTTTTTACTTCGGGGCTGTTGACGTTTTCATATCTTCCACGCACACTGCCTAGCTATCACTACAACTCTGAGAGCTACAAATCAATCAAAAGAATCTTCTCGGCTAGCCTTACTGATGTGTTCTTTTCTGGAACATGTTGGGTTTTAGATACCTACCATAAATGTCGGTCGCTCGTCATAAGGGTCCTCGGAGAAGCGATTGGATCCGTGACGAGGATACACTCATTATCGGCAGACTGGTTGGGCACGTGGACTAGGGGTACCGTACCTACCTAGCAAAGGAACAATATAGGAACCATTCTATTTGCAGAGGGTCCAGATGCTCAGAAGGAGATAATGTAGTTACCTAGCTAGGTACTACATCCTTCACTTTCGATCGCGAACAGTGGTTGGCTGCTCCCCCTCATTATCGGTGCTTCAAACAAGATTGCGGGAGAGATGACGTGCGAGGACTTTTGAGACAGACCAATCAGTCTTCTTAATCCATATTTCATGGATGATTCGCAATTTAGCCGTGAAGAATTGCAATGTCGCGGCTACTGGCAAGCTTCCTTGCATTCGTCTTTGCTCATTACCACCTCTTCCCCTCCACGTGTTTGAATATATAAATAGCACGCGTCTGAACAGCATCTATGTCAACAACATCAGGACATGTCAAAGTAATCAACCAGAAAGCCTCTGCCAACTCAAAGATGTCACAAAATATCACCCCTGTCCCAAACCCCACCGCCTCATACTGGCTCAGCGAACCACACTGGCTAAACAACCACCGCTCAACCCCCGAGCTTCCTTCCCACGCCGATATTGTCATAATCGGCACTGGGATTGCGGGTGTGTCCACAGCATACCATCTCACCGAGACCTACAAACTAGCCACTCGCAATCGCAATAGCAACCTCAACGACACCGCACCCCCCTCGCACCAAGGCCAAAGAAGAGCGGAAACGCCACCACCTTCAATCCTCATTCTCGAGGCCCGCACAGTGTGCTCAGGCGCAACAGGCCGAAACGGCGGCCACATCAAGAAACTCCCGTCAAGTATCAACGAACTCATCCAGGGGCATGGCTTTGCCGTTGCCGGGGAAATTGTGCGGTTTATAAAAGAGAATATCTATGCCGTCAAGGATGTTATCGAGAAAGAGGCGATTGCAGCCGAGGCGGAGCTACGGAGGAGTTTGGATGTGTGTCTCGATGAGGATGATGCGAAGGCCGTGAGAGAGGAGTATGAGAAGTTGAGGGGGGACGGCTTTCCGCTGATGGAGGATGTAGGGTGTATCACGGGAAATGGGGATAAGGGGGTGGTGGAGAGGGTATGTACGGTCGATTTGGGATTATCAAGATCTTCAAGGGTCTTGATTGCTAATGGTGTGGCCACAGATAACCTCACTTCATGGCGCAGAGGTAGCCCTCAGCACACCCGTCCTCTCACTATGGCCCTACAAATTTGTGACCCAGCTGCTAGAACGAGTCTTGCGTACAGGATACGCAAACCTACAAACAAACACACCAGTGACAGCTATCGAGACACAGGCCACTGAGCAATCCGGTGATCGAGAAGAACAATACGTGATAAAACCCCCGCAAGGCGACATCAAAACTTCAACCGTCATCCTCGCAACAAACGGATACACGGCCGGCCTCCTTCCCCAATACCACAATGTCATCACCCCCGCAAAAGCCACCGCATCGCACATCGCTGTTCCACCAGACCACTATCCGCCGTACCTCTCTAACACGTATAACATTCGGCACGCGTCTGATCGCGTCGATTACTTGAATCCGCGACCGGACGGCGGCATAGTCGTTGGGGGAGGAAAGGAGGCGTACCGCGACCACCGCGAGCTGTGGTATGATGTCTTTAATGACTCGACTCTCGTTGAGCCGGCGAGGCATTACTTCGATGGGCTGATGCAGAGGCATTTCCGGGGTTGGGAGGAGAGTGGTGCTGTTACGGAGAAGGTTTGGACGGGGAGTGAATTGGTCTACAACGTCCCACTCGATCTCCTATGACAGGAGTTCTTGATGCTAATAGGTATTTCCCAGTCCAAGGCATAACCAAAGACGGCATGCCCCATATCGGAAAGGTCCCAGGGACGTCAGGTCAGTACGTACTTGCGGGCTATAATGGAGGAGGAATGGCGCTTGCGTTTCTAGCTGCAAAGGGGGTTGCGAAAATGGTAGGATATGGAGTTGGGTTTAGCGAGACAGGTGTCCCAGAGTGTATGAAGACAACAAGAGAGCGGATGGGTAAGGGTCAATGAATGCGAGATAGTCGGCGCCCAAAAGCTTTTAAAGGCCACGTCAGTATTTGAGGCTTAGCGGGTGAAGTTTTGGGGGCTCCAGACCCTTGAACCGAAAGACTTAAGGTAGGGCAGCACGGGTGTTGGAGCAAAAGAGCAAACCAGGTCAAAAAATAAAAAATAAACATGCGATTAAACCTATTTTTATTTGAAATAGCCTAGCTTTTAGAGATATGGACTAGTTTCCTGTAAAAATATAAGCTATTTTTAAATAGGAAGCTGCTTATTTTTATGAATGATATTTCCGTACCCAGCTAATACCAACTACTACTACTGTATATAGAAGTTAATAGATTTTAAAAAAATAAAAAGTTAAAACTATTTTTATTTAAATATAAAACTGCAGAGAATACAGTTCCTATCGGGTACGTTAAACGCCCGACTACAGAGAGACCACACTATCGATGAGTCCCTAATACTCCCCTAATGAGGTCTAGGTGGTGCTTGCAAATGGATCGCTTGTAGATGCCAACTTGGGAACCTATCCCAAGCTCTACTGGGCGCTGAGAGGGGAAGGCATCACTTTCGCAATTGTCACCCGGTTCGACATGTACGGGATCCCCCTCGTCAACATGTGGGGAGGCCTACGGAACTATACCAAGGAGTGGATTCCCACCATCGTCGACATCTATGTTGAGCTAGGTTTCCACTCCCCATTAGAGCCCTCCACCTCGCAGATCACAACCTTGTTCTACCGGGACGATGAGTATACCGCCGCAGTCCATCTCACCAACACCGACCCCGAACCGAGCCCGCTGCTCTACGACACGGGGCTGGCCCAAGTACCCTACACGAGCGACACATACTCCATCACGCGCCAATCCCAGCTGGCCCAAGACCTGACCGACGGCCAACCGAACGGGCTGCGTCAGACCTACTGGACCGCCACTCACCTCCTCGACCGGGCGCTCGCGCACTTCATCCACCAGGTCTTCGAGGAAGAGACCACCGCCCTGGGCCCCCTCGACGGGCTCGAGGCGCGCTGCATCATGCAGTTCTTTGCGAACAATACCCTCCACCCCATGACTAAAAACGGGGGCGACGCGCTTCCGATCGCTGGGGGCGATCAGCCACTCATCATCGTTAACCCGGCCTTCCGATGGCAGCTGGCGAGCGATGATCTAAAGGTTATGCAGGCTAATCAGAACCTGTTCACGCGCGTCAAGTTTTACGCCCGGCAGCGGGGCCTTGACGTTGCATTCCTGTACATGTCGTATGCCAGTGAGTTCCAGAATGTGTTCGCGACCTATGGCCAGAGGAATCTCGATCGGTTGCGTGAGGTAGCGAGAACGTATGATCCGGATGGGTTTTTTCAGGCGCAGACACCGGGGTATTTCAAGCTTAACGGGCGGGTGGGCTGGTGAGAGGCGTTTATTGTAGGCTGGAGAAAGAAGGCTAATTCTTTCGTTTATAATTTTTGTTTTTCACTTGTCGAGGTTCGCAAGCTAATATCGTGATCACTTTTTCTACATGCTGTCTGTATATTCTCCTGCTGATTAATTCTAATCATTGCATCCAATTCCTTCAGGTACCACCTGGATCTCCAATCCTCACAGTTCTTGCCCACGAGTATTCTAGGAATGATGTGGTGGTCTAACGGCCCTTGAAGTTGAAGAAGCAAGGCATTACACGAAACAGAGTTTTGGAATCGATCTTTACGAGTTTATTCGTGTTGCATCACGAGTCTCTGTTTTACCTACTTGCTCCCTCTCAGACCCTACAAAGTATTTATTACACAAGATAGAAACAGTCTTTGTACTGTACATCAGAGCTCTTTCCCCCAACCCCCTCATTTCAGCCGAATCTCAAGCAGCTGAGCCCCGACAGCCGTTTCGACACCATCGACATCCACATTGACAGCGCTAGCACCGCCCGTCGTGACGAAGATGGTGTTCTCCTCGTTCTCCCCGCGCCCAAAGAACACCCCCGTTGGCTCCGCAACCTCCGTGGAGTCCTCAGCGCCCGCAATAATCTCACTGCCCACGGCCACTCCCTCCTTTGTGAAGATCACCTGCTGGATGGTATTCTCCGTCGCGGTCGCCAGGTAAGCAAACCGATACTCGCTACCGTAGGTGGCATTGAGCGCAAACCCGGCAGGCGCGATGGCGAAGTCATCGAACTGACTGCCCTGGTAGATCAGCTGGCCGGTTCCAGCCGTGACGTTCGAGAACAGCTCCGCGCGGTAGAGGGCGCCACCAGCCGTCCAGTACACAAAGTCCTCCGCGACTTTGATGCCGTTGATGGACGACATCAACGATTCCTGGGCGATGGCCTCCCAGCTGGCGCCGGTCGTTGTATCGATGGCGAAGATGGCGTCCTGGTAGCTGGCGGTCGCGAAGAGGATGGTCTCGTTGAAGGCGGCCAGGCCGTTGAAGCCCGTGGGTGCGGTGGGGCGGCACAGCAGTGAGATCTGCGGGTTGTTGCTGTTCTGGGTGAAGTCGACCTTCCACACGTGCGTGGCGTTGTTGGGCGGGTCGCTGATATTGTCGGAGGTCGTGTTGGCGCCGGCCACGTAGAAGACGTCGTGGGCGCCCTCGGCAATCCCTGACAGCCCCAGGACGGAGTCGAAGGTGTGGATCACCTTCTTCTGAGGGGGGTTCGTCTGGGGATTGACTGCCAAGAGGCTCGCCGGAGGGCCGATCTCCGTGGCTAAGACGATGCCGTTGGAGCGGGTGGCCAGGTTCTCGAGCCAGGTGTCGTTGGAGGCGAATTGGAAGACGGTCCGCACTGGAAGCTGGGCCGCAGTGGCGGTCGCTGCCAGGGATGAAGCTAGGGCGATAGATGGACGCATGATGATCGCAGAGAGGAAGCAATTGGTTGGTGAGCTGGGTAGAACAGTTCTATGCCAAATGATCCTGCGGCCATTGGCGACTTTTATAAAGCTCGCTCGAGGAAAGGAAAGGGGAAAGAGCAATAGGATGCGAAGCCTACTAGATTGATTAGATTCGATAAGTTCATGACTATGACGCGGCCCCGGCCGCTGGGCTCCACCTTACGCCCCGGGTTTACGTAGAGTTAGAGCCAGACGCTACTAGGTAAGGCCAAAAGCGGACGGATGTAGCGCGCTGCGGTGGGGAAATCCCCATCCCCCCTTTACCCTAATGAGAAAGTGACTCGGAGATAGGGCCCTGCATGGTAAAATGGTTCAGTGCGGTTGGCTTGCTCGGATTTAGTTGCCGGAAACTGGACACCCTTGCGCAACATCGGCCTTTCTTGAAGTTTCGTCAGCACTTCTGCTTGGGAAATAATAAAATACTCAAGGACAGGGGTGAGGGTTGCACACGCGTCTTGTTTCCTGTCCCGCGCATCAGCCTAGATACTGTTTCACACCCAACAAAAAGAACAATTAAGTTGCGTGGTTGGAATGCACAGACTCCAAGTCCTCGAGACTAGACAGCATTGTCGCCTCATGAGCTTTGTGGCTCGAGCTCTCCGAACAGTCAATCAACCCACTCGGGATGTCTCAGCCGTCTGTTATCTAGGGCCAGTCTTCAAAATATACTAGGGCGGGCTGTGAGTATTTGGACACCATGGTTGTGATGATTTGACCCCGTGAAACGTCCTAGCAGAAGTTATCCGTTCTTTCTTACTAAGCTTCTAACATCACAAATCATCGAGACTCTCTCTAACTCCTTTCCCAACCATACTCGCGACAAGCCAAAGCCAGAGCCCTGCCCAAATGTCACTATCAGACAAATCAGACATATTCTCTTCTGCCAAGCGCATGAGGTACTTGGTCCTGCCCTCGATCGCCAGACAGACCCTCCTAAACCCAATCATATTCCAGCGGCCTTTTGCGTCATACTCGTTATACAAATCGTCCTCAGACGCTATCTGCTCTAGCCAGTTTCGGATCGGGGTCGACTCAATCTGAGACAAACGCAGATGAGGCCCCGAACGTAGCCCCTCCTCTTCCTCCTCGTCACCATCACCAGTTAGGGGAGTCAAACACAAGAGGAGATGCTGAAGCCACCAATTGCGTACTGCCGAGAACCGATCGCGGATAATCAGCCGTGCTAGGTTTTCAACTTGGTGGTGAGGTGCAAGCATATAGACGGGGTATTGGTTAGGTGACTGTCGACCCCGATAGTTCAAGCTGCCGAGCATCATTTCGGGGAGGTCGGAGTCGTCCGTGGTCACGTACATTCTGGCGTCCCGGTCCCTATTACGTCGCCCCTCCTCGACATACCAACGTCCCGGATCGTGGTGGTACGAAGCGGGCCCGGTAGGGGGATCTAGGTAATGGTCGGCAATGAGCAGTTCCTTCGAGTACAGAAGAACCTCGCGGCTCTGGTTAGGATCCTCCCGATGACGGGGGTAGAGATGGTCCGTATGAAAGTGGTACGCCGGTGCGGGGTATTCGCTCAAGGAGAGCTCATCCTCCTTCGGCGCTCTCGGCACTCTCAGCACGGCGCATTTCCTTCTCTCTTCTCCTTGTTGTCTGTCCGCCGGACACTCAGGGAAGTCGGTCTCTCGAAGCACCTTTGCAGCCTGGGCAAGGTCGGCTTGTAGGATAGCCCAGGCGGAATGATGCGCCGCGATCGGCACACCGAAAATGCTCATCGCCGTCTCTCCGCAGAGCGCACAGCGGATTCCAGCCTTGTGGAGCAGGAACGATATCCTCCGCTCTAGTTTGGGGCTGGTAGGCGCTATCATTGGAAAATTCTCTTCCGGGGGAGGAACGAGTTCTAAATCCTCAGACCTGGGTTTCGCTCCTGGAGAGATTTGACGTCCCGGTTTCACCCGCAGCCATTCTGGTAGCTCGTCCCATCCTGGTAGGTCGTCTGTATCCTCTTCAATCACTGAGCAGCAGTCTTTCCATTCGCTTTCAGAGTCAGTATCGTCGGGGTAAGACATGGTGAAAGGCCAAGAGCTTTCGACGAGTTACGGGCTTATCACACGCAGCCTGACTGAAGCGTGCAAGGATGTGGCAGAACAACAGGTGGTAGTGTTCGCATGCTTATATATGCGATGATCTCATTCCACTTATATCCAAGATCTCGGGTGCTTACTTAATTGATTACTGCTTCTTTTGTATGCCAATGCTCCTTGATTCAGGATCCAAGCTCATTCATTATATGTTTAGTACCTCCAACTCGAATACATTTCCGCTTTGTTGCAGCCTGTGAACCTCGTGTTGCCAGGTACTCTATCGGGGCCTTTTTTGCCCTAGGCCTTGTTGTGAGCAAAATCACCTCCTGTAAACAATATTTGTCCCTTTTGTACATTGTTTCGCAGCCTTTGTCTGACTTGATAGACCTACATTCGCCTGAGAAGTCTTTGTAGTGGCCATAGTCTTTTCAATCACCAAAGAACAATCCACCATCTCCTGTTCAGTCTCTGTAGCTACTGGTGAAGTAGTGGCAACTCTCAGGCGGGTATCATAGATTACCTTCTTTGAGTTTTTCATCTCTTCTTGTTCTCGCTTCCATCTATCTAAATTAAATTTCTACTTGAGGCCATGTATTTGGCATGCCGGATCCTAGCCTTGTTTCCATTATACAGTACAACCCTAAGTTTGATATTAAAAGTAAGCTATTGGCTGCTACCAAGCCCAACTCGTGGGTGTATGCCGGTCGCTCTGTAACGAGGTGCAGCCCTGTGGAAATGGGAAGTTCACCCCCGTGGTCGCTGGTGAGGAGGTTCATGTGGCTGACGTTCAAGCTTGAGGCCGGGACGAACCTTGAGAAGATTCTATTTTGCGTTTGTTCCTCGATTCTATGTGCTGTTTATTTCTATATCATGTAGTGTGTTCTGGTGGAATCCAAATGTCTTCTCATTTTGCACTCGCCTGCTATGGATCTAGAATATTATCAAAGTCGAATCAGCCTTTCGATAAACCCCATTTCATATTAGTTCTCGGGCAGGATCTCTAGACTTACCTTCTGCGATAAATCCTTTGGAGTGGTGGTGGTGGAAGGTATATCGGGGTTGCGAATGCCGATAACTGCCCCTCTGACAAGTCGGATGTGCAGCCAGTAGAAGGATTTCACACATCAGATTCTGGCTACCCAACCATGCTTAGCACAAGGCTGTAGGCAGAACCAATGGTACATCACTTCTGACTTCATCAAGTCATGCCAGGATCCATCGTAGGTGAGCTCTAGAGCCCCATACTCTGCCCCGCTTGCTAGTGTTTCATTCTCGTATTACCCATGTATTGGCATATACTGTACTGTGGAGCTGACCGTCCATGGCCTCTTTCCATTCTTTGTGCTGCATAATTAGACTTTCACCCCAAGCTGCTGATATATGAGATACGAGAAGCTCCGTGCCCCTCAAAACATTGCGTGCATATGATTTGCGACTCGATTACGAGCGCAGGCAGTAGAGGGCGTCATGGCTGTCAGACGGATAGGCTATTCGGGAACCCGGCGAACCGTTCCCTCCTCGCCAAGACGAGCAACCATGCAGCGGTACGACTATGCTATAAAGTTGTCTGCTGTCCACACTCATCCAACCCGTCCTCATAAATAGTAGCACTGTCAGCAACAAACAAAGCCTTCTCGAAAAAGTATCGTTTGAAGGTGGAACTACCCATCCACTCTCAAAAGATGTCCAACTCAACCACAATGCGGGCGATCATCCAGCCCGACGCAAACGCCAAAACCCTAACCCTAACCACCGCCGCCCTCCCGACCATCGACCCTGCAAAGGGCGAGCACCTCATCCACGTCAAAGCCTGCGCGCCATGCGCTGGAGAGCTCCTCTGGCCCAAGAACTTTCCCCCACCCAATCCGCGAGAATTAATTCCCTGCCCGGACGTCGCCGGGACCGTCGTGGCCGGACCCAAGGACTCGCCCTTCCAGCCGGGCGACGAGATCTACGCGCGAACTAACTATCTGCGCCCGGGGAACGCGCGCGATTTCACCATCTGCGTCACTGGCGAGATGGCGCACGTGCCCAAGGGCCTGAGCGCTGTGGCGGCCGCAGCCATCCCCGTGTCGGCGGAGACGGCGTGGCAGATCTTGTTCATCCATGCGGGGGTGGCCGGCCCCGGGGAGGTGGATCTTGCTGCTGCGGAGCAAGCGTGGAAGGGGAAGCGGGTGCTGGTGACGGCTGCGTCGGGCGGGGTGGGGATCTGGGTCACGCAGCTGGCGACGCTTCTAGGGGCGGAGGTGGTGGGGACGTGTGGTGCGGCCAATGTGGAGCTGGTGCGCTCGTTTGGCGCCGCGGAGGTGCTGGACTATCGGCAGGTGAGTCTGCGGGCGTGGGTGGAGGAGCAGCCCGGGCGGAAGGTAGATGTGGTGATCGATTGTATCGGGCGGCAGTCGCTTCAGGATGCGTGGTGGGCGGTCAAGGAGGGAGGCGTCGTGCTGAGTATCTTCCAGCCGCCGGAGCAGGTCAAGCCTGAGGGCTGGGAAGGATCAGGGGTGCGGAGCGTGTTTTTCGTCATGGAGCCAGTGAGGAGGCATCTCGAGGAGATCACGAAGCTCGTGGAGCTTGGAAAGTGTCGCGGGATGGTGGACAGTGTTTGGCCGTTGGAGCAGTATCAGGAGGCGTTCAAGAGATTGGATGAGGGGCATGCGAGGGGCAAGATTGTCTTTGATCTGTCGCTCAATGTGTGAGAGGAGATAAGATGATTCATGTTCTGTGGCTGATCCATCAAGTCTGTCAGCTTTACTGGATATCTCCTAACAATAAGACTTGTATTTTCTCACTGTGATGGCGACCTACCTGCCAAACCCTATTGGAGGGACAATTTCATCGACATCACAGCATAATGCACTTCGGTAACTCGTGTTAGTTCTGTGTATCACCAGCGTCTGCCGAAAAGCATGTGGCATTATTGTTAATTCCATATCCCAACAAAGATTGGGAATGTATTGCTCCAATGCCATGAAAGACTGCAGACACTATGCTGTGTGAGTTTAAAAATCAGTGCAGAGCACCCATTCGTGCCATGCCCCTAGACATGTTCGCACAGGCTTCATTATTCTATGGATCCAAGATTATTGTTGAGATTTAGTTTGTCGGGCCCTTTTTTCTTCTTGTCTGATCGGTGAATATGGTTCGCATAAGCTACCTCGGCTATCTTGGTGGGTCTAGAGGTCAGATTACAATATCACAGCGATCATGCCTCAACACTCCGAACCCAACAAAATTTCAACTCTTCAATGTTTTCACCTGTTGAGTAATGTTTTATTGTGGTAAGAATGATGAATGTGCCAAGTGCCAACTTCTTGCCACGACTGGTAGACATGATAATCGCTTATAAATGCCTGCGACCTGAGCGCAATTTGTACCCGGCATAATATTCCTCTAGGCTTGTGCATCAAAAGGCTTCTCAACTACAGAGCGACCGGGGAAAGATTTTTCAATTTCTTTGTGGACTAACGTCTAGATTTTACAGTCACAGTCTGAAAATCAGAATGTCACACGCGCTGGATTTCTTCCAAAGCCTATGGGCCCAGCACCCCTGGGCCATTATCCTCAGCGTAACCGGCTATATTGCGATGGTTCGACTTCTAAGATACCGTCGTGTGAAAGTGATCGACGCCCCCTTCGCCGATGGCCGGAGGAAACTGTCCAGTATGACAAGCGAAGAGGCGCATGCGATTATCGGCCAGCTGCAGGAGCTCGAATTCCCATACGCTTTCAACAAGGCGCGCAAGATCGCCCTGCTCAAGGTACGACAATCCTCGCTTTCAGCAACTCCAGAACTTCATCTGCCTAGCAAGTCATCGCCGCGAGTGATATCTACCTGCGACTAACATCCAAGCCTTCAACCTTTACAGGCGGGCGGCATCCCAACAATGTCCAAGCTCTTCGCCGTGACGGGCCAAAATAACAAGCGCAATTCGGGGAAACGCGCCGTGGACACGGAGATCCTCCTCCGAGAAGCCCAGTCACAGCCGCGCGACTCCGATCGCTATAGCACTGCGGTCGCTAGGATGAACTATCTGTATGTACCGAGTTCCCATGCCCCGTTTTCTGATCAGATCCCGTTGGCTAAACCCCTCATCTCTCCAGACACGCCCGCTACCGCAAGGCCAACAAGATCACCGAACTAGACCTCCTGCATACCCTCGGGGACGGACTTGCGGAGATTCTCAACGTGATCGACCGAGACGAATGGCGCAAACTGACGGACGTCGAGAAATGTGCTCTGGGCGTCTTCCACAAGAACCTGGGCGAGGACATGAGGATCCCCTTTGAGCCCCTTGCATCCTCCCATGAAGGCTGGCGAGATGGTTTGCACTTCGCCATGGAGCTACGCGACTGGACGATCCGCTACGAAGAAGAAGTGGCCCAGCCTGTCTCAACGAATGATCAGTACGTCCGGGTATATGTTGATGCGGCCATGGCTGGGCTCCCTGGCTTTGTTACGTTGACGGTGCGGAAGATGTTGGCAACGGACCTGGATGAGGTTATGCGGACGAGTCTTTGGTGAGTGGTTCAGCCTCCGATCGAGCGGCGGAAGCATTTTTGAATAATGTTGCGGATGCTTGTGACCGCCTCGGTGCATCTTTTCTAGTCAGCTCTTTGTCCAGGAAATGCTAATGCTGTCATCCTTCAGCCTCGAGAAGCCCGGCCCCATTCTCCTATTTGTACTGGCCTGCATCCGCGAAACACGCAAATCGTTCCTCCGATACGTCTCCCTCCCGCGATTTTTTGCTGTCAAACCCGTGCATGAAGCGACTGATCCGAAGACAAATCTATATCACTTCAACAGACAGACCCTACAGCCGTGGTATATGGAGCCGACCCTCTGGTCGACCTGGGGACCAGGTGCGTTGCTTGTTAGGATGCTCGGAGGGAAGGTGCCGGGTTCGCGGGGAGACCGCTACCATCCTCTGGGATACGATCTCATGACGATCGGGCCTGATCCGCAGAAGGAACGAGGAGCGGAGGAGATGAAGTCTGATATCGAGATGATCAACGCGAGGGCCGTGGCGACTTGCCCATTCTCGCATGCCAAGGCGGGAGGTTTCAATTGATGGTTGTTCTGCACAGATTGCATGGTGTCGGACATGGTGGCAGGGGGAATGATATATATAGAGACGATGACCAAATGGAAGCTCAATTGAAGCTACTTACTACCGAGCTAGAATCTGTTGGCTACATTGTTGACGGAAAATTCGTGTATAAGAAGTTACTGATTTAGGATACCGAGGCGGTTGATATTGTAATCGGCGACGGTGAGGGCCCTCCAACCATGCTGCGCTCAGCAACTCTGGTCGAGTACGGCAACCTCTGGCTCAAATGGATTGCCCATGTGGGGGCGCAGGGGGTGTTCCGGCGGTACAGAGGCGATTACATCGTTACGGTCATGGACATCCGCAAGCACAGCCGGTTTCCCGTTGAGAATGACGGCACCTTCTGTCTCCGGATGCTAAGATGACTTCCGTCTCAAGTACTGGGATTGCGACGACCACGACAGAGAGCCTTACGATGTGTCCGTCCGGTCGCTCTACTTGAAGAATGCGTCCAACTTGATGATGGCGGGGAAGCATATCAGCGTCACGCATGTTACGGAGTCGAACACCAAATTTATGGGGAACCGAGGGCAGCATGCAATTGCCACTGCGGCAGCGACTCATCTTTGCAAGAAAGACAAGGCGACACCTAGGGAGATGCACGCGCATTTGACGGAGCTCAACCAGCTGTGTGACCGGATGACGGGGTTGGGGGCTCTGACGCCACTTGTGGAAAAGTTGAATTCGCATCGAAGCTCTAACCCAGACGTGCAGCCTAACCATGTGTGAATATTGAGACACCAGGCATCTTACTGTTGACAATGTATGTCTTCGTTATGTGTCCAATGTCTGTATCTGCAGCTCTCCGATATAACCTCCAGGACCTCTATCTTCTATGCCCATCCAGCCGTCCGCCTTTCCACTACTACCTATCATGCTATGCCACCGGCAACACAAATCCACCCAGCCCTAAAGTACCGCCTTGGGCTCCCTCTTCGGTCTCAGAATACACTGCTGCGTCATGTTCGCCACCAACCGCCCACTCTGATCCCACATTCTTGCCTCCGTATACGTCCGCCCATCTGCGCCAGCGACCGTCTTCAACTCGCGCAGGTGCCACTTCTCCAAACCCCAATCCGACGAGAACACGCGCATCGAGAAGTCCAACGACGCACAGGCGCCCGCATCGTCCAGAAACATCCCACTATGCGCCAGCGGAAGAAAACTCAAAAACGCATCCAGCACAAAGGCAAGGCCCGCGTACTCCTCCGAGCCGTGGTGCATCGGGTCCCGGACGCGGAACCAGTCCGCCGAGGTCCGGGCCGTCAGGGGCAAAGCGTCCTGACCGGTGGGGTGGGCCTTGGCCATCCCGTTGAAGTTCTGGCCCGACACGCCTTCCGGCGTTTGTCGTGTCTCGAAGAAGCGGGCGATGAGGCTGAAGAGCGTCGTGTACTGTGAGAAGGCCTCCTCGGTGAGGACCCCGCGCCTGACCATGTCGGTGCCGATCTCCTGCGGGGTACGACAGGCCTCTGGGGGCGAGTATGTTCGGTCCGGCGGGGTGAAGTAGCTGAGCATGGCTCGCTCGCCCGCTTTCTGGAAGTCTGCTAGGATGATCATGCACAGTCTGGAAGTCTTGTCGGGTTGCTCCTGCGTGATTTCGACCTGTCGTGTGGCAAAGGTTCGTGTATCCCGGAGGCGGCGGACGGAGCAAGTGAGTTTTTGTTCGGTTGACACCGGGGCTAGAAAGTGTCCTGTTACCGAGTAGAGGAGATACTGGGAGGGGACGGTCTGGCAGGCTACGTTGACGGCGACGCCCAGGGCGCACCCGCCGTAGGCGATGTTGGCGGCGTTGCCCATCTTCTCGGGCTTGTAGCGCGATTGGAAGACATTGGGTCCGATCTGTTCCACGGATATGTGCTCAGCGAGAGTGCGCGCTTGAGCGGAGGTGGGAGTTGGTGAGGACGTTGGGGACATTATGGTGGTGACGGGGCCGGCCATGGAAGGATTTTGTACAACGCAACGTAGCGGGGGTCTACGATCGTATTTGTACTATAGTTGGGAGGTGCTATAACCTTATTTTTGGAGTCCCGGCCCGAGGTTGCGGGTCCAACTGCCGAGGCTGGCTGATAAAGTGGCCAATCATACCACTAAAGAAAGCACGATTCCTTTGGTGCCGATCCACTTTGGGGACACAATTTTGATCCCCTCTGCGCACCATTCGACTGCTAACGGCTATTAAACTGCACCGAATACAAGCCTCCGGGTAGAAAGAGCAATGGCTGAGGCTCTAAAAGCTTGGTGAACTGAACTGAGACGCATTTTCTTCCATTCATATTCATTGAATTGACACAGAATAGCTCTGTCAAGAGTCCGGACTATACGGCTTAGCTTCTTGACCAGTTGACAGACAGCGCACTTGGCCATCTATACAAACCCACACATAAACACAAGTCAAGCACATTCACATCACCTCTCATCAGAACCTGTCTGTCGATACATATACTCTGTAACAGAAAACTGCCAACGCCAGCCCAGCAAAGAAGTCGGTGAAAATGGTAAGGAACCAGAACCATGGGATCTGGGGCACGCCCCCGAAGAAATGAGCTGGTGTCCGTATCCCAAGCGACGCATAACTGGCGAGGTAAATAAGCGACGTCCGTAGGTTTCCAGGCTTATAGAGATAGTAGCCACGGATTCCACAGAACGTATGCAGAGGATAAGAGATAGTGATGCCGATGCGATATGCCCGCGCGGAGGTGTAGATCCCGGGGACCGGCGGGTAATCTTCCGCCCGCAGGTAATTGTGGGCGTAGTGTATGGTTGTCGTGAGCCACAGAGAGAATAATATGATACGTAAGGAGCGCAGCTGAGACGGGGAGGAGGGTAGGTTTAGGTTGGACATGTTGAGATGCGGGTTCTGTCTGCTAAGGAGTGCGGTGAAGAAGGCTCCGGGGAGATGTATTGAAAGTCTCGAAACAAGTTGTGAAGTACTGTACCTAATTGATTGTGTTGTTCCTTATATTCGAAGCGCTCCTCGCATGCCCACAGCAATGATATTGTTGATAATATAATCATGCTTGACCTCGGATGCGCCTATGTTTGTGTTATCTTGCTTTCTGCATTCATTGCCTGTATGCTCAAACATGCAACTTTGAATCAGGTCGAGTGATGTTGGTTTAAATCTCACACATGTTAAGGCAATAACAATCGGCGACAATATCAATACTCTGTGACTTTTCGCAATTCACACATTTTTTATATGCCGAGGCTCCTCAGCGGATAATCTAATCAACCAAATCACCAATCACAAAAATGAGCATGATGTGAAGGCGACTAGGAAGTCGGGGTAATCCTCCATTTGACCTGTGCGTAAACTTCCCCATCTTTATGATCTTGTCTATGTGACACTATACCGATTCGCTCAGTAACTGAAGATCAGAACCATCTCTACCCCACAGCCCACCCACCCCCTACAGATCCCTCCCAACATGGAATATTAAACTCTCGCATTATCCCGAGACCTCGTGAATTGCAACTTGCCTTGTAATAGTGATCCTGGCCCGGCTCGCAAAGTACAATACCTCACCCGTCAAGTGTATTCTTTGGTATCACTTCAATCCTATTCAGACAAAGCAGTAGATTGCTCCTGTACACAAAGGTAAAACAGAATACATTGTACACAACGCACAAATTACAGCACCGGTAATCATACTCTTCATCTACTTATACATGTGATTCCAATCAAACCTTCGCCCTCTCACCCAGTTTCGGCCTCAAAATCGTAGTCTGCGTCATCACAGCAACCAAACTGCCCCCATCATCGAAAACCCTCCCCTCACTAACCGCCCGCGCACCCCCTGCCGCACACGTCTGCTGCTCACTAACCAGCCACTCCCCTACATCCACCCGATGTGTCATCACCCGCAACGCAAAGTCCAACGTCGCGCAGGCACTCGCATCCAGCAGACTCCGGCCCGCATGGTTGGCGGGGATGTACGCGAGGCCGCGGTCCATATAGAACGCCAGCGCGGCGAGCTGAGCGGGTTCGCTCCCCAGCGGGGTCTGCAGGCGGAAGCGTTCAGCAGAGATGATGCCAGTGATATCTCCTTCGGATTTCCGGTTGGTGGCCGGAAGGGCTTGCACCTCCATGTACCGGTTGATGTATTTATATAGTCCCGATTCTTGGATCCCGGCTGTAGCGCCTGGAACAGCGTCGAAGTGTGCGGATTGCGGACGAGCGGAATAATTCACCATTTCGAGCGTCTCCTCGACGTGAAAGTCGGCCGTCGCAAGGAGGCATAGCTGTTCGCCGGTGGGGCCTTCCTGGTACACGCGGAGATGTCGGGTTTGGAAGATCCGCGTGTCGCGGATGCGTTCGACTTGGCAGATGAGCTTGAGGGAGGGGCTCGCGGGCCGGACGAAGTGTCCGGTCAGTGAATACAGGTGGTGACCGGGGTTGGTGGTGGCGTAGGCTGCGCTGATAGCGATGGCGAGGATGTTGCCGCCGTAGACCCAGTCGGCGAGGTCGCCCATGCGCGTGGGCGGGAGGAGCGAGATGTATCGGTCGGGACCGAGCGGTTCGACGGCGACTTGATTTTGGAGGGTTGTCATGGTAGTTGCTTTTGATGAAGGACTTCATTTGGAGGCATAGCTAGAAGTATTGTTCCTTAAATGGCTGTTGAGGGCATCGTAGTGACATGTGATGCGCTGGGTGATATTGTAATCACGCGTGGTACTGTACAGGGCCCTGATTACTGCCGGGAAAGTGCTTATGCTTGGCGATTCTTCCGGTGTTCTACTGATTATAGCAGATTGTGTATAGTGGTTGACCTTTCATTCTATTCGGATTTAGAACTGCTGAAGTTGCTCGCTCCAAGACGACACAGATCACCCTTCCCTATATTCAGGCAATTATATGCCACTTTCCCTATACCTTGAAATTAATGACGAGTCCTCGGTAAAAAATTCTTCCTTCCCAAGTTTCAAGCAACAGTAGTGCCCAAAGGTCGTAAAGACGCATGAAAAGCAGCGTTGACATCGATCATTCTGAACCCGGGAGCGCGCCCGAGAATGACGAATCCATGAGCAAGCCCTATCCACATTAGCTAAGTCAACCACAACTCCGAAAACCACTTACTCCAGAGGAATTTCTCTACGTTTAAAGCATAAAGACCATAATTGGAGCGCATCCGTCTCAAAGGTTCCTTCGCGATTCGAACTGTGGGAAACAAGCTCAGCCGCTGCAGATCCGCCCCATGCTGCGTAAGATACCCTTCCACGTCCCGACTATCGAACCACTGGCCTCCGAGCCCACATATCTCAAGCAATCGAGCGCGATCACCCAATGATGTCGACTCATCCCCAGATCCGCTACTTGGGAGAATTCCTAGCACTCGACGAGGCATCCTCATATTCTTCGGATGTATCGGAGTGCCTAATTCATCCTTGTCGGGGTAATGCGTACCTGCTCCACCAACACCATAGAATGGAAGACCGGGAACCTCGAGTGGGGACTCGGCCCCCCCTCGTAGCAATTGCTCGAATCGCGGTTGCATCTTCGCTTTGTCCTGTATGCAAGGCACGAGACGGAACACGCGGTACACTTGTTGGGGATTCGATCGGGGATCGATGAACAAATTGAAAGCGTGCTCAAGGCAGTATCGCTGCAGTCGACGGGCAAAGCGCCCTTCTTGGAATGAGTATGTATGAGCTTTGGTCGAAATAGGTCGGGGTAATGAATGCTGCCGTCTCCGCGGCGGACTAAATGACCCCTGCTGAATCTCCCGGCTACTTTTGCTTTGATCAAAATTGTAACCCAATATCTGGCATGGCGCGGCGGAAGACATATCAGATTCTGGCGTAGCCCCGACGAGAGTGGAATCAGTCTGGCAGGCTGAACCGTGAAAGACATCTTGCTCGATCAACACCCCACGAATTTGCGTTAGGCGGGCATAGATATCCGGATGAGACAGCTGCAGACGCGCCTCAGTAGCAGCCTCGCAGGTGCTGGCAACCTGATCTGATAGCCTGCGAAGCTTTTCCTCCAGGTCTGTTACGCGAGCGAGAGTTTGCCGAAAGACCGCCTCCTTTTTGAGGCGGTATGTCTTCTGGGCGCGCCGAACCTGGGTGCGCCGGTCCTCCGAGAGGATTGCCGGGCCGTTGGCCTCGATGCGGGGCCGACCTACGCGCCTCACTGAGCGCAGTCGCGATTTGATCGAGCTTGAGTGGTTGAGTTGTTCCTGTGAGGCATCTGGCATTTCTGTATCCCGATTTGGTGTTCCCGTGCCAGATTGTGGCTCTGGTGGCGTTGCGGATGATGCGATGGTTGCGACGAAGGTGCTGGGCTCATCCGCCTCTCCTAGGAATGACCTAGCAGAGAGAATAGATAAGCTCGATCGGCGTTGCATCTCTATAGAAACTAAGTATCATAGTTATGAGATCATGAGGGTGATGGTAGAAGAAATGACCAGGTAGACTTCATTCATCAGATGTGTCGACGTGTTTGACCGCCTTGCGCTTCCGAGGTCTGGAAGGTGCGGCAGATTGAATTTGCTGTTATTCCTTCACCGCCCCTCCCCCTCATTGGGTTTATGCACATAAAGATCAGCCCTACACTTTCCGTCAACTCAGATAATGTGCATAAAGCATTTCTCCTCAGTCCTGTCGGCCACGATTTCGCTACCTCATTGAAAAGGCCATCCATGTCTCTGTGTATTCCTCTCTCTCTTTCTTCGGCCTTATACTCCTTAGCTTTATTTTATTCATTGGTTTTAGACAAGAACCTCTTTCGCAAAACCAACATCAGAAATAATGATCAACAAGACTTCCGGTCTCAGATATATCCCTTTAGTCCACCCAACCGTTCCTTCGCCAAATCAAGCAGCGAACCTTCCTTACAAACCGCGAACCTGAGATAATTCTCCCCAAGGCGCGCATGATTCTCACTATAGAAAACCGACGGCGGAATAGCGGCAACCCCAAACTCCTGCATCAGAAACCAGCACAGGTGAAAGTCGCGCCGACGAGTGGCGATCCACGGCGGCAAGGGGTAAGTCTCCGGTATCCGCACCGACGACAAGTCCGCGAGGACGAAATATCCGCCTTCGGGCCGCGTATACTACCCACCACAGTGATCAGCGTATGCTTCTAAAGGAAGGATCAACTCTAGAGAACTGAACGGTGGAGGTGTACCGGTATTCCCAGCTCATCCCAAACCTCGCAGAAGCGCCGGATCTTCCGCTGCATCTGCTCACGGCTCTCCTCCCAGAACCGCGTCTCCTCAGCCTGGATGTAGGCGACGGCGACGGCTTCCTGCAGCGGGGACACGGTGCTGTAACAGATTTTGGTGTGGATGGCGGCCACTGCATTGATTAAGGGCGGCGGTCCTACCAAGTACCCGATCTTCCAGCCGGTGGCATGGAGGGATTTGCCGGCGGAGCCAACCGTCAAGGTACGGTTGTAGAGGGCGGGCGCGAGGCTGGCGGGACTCAGAAGTGGGGCGTAGGATAACTGGTTGTAGACCTCGTCGGATAGGATGATGATGTTGTGTTGGATGCAGAGTGTGCCGATGTATTGCAGCTCCTGCTGGGTGAAGACTTTGCCGGTTGGGTTGTGTCTGCTAGCCATGGTTAACTGTGTGTGGGAGGAGAATTAAAGGAAGGGCTGTATTTTTACGGAGTATTTAGGACCTGTAGATGGTTGGTAGAGTCAATGATATATACCACCAAGATTTGACTTGGGCAAGGAGGTGTGCCTACCATCATTCTTGTGCGATTATTGATAACGCTCCTGAGTGTATCGAAGTCAACAGTCCAGCTAGAAGGACCTTTCAGCTTGTTCGTCTCTTGCTGTGGAGGATTGAGCGGCACATGTCGAACCACACCGCCAGCAAGCTCAATTCCGCTGATAAACCTGCACCTCTGATAAATCACTCATCATCAGATAATGCTTCAAGTGGAATCGACATACTGATCGAAAAACGGCTCAAAGACAATCACCTCATCGCCGGGCTTGAGGAACGCCATGAATGCGCAGAGCAAGCCTGACATAAAACGTCAGAGATGTCTCTCGGTGGACAAAAGCGCCTCAATTATGCACTTGCCCTCGCTAGCGCCAGAGGTGATGACAACCTCTGTTTCCGCGTCGATAGGCTGCTGCCATGAGCTGGAGAAAAGACGCGCAATTGTCTGCTTCAGTGATGGACGGCCCTAAACCTCGGAATTGAATCCGTTGCGTAAGCCAGTAATGCCCGGTCGTCTTTGCAGTGCCAGATGTACGGTACCTTTGTCGGTGAACATTGATTACAATCAACCCTATTCAAGGCATCTTTTGCTGCATCGATAGCGAACTGTGGCGGATTGTATCCACTGCGATGGTTAGCAGAAACTCAGGCATAACCATCGAGAGACGATCCTGACAAGAAGCCCTGACCGAGATTTACGATTGGCTGCATCGGCGAGGTAGCAGCTGCATTGTTGACGAAGGACCAGACGTCTTGCTCCGGACCTTTATCACTAAGAGTGGAGGATAAACAATGGCTACTGTATGTAGCTAATGACATCTTGCGAAGCTGATTGTTTTTGTATCAGAAAAGGGTCATGGTGACATTGCGTTTAAGCTTGCTTATAAGATATTCTGCACTCGAGCTGGGCATACAGTTCAATGGCAGCATCAACTCGGAAAACAAAATAATCTTACTATCAGAGAATGGTAAGTAGGTATCTAAGCTGCTTTTCAGACTGGACTGGCGTGACGTGACGATGATCTTCCCCCGATGTCAAGCAGAGGTATGCACGAAAGTAAGGGGTTGGCGGGGCATCAACCCGCCTTTTCAACTTGGTCCCGGGGTTGGGATATATGACCTGAGTGCATACTACCTTGTCGATCTAGCTTGCTCGAACGAGCGAGCATGTAACCATGTGATTCCGATGAGCTAACGAGGGATGCATTGAGGCGTTGATATAATTGCCGAGTGCTGATCCCGGCACTTAAGGCCACCCACACAGATACGCTTACAATCACAGCAGACGAGTTCCAAGCTTTACACTCTCCGAAAATCTTCTTCTGGTTGCGAAAACCCCCACGACGGATCGGAATCCATCCCGTTGCAGCGACTCGCCCGCACGAAACTATTATCGACCCCCTCAATGCGAGCCACAGGCCGCACCACCTCCACATCAGCGCCGAATCGATGAGAGTACCATACCTCGGTCAGATTTTCATCCCGTGTGGATTGTTTCGGCGGCCTGAACAACTCAGGGAACTGTTGCTGCATGTCCGCCAGTGCGATCTTTGTGCTCCGATCCACGCCATCGCAATGACGCAAGCTGCGGAATACATGTGATATCCTTCCTCGTAGAATTGCCTGTATCTCTTCGGGATATTGTCCGACCGCAAAAAGAAGTAGATTGAACTGCATGAGCGACACCTTCCCATGATATGATCCACCTAATAGGGCGCGATAATACAGCCCTAACAATGCCGTGATGGCGCCCATACACCCCGCGCCGTAGTCGGCAATCGGCCAGGGGCTCACGATAGGCTCGTTGCGGCCTAGGAACTTCCCAAATTCCCAAGCAAATCCCGTCAACTGTGTGATTTGGTAGTCAGTACTTGAAACTCCCACCGAGAACGGGAGGTACAACGTACACAATCGGCAATCTGCTGCCACCCAGGCCGACCAGCCCACGGGCCCCTATGGCCGAAGCAATTCTCGTCTACGTAGACTATCCCCCTCCCGCGACGAGTCGCCATCGCACTCAACGAGGACAGGCCGTAGCCCAGTCTTTCCAAAACACCAGACCGGAACCCATCAATCACTACGTCAGCCTCTCCCAAAAGCTGTTCGAACTTCTGCCGTCCTGTGGGGCTCTTGAGATCGAGGTCAACGGCGCGTTTGCCCATGTTGCCGTCCACTTGGAAGAACGGCACATCGGGGATGGAGGAAGAGCAGGTGATCTTCAAGACATCTGCCCCATACTCGGCGAGGATACGACCAATGACAGGGCCAGCAATGACGCAGCAGAGCTCTAGTATCTTGATGCCACCGAGCACACGGGTGGACTTGCTTGGCTGGAAAGGGGTAGGAGGGACATCGCCCGGCATGCGGGAGACTGTCCACCAGGGCTCGTTGATGTTGGCTTCGCCCTGTTGTTGGGGTTTAGCATCATCCCGATTTGAAGGAATGTGCCGGCAACTCACATGTGGTGTAGCACAGAATTCCTCGTGCGTGTAGACTGTAACTCCAGCTTGCCCGGCGTCTTGATTGAGATCTTCGAGCTCAGCCGCTGAGAACTTTCTCACCTGTGTACCAATGAGATCAACGATCTTATCATACTCAGTTAGGTCCGGTCTATGGCTCGGAAGACCAATCATATTCAAGGTCTTTGTCGGATCCAACGAGCCATGCAGAAAGAAGTACTCATTCTCATTCCTCGTTCGATACATGTTGGCAGCCTGTCGGCGGTAAATGTTCGACTGGGCAGCATGAATGTCGGTGTCTCACAAGTTCAGCCTTCAGACAGTAAGCGAAGGGGGGTTGCGCTTACCTTTCAGATATTCTTTTATTTCAGGGTTTGACTTTGTAAAGCCGTTCACCTTGGCAAGGAGTGCCTGGAACCCAAAGAGCGTCGCTCTCTCGAGGCTGAGGCAGATCCCCCTACCACCTGGCATCGCTCCGAAGCGCAGATCTGCGATGGCGGCGGCCATCGCCCCCTCGACACCCTTCAGTGCGGCGAGTGTCTCTGTGACTTTGAATGGGGTAGGGTAGTAGATCTGATCTGAACGAGAGGTGAAGATCACTTTGCCTCCGAGTGCATCGCAAGGGAGACTGAGCCTCTCGGCGTCATTGATCAACCCATTGAAGATCCTTTCCGCCCCGGCTCTTGGCGAGTAGTGTTCCTTCGCAATGTCATTGGCACTCATAGTCGATTGGGTGAATGTATCCTGTGCACTTTCTAGATAGTATTTCATCAAGATACTGTCGCCTGAGAATGGGGCTAGATATACGCATCACCCGGCGGGTTTTCGTCAACGGTATGACGTGCGTTGTAGACTACTCCGAAATCGACACCTTCGAGGATGAGATCATTCCTCCTTTTTCATAAACTTTATTATCAATGTCTCCTTGAAGCATGGGTGTGAACTATATGGAAAAGAAACCCGTCCAGTCCGAAGTGGTCGGAGAGGCCGCCCGAGAAGTGCCGAGGTTACACAAGGCATGCACCGGTAGTTCTTTTAGGGCTTCGAGGAATGTACGGAATCCGGCTGTATTTTCGACATGAAGATCGTCGTCATCGAAAGCATCTTCACTAAGCATCCTGGAAACGAAAAAGATATCGTACTACATATATATCGTCCTCGAGAATTTTCAAAAAGGCTTTCTGACATTTGTATTCCCGCACAGAAGGCTAAGCATAGAACCCAGTCAACACAAAACTGATTTAAATATTCGTTTCACCCTCATGATGCAAAGACTATCATCGCTTCTTGAAAATGCAGCACACAGTCACGGCGACCAAGGGATCATATTCTACCCTGACCAGATATCCGACAGTGAGAAGACAGCCAGGGTCACTTATCGAGAGCTCCACCGTCAGGCGTCGGCCAACAGCACAAAGATTCGGCAACGGAAACGCTATGCGCCCGACCAGATAGTCCTACTGCATCTGGGTTCGAGCAACCATCTCGACACGATCATCTGGTTCTGGTCCCTCATCTATGCCAACTGCATACCAGCCATGTCAACCCCTCTTCCACAAGATCAGGGTCTTCGCCTCAAGCATCTGCGCCACTTGCAGACATTACTGCAGGATCCAGTCTGCTTCACCAGTGAATCCCGATTGGAAGATTTTCCCACCGATCTGACAATCCCGCTCGAGACCGTCGAGCAATTCCAAGATTTGGACTTTGAGTACCCGAACGAGAGCGGACTTGCGCCTCCAACAAGCGGAGGCGCTGCCGACATGGCTGTTTTAATGCTCACATCTGGCAGCACAGGTCCATGCAAAGCCGTGGGTCTAACCCACCAGCAGATCCTCTGCTCCCTGAACGGTAAATGCGCCGTATTCCCCCTGCAAAATCCCATTGGTGCCTTCCTCAATTGGATCAGTCTGGACCACGTCGGAAGTTTAATCGAGATCCATCTCCACGCGCTGCTTGCCGGAGTCGATCAAGTCCATGTTTCCCCGAGCGATGTGATTCAATCCCCGCTGTGGTTCTTGAAGCTCTTGGAGCGACATCAAGTCGCGAGGACGTTCGCACCGAACTTCTTCCTGGCGATGCTGGCGCACACCCTGGATGCGACCGCAGCGGGAAGCGACACATTCTTTGACCTCCAGCACCTGCAGTATGTCGTAAGTGGTGGTGAGGCAAATGGGGTCGGTGTCTGTGCCCGGTTGAGCGCGTATCTCTCCCGCTGCGGGGCGGCGGAGAACTGCATCGTGCCGGGGTTCGGGATGACGGAGACATGCGCAGGGTGTATTTACAACCTAGGGTTTCCGAAATATGACAAGCGGCACGGGTATGACTTCGCGTCCCTTGGGTCGTGCATCCCCGGGGTTGAGATGAGGATTGCGTCCGTCGTACCAAAGGAAGTTGGTTATCTGGAGGTCAGGGGGCCTATTGTCTTTGCAGGGTACTTCAACAATCCTGACGCGACGGTGGAAGCCTTCCAGCCCGGCGGGTGGTTTCGGACGGGAGATACAGGATTCCTGGACGCAAATGGGTGCCTCAACCTCGCCGGGAGGACAAATGACTTGATCTCCATCAATGGGGTCAAGCATAATGCATTAGCACTTGAGGTTGGGCTGGAGGAAGCGCAACTCCCCGGAGTCAGTCCGGGCGAGGTGGTCTGCTTCGCGCATCGCGCCCCGGGGGTGGAAACGGAGCAAATATATGTTGTCTACGCGCATAGCTACTGCACGCACGATATGAAGGCGCGTTATGAGACGCTGACGGCAATCAGCCATAAGGTCTCGCTCATGACCAACACAAAGCCCCGCGTTCTTCCTCTGCTTGCCCTCGAACGGTCATCCCTGGGGAAGATATCCCGGTCGAAGCTGCAATCACAGATCGCCTTGGGGGGGTATGCAAGCGAGCAAAAGCTGGACGCAGAGCTTCTCCAAGCCCATCGACGAGCCATGTACCGTCCGCCCAGAACCGAAACGGAAAAGACCATCGTCGAAGTCCTTTCGAGTATCATCCCGGACACGACGACCGACGGTCTGGGGGCCACCGCCAACCTATTCGAATTGGGCCTCACATCTCTGACTCTCGTCCAAATCCAACGTCAACTCCAAGATCAACTCTCGCTGAACCAGCCCCTTCCCTTGGCCACTATCATGACCCATCCCACTGTCCAGGACCTCGCTGCGGTCTGCGAAGAAGCCACAACGCACGAATATAATCCGGTCGTGACCCTCCAACCGCACGGCACCAAGCCCCCGCTCTGGCTCATTCACCCCGCCGCAGGCGAAGCCCTCGTCTTTCTCAACCTCGCCCACCTCATCCGCGACCGGCCAGTCTACGCCTTCCGGGCGCGTGGCTTCCATCGCGAGGAGCCCTTCTTCACGAGTCTGGACGAGTGCCTCACGACCTACCACGCCGCAATGAAGAAGATCCAACCCAAAGGTCCCTACGCGATCCTTGGATACTCGTACGGTGCGATGGTCGCCTTCGAGCTGGCCAAGAGACTCGAGGCCGAGGGCGGTGAGGTGCGGTTCCTGGCGAGTCTCAACCGGCCCCCGTATGTGAGTCCACGCCTACGACAGGTGCAGTGGTCGGAATGCTTGGTGAACATCTCCTTCTTCCTGGGGATCCTGTCCCGCGAGGCGTTGCATCGATGCCTGGATGCGGTGAGAGATGCATCAAGGAAGGAAGCGCTAGAAGTCGTCCTTCCTCACGTCGATCATAGTCGGATGGTTGAATTAGGGTTGAATGATCACAGCCTTGCTAGGTGGATTGACGTGGCATTTAGCCTCCAGGAAATTGGGAGGGAGTATCAGCCCGATGGGGAGGTGGCCCATATGGCCGTTTTTCACTGCGATCCCTTGGACTTTCTGAAAGTTGGTAAAGAGGAGTGGTTGCGGAGGCTGGCAGCTTGGAAGGAGTTTTCAAGAGAGGAGAGCGAGTACTACGAGGTTCCGGGAGAGCATCACTCGGTCTTAGACGCAACACATGTTCAGAAATTCTTTGTTATGCTGGTCAAGGCCCTGGCTGCACGAGAGATATAGACAGCAGGGTAGTCCATTTTGTGGATGTTCGTTGAATCAATTATTTTGAGGGATGAAGAGTAATCTTGTCCGCGTCAAGGTAATCGAGTCCGCAGTGCGGGGAAGAGAGCCGGAACCGCCATGCATTTTTCTACACATACGTCGGCGTGGGGCATCAAGTCAATGCATTGAAAGCAGCATGCACCTGTCCGCAAGTGGGTCTGGCTGTGGGGAAGGGGTGGGTAGTGGGCACAGAAGTGGGGCGCCATACAAGGTGATCTGTCCGACAATTCACAGATTCTGTCAATGAACAAGACGGTACAGCATCAGCTGATGATGGTAAGGCGATCAAGTCCTTACGCCAGAGGGAATCAGTTGCACTCAGCATAATATCACAACAGTCCTTGAGTCAGGTTATTTTCTAACAAAAAATCGCACTTGCACCTCACAATCCGTACACTAAGTTCAGTTTTGATAGTGGAGAGACTATTATCACCGGCTACAGTAATATGTCATTTGACCTACGATTAACAAGTCGCGCACTTCTACACATAGCAAGCTGCTGTACCAGACAGAGCGTTTGATGAGCTAGAATAGGCTAGTATCCTGGCGTTGATGTTAAATTCTAGAATTGCATAGCCATAAACTTGTCACGTGCTATGGGGTGAGGTGCCCATTGCATGACCCCTCGAAACGGAACAGAAGAGCAAGCGTATCCTTGAGCTCAGCTTATCGTTGAAGAAAAGGCCTAAAGAAGTTAAGGCTGGCAGCTTTTTTCCCAATACATCTATCAAACTTTACTATATAATACCAAAAGCTAAAGAAATGCTTAATCTCAACCAATTCAGTGGTAAATATAGAAATTAAAATAGAATAAAACTTAGATTAAAGGATTCTATCAACGGTAGTAAGCCCGATGTTGTGTTATTTACAAATTTAAAGCATCTACTCCTAAACATAAATGAAACTTGGACCCACCAGGGATCCCATCTGACCAGCAGTCAGTGAGATCATGGAATACACAAAGAGAACGCTGACCCTGCGGTACACTAGTACATCCGCAAGGCCTCATTGTTATGATCATGACTTGTCTGTTTCACTTGTTTTGACCAGGCCTTTCTCATTGTTCATGGGGTCATCATAATCAGGTCGTACACAGAGTAAGACCTGGCTACTCAGATGAGTCCACGCTACAGTCATCAGTCCATTACCTCAGAGAGCCACTTTCTCACTATGAAGAAGACAAAAGGCTTGCGAGTGTTGTTTGCGAGCTAGACAAACTGCGCACAGTGGGATCCTGGATTGTCTCGGATAGCTACCATGAGAGAGACGGTGAAGGCACAATGAAGCCCCTACTCCTCAAACGCATGATGCCCGAAGGCTGAACAGGCTAAAAAGGTCAGAGGTTTCTATCTCTTTTCCTCTCCACGCCGGGAGCTGTTATCTTGGGAGGAGAGCAGCCCTCTCTGGCAGTTAAAAGGGCTCAATCCGTCGCTTTTTCTCTCCCTCCTCAATTTTACTTGGGTTCTAACTAGTCCACTCTCCTCTATCGATCGTCACTACAAGTCTTCATCACATCCTTGGACAAAATGACCATCTCTCGTGCAGAGGAAACCGAGCTCCGCTGGCTCAGATTGCGATTGCCAGATGCGCATAGCATATTCGAGAGCTTGGAGAAATCTCCGCCAACCTCAACGGAGCAGACGGGCTCAATGAAGCACTGCTTTCAATCATCGGGGATCTGGCTATGTATTCCAAGGATGACTTCAAGTCAGCGAATGATCAAATCAAACTTCCAGTTGGTCGTCTGCGTCCCCCAGACCTCAGCTTCCTTGGCTCTCATCACACAAAGGATTACTAAGGAGGAGTTTGATGTTTTTGGCAGTAGATCGCTATGACCTTGCGCTGTCGATAATCAGAGGCTTACACGAGTTTCCTGGTGAACGATATCGCGCGGGATACGGTTTATCACTATGTTATAAAATTTGCGACCGACCACATCATATCGTGATTCTGCCGTAAGCCCAACCAGACGTGCCAGGTCCTCCGAGTAATTCGGAGAGAATCGGTCATCTCGATATCAACTATCCGCCTTACGCCAACTACTATGCGTTGTCAACCGAAGAAATCGTTACCCTGGTAGAACGACCCATGCGGGGTCCTGCAGCGGACATAGCAGTAGGTGATCAGATCGCCTCGGCGGAGACGGAGAACGAAGGCGACGGCGGGGAGCAGATAACAGGAAGTGGTCAGATTGCCTCGGCGGAGATGGGGCACGAAGGCGAAGAGAGCAGCCATATAGAAGAGGAAGAAGGGCAGACTCCGGAAGAAAGAGGCCAAGGCCGATCTAAACTCGAAGTCATGAAACGTCTGGTCAAGGACTGGGTGGCCGTGTTGTTGGATTCTTCACCGCTAGGGCTAGGTCCTAGTGGTATTCTGATCGCTCTGAGCTCCTCGCTCCGCGCCTATGTCGCCTTTTCGGTCTTGCCCCTCCCCCTTTCTTTGTTTTGTTTCTTGTGAGAAAGATACGTGTGAAATCTTGACTTCTGCAATGATGTTGGACATTTGATTTATGTAGTAGAATAATCTGATTTAAGCAAGCTGAACGAAACTGACAGCGCTGTTGCTTACTTTGTAAAGGAAACTAAACGTCTAGCTAGGGCAAATTCCAGACATAGACGACTATCACGGGGACCGGTAATGTCGTGACCACGGGTTAGACCGCCATCTGCAGTCTGGGTCGTATTTTGTACTGATCCATTCTTCCAGAATGTTGTCCCGGTTGTCGCAATCAAACGTGGATTCCGCCGGAACCCCCGGAAAGTCGCGAAGGAGTTTATTCCAGGCCTCGAAATGAACCTCGGGGAACCGACCGGTGCCATCCGGGAAGAAGTCGGCCTCCTTAAAGCGCCAGGCAAACTCATTTATCGCCGGCTATGCTGCACAGTCGCTGTACTCACTCAGAACGGGGCAGTGGTCGATAACTTTATAGAGCAATAGTAGTAAAGCAAATGCTTAAGCATGTGCTAAGAAGGTGCTTAAGCAGCTATATAAACAGGCGTCTAAACAACTATCGAAACAGGTGCTTAAACAGGCCCTCGTTCTACAATCGGTTCGGTGTATTTGTTTAAAACTTCTACCAAAATCCTCAATTATTTCTCTTTCTCTACATGGCTTTCAATCACATTTTGAGGCATCTTTGATGTACGATACATGTAATCATCTTCTCCTACCAACAAGACGGGAGTTGGATTATGCAAACCTAAGCAACACTACCTTAAGAAACTAGACCTTACCTAGGTACTGTACACATATACCTGTATCTAACTATCATCGATCTGTTCAAATCACCGGACCTTCGACCCATGTGGTAAGACAAACATGCATGAAGAGACAGATATTTGAAGGTCAAAAAGCAAACCCTTGTATAAACGAAAAATAAGGAATTTTGCGTAGACTTTCACTTTAAATCAAGTCGACCCTTAATAACTATTCATTTTTCTGCAGTACCTAAATATACGACTTGCTGTTGTGAAGATGTATAGATGGCTTAACTCCAAAGACCAACATGTTAGAAAGATGGATCCATCCTAAAATAGCATCGTTCGCGCCGATCGCTCGTATTCCAAACACTACACCAGTCAACCCTCTTACCCTTTTAGGATATAGTCCGAGGTGAAGCTCTGCCCTTCTAGAAGCGTTAAGCGGAAAAATATATGCAGATATGGTTTTTCCAATTCCTAGACATACAGCAATGTTCCATATCAGTACGTCGATAAGGTAGCAGATTCGTCCTAGGTTGAACCATAAAGTATATCTCAGAGTCTTTTATTTTGATCCGTCCTGACACATTATAGGCTTGTTCCGCCGTATAATGCGTGCCTGGGACAAGACAATGTCGGCCTTCAAGAGGGTTATACAAGCCTTGGTCGGCCTCGCAGTGTGGTCTAGATTGTTAGGCAGAGGGGGGGAGGGGCGCATGAATGTCTTCAACACTTTTCCTGGCTGACAGCTTCCGAGGTAGAAAGGGTGGCCAGCGGTATTGGCCTGATCTTGCCCCATGCCGAACCTGAAACCAGAAATGAAGTTATGGGGGTACAGCTCCGGCTGGGTCACGATTTAGTGCACGTAGGTCAAAAGTCACATAGATAGGCTCTGACCTAGTCGGAGCTACACCACCCTATATCGCACAATATAACCACCAAGTGATTTAAAGCTCAAATGAGTCGTTGGTAAGGTGCAGTACGGGCAGAATTCGGAGTTATCACATACACGAGTAGCCCACCGTGATCGGGAGAAGCATTGAGGGTTTGGGTCCTTTGCGTAAACTTTTCAAAAGCTGATCGCCCCACATAAATGATAGATGCACGCGATTGAGAACCGCACCTTCCGATACTGTATAATCCCACGGCGATCTCACACCACACAGCCACATCCTCGGGCCAGGTCTCACGTAGCTTGTACATTGAGTACAGCAAAGGGTCAGGCGGAAGGTATACTGTACAGGGAATCTGACATATTCCTAGTAGAGACCTGTGTTACATTGTCAATATTGAATTGCAGTAACTTGGAGAGGTGATGGGCAACATCAACTATTATTGATCTATAGCTACGCAATATCAAGTGAGCCTATTAACACAGTTTCTCCAACTTGACTTATATTATACTAGTATAATGAGGTAGCAATTATTATGCGCGAGGAACTAAAGATTTCAGGGGTCGGAATGATCTAGGCAGTTGGGAAGCCGACTCTGTCCGAATCGTGACATTATTATCGATCAGATAGTCAAATCGGGTCAGTATCCCACCCCAGTCAAATAAACCCCCAACGCTTCAACAGCCTGCACAGCATCCTCGTGTTTCACCCCCTCAGGACTATGCGCCAAGATCAGAGTTTGATTCGTCTTGTACACATACACGCCCTCGTTGTCCTAGACCGATAAACTGTTAGTAAAATGTTCCGGTAAGAGAAAGTCTCAAAACCCTACCTTGTTGCAATAGATGCTTTTTCCACTTGCAGCAGTCACCGCATACTTCTGGCTTTCAAGATAGATTCCTTGAGAATACAGAGAACTGGTATCGCTAAGCCCTTGGATTATAGCCTGCAGCTCTGTGGGTGTAACCTATATTTTTGCATTAGCATATATTGACCATCAAAACCATCCTCCTAGGGTGGTAGTGACAAGTGCCTTACACTGAAGCCGGGAGTGCTGCTGGCCCAACAACTGTCGCCTTGACCTGAAAATATAGCGGCTTTGTCGATCTTGCCGGTCCCGACAAGACTCGAATCGACATAGCCTGAGAAAGTCAAGGGATTAGAAGTCGTATCATATAGACATTATCTCATAACCCATTACCTTGAAAGCTCATCGTGATGGTATGTATCAGTGTAGGGTGCCGGGGCAAGGATAATAGAACGTAGATGGTCGGGGGATTCTGATGGGGGAGCGGCGGGGGGACGAGACTCCTTTATAGCCACTACTTATATACACTGTCAAGGTGGGGTAAACGTACGAAATTTGAACTCGATTGGAACGAACACCTTCAGCTCCTCGGAGATCTGCTCGATAAACATTTGTTTCAAATTATTAACTAGTGATTGGCATTCAACCACCTATCCTATATTCAGAGCAAGATAGCTCGGCTAAGAAGAAACCCTGCTCTAGCCGCAGCTGAAAATCCACATCCACAGTACAGTACCTCCGGAGTCCGCAGGCTGACGTGGGTACCATCGGAGCGGTACCAGGCCCCACAACATGCAGATCGATACTGTACTTGGCCCTGGCCCATACATCCCAAATCCACGTAAAAAAAGCCTGTGACCTGTCTAGTTCAAGGGAGAAGATCTCCGATCTCGCTCAATCCTGCCTTACCCCACCGACAGTCGCCGACCCATTCCGGTCGGATGCATCAACCGAGCTAAAACGCTATACTGCCACCCGAGGAAATTCGAATCTTGACAGTCGGACACTAGGACTCTTTGATACTGCTGATTGTACATAGTATTAACGACACTCGAGTCTGCCGGCGACGACCAGACAGTGGGTTGATACGGCCCTGTAACCGACGGCAGAGTTTCCAGAAGTTCGGATGTAGAGCGGCCCCACATTAAGTGCAAATACGTAGTGTCTACCTTCAGAAAAGCGGCTACTCAGTACGAGCTTGTACTCATATTTTTTCATCTTAACACTCGAGTGAATAGGAAAAGGTCTACACCATTAGGTTGTAAGAGTGCACCACAATGGTTAGATCCCTCGAATAGATCCTTTGGTGGATAGATCTCCTTCACTCCACCAACAACATCTCTAGCCCCCTTCCCCTTACCATAGAGGCCTCACTAGCTGGGGTTCAGGTTACTAGTTGTTTCGCCCACAACCTTGTTCAGATCTTGAAAGACTCCTCGGAGTACTGTCGAACACGTTTACGGTTCCTTTGAAGCTGTGACGGCCATTACTAAACATGCAGGGGAGATCGCGGTGCACAGGTCCAGTAATACCTACATTTCTAGTAAACAGTATTCATGCTATTCACCACGCCGCTCGCACTCTGGGGGGAAACGGAAGACGCTTCAAAGAGACCTAGCCATACAGCGGAGGTATCGAAGCTTCTGCCGACCGCTTCAAGGATGGTTCGATTGACGCTATCGAGCTTGCTATCCAGACCGCCAGGGAGGCAGTTCAATTCGCTATGGAGGCGGTCATAATTGTTGGGACAGTCTCGAGAGACGCGAGGAGTAGCAAGGAGAAGATCACGGAGATAGCTACAGGTACAATAAGCGACCCTGCTGAGATCGTTCAGGGCTATGCTAGGCGCAGTGTCGCTGCTGTGAGTCCAGAACTAGCCATTAGTATTGCAGGGAAAGCGGCCAAGATTCAAGGGGAAGTTAATGATGACATGGCCAGTGGTGTCGCTTGCCAAGATAACCAGCAAAGTCCTACACGAGACGACGACAGTCAGGCATCGAGCCGCGGAGATGTTCGGGGAGGCCAGGGCATCAAGAAGTTAGTCTTGGGGCTAGCAAGACGTGCTTTGCGTGCGAGCGATGTGTTCAAGTTTCAGAGCAGAGAGCAGCCCTGTACGCGTATGATTCTATCAACAACAACAACGAGCTTAGTGAGGGGCCTTTTGAAGAAGTCTTGAGAGAGAGGTTCGAGTTGGCGCAAATTCTGGTGGATGTGGCTGACCCTGCCAAAGAGTTTTCGGTAGGTAATTCAGTAAATAGAGAATCGAGAGCGGGCAATGAGAGGTGCAACACATAAAACAAACTTGATCGCACTCCTTTGGTGACCCAGCACATTGCAAGATGTCAATTCCATTAACCTGCCAAATTCCTTGTCAATGTTCTGCATCAGCCTTCAGTACTGTAAGAAGAGATTGTCAAAAGTAAGAAGCGATGAAGCTCCTTCTGGGGAGTGAGAGATGGTTATTTGTTAATACTGTTGCTGGTAAGCCGTAGTGGTCTCAACCAGCTTGTGACAAGTCGGGTGATATGTCCAAGAGATTAATCAACAGGCGTCCAAGATCGGAGGGAGGCAAGTTCTGTGGAATCCGTTTAACTACACTAGAAAGCAAAATGATAGAGATCTTATCAACCTAACAACCAAAGCAGTAAAGAGCCAAGGAGAAACTAGAAAAAAGCATTGACAGAGCCCTGGCGGTCCAGAATAAGATACTGAAAGTCATACTTGTGAGGTACGCTCAGGGATGTCTGCATCCAAGGTTGATGCTTGCAGAGCTGTCTTATGTTCGAACCTCAATTTTCGTGCGGAACGAAGTATATAGTAGTTATTATAAGTTTTCAGGCAGGGGTAAGGGGCTTCAATTTACAACACCAAAAAAAACCCGAATTGAAAGCCTTTCTTGAGTTTCTTGTTCATTTGGCCTTACTAGTATATATGATGCCAATGAGTGTATCAAAGACTACTGAAGCCCTACTAGGCCGCGGGCCGGGCTAAGTCTTTCCCGAAGAAACGACGAGTGGTGCATGGTTTGCAGCGAACCTGAACCTTTGAAAATCCGTAATGATGGTAAACCAATTAGTGTCTCTGCCCTGACTGTCGCAATCTTCTTGGACAAAGGTGGCTGAGAGAACTCTTATCAAGCCAATCATTCAGTCCTGACGGCGGTCCTGAGGCCTGAGCCAGGCTGCCGCTCACCGCCTACTTCTCCGCAGACAGCCTCACATAGCAGAATACACACACCATACCACCTCTCTCGCAGGTGTTATGACATCCATGTCTCAAATTACCTGTTCATACTGTCGCAAGCAGATATCGAGTGACTGACTAAGCTAGTACTGTAACTAATCACTAGGTAACGTAATCGTCAGCCGAACGAGCCAGGCAAGCGAGCGAGCCAGCTGTATTCTATACAAAAGAACCAATCTTGAGATCTTAGTATCTCAGTAATCTTTATAACTACAAGATTTAAAACTTAGTATAAGCTATTTAAAAACAAAGAAAAGATTTCTCTTAAGCTAAAAATAATCTAAAGCTTCAAATAATAGAGATATTACTGTATTTATATAAAATATTCTCTAGATATAATAAGTTCTAATTTATATATTATGAAGTAGTATACTCTCTAACGGGCCTTTATATACTATACGAAATATAATACAGTGCATTGCACCACTGCCATGCCTACCTTGCACTCTTTTGAGACTGTTCCCAAGCCGTACGCCAATGGCGCTGGTCCAAATACAGTTAACATTATGTCAAGGCTCTCTTGGCATAACGCAGAACTCGTGTACTTTCGAGTTAGATTTACACTGAAAATTTACAATACATGCATGCTACAACAATACATATTCTGGGAATTTGGGACGAACCATTAAAGCACGTGCCATGTCTCTGGCTAATTGTCAATCTGTAACCACCCTGCATCTCTCCATTTCAAATTCGATGTTTGGACACCCAGGTTTTGTCCCAAGGTACAGATTACGGTGGCAAACATCCGTTTGCGGCAATAATGTTACTCGTTTGTTAATCAGTACCTTCTAGTAATAACCGAATAGGTCAGCTGGTGATCTATCTGATGCCATTACACTAGAAACCTCAAACTACCCTGAAGATTATAATACTTCATGGTGCTCCTGTATCTCAAGACTATCCATACAGCGTAGACATATCCCAAGTCAATGAATAATAGTTATACTAAGAAGATTAGAACTATATAATAAAAGTCTAGTAGAGTAAGAATTCCCCTAAGGGATATTTTTCTGCAGAATAATTATCTTAACCGTACATATGACATAATAAGTAGCTTAAATCCTCGAACTGGAAGCCTTCACTAGTTATTGTTGATATTATTTAACAAGAGTAATTCTGCATTTACACAACTGAAGGCCTTAGACATTGCCGAACCAAAGAATTAATACGAGGACCAAACTTTACTGTTCGTTCTACATAATACACACTGTCACTAAACCTAGAACTCCTCCGAATTGGTTATTTACTACTAACTATAAGACTTTCATTACATGATGAGAGCTCGATAGTCACTTGCCAGCCAGAAAGTCTAGAATTTAGCCTTAATTTAGGGCTGACCGGGGAGAAATGGGTACAAGTAACTTCAGAAGGTGCAAGGAAGCCACTAGTTCCTCTGAATCACGTACTGTCTTTGTATGAATAGTGTCTGTGCCTTTGATCGTATTACTGAGAACGTACTATTATTTAGAATATTGAGCATAGACCTTCCCGCTCCAGGCTCATGAATGTTTAACCATGATACTGTAGGAGTTTAAAGAGCAGCAAACCTATTCAGAATGTTGCTCGAGTAACCGCGGTTGACGTGTATACCTGAAAGGTTAAAAATATTGATACCTCAACAGAACTGCTAGGTTATGGTCAAGTTACGATTGAGGTACAATAGAATATCATTATAAGGTATTATCTAAGATCTAGACACTCCTGAATGCAAAGAATAAATACGAGAACCAGAGGTTCATCAAAAATATATAGGTAAAACAAATTCTTTAAACTCGTGTCAAACCTTGGCATTTCTTTGTCAATAGGGGGGAGCTACCTTTCATACTAATTTGTCCAAGTTAATTAACCTAAGTAAATGGTAGGATAGTCGACCAGAAGAATCACTTTTGTCAGATATCATCATAAGGATATCCCAGTTAATACGAAACTAGATCTAGACTTGAGTCCATAACTATGTTTTGCCTCTTGGTCTCTCATCTTCCTTTGTGTTTGTTTTCCTTGTTGAATAGCTCTCCAATTTTAGTATTCAAGATGATATCATTCAAATACGAAGGACAAACATGCTTGACCTAGAGGATGTCACCTGTCTTATCCTGTTGTTGTTCATTACCAAATTTTCACTTAGCGGTTGTTGACAGTCTTCAATTATAAGCAGTGTCCTTGCGTGAAATAATTCCTCGCTCAAAGGCTAGTATTTTTCAGAACACATTAGAATAGCTCAAGATGCCTCCAACTACCTCTTCACCGCGAGAAGGCGAGCGACCCCAAAGGTCCCTGTCTAACCAAGTTGAGACCCATGAAGGTACTACAACTGATGAGCCACCGCCAGTCTATGGTGGCCATGCTACAACCCAAGCAGCTCAACTGAAAGACCGGTCTCAAAGCTTATGGCAAACCGCTTATAGCCAGCTAGATGACAAGGATCAGCAAATCTTGTCGGGGTATATTCACCGAACAGAAATTGTACTTGATGAGATCGTGCGGATAACAGAAGCACAATATCAGGAATATCGAGAGGGGGCAGCTTACAAGTTCCGGGAGTATTCAGCAAAGATAATCAATGCTACATTAAGTGTCAAGGACATTATTGATACTGTTGTAGCTTTTGACCCTACACAACATGCAGCTAGTGCTTGGGCAATTGTATCATTTGGGTTGACAGTACGTAACAATGACTTTGATTTACACTGGATCTGCTGAACTAACTGAATGGTTTAAAACATAGATGGCTAAAAACCATAGTGATCCACGGATCGCTTTGTTTAAGTCTTCAGAAATACTAGCAGACGTCCTCGCAGAATGTGCCTATATCGAAAAAAACTTCTGTTCTGAGAACAAATCTAATACCGGAGATGATCCGACACAGCCACTTATCAAACTTTATAAGGCCATGTTACACTACGCAGCAGAAATACGAAACAATCAGAGAGGTGGAGCTGGAAGGTGGATCCGGAGCTGCATCAAAGCAATTACTGATCAGCCGCTCACAGTGCTAGAGAACACGGTCAACCAAGAAAGGGATTATCTACTCAGGAGGCTTGCAGTAGGCCAACACCTCAACCGCGCAAAGGAGGCTGAGGATATCTTGTCTCGCATCGATAGCCTTACCGAATCTATGAAGCAACTTCTCCACCAATTTAACCTTATGAATCTACGTGTTGCAGAAGGAGCGATTTATAATTCTTATCTCAACGAACATGAAGACTTTTGTCTTCCTGGAACCAGGACTGAGGTTCTGTCTGAGATTCACAAGTGGGCTGATTCAGCGGAAAGTCGATGCATATTCTGGTTGCAAGGAAAGGCAGGGACTGGGAAGTCTACTATTGCCCGAACAGTCGCTCGATCATTTGAAGAAAAGGGTTCTCTTGGTGCTACCTTTTTCTTCAAGAGAGGTGAATCCGACCGTGATACTGCGAGATACTTCATATCAACTATTACAAAACAGTTAGTGTCTCGACATCGGCAGTTAATACCCGATATTATGGAGACTCTCAAGAACGATCCAAATATCCTATACAAGTTTCAGAGTGAACAGTTTGATAAGCTTCTCTATCGGCCTCTTGAGAAGCTGCATCTCAACTATTCTACAATAGTTGTTATTGTTATCGACGCCTTGGACGAATGTTATCTGGAAAATGATATAAAGATTATACTTAAACTTTTGTCCAAGTTGGAGGAAATAAGATCGGTACCTCTGCGAGTGATTTTGACCAGCAGACCTGAACCTCTAATTCGAACCGGCTTTAAAGATAATGGCGGCTATAAAGGCCTGGTTCTTGATAAACGTCCTGATTCAGAAATAAAAAACGATATTGGCCTGTTTCTGAACCATAAGTTTGCGGAGATACGGGACGAATACTCAATCCATGAGTCTTGGCCTGGCGAAAATAAAATACAAGAACTGGTAGATATGGCTCATCCTCTGTTTATTTTCGCAGCCACCATCTGCCGCTTCGTGGGGGACAAACGCTGGACCCCGGAAAAGCGCCTTGAAGCAATTCTCCAAAATACATTGGCAATATCAGGAAGCCGAATGGAAAGCACCTACGGCCCTATTTTGCATCAACTTGTTTCTGCCGCAGATGATGAGGATGCCACGAAATTGTTGGACGAATTTAAGGATATTATTGGGGTTATTATTCTTCTTGCCATACCGCTTTCAGTCAATGCTCTTGCCAGCCTTATAAATAAGCAAAGTGTGGTTGTTCATACTCGCCTGGCTGGATTTCATTCGGTGCTCAGCGTGCCGGCGAATTCAACAGAAGATATTCATTCACCTATTCGCACTCTGCATATATCATTCCGAGATTACCTCCTTACAGCACAAAGCGATCTCAAAATTGAGGAGGAAATGATGCATGGAAGAATAGCAAAACATTGCCGACAACTTATGTCTGAACATCTCAAACATAACATCTGTAACCTAGCAAGTTACGGAACAAAGCGCAAGGAGATTGACCCGGTTGTTATTACTCAGCATCTTACAGCTGACGTGCAATATGCCTGCCAATACTGGGTTTACCATCTTGCGCGTAGCCAAGATAGGATTTCTGATTCTGAAATTCTATCATTCCTGAAAAAGCATTTTCTCCACTGGTTGGAGGCATTGGCTATTATTGGAAGTATATCTGATGCAGCACGGTTGATCGATACACTGAATGAAAGATGAAAGATCATTGGTTAGTTCCTTCAGACTTCTGAAATACTGAAAAATAACTAATATATATCAAAGAAGTTGAAAGATAGTGAGCTTTCTGAATTTCTCGACGATGCAAGAAGATTTACTCTTCAAAATTCCTCGATAGCTGGAACTGCTCCACTTCAAATCTATTGTTCTGGGCTGGTATTTGCACCAATGAAAAGTATCATAAAAAAAAGTTTCATCGGTGAAATGAAACGGATAAAAACATTCCCAGTGATAGAAGACTCATGGAGCCCATGTCTGCAGACATTTGAGAGCAATTCAGAAAGCATTCGCTCAGTGGCTTTTTCTTCCGATGGGCTTTCTCTAGCATCGGGAGCATTTGCTGGGATTATCAAAATTTGGGATACTAAGACGGGCGTCAACCAAAAAACATTTGGAGCTCATTTAGGTTCAGTCGTCAAAACATTAGCCTTTTCTCCAAAAGGGCTTATATTGGCGTCAGGCTCTGATGACAAAACTATAAAGCTCTGGGACATTGCTTTAGGCGTGTGTCAACAGGTATTAGAAGGCCATTCAGGTTGGGTCTGTTCAGTAGCCTTTTCTCCTAATAAGCCTATATTAGCATCAGGCTCAAGAGATAAGACTATCAGACTTTGGAACCTAGAAAAGAAAGAACCTCTAAGGGAATTTAAGAGGCATTCAGGTACAATATTTTCAGTAGCCTTTTCTCCTGATGGACTTACATTGGCATCTGGTTCTGAAGATAAAACTATCAGACTTTGGAATATCAGAACTGGTGAATGTCAGCAAGTTCTGGAGAATTCAGCTTCGGTTTATTCAGTGGCCTTTTCTTCTAATGAGCCTATACTAGCATCCTGCTCTGGTAATGGTACTACCAGGCTCTGGGATGCCCAGCCCGATACTCAGACCTATAAGAAGGGAAGACAAATCCCAGAGAGCGATACAGGTGATTTTCATCTGGTGGGTTTCTCTCCCACGAAGCATATACTGGCGTTAGGCTCTTATGAAGGGACTATCGAAATCTGGGATACTACAACACAGAAGCACCAGCAGACAATACAGACTCGGTCAGGAACAGTCCACTCAATGGCCTTTTCCCCTGTTATGTCCATACTGGCGTCGAGCTCCAGTAATGGAACCATCAAGCTCTGGGATTTCACAATAAAAGAGGAAAAAAAGGTATTGAGAAGCCATTCAGGATGCATATATGCAATGGCCATCTCCTCCAAAGAGCCTATACTAGCCTCAGGTTCTGATGATAAGACTATAATTCTGTGGGATACTAAAACAAGCGAGCACCAGCGTATTTTAACAGATCATTCAGAGTCGATTAACTCAGTTGCCTTCTCTCCTGATGGGCTCACACTGGCAACAGGCTCTTTTGATCAGACTGTTCGGATATGGAACAGCACAACAGGCATATGCCAACAGGTATTAAATGACCATTTAGGTTCTATCTGCTCAGTGGCTTTCTCTCCAAATAGAGATGAGCTTATACTGGCATCAGGCTCTAGTGATGGAACCATCAGACTCTGGAATACAAGAACTGGTAAATATCAGCGAGTTCTGAAGAATTCAGCTTGTGTTTACTTAGTGGCTTTTTCTCCTAATGGACTTACACTGGCATCAGGCTCAAGTGATGGAGCTATCAGACTTTGGAATATAAGAGATGGTAACAATCCGCAAGTTCTAGAGGGGCATTCAGGTTGGGTTTATTCGGTAGCCTTTTCTCCTAATGAGTCTGTACTAGCATCAGGTTTTGATAATGGGACTGTTAAGCTCTGGGATACTGAAAAAGGTATATGGAAGCAAACTTTAGAAGGTCACTCGAAATTTGTCCATTCAGTGGCCTTCTCTTCTGACGGGTCTTTCCTAACATCGGCCTCTTATGATCACACTATCAAAATCTGGATGAAAGAAAGGGGCATCTACAAAGAAGTATCGAAGGACCATCTCAACTCAGCCTGTTCAGCACTGAGACGTTCGGATTTGAATTCTCCAATATCTTCATCAGATAATTGGATAGCCGTCGAGGGCGAGAATCTGCTGTGGCTTCCTGCTGAATACCGTGATTTTGTACGCCATGCTGTCAAGGACACTACACTTGCTCTAGGATATGAGGATGGGCTGGTCTTGATTATAGGTTTCTGTACAGCGAATGAACCAGGCTAATCACTTTCCCGACATGACACAGCAGCATCACTCACTATACCGAAAAGAAGCTGAAGCTCAACTCTAAATACCAGGTCTGGAGCTGAGGATTTTGCAAAATAAAAGCACGACAGGTATCGACTCTCAACTTACAATATGCAGTCAACAATATTTACTTCTTCATGTGATTTTTCGTGCCTACTAAATTACCATCCCACATTATCAGACTCCGATGGAAGTGCTGTTATGGTTATCAGTTTTATGATGACTTCTTGTCGCAAACAAAGGTTATTTGTCTGATTGGTGACTAAATGAATGTATATTACTTAAAAGTCAAACTTGTAAATCAGCGTGAGTTATCTCAGTGTTTATGTCCAGTCTTGAAAATCTGATCTAGTGTTTATAGCAAATTCTCTGTCCTTCACTAAATTATTGAGGATGGGACTATTACAACTAATGTCAGGGTCCGAAGGTACGACACCTTTCTCGGCCGAGACTAAGTTTGAACAGAGTAAAGAATGAAACCACACACAGTGCAAAGTGAAGCCGTCGCTGTAAGAGAATTACAAAACAGGTCATTGCTTGCCAATCGGTCTACTTTCTACGCTAGTCTTGTTTAGACTTAGTACCACTCATCAAGGGTTGGTGAATAAAGTTGGTGTGTTCTGGTAGGCAGGGCGGTTGTACAAGGCACTGTACAGATTCAATAAAAAGTAGTTAAGATATCAACCCTGTAAATTAGTTAGTATGTATAGAATTTACAGGTGGCTCGCTCGCTTGCCTGGCTCGTTCGGCTGACAATTACGTTACAGTACACAGTGACTAATAACTCAACACGTGAGACTGATGACTGGCACTGCCACCGGCTAGTGGGATGCGCGTGCCCCACTCTACATATTAACGGCCTAAGCCACAGTGCTCGAGCTAAGCTTTTCAATAGTCAAAATGGCATCCTTCGCACTAGCTTGCCTTGTGATCATTGTCAAGGGGAGGGTTTAAAACGATGGGTGGCTGGCTTACTCCACTTTCGCCGACCTTCAAACAAGTTGTCACCCACCTGTTTGCCCACGATGGTTCCCACGCGGGAAGATATCGCCAAGTTCCTCACGATCGTGCCACATGCCAACGAAGGACACGCTTTGTTGTACTTACAGGCAAGCTTTTTCCTTTCTCGATCACTTGCCTTGTTTATTTCAGCATATTTATCTATCTTAGGGAGCGACGACCCTCGAAGAGGCCATCACCCACTTCTACGATGGTTCTCTCACACACGCCAACGGTGCCGCACCGGGCGACACTTCGAATTCCGTGCGCCAGGATCAAAATACCCAGCCCGATCATGCTGATCCTCTGCCTTCCTATCAATCGGCCGTCGCGATGGGAGGCAACGAATCCAGAACCACGCATACCAATTCGATTATTGAGGCGGCGAAGCTCCGCGCGCGCGATGAGGTGTGCAGAGCCTCGTTCCCGGCCCCCTTTTTTATTGTTCTCACCTAACTCAGAAGTCTCTCTGTATCCATAGCAAGAGATGCAAAGCCGATTGCAACAAATTCAGTGGGACCATCAGATCTTCAACGATGAGATTGAGCCGGAGCATGAGGCAAAGCACATGCTGACCTGCGCCTGCGACATCCACCAGTACAAAATCCGCAAGCAGAACCGCGTGGCAGTGCTGAAAATGTGGTCCGAAGCCGTGATGTATCCCGGTGAGGATCCAGCCCACCGCAATCTTTGTTTTTACTATGTGGGGCCATTGTCGAGACGGGCAGATCACTGACATACCAGAGGGGAAAGGCGAGAAGTACTATCACGACTGCTACTACTCCCAGCAGATATGGAACAACAATCCCTACGCCAGAATCATTACTCCGTATGGTCCCGTAGGTCGCATACGCCAAAAGCCGGAAGCCCGATACCACGCCCGGTGGCTGGTCGAGACTATCCGTCTAAATTCCAGCCTCAATGCCACTGCGCAGAGAATTGCGAATCAATACGAGCCGACAGAGAATATTTGGGAGGTGGAGGATGAGCCGGTGGCCGCTAACGACGGCGAGGGCTCGGACACGGCGCACCATCGATCCGACTCACTCAAGCCGTCTATCTTGACCCAGATGCGCAGGTCATTGTCCCTCCGGTCGTCTGAGGAGCGCGAGGCTGCCAGGCAAGCGAAGCGGAAAGCAGACTATCGCGAGCTGCGCGACGCAATCCTGGCGGAAGAGGCGGGGCGGTGGGCCGACCCCGAATCCCGCCGCATCGTCACCGAATACCAGGACCGCCTAGGGTTGACGCAGCACATTGCGAGCCTCCGTGTGCACCGCCCGATGCAATACCTCCATCTCCTGCGCGCCGGCTACTTCGAGCCGATCCCAGTCGCGTGGGCAAGGCAGAACTCCAACCCGCTCAAATTCCGGATCGAGGCGGCCGAAGGCTGGCGTGGCATCACGCCCACCTGGCGCGGGTACGAGAATACGGCCGAGGAGCGGTTGTACTGGGTCTTGAATCATCGGATCGAGTTCACTAACGGCACTGAACCGAGACAGTGGCTCAAACCGGACGTGATCTCTGCGCTCGAGATGGCGCGAACGCGCATGGCAACTGCTGTAGACCTGCCGCCCGTCTACGAGGCGCTAGACGATATCTGTCAGACGCAAAATCCCTCAGCCGTGGGCTACTCGCGCCAGGTGATGCCATCCCCGTTGCGGGCGGTAGATGCGCCTGAGTTGCCTACGGACAATACAATGATCCTTCTGGATGTGTCGGGGTCGATGGACTTTGACCCCGTGCGACCGTCCTATGAGAAATATATGGTCACCCGCTATGAGCGAACAATGCAGCCCAGAAACAAAGGTATTAAACCCCCAAAGCCTTCAATGTCTGCAGGAAAATAAAGTTGTTTCTCCGATCCTGATCCGCTCTCTACTCAGATGTCGCCAAAGCAGTCATCCGCCGCTTCACGGACGCGCTCGCCACCCATGACCAGAACCGCGAGGGCTACCAGCTGGTGACCTTCGCCAACAAAGCCGCCTCCATGGGCTACATCAACCACCGGAACTTCGCCTCCGTGTGGAGCCAGATCACCGTGGGGGGCGGCACGCGTGTCATGGCTGGCTGGCAGCAGGTCAAGGACCTCCATTTCCAACGACATGCAGCCTTTGCGACCTACCACGAGGTATACGGATGGCAAGCGGGGCCCCAGATGCCGATCCTCCGGCTCCTGCTCCTGCTCGACGGCGAGGCGACGGACATGGATGAGTTCGAGCTGGAGCTGCTCAGCCTGTCGTGGGTCCACGTGACGATCTTCCTGATTGGGGCCGACGGGTGTCCGCACCACCATCGCCATGCCAACGAGCTCCAGCGGATCAGCGAGGTCAATCCACATGTCGCGTTCGTCGACGCGCAGGGTAACACCCCGGAGCGGTATGTGACGCATGAGCTGTTGAAGCGGCACCTTGGGTACGAGGTGACCCTGTCGGAGTTTGAGGAGTGGGAGCGGCATGCTCCGCCCGCGTATGAGACTCCTGCTTAGGAAGGGCTGGGTGCATATGTCATATGTAATGGAGTATCTTCTTCTGGTTTCTTGACGACATACTTCCAGAATTCTGATCATAACGGTGGACAGGAGCGAGGCGAGAACGGTGCTTAAGCGTCGGACGCGGATTGGGGTGAATTGGAGCTTGGTGGTGAGTGTGAGTAAGCATTGGTTTTCGGTACAGAGGAAGTGCCAGCGGCAGAACTCGAAGCGTCTATTGTATAAGCAGCTTTTTCCTGTCTTAACTTCTTCAACTTATATTTTTCCTAGGTCAAGATTATGGCTGTAGTTGACTAAACCACTCGTCGATAAGTTGTAAAGAATTCGGCCTTCTTCTCGGGATTCCCTTCTACCAGGCGTCTCACCTTGTGGTAATGTCATAGCTTCAGATATCCACGAGCAAAGCATGTATACTACTGAGGTAGCCTCCTGACTTGCGTACTAAGGTAACCCAGGGTAAAGCCCTAACTCCTCACGATTCCCAGCACGAGGTGTGGGGGCGCTGTCACCGACGCGCAGAGCTCTTCACTCGATGTCCTGGTTTGTACCGGCTGCAGGATGCTGCGCTCAGTAACCTGTATGGGAACTCTCTGTTATCATGCCTCACTAGATGATCACAAGAATATTGCCAGCCCTTTAGTAACAATACATGTTGATGTTCCTGTTTCAACTGTCTGGCATGATGTGACAAAAGCAGAGTGTAAATAGCCAGTGGCGTACTTACCTATGAACCGTTTTGACTTGTCATGATAATAAGTTCAGCAAGAAAGAGGATCATAATCAAAATTGCCAAACCAACTTGTATACATAAGCACTGCAAGTGGAGTGAGCGTTGTTTACCTGGTTTTGGGTTACTCATCGAATGACGTCATCAGAAATCAACCCCACCGAGAAAAATCCTGCCGAAATTTTACCGGCTCACATCAATGTCCGACTCGACCAACCCATACCTCCCTAGCATAGAAACTACCGAACCTTGCCCAGTGGGGTCGAACTTCGGGGACCCTGCCGGTAATCATGCCCCCAATATCAGAGCATTATAGTACTCGCCAAGGGTCTCGCGTGATCAAAACGCGCATGAGAAGGGGTACCCGCAGCTGCATCGCCTGTCAGTATGCACTGCCTATGGCTCCTGAATCACAGCTTATGCAACCAACCAGGCAGGAAACGAAAGGTTCGGTGCGTCTTCCAGTCCGACAAGCCTGATTGTTGTATACATTGCTTGAGGCGCAATTCTGTGTGTATTCCGCAAGCCCTGGCACCGGGCCAGAGTCAACCCACGACAGATGGATACCATGAGCACGAATCCCCACTTGTGATGGCTTATCGTTCCCTGCAGAGACGGTTGGAAGCGCTGTTGCCCGCACCGATTATCCCCTTGGCAAGAAGACAGCAGGCACAAGCTATAGCCACCTCTACTGCACCTGAGGGGGGTAGATTCCTTAGGGACGCGGAATGTGCTCCGATTATGAAACTCATCGAAAATGAAATGGTGGGTGAATGTCAACGGACGAAGGCCTGCTGTGCAATCTCTTACCAAGAGATAGGGTGATGACTTTCTCATAACCGACGATCCAGGGGATGAACACCACCCGTCTCACAAAGAGCGCACCAATGCTAGCCCCGAGATCTCCTCCAAACATACCGAGGCCTTGCGGGGTCTGTATGCTGCATTGCCGACTATTCTCAACCTCCAAGATATCTTAGTCAAGCAAGGCCAATGGTGGGAATCCTGGCGTGATGCGTTCGGTCTCTCGTGGGGTGAGGAAACAGACAAGACTCTCGAAGATTTCGCCATTCGTGCTCTTCGGTCTGAGGATCCCTGCCTACTGGGCAGCCTCCTCGTGTGCTTGGCCCTAGGAACTGGCGCCTTCGGGACATATCTGTCGGCCGTCGAACGATGGATTCTTTATGACGATGACCTTGCTGGTTGCGAGCATGGGCTCAAATGCCTGATTGGGTTAGGGCTCTGCCACTTCAGCGCAATGCAGCACCATCGTGCCTGGTCGATTTATCGACGAGCAAATACCCTCCTCCAGCTGCGGGGTATTCATCGGGCCCACAGAAAATCAAAAAGGCTTGATGGGATCTTCTGGCAACTCTTCCACGCCGACCGATGGCTCAGTCTGATGATCGGTCTTCCTTACTCTGTGCCAAACGATCTTTGTGATCTCTACATTCCTCCGTCGAACCCGGGATCCTTCATCACGTTTCACTATCGTCATCTTGCCATTTTGACCAGTCGAGTCATTGATTGTGTACAAGCCACTAGTCCACCTCCTCTATCCATGATTTCTGCAATCGACGAACAGATTGATGCTGTGGCCGCCCATCTCCCGCCGCACTACCTTGATCTAACTCAGATATCCATTCTGGAAGATAGGCGAGAGAAGTACGCTCGCATTTACAGACTCACGCAGGTTTATCAGCTTAAAGCGTACCTGCACCTGCCGCTCTTTCTTCAGCGCTTAGATTTACCTAAGCGCCGGTATGGGCGGGAAATATGTGCGAGCAGCTGCCGCTGCTACTTGGAGGCATTCCTCTTGCTCTGTGACGATGACCCTCAGAGAGCAGGCACAGATAACAGCATCAAACTCACCGGATTCTCGGCGTTCATTGCGGCATTGACACTACTCCTAGCTCTTCTGGACGACACTCGGGGCACCACCAGCCCACTGAGTGTTTCATCGGAAACCAGACAATCCGATGAAACTCTGATCAAGAGAACGATGAAGGCGCTAGAGGTCTGCGCAGCAGGCAGTATGGATTCTTTATGCGGTCGTTGCCTCACAGCCTTGAACGCCTTGGTTACAGTCTGTCACGAGGCAGCAGGCGATACAGTTCACAGGGTCGATATGCCGTATTTCGGGGTCCTGTCCATCATGCCCAGGTCCCGTGGCCCCGGCCATGCCTCCCAGGACTCCTCGCTTCAGGACAACCCATTTTTCGGCTTCCCGGATCCGCTAGATGACATCTTCTGGAGCTACGAGGGTCCATTCGCGAACTACGATCTTCCAGTTCCGAACCAGTTTTCAACGCTTCTGGGCGGTGTCTGAATATTGTATACCTTAACCTTCTATAGACTATCTTTCTGAAAATATCACAAGAGTGGTCTTGCGATCCAGCTGCGGGAACTCGACGAGTTCATAAATACCCTTTCACTAGTTTCATTTCCTCTGTGCCTCAAAGCTGCCTAAATCGGGCACACTTTCCACGAACTGTGTTTTTCGCCGCGTCGTAGATGAAGATGGCTTCACACACACATACACACACACACATCTAGACTAGTTCTGAGGGTTTATAGCAAGCCCAAGTCCCTTGCATCGATGACAAGCGACTTCTCCAGCTCGTCTTCGAAGCTCGGCATGGTGGGCTGCCAGCCCAGGAGCTTCCTGCCGCGCAAGGCGATTCCACGCGAGTCCACCCCGACCATGACCTTCAACCAAGGCAGGATATTCTCGCTCTCCTCGGGGGTCACGGCCTCGACGGTGGGCGAGGCGACGAGTCCCTTGGCGTAGAGGATGCGAGCCGCGAGCGCGAGCATCTCCCGGTTGATGTAGAAGCCGTTTTCAACCAGGTAGTACCCTTGATGGTTCCAGGTCGCGTTGCCGCCGCCACTGGCGGCCGCCTCGCCCAGGCGGAGGTACAGCTGGCTGAGGTCTTGCACGTGGATGTTGTGCCAGATGTTGTCTCCCTTGCCAACTGTGACGACCCGGCGGTGGCGGAGGAAGGCCTCGAAGAGCGGGGCCGACTTCGTCTTGACCGGGCCGCGCCCTTGCCCGTAGATCACCGCCGGCGCGACGATCGCCGTCCGCACGCGGGCCGGATCCGCCGCCAGGACGACCTTGTCGACGCGGCGGTGCGGCGCCTCGTCGGGCAGCGAGGTCAGTTCGTCGACGTGCTCCCAGTCGTCGTACTGCTTGTCGAACAGCTCGCCGTACCTGCCCGTCGCGAGGGTCTCGGTGGCCAGGGTAAACGCTCCGGACGTGTGGATGTAATAGCCGGGCCCACCGTCGGCCGCCGATCGACGCCGGCGGCTGAGGCCTCGTACGATGGCCTGCGCCGAAGGAACGTGCTCATCGCTCCCCGCCGAGTGAAAGACAATGTCCGCGTCCGAGGCTTCCGTCTCGAGCAGGTCCGCATCATCGGTCGTGCCACGGACCAGCCTCACCTGCGGGTAGGCTTGCTGGACTTGCGCGCCCTTTTCCGGCGACCGCACCAGACAGCTCAACTCCCAGTCGGGATGTGCGTGGGCAATACAGTAGAGTATGTCGCCCCCTACAAAGCCTGTAACGCCGGTGCTGTGGTATCAAGCACGTCAATTTCGATTCGTATCCAGGCTTCTAGGGTTGTCAGGGACTTACATGAACACTTTCGGGGTCATTTTAAGAAAATGGCAACTTTAAGGTCTTCCTTGAAGATAGCTACCAGTAGTACCTTGTTTAAAAGTCAATTGATAGCCTCCCTCATGGTGCCAATTGACTGTCGTCCGAAGAAGCAAATGAGTCTTGGTCCGAAGTTGGGGCAAAAACACGTCCCATCCGAGCCCCACCAATGAATTTCTTTGTTTCGTCCGAGGCTAACTCTATCCCAAAAAGGGACGTCCGAGCCTTCGCCTGCAATTCGCCTATAAAAGTACGACCAAAAGTACGACCGTAGCAGGTACCTACCTACAGCCCTGAGGTAAATAGTACCCACCTAGTAAATACACACTCTGATTGAAGAGCACGGTTGAATTTGTTCTCTCTCCCTCGATTCCCTCCTTAACCACTTCGTCCACGGCCGGGGGCTAGAATCTCTCAATTTCCACTCGCATTTGCTTGTAGCATAATCTGCAGGGATGGCTGAGAATCACCGCCGCGAGGATGTTCAGATCATTGAACGACGGCCTCTCCACTGCGCCGACCACACGTCAGCGGCCAGCCTCGAGTCAGACTGGCCATTAGGCCCCATGGACCACCTTGTCTTCCCTTCCGTTCCCATCGAAGTGGTATTCGTCTATGAAAACCCACATGCGAATTCGGCCTTGCCGTCGTCTCCCCTCGACGAGCTTCTTCCAATCCCCAAGCTGGAGCAAGCGCTTTCTCGGCTCCTGGACTACTATCCGCACCTGACCGGTCGTCTGCACTTCCACCCCGATAGCAGAGCAGCCGGCATCTCTCGCCTCGGCACTGGTGCCGAGCTGTTTGTGGCGGACTGTGCCCTGCGGCTCGAGGATCTCGCCTCCCCGGGTCGAGGCCATGGCCGGATTCTGATGCCGAGCTTGCCGGACTGTGGGAATGCTCTGACACCCCCCTTTGACCCTACCCTTGAGGGCGTCTGCCGTGATCCTATCTTCGCCGTGCAGCGTACGCGGTTTGCTTGCGGCGGCGTCGCGCTCGGAGTCCGCCTGCACCACATCGTCTGCGATGCCTCCGGGTTTTTCCAACTGGTCCGACACCTCGCCGAGATCTACCGCAAGCTGGTGAGTGCGCAAGGACCGGTCCTCCTCTCCTCTCCGCCCGAGATCCGTTCGTTCCTGCGGGATCCCGCGCTCCTGTCCGGTGCGGAGCGGCAGGCCGCGAGCGCGTTCCGACCGTCCATATTCTACTTGGACGAGAGCAACGGTGCTAACGGGGCCGGGGATCCAGGTCCGAAGGCCGAAGCGTTCAAGGCCGGTCCCATCGGTCCGATGCCGACGGGACGCGTCACTGGCCGGGTGTTGCGCTTCACGGGCCCTCAACTGCAGGCGCTGAAGGAGCGGGCGACGGATCCTAGGGGCACCACCGGCTGGGTCTCGACCTTTGAGGCCCTGTCCGCATATCTCTACCAGCGGGTCTATCGGGCGCGAGTGCAGCTGATGCACGACCGCGGTGGGGTTCCGGCCTCCAAGATCCCTGCCTGCCTGTCTCGCGGCTTCTGGGGCTCCATCGACCTCCGAGGCCCCACGCGTCTCAACCGCCTGCCAGAGCACTACTTCCCCAATGCGGTGGCGCCGCTCATCCTCTCCGACCCGTCGCATGAATTGCTCCTGGACGGCCCGCTGTGGCAGGTCGCGGCCGCCCTCCATGCCGTGGTGCGGTCGTTCGACCCACGCCGGATGGAGGAGGAGCTCAAATGGATTGCCGTGCAGCCCGACAAGAGCCGAATCAAGGTCCGATTCACCTTCGATGGGGGCAACTTCACCGTCAGCCAATGGAGTAAGCACAGCATGTACTGTGGGATGAATTTCGAGGCTGATGAGGGCGGCAATTCGCTCGCGCCCGTGCTGGTCTCCCCCCCGTTGACCGAAATCTCTCGCGTGGATGGTCTGGCAGTCATCCTGTCGACGGAGGAACAGCTGCACCCACCAACTCAGCATGAGGGGTCCCGGCAGCGTTCCCCGCCCTCGTTGGATGTCAATCTGACTCTCATGGAGCACCTGTGGCCAATTCTTGCTGCGGATGAGCAATTCCGGCAGTATTGTTGCTGAGACCCCACACAGAAGGAATAATAGTAGAGAGTCCCAGTGGTTCTAGTCACAGACTTTGTGATATCACATTTTATTTACTTTGCAGAGATACTGAGCCCGCCTCATAGCAGTTCCTGGGCTCATCGAGCTTCGCAATGCACGTACCGAAGCGGCTGCGGCAGACATATAGAATTCAAGGCAATCAAAGGCAATTCAGAGCGGTTCCAGATCGATCAATGTAGTGAAACTTCCTACAGGTGTTAGCTATGTAGGCGCTTGTTCGAGAGCGAGGGCCTGTTCTGTACGAAATGTTGAAACCAGGTAGCCGTAGACCTTGGCCAGAGCTGAGCTCCGTGGCAGAATTGGCTTGCTCTCGTTATTACCGCTCGTTCGGTCTTGGAGACAGCAGGAACTTTCAGTGGCTGGCCTATGTCTAATCGAAACAAAGTTGAGACAAGGTACCAAGAGTAGGCAGGCGGCGTGGAGACAAAACGAACACAGTCGCCATCAGCAATCCAAGAGGGGCCTGTCTATAGACACAAAACACGAAGCATATTGAAGAATGACCTACTGATTAGATTATTGGCAAAGATCACTCTAGCTGATAGAAAAGGCGGGGTATCACAAGATTTCGTGTTATCTTAAAAGCTAAAGCTCATGCCATGATTGACTACAAATGAAAAGGATTCTAGCAACAGATATAGTTGACATTTAGATTGTATAGAAATTTGAAACTGCTATAGGATAAGAAAGGTTGTTCTGAGAACCAAAGGTATAGATAGCTACAGTTAGAACGCAAAGTTGCTCCTGTTCATGCTGGTAGCATGAATCGACTTGGCGTAGCACCCCCGAAGAGTGTCGGGCGCGTACAGCAAAGACGCATATGCACTTTAGAGTTTGTGGAAGCTGAAACCTTAGCACTTTTGTTGCATCTCGGCACACTTAGAGACAATATTATCTTTTCTTCGGGTTCGCAACCCACTCAATAATCCTAAATCCAGGATACTTCCAATTCACGCCAAATGATTTTCACTCTGCTGTGTACAATACACACTCCGTGGCCGATCAGAAAACAATCCGTCTCTTCATTCATGATCGACATCAGTACTCAAAGCGATTTCCTTCATCTCTTCCAAGTTTTGCTTTACACTCTCCAACTTCTCCACCATGCGCGGGAAGTAATCAGTCAATCAGTCCACAGCGGCAGGCGAAGGAGATGCTCCTTACCCTGCCCCTGGCCCTGTAGTTGAATCACATCAAGGATTCGCTGCATCGCCTTTGATGGATCTCCGCTCTGCTTGCCCGCAAAAGTCTCCCATCTGCCCATGGCAGCTACCAGAGGGGTGTCCTTGTAGCCCTCATTTAGCCCAGCAGCGGGGGTCCTATGTGATCCGATGAAGTAGGATACGGATATTGAATGGGTCGAGCTCGGTAGACAGGGCTTAGACAGGGCTGAATTTTGAAAGGAGGTCAGCAGGACATCCCGACTTTTGGCAGCAAGACCGAGCTGGCCACTTACGTACCTTCGACAGCGAACTTGGTCATGGCATATGCCGCAGAGGATGGCCCGGCGGCAAAACCCGCAATGCTACTCATGTTGACGATGGTGCCCTGACGTTGCGCCCGCATGAGGGGAAGCACGGCTTTGATAACCCTGACCACGCCGTACACATTCGTCTGGAACTGCACGTCGAGTTCATCTTCGCTGCAATGGTTTAGCCCCAGGAACATGCCACCGACTTGCGGTTTGTGCCCTCGTACCTAATATCCTCGATGCTACCCACGAGACCGTACCCAGCATTGTTGATCACTACGTCAATTCTGCCGCCATGGTCTTCGATCGCTTGTGCAACCTGCGAAGTTGTCTGCTTGCTAGTGACGTCCAAGGGGAGCCATGTGAGGATGCGATCTGGGGATAATCCTTGGCAGCCTTGGTCGGGTTGCGGGCCGTGGCAATAACTCGATGACCAGCTTTCAGCGCGGCTTCAGCGAGGAGCGCTCCAAAGCCGGATGACGCTCCAGTAATCAACCAAAGTTGAGGTGCCATTGCGCGCTTGGTTCTGTTATCATGGTAACGTGACTGAGTTATCTTGTCCAGAATGAAACAGAATATGGATGGAAGCAGAAAATATGTTTGCCGGTGCCTCCTCAGCTGTGCATGGTTTGAAATTTATATCTGCCTGGCGACATCCGAGCGATCAATTCTCGGTGTGTAGTCGATCCCATGTCATCGTATCCGAGATAGCCGGTCAGCGAGTCGGCAGTTTCCTCGTTTAGTTGCGGGCCTCCGATATTGACCGCAGAAAACAAGGTCAACCACATAACCGGGAGTATGCCCAATGCATGCTAAGGGTCATCTTTCTGTCTAGCTAGATCTGCCTGTCGTGACTTGCTAATGGTACTTGAGCTTCAGCGCTGCCACCTCATATTGTGATTGCTTGCAATCCTGGCGAACAATTTTATGCAAGAAGCATTATTCTCTGTCACATCAGGTTATAGCAGATGCAAGGTAATCGTCATACTACCTACCCATTGGGTATGATTGGCTGACAGGATATACTACGGTTTACTGATTCCTGTGGAGTAGGCTGAGTATAAAGTAGGTATATTCAAATTTGGCTGCTCCACAAGGTGCGGTTGGGTCACTGGTTAAGAGTGGGGGCTTTAATTATAATCACAAAATAAACAGGCTGACGGCAGCAGCTTTCGGAAGTTTCATACCAATGATATATCATGAAATATCCTTTCTTGCTGAGGAAATGTATATCACTTGGATAGCATTCCTCAGATTCCGTATGTTATCCCATTCCCACCTCTCTCGACCACACGTTAAACTAGATTAAACCACTTAGCCGAGCTTTAGCCGTACTGACTAACCACTTCCGGTATAAGCTTTTTGAAGTCCACGGTACCGTAAGTACCACAGATTCATCTTTGCAAACAACATCTACGCAGGACCGATACGCCCGTTATCTCCGGTGGTGCTCCTATACGAACCAAGGCAGATAGGCGGGGAACGGTCTTTGCCTTCTGTGTAGTCTTCGCCCCGAACTTCTGATAACCCGGTCACTGCTGAGAAGCCTGAGACTATCGCCAAAAGTGGTTAGAGTTCCTGCAGGTGTATGACAGAGTGGATCGCCTTAAGACGATTCAGGAATGGTAAGGTCCCACTTCACATGGAATGGGATCGCAGGCGAAGACTATTGTAAAGCCTTAAGCTCTGCGCTTGCACCACCGTGGCCCATGTTCCCGCCCACTTCCATATGCTTCCTCCCTCCTGTTCTACCCCATTAACACCATAATTAGAGTGTTCCTTGTCATCCGACTGCATATACACCCGGATCCCGGAACGACAATCTGCAATCTCAACTGGTAGTGGGATGTCCCACCTGGATAATAGCAATGAGCTGCGTATCTCGCGAGAGGATGACTCGTCTGGGACATCGTCAGCCAATAAGCGAATCCGCGTACAGAGAATCACCGCACGAATCCAAGAGTGGCCAGAGGAAGATTGGTCGGGTGTTGCAGACCTCACATTGCGCAGGAGGTTGCAAAACCGGCTGAATCAGAGAGCTCGACGTAAGTCCCTCGTGTGTGCACAACGCCCCATATGACCCCCACTTTTGATGAGAATAAGGCACTGCAGAAGGCTTGTAGCTAATCAAAGGACAACTTGTGCAGGCCTCAAGAAAGCGGAAGGCTCTCAATGTGCGTCGGCTCGTCGGAACGACGGCAGTGCCAGCCCTTCCTCTGCTGCGGTGCAGGATTGCGCCCCAGTGACGCCAGCATTGACCTCTTACCCTGGACAAACTGTACGTACGCAGCCAGAAGATAAGAGGAGTACAGCGCTAGCTGCTCTGAGAGAGGTCGAGAGCATCCACAGTCTCGACCTCGACATCAGCCGACCAGAGAGCGTGCTGGAGCGCATCGAAGCGGTGGCGCGCGAGCAGCACCCATCGGGAGACCCGCGCTCCGATATGTTGCTCCACCTGATCCAGTTCAATTTCACCAGAGGCCAGCTGCAGACTATGCAGATTCTTGGTCTGACCTCAGAGCACATGGACGATGATGCCATCTCCTTCTTCAACTTACCGGGACCATGGCCACACGAGATGGAGCATGCGCTTCCCGCCAGTCTCCAACCTACTCTCGTGCAGCGCACTGTCGTCCATCATCCGTGGCTCGACCTGCTTCCCCACCCCGCGATGCGCGACAATCTGATTCTGGCCGGAGAGGCATACGACGAAAGCAGGCTTTGTCTGGATATGAAGGGGCTTGGCAGCGTGCACGGGCAATATTCGGGGATCATCATCTGGAGCGACCCGTGGGATCCCAGCGGGTGGGAGGTCACCGAGCCGTTCTCTCGCTCCTGGGAGTGGGTGCTCCGGGGCTGCTGGGAGATCTTTCACTCGACCAACGCGTGGCGAGCACGTCGCAATGAGGAAGCGCTATTCCCTGTCACACAAGGTTAGAGATCCTATCTGCCTTTACACTGCTCTAGCCCGGCGAACTGGATGACTTCAAGACGGATTGCTGTACACAGACATCCAGCAGCCTCTGAGTAGCGTAACAGGAACAGCTCGGCATACGTTCTAATGATCTCGTACATTCTGCTTTTCGACTCAGTTGCCGGTGAAATAAGGCTGGAGTATCTTAAATGAGCCCCAGGGCATAATGGTGGGAGGTGGTCTATGGGACTCGGGATGTTCTTCCGTTATCGTCCCGTCCACAAAGTTCTCACCTTCATCTGGCGCCCCATTGTTATAACAGGTCCAAAACACCGTGTAGCACAGTGCAGGCTATTCGCGCAAAGCTATCGTCAAAGTCGCTGCCATAGAGTGAACGATCCTTCGGCCTAAGGTCTCCTGGTTCTCTTTCTAAACTTCACTTTCACCGTGTAGAACCATGCTTACCACTAAGCTTACTCAATTGTTGAGTTCCGCTTGTGCAGATGTGCTGCGGCATGCAAGTCGGCTCAAGGAGATCAATACATGTATACACCACAGTAGCTGAGAGCTTGATGACGCCTCTGAGGGAGGTGGAAGATGCTTGCATTCTGACTACGTCAGGCTATCTGCGAGAACTAGCTAAGGCCGCCGAGGTGGCCGGTGAGCCAGCAGCCTAAGAGCTCGTCAATGTAAGCATAGATCTCCATGATATCTGATCTCAAACATTGCGCAAACTTCCTGGCTCGGTTCCAGGACACAATCTCAGTCAGGCCAGCCTCATCCAAAATATCCCGCCGTCAGCCAGATGTGCTTGAGCCTTAATGACCGCACAACGATCCAAACAGTTCGTTGAAACGCTCTCCACTTGGCTTGGAGTTATCCACAAGCCGTCTCATCTCGCTGAGCTCCTCCTGCGTCAGTTCCACGTTGCGTGACGCCCAATTCTCCTCCAACCGCGAGGGCTTGGTTGTTCCCGGAATGGTGATGAGCCCCTGCGCAGCCACCCACGCCAGCGCGATCTGCGCGACCGAGCAGCCCTTCCGACTTGCCAGTTTCTTGATCTCGTCGACAATCGCTTTGTTTTTGTAGAAGTTTTCGCCTTGGAACTTGGGGACTAAGGTTTTTTGTTCGGTGAGGTCAGCTTCCCTTGCGCGCCAGGGAAAGAAGGGGGGAGAAGTCCGTGGACTGGTAGACAGTGTGGGTGAACGTACCGGTGCGTCGGAAATCATCCGCGGCAAAGTCATCAGGAGACTTTTAGTCGAAGTCGTCCACGAGCCAGCCGTGCCCCAGCGGGCTGAAGGCGACAAAGGCGATCCCCAGCTCCTTGGCCGTGTCGATCAGGCCACTCGTCTCGTGCAATGTCTCAAACGCAGAGTACTCGGCTTGGACCGCGTCGATCTTGGCGACTGGTGAGGATATTAGTGCTGGGCATCAAGGGATCAAGCTGACTGCGGGTAGACGAACTGGCGTGGGCCTTGCGCAAGGTTGCAGCAGAGCATTCCGACAGGCCGATGTACTTGGTCTTGCCACTCCGGCGGAGTTCATCGAGGGCGCCGATGGACTCCTCGAGAGGGGTGTCTTTCCACAGCAAAGGCTCGGTCAGCATAGATTTCAACAGCACGGCTCCACGGTCGACTGGTTTTCTGGGACATACGGGGATCGATCCGGTGAAGATAGTAGAGATCTAGTGTAAAACCAAGCCTCTCAATGGTGCCCTCAATGTATTCCTTGATGTGGGCAGCCGAGTTGGTGACTTTACACTCGAGTCCGAAGACTTCGAAGCCACATTTCGAGGCAACTACACCAGACTATGATGTGAGCTTAGGGTGCTTCGAGAAAAAAAAGAAAAGAGAGAGTGAGGGAGAGAGAGGGCTTGATTTGACCCACCAAAGAGCTTATCGCGAACATTGTGCTTCTTGATGAAGTCCCCCAGCAGCTTCTCGTTCTCGCCGGCCTTGTAGGCAACCTGTCTCGTGCAAGACCATTAGGAAAGACAGGTCCTGGGCGTTTTTTTTTTTTTTTTAAACCTGAACTTACCGCAGTATCCCAGAAGGTGCATCCGAGCTCGATAGCTTTCAGAAGAACGGCCTCAGACTGGGTGGCATCGAGATCTGTTCCCATGCCGTGATTGAGTCCCATCGCGCCGAATCCGGGAACTGGGACCTGCTGGTCGCCGAAAGCGAGAGTCTTGGTCATTTTGGGAACAGGAGAGTATTTTGGTTTAAGACCTGGCAAGTTTCGCAGCTTCGAGACTGTGTATTTGAACATGAGAGCCGACACTCATGGGGAGCGCCATCTGCCGGTATTTAAGCAACCCTGGCCGAGCGCCCTAATATTCTATCCAAGTCATAGCAAGGCTAGTTCCTCTACCTCGTATGCATCCATGGAAGCGCCCTGAACCCTGAAGAAAAAGGTTATTTCTCTTTTGAGTTAGACATCATGCAGGTGTATGACACGGCCAATGAACATGAAGTGCAGGTCGGGTCCTGCGGGGCGTTGGCTGCGGGTCTGAGACTGAGACATGGTGGCGACGATCGTAGTTAAACCCGAAATCCATGCTAATCTCCGATTCTAAGTCAGACATTACATTCCAACCCACCCTATGGTCAATTTTATGGTCAATTTGTGAGTGTACAAGGCACCAACAAGGTGGTAGGGCCCTTCTTCACGGCATCTTTGTGCATTCTTTAATTGCTATTCGTATTCCAGCAATATTTTATTGATACCACGTGAACAGCTCACAGTATTCTTATTTGTTTTACTTGTTTCACCCTAATCTTTACTGTATATATCGACTCTCCGCCAAGTACGTGCTTCTTTTATGTTGCTGCGACATACAATGTGTTTTGCATTTCTCGGTAAAGGCTAGAAAGTTCCAGGGTTGTACATATATTTCTCCTCCTTCTTGGCCTCAGGGAATTAGAGCTTAGCTCAAGTATAGGTCATCGACCTCCAAACACAGCATAAGGACCTCATACCACCAATCACCAGATATCAATTTCATTCTCTAGAAACACTTCCAAGCCGTACTCTCCAACCAGAATCACCTAGATTCTATAATAGTGGACGGAGAGAAAAAAAAAAAAAAAGGCAAATCCCAGTCTCAGGGGTGAGGAGCCCGGGGGGTGGGGGGGGGCTCAAGCACACACGATAAACCCATCCGTACCGGACAGGCTCGATTCCACCGTCTCATGTATCATCACACCGCAGTAGATCAATTCCTCGTTGCTCCCTTCCATGTACACGACTCGCATCGGGGTCTCCCAGTTGGTCCCCATGGCTTTCTTCTTCTCGTCCTTGGACCACGCCTTCCGCGAGGCTCCGGTCCAGTAGACCGGGTACTCCAGCAGCTTGCTGTCACTGTTCTTCGGCTGGTCGTCACACTCCTGGATGCCCCAGGTTAGGGCGTTGAAGTTCTGGTACTGGTGCGGGTAGCCGCTCTTGGTGGTCGTACCGAAGCCCCCGGATTTGGCTTGGGCCTCGGCGGTGGAGGTGGCTATCTTGAAGCTTTTGACCGTACTCTTGTTGGTCTTGGGAGTACAGGTGATTGTCCCCTTCCAAAATCTCACGTCAGGCATTATTTTCTGTGGGGCGGGGCGAGGCATTTGGGAGGGGTGTGTGAAGTTGAACAGGTAAGGAGAGGAACCAGGGAATTAGACAATTTCATCAAAACTCACGGCACGTGCTTCCAAGACGTTGAGAACATCAGTGCTTTCCTCGTATTCTCTAGCATCGATTCGCCATTTGTTGTTCCTCTTGATTCCCGCAAAGCCATTTTCACCGGACTCTGTGGCGTGAGCCGACAAGACCGGGGCGGCAAGAAGTGAAAGCGCGAGTATGATTTTGATTTGCATGATGGGCAAAGGAATGAATATGTATATGAATAGATGTGTGTAGTAAGGAATTGAATGATGAAGTTTTGCTGGTCTGTCTGATGGTGCAGGGAAGAAGATCGTTCAGAGGAAGAATGTTTCTGGCTATATAGGTCGTCGTCCCCGTGGCAGGGAGCTACTGACCAACATTGGATTGAAGGTATACTGAACTCCTCAATGCTTGCCTGCTGGGATGCAACTAGCAAGTGAGACATGATGTCTCTGATACCTACATCAGCACTACTGACACAAGCAGCTCAGTTCGCCAATAGAAACACATACTGCTTGTTATGCGTTCCGGAATTATTTCAACGTCTATATCAGACAGGCTAGACTCTGATTGTACAATGCTCCTGTGTTTCTATTGGCGAGTTCGTCTGTATAAACCACTGATGTGATTTCTGATGCTTGTATTGGGGCAGAGTGATCAGAGACTGACAGGGGCAAACTGGGGCCAAAGGCCCCAAGCTTGGGGGCGTTATCCCACGCAAAGCTCGAATAACTTTCCTTAACAAATGTAGACAACCGCAGTGTCATTTGATCTGACTCATCTCCAAGATAATGTTGGATAGAGTCGCGCTTCTTATAGGCCTGTGCACGCCGGGGCCTGTTCCGTGGGCTCGGCCGCGGGCAAATCCGACCGCGAAGGATAGCCCTAACGGCAACCAAGCCGTATTCACTAATTTAGTGCTTACCATGTCTAAGCCACGCCACAACCAGAAAATAACCCTCATCACCCCACATCCAGCTGCTCTTCGTTTCGGCTCCAAGTCCGATTTTTCCCTCTTTCATACTTCCCAATAAACCCAAAGCGACAACCTCACCCGCACAATGTCTTCTCCAGAAAGCACCGAGAACCCCGGATTCGATACTGTCCTTGACTTCCACATATTCGAGCCCCACGATGATGAAGAAGACCTCTTTTATAAGAACAAACTGGTCGCACTTGTTGAAGGTGAAATTACCCCTCAACAGGCTGCAACAGAAATAGATACCTTCATCACACACGACTCGGAGCGGTTATACAAACTGCACCGGGCGTATCATTTTGTTCCCGATACCTTGCCCGACGAGATCCGTCGCCGATTACCATTACCTCACGGCAAAGATGAGAGAGAACTGGGAATCTACTGCCCGAACCCCGGAGGACATATCGAAATGTTCATGCACTGGGTTTTCCGACTCGGCTCGGCCTTCCCGCCCGGCCATGTCGGCCAAGACCGGCTGATCGCCTTTCTGAAGGCGCTACGTGATCTACCAAGACATAAGATTGTTACTGTGGCGTCACCCTCAGACAACAAAGTTGTTGAGGAGAACATGTATACGACTCTGGAAGTATGGCCGATGGGGGGCCATTGGTTACTCTTGCAGATGGTGGCTCATTACGAAGAACAGGGTATTCCTCTTCTCCCCCGGATTATGTTCCTATTTTTCTTGCCGGCTAAAGTTTGGAGTGAGAAGACCCTTGACTAACCTCTGTCTTTCAGCTTACTTATACCGCCTTTATGCGGCTAAGCGACTGCCCCCTACGGAGATAGATCTCCGGCTGCGGAACTTCCAGTCTGCCATCGCGCGCATGACGGCATTGGATCTAATCGATTGTGGGTGGCTCTCTTCGTTAGAGGGCATCCTGCCTTCGCATCCCTGGTACCCTGATCTCAATGATCCCGAGGGTCAAGGGCTTGGCGAGGATCAAGGGTTCCGATGGCTTGCTGGTTGGATTATCGCAGGTGCGCAGTGGCTGCTTCGTGCTGAAGTGGGGCGTTATGTCTATCAGCAGTGTCTGAAGAGGGAGAAGATAGTCGAACGGTCGGAGATGTGGAGTATGGAGCGGTGGCGGCAGTGGAAGGATCAATTTGCTTTCGCTGCAAATGAGGCCAGGGTTGGCGTACATGCTCAAGAGCTGGCTCGGTTGGCTCTTCAGAAGATGACTGATTACGAGGGTGGAGGAGATGCTATTGCGGGGGGTGATTTGTGAGGTATCTCGATGTGTGCAGTGAAGATCGGCAAAGCACACTAGCTTGTCAACCCACACCTCTCAGGCATCGAGTTCTTGCATATCCTTCATTTTATCTGTAACTGTACGTTGTCTTTCAAGCCTTTCTTGGAATTTAGAATGATATCTTCTTTATACTCTTACATACTGCGTCAAAATTGCCTCTAGCTTTAGTTACGTAGGTAGGTTGAATAGGTATAATAGCTCTAAGACCACACGATGATCACGAGATATAACTCTTAGACACCTGTCTCAGGAACCTTCTTTGTCTTAAGTGGTAACAGTACTCAGCCCTTCCGCGACGTATTTCTCACACCACGCAACAATACGACGCCACCGACATCCTCCTGGTAATTTTTTCAAACTCGAATGGCCTTATCCCTCCCATACAAAACTCATACTACTCTCTTGATGCCACTCCACAAATAATGTAATGATCTCACAAGAAATCATTGCCGCATCTTCCGCCCCAACAAACTAACCGGAAGCCAGTGGAACTCCCCTCTCTCTTCTTCTCCGTCTCTGGGTTGTTTTCGCATGACATCCTCATGCAACGCCGCCAGACCGGCCAACCACTCCTTCTGACTCGGCACCGAAGGCGCCACTGCCCGCAGCTTATCCAACACAGCACTACTATTCTCCAACGCCAACATGAAGGTATCCGTGGCGAGGGGAATGAGCTGTGGGGTCGCCCAGGGAGTCTGCTGCCGGCACTCGACCACCTCCAATCTCTCGTCTTTGTCGTCTAAGGCAGTGGTTTGGATGTGGTGGGCGAGGTTGTCGAGCCATCTGTGAGAATCCCATATCAGTCTTGATGAATGAAATCTCTTGAGGATAGGTTTTCTTTAATCAAATGCGAGACACAACCGAAGTAAATGCTGAAAAGCAATTAAAAGAAATCAAATGGAAGGAGAATCTCACCGGAAATCATGCCCGGTCACCACCGTCTGCCGATTCATCAATTCCCGGAATTGCTGAGCCGGAAGACCACGCTGCACGATACTGCCGAATCGAGCGTCTTCCCATTGGAGATAGCCACCTGGTCCTGTTTGCCCTTTCGTGTTAGTTCTTATGTGAATGTTTATTCAGGTATGAGTTTTGAATTTTGAATTTTGAGTTTTGAGTTTAGTTTTTTTTTTTTTTTTTTTTTTTTTTTTTTTTCTCATCCAAAGTAATGTGAACATACTTAGCAATCTCGCAGCATGCCGAATCAGCGTACTCGGATCGTTGTCCCGGATAATGAAGGCCCACATGCGCAGATGCACCACGTCGAACTGGCCGATTAGGGCTGGAGGGATTGTCGGGCTGAGCGAGTCGAGCAGCTCGAAGCGCACATTTGCGGGCCAATACTCCTTCGCCGGGAAGTGCGTGTCGGCGATGTCGTAAGCGACGATGCGGGCGTCTGTGGGAATGTTCGGGGCAAGTTCAAGGGCCCAGATTCTGGATTTTGCTCAGTTTTTGAGGTTGAGCGTTGGGGAAGATGGAAGGTTTCCTTACCCCGTTCCGGCTCCAATGTCGGCAATCGCCATTCCATCTTTGCGGGGAATCTCCGGGTGCAGGAGATATTTTGTGTGCAGCTGCCACAGGAGGTGTTGCGCGTCGAGGCTGAAAAGCTTGTGGTAATTAGCAAAAGAATCTGGAGAAAAGAAAAATATGATGAATTGGGGTGCAGGCCGACCGAACCGCTTCGGATCGATTGCGTCGCAAGAAATAGGTGGTTGGGGAAGGGGTCGTCATAGTTATATTGGTTAGTTGATGCTCTGTTGGATTGTGGCAGTCTGGGAAAAGAAAGACCATGAGATGAAGGACTTTCATAAAGAAAGAACCACATTCAATACACTAACTATATACGGAGTAGACTCGATACATACACAGTAGTTCCAAACCTCGGGTAAACACTCCGTAACAAACGAATGCCGATCGACGCCCGACTAGTTGTCTAGCTAGTGCTTATCCTGACACCGCGCCCAAACCCCTTAGCACGATGGTGCCACGTCACCATTGTGGGACGCGGTCTTAGGCTGCACCACACAGTCTTGTTGGACATCAAACCCTGCTTGCATGGGCACCCCGTCCCCGTAGTGTTCATCCTCCTCCGTAAACAACCGCCACCGTCCCTTGCCGGTGGATTCCGGCCGACCGCCGGGCCACTTGCTCGCCTGGAGACTGGGCAAAGCGCTCGGCATTCCCATCTGGATTGGGAGATACGTGAACAAGGGTCGCAGGGAGGACAGGCACGCTTGTGATTGTGCGCAACACCCTCCGAGCTTATCTTGAGAGCGAGGGGAAGCAAGGTATGTAGTCAGTGTCCTTACGGGCAACCGTGCCAACGTTCAGCTCAACACACGATCAGATCAGGCACGGTTCGAAGCTCCAGGTAATTTCCTCCGAGCTCAGATCGGCCCTTGGCAGGCACACAAGCCGGATTATGGAGATGGCGGTAACACTAGCGATGCAGTCAGCGTTTAGCGCCTCCTTCCCCTTTCCAACAAACCCCTCCTCGGAATCAATAACCACTAAGAATAACAACATACAGCCCCCATCTGTCAATCTCGAATGACTTGGCAGGGCCATCAGGTCAGGTGTTAGCAAACCGTCGATCCCCTTCATCTCGGCGATGTTGAGCGTCCCTGATACTGAGACGGTCATCATTGGAGTAAAGTGTCTTCGGCTTCGCTGTCTCTGGGTGTTCATCTCACAACGTGGTCCGTGAGATCTAGCAGCTAGCTCCGCGGCATCCGAGGCTTGTCAGCCTCTTCTATCCTCAAGTAGGACAGGTTCTTTGGTGTTAAGAGTATCGGCGTGGCTTGGACCTGGAGCTGAGATCATGTTGTTCGACGTACTGACTTGCGTGCCTTTGTTCTCATTTCCGGTGAGCGTGAGTGCAAACCAGTACGTGAGTGGTTAGATAGGCGACCTGTTACTGGTCCTGGAGTGATCCAACAAAACACGTCAGGTGAAGGCGCGGCGACAGGGATAGGCGAGGTCAGCAGTGGGGGGTAAATAGGTGCGGTTCAGGCAGGGTGAAAGGGCAAAGATAGAGCGGCGATTACAACTACCCGGCCGGTCAAACGAGAGACAGACAAGCTAAAATAAAAAAAATATATACAACAGAAGGGATTTGCTGGTGGTGATCTACTTAACTATTTAACCTCCCAGCGTAAAACTCAAGTATAGAAAGCCTTATTTTCTATAGCCTGTAGTCATATATGTCCATCTTTAGAGCCCTTCAAGTTACAACCATATTGTATAGATCAGTACTGTTTGATAGAGAATATAAGTTAGGTTTAGGGCAGCGGACAAGGATCGAAACTATATAGAGTAGTTTCAAAATCATTAATTTGTATATTTGAAGTGGAATACTACTGGGTTTCTACAGCCAAACGCGCACGGAGATCTAATGGGCTCAAGCAAGTTGGGGACTGTAGTTGCGGGCGAGCTTAAGTTAAAAGTCACCCTTATACCTGCGGAAGGGTCACCGCCAGTAACTGGACGGGAGTATCCAGTCTTAGGGCTGTCCGCGTGTGAAAGTATAGCAGATCACAACCCGGCCGAACTACATTGACGTACTGTACAGCAACTTACTACATACAGTACCCGGCACAAGGGATTTGCATACCAGTATTTCAGATATTTCAGACTTCAAACTTCAGATTACCTACATATGTACTTCACGAGATTATATACAAATTCAAGATTTGTCTTTCTCAACTCAGATTTCCTCTCATGACAAGTGAAGATTCAGTACTGAAGGTTCGGTATATGAGTTCTCGGTGGATCGGCTTTGCGAGAGTACATACTTTATTCCGTTCTCCCTTCGGGCTTGGTAATTATCCTACCACCTATACAATTTCTTCACCGCACTAGGGACCAAAGTGAGGCTCACCTGGTGTACCTGGAGGGAGGGAGTATGGGTGGCTCGGGGGCAATGAGCTAGAACCCCGTGGACGACAATTGTCAAGCTGTGTTGTGGTTCCGAGATGGGAGCAAGAACTAAAGGTAGTCCCCAAATGCCCGGGTCTCGGATCTCGGGAAGGTCAAGCGCTCTGACTGCACTTTGTTCTCCCATCGTCTCGGCAAGAACCTCGCTACAAGATCACTACGGCCCTGAGTTGAGACTCATCCCCAAGCGGTCCGGATTTAAAGGGTGGGGTAAGGGCCTACATCACAAGCCGAAAGACAAGCCAGCTAATTCCAATCCGCGGACCGTGTTGTATGGATTACATGTATATATAGATTGAATATGCCTTAAAACCTACTTTGCTGGACCCTAGTTCCCTGCTATCGGAACTTCCTTCACAACCCCAGTTCCTGAGTCGCTGTCACAGGAAGTCGCAACCCGGTCTGGCTACTGGCGGGTAGGAATTCAGACCGGGATTGGGGTCTTCCAATTCTACGGTATGTCTGTTCATCACAAGGGCTCTCCCTCTTGCTCCTTCCATCCTCTTCAATGCAGGGAATACCAAGGAAAGGCAGGTCCTTCGTCCCAGTATGCCTTCCTGCAACAAGTACAACCGTTGACACCCGGAGTCCGAGGCCAATCAATTCAACCCGCTGGTTGCGCCGCCATCGGGATCGGATGCCTTGGCTTTGACCAACAGCTGGGCGGAATATTTCGCTCAGAGTGTCGATATCCCCCTGTCCGTCATAACTGAGCCGACCTTGCAGATGGTCCACATCCTATTGCTGAAGGTACGTTCTTGTTAGAATTAGCTTGACATTGCAGGAGCTCATTTCAATAACATAATTATCTCCTACCCAAAACGAACAAAAGGCTCTCTACGCCCAACAGGTGATGCGGCCCAATGAAGCCTACCTCCACCTTGGCTACGCCGTCCGCGCCGCCCTGGCGCTCGGGATCAATCGAGCCCCCGTGGTCAACGGGTACGGCTCCAGCCTGCACCACCTCAAGATGACCGTCTGGCTGACATTTGCCTTCGAACGCGTGACGGCGCTACTGGTGGGCGGCCCCTTTTGCTTACGGGATGAACAGATCGACGCGCCCTATCCGCAGGACCAGCCGCTCCCGCGGGCGGAGTTCCCAGCGACGGTGGGGGTGGGGGACCTCTCGTCACAACTTGCCATCGACCGGAATGCCTTCGTGCGCGTGCTCGCGGATATCGGTAAATTAGCCGATGGGATCTTGACCCGCATCTACCCGCTGGGCACGCTGTCCGCGGCGGAACAGTACTTGGTGGAGAGCAACATGCAAGAGCTCGACGCGCGCCTCCTCGCCATGGCGGCGCAGTTACCCGACTACCTGAACATCCTGGACGAGGACTCCTCCGTCGGCGAAGGGTGGCAGGAGATCCAATGCCTGCATCTGGGGCTGCTCTACCACACGATGCGCATGCTCATCCACCGGTCGGTGGTCGTGTTCACCACCTTCTTCGGCTCGAACTGCGAGACCCAGCAGCATGCGCCGGGGGTCATTCGGTTGCAGGAGTCGATCGACATCTCGACCAGGTCCGCCCGCAACATCATCCGCTTCGCCCAGGAGAGCCTGGGCACGCGGCAGCCCGACACCCGCTCCGACAGGTCCCTCGCCAGCTATCTGGTGGCTGCCTGCATCACGCTGCTGTATCAGGTGCTTGACCCCGCCACCGCGATTGCGTATGCGAAAGAAACCTTTGCGGTGGTCGAGCAGGCGATGCACTGCCTGGATAATATGAATCATCTCGGACCCCGGACGGGAAAGATCGTCAGCTCCGATATCCTGCGGATCGCCAAGGGGGGTTTCTTTTCATTGGACAGAGAGGATCCGCTCGACCGTTCCTTGATCAACGAGTTCCCCTGGCTTGAGTACGTGAACATCTTCTGATCAACGTCCCATCTCACATGCTCCCCACTCCCTTTGCCCAAGAGAAATCCCCAACAACGGCAGTCTGATCGTATGAACTTAATGACTTGGCAGTGTATCACCCTCAACTGAGATGGACCTCACTGGCCCCCTTCCAGATCCCACACTAGGTGGCACCTCGATAACACAGCATCTTCGTGCCTGGCCCTCCCTTCTAGTTAGACTTCGCGGCTGCGGAGCCCCCACCCATTATGCCCACCACTAATCCACCAACCGCGGATCCCAGCTTCGCCAACTCGGGTCTGGACCTGAATCAAAGCAGATACTCTGCTGCCGCGCCTTTGGTGCCTGAAACCCTTGCATCTTGTTCTATCTGAAAAGGGGGTGGACCTATGCCTGGCGATAGGGACTGCCCACAACAAATGAGATGGTGTCACAGACCCTAGAGGGGGGTGAGAATCAACAATGCGGGGGATTTGGGATATACTCTCGGCGTCGGGGTGTAGGTAAAGGCATAGTAAAGTAGTAAAAGTGTCTGACACCAAGTCATGCGAGTGAATAAGATAGAACGGCCTATATGACCGGATGTCAATCTAATGCTGCTTGCTATACACTGGTGCTCTTCATTGAAGAAGAATTCGTTGTATGGAGGCCACTGGCACTTGCGCTGCGAAGCCAAAGTGTTGGATTCTAAGTAATCTACCTTGGGAGGCGGTATCGGGACACTCTTGACGTTGCTTCGAGACCAATATTCATTGAATGAAGTTTAAGCAACGGAGCAGCTTGAAATTGAGATCTCATGAACAGATGGTGATTGGTAGAAAAAAAACCAGAAGCAAAAACATACAACAGAAGGGATTCGCTGGTGGTCACCCACCCAACTACTAACCTCCCGGCGTGTGGCTTAAGTACGGCTGAGCGGACGGGAAGCCCTGTTTTCCACACCCTGTGGTCGTATGTGCTTGTTATGGCTGCAATCAAATTAATATACGGATCATCTACAAGTCAGTACTATGCTTAGAACACACACGAATCGTATTAAGGGAAAGCGAGAGGAGAAGGACCAGACTTATATGTGGCGGCCGCGATCTTAGAAATCTTTCTGACGAATGAGGTCTGAATGTGGTGAGGCCAGGGCTATTTGTGTTGTGATAACTACTACCTAATCTCCGAGATCTTCCCAGGGTACTCGGCAGGTACCTAGGTATATTTTTATGCTGAACACCGCAATAGACACCTATACAAGTAGGCCGCTTCACGCAGAGGCTGGAAGTGACGTAAACACTCATACCAGTGGGCCCACCCATTCGCTCGTATCCGATTAACAATCAGGTCAGTAGACTAAGCCATCCACATACGCCAACGCCTCCTTTCCCTTGACGACCCACCGTTCCCAGGAGAGCTCATCTCTAGCCATCTCCCACTCCGGCAAGACCTCTTCATCCTTCTCACCGGGGTACCTGAAGCAATACTCATAGCCCTGGCCGTCAGCCCTAAGTTGACGAGCATATTGGCCCTCACGCAGCCCAGCCGGACGATATCCAGGCACGTGCTTCAGTCGAAACCCCACCGTGGGATGGATGTACTCGCAAGTATGCCCGAGAACCTCATTCGTGCGGACATCCCGAAAATAGCGACGCGGCCTGCGCGCCAGCGACCCGTTCAGGCGGTAGGTGAAGTCGAAGCTGTCGGGCAAGTCGCCGGTGGCCCAGCCGTACTGACGGATCTGGCGATAGGCCGGGGGAGCATCGCCCGACGGGGTGAGCGGGTGTTGCACGGCGGCAATCAGACCCTGCCCTGTGCGCCAAAGCCACTGGGCCCAGGACTCGGACTGCCGGCGACGTTCTTTCTTCTGGTACGCCTCCAGCGCCTCGTTGATCCGCCGCAGACGATCCTCTCGAGTCTTTTCCTCGAGCTGGAGGAGCGCGCGGTCAAGGAAGACGTACCCCTGGATCTGGTCCAGCATCCACGCGAAGACGATGTGGGACATCTCTTCCATGTTGCCCTTGTTCTTGAGGGTCTGGTTGGATCCGCCCCCGATGTGAATGTGGAACCCCGGGAACCAGACCTGCGTCAGCTGGGACGGCTCCTTCTGGCTGTCCTCCCATTCCAAAAGCTCGCGGGCAGCCGCGTTGCGTCGTTTCTCGGCTGCGTGTAACTCCTCGGTGCTGGCGGCGCCGCTTCCTACGAGTTTTAGCCACTGGCGGGTGGCGTTTCGTGCCTCCTGCTTGATCGCTCGCGATTGGCTCTCCGTGATATTCTTCGGCGCCGGGACGAAGAACATAGCCGGGCGGAACAGTCGGCGGTGCTCGTCCAACGCCAGCGCCTGGAATGCATTCTTGATGTCTGGGTTTGGGATCAGTATCGTCTCATCCTGAGCCAATGATAGCCTGGGGGGATTGCTTACTAGGCGAAAGACCGACATTGTGCCATTCAGGCTTATCAGTCCAGGTCAGCCAGGCAGGGAGCTCATGGCCGAGCAGCTCGGGGAAGCCCAGATTGCCGACGGTATCGAAGACCCCGACCACTTGCACCTGCCGTGACTCGGGGGTCGATGCCCATTCTGCGGCCGACCCCCAAGAACCCTCCTCTTCTTCTGCTCCATCCTCCTCCCCCTCTTCTCCGCCGAAGGAGGATCGGCGCCCCCGGAAAAACTCATAGTACGCATCACTGCCATAGAACCGCTCCCCGGCCGGCGTCTTCTTATACACTTTCCACAGCGCCGGGAAATTTGCGATCTGGTGCGGCGGGCAGATGCCGATGTCCGAGATGAGGCCGGCGATGGCGCGCGCGGTGTAGGCGCCGCGCGAGAACCCAAAGCACAGGATCTGGTCGCCCGGGTTCCAGTTCAGGGCGCAGAAGTGGTAGGCCTCGACGATGTTGCCCTCCAGCCCTTGGCCCAGGGCGCCCTCGACGAAGTTGCGCAGCGGGCCCGCCGCCGTGGTGTTGGTGCCCACCCCGGAGTCGTACCAGACGATCTGCTGCCAGGGCTGGTGGTCGTGCGGGTCGATCCCCACGCTGTCGATGGCGCGGCAGAGCCGCGTCACGTTGGAGGGGATGCGCTCCTGGCCGTCGACGGCGGATTGCCAGGTGCCGTCGCAGCAGATGATGAGGCGCTTGCGCGCGGGTTGGGGTTTGGGGGTGGGGGTGAGGGGGCGGTGCATCGTGCTTTTTATTTGTATGGTGAAGATTAACAAGTCCTTAGAGATCTCCAAGGGAGGTATTTATTTTACTTTCCCTTCAGAGGACCGAGGGGTAGGGGAATCAGCTGGGCTTATCATTGATGTACTGTACATTCATGTGGTGTCTGTCCGTCGCTACAAATTTCCGGCTCGGCAGAAATGACCATCTTTTGTTCTCCGTGTCAGGAGCTGATGACCCTTTTGCATCTCAGCTGAACTGTTCTTTGCGAGCTGATTGGTAGTCATTTCCTTCAAGTCTTCCTCTTCAGCTGCGGCTGGATACCCCAAGGGTTCGTGGCGCATTTTCAGCTCAAACCACGTCCGTGTCCCTGGAGCCCTAATTCCACCCCACCCCGCACCCCCGGATATGGGAAAGAGCTCAAGAAAAACATCGCTATTTACTAGGATATTGGGGATCGGTAAACTTGTCGTTCTCCATATTCCCCACTCTCCCTTGTTTGTGGCTATATAAGGCTGACAAACATGATTGTCGTACAAGTTCATAACAACCTACTAGCATCAAGCACGATATATCTCAGTATTCTTCCACCACTTCCGCAGTAACCATGTCAGTCAAACAGCATTCATAACCATCAGACGAAAGTCCTAGAGTATACGCAAGGCCAAGTCTCACTGCAAACAAGAAGCCTCAGAAGACGAAACGAAAGAACTCATCAACCCAACCCACCAGAACCCCAATCAAAGTGTCAACAGTTTCGCCTCCTTGAAGTGCCCACCGACCGTAGCCTTCAACTCCAACTTCACCCACACCTCTATACACACAGAAAACTCATCAGCCAAAAGCGTCAACGCGGCAGTACAACCACCAGATAGGGGGGAGGAGGTCACCTTTCCCATTCTTGAGGAAGAAACAAATCGACCCCTTCGCAAACTTGATATTGATCTTCCCGCAGATCCCACGCCTCAAGTCCCCGGTGAGGTTGAGCAGCTTGGCCCCGTAGACGGACACTTGGACCCTAATCGCGAATTTCTTGGGATTCACGTACCCGAGCACCTGTCCCTCGCTGTTAGACTGTTTTCTGGCCCTACCCATGCGTATGCTGTATCTTGTTTTCCCTTGTGGAGATCACGATGCATGATTCGAAGCGAAACGCTTACTTTGACCGGTCCGTACGACCAATTGATCTTCGGATACGCCTCCGCGCTCACCTCCACGTCATCGGGTAAGGAGTAGACGTTTGGGAGCTGCGTGGCGACGATGGTTCGCGGCTCGTCGGGCTTGGTTCTCTCCTCGGTGATCGCTACGACGAAGCCTATACACAAGCCAGAACATAGTCAGTCTGGTTCTTTTGGTGGGGTTGCATGCTATAGTCTTGGCTCGGTGGGAAGCGGAAGCCATGCCCGCGCGAACCTCGGCCGCCTCAGTGTCATCATCGAGGAGAAACTCCTCGGCCTCGGTCTCCTCTGGCTCAGCAGCCATCGGTGTGGCTGCGCGAATCTGGCCTGCCTCCGTCAACGGCACAGATTGGTCGGCTTGCTCGGTCATTGTGGATTGGTTCTGCATGTTTGTGATGGGTTTGGGGATGCTTTGCGAGTTACAACTGCAGTACAATGAGACGAAATGCTCTGGGAGATGATAATCTTTTTCACACGGCATCGCCGCCGTGGTCAAGTGCATGCTCTTTACACCCCCCCTCACGAATAAATAAACCCTAAATGTCACATCCAAGACTGGCTATTGACCGCATGCATCTCTTACAAAAACCACGTAAATCATCCTCATAAAATGCATATGTCTCTGCCGACATATCCTGTCACGTAACAACAAACCCGACATCCTATAACGGCGTGAGAATCAACCATGCAGACGTTTCACACCATATTCATAGCGCCAGGATAAGGGATCAGCAGCCCTAATTCTCCGTAGTCAGGTCCCACATACCGCAATTCTTGCTTTTGGTTCCCATGGCTAATCAAAATCTCACATTCCCATGTGTTGAAACGATGAAATTCCCGATCTCCTCTCGATTCGTGTATGCAAAGTCAGCATCCCCAAGTATAGGTCGGGCAATGGAGGCTCATCCTTGTAGTCCAACGGTGTGACGGGAAGGCGCCGCTCAGGATGTTTGCTTTTGCCAGTGCGTGGCTCCGCGGATCTAAGCATGAGGTGTTTTACTGAGTGTTAGAAAGACCTTTGGTATGTGCTAGACTTCCGGAGGATATCCCGGCGAGGATTTGTCGGTCTCGGGTTCTGAATGGCTTGAAGAGGTCTCTTGCTCAGTCTCTATATATATCAGCTGCCACCACTACCACCGCCGGGGAAAAACACTTTCAGATACACGCTGCAAGTGATTCTCGGAGATTGCAGCAGGGTCTGTCTCGGTGTTGATGGTAAGCTTAGATTGATCTGTACCTTCCGGCTCCGACATGCCTCTACTATCCAAGCACTACACTACCTGATCGTCCGCTACTGCTGCGGAATAGAACCAAGAGATTCGTATGACCCTCTCCAACTGCAGAGGGACTCACCTACATCTGTGCATTTTCAGAGTGGCTCTGGGCTCTGTTGAAATGGCGTGATGTTGGGTTAGGTCGCAGACAGTATGACAAGCAGTAAGCCGCATACAATATCATCTCCTGCCATTTGTGGTGACTGCCACTACACCTCCTCCTCACCGGCTTGCCATCAAAGCAGATGAACCTTACTCTTTAAGATCCAGTTCCACTGAATAAGAGCAGGCATCTTTCGTGGAGTACATGCTTATTCATCGTCTACCTCTCTGCTTAGCACCTCAACTAATCTTCACAGTGTTCAGCCTAACCGTCCGCCCCAAGATAAAACAAATCGAGTACTTCGTTCGCAAAGACAATGCGCAAAACAACACCATGGCTAACCTGGCAGTCCAGCGCAGCTGCAACCGCATAAGCTCCCTAGCCTACTACCACTCGAAGGTGTCATAACGAACATGATATCATTCTCCGCTCTCACCAGCACACCTCGTAGCATGAAAGAAGAAATCCTAATACACCAACCCCCTTCCCCTCCCTAAGGGCCCATCATAACCTTATAAAGAACAGTTCCCACCTTTCAAACCCCCCGAATCAACCCCTCCAACCGCCCCTTCTCCAGGATCTCCCCCTCTGCCAACCGCCCCGTCTCCACCGTCTGCCCGGCTACAACCTCATACCGAATCACCGTGGGGATGCACGGGACCTTCCACGTCGTGCGGTAGATATTTCCCAAGTCTTTCCATCTACTCGTGGAAAGTGGGAGTAGCGTATTCTGTTAGCCATCTTGTACCACCCAGAAAGACAACATCAAAAACATGAGATATATAAGGGGGAATATGTCTCAGCACAGCACCCGCTGTTTAGTCAAACCAAACACTGTAAAGGCAAAGCAAAAAAGTCAAAGGGAAAAAAAAAAAACATACTCAGGCTTCTGCCCAACCTCCACAACAGCCAGGCGCGGGGCCTCGGCGGCGGAGAAGGCGGCCTCGAGGACCGGCCAGGCGGCGCGCACGTCCGGGCACCACGACTGTCCCGTCGCCGGGTCGGGCGAGGTCACAAACGCCAGGAAGAACGGGGCGGCGGCGGAGGAGGAGGAGGAGGAGGAGGACTCCTCGGGCACCTGGAGGGCGGCCGGGGAGGCGGGCAGGGGGAAGGTGGTGAGAATGGGCATTTTGTTTTGTGGTTCGTAGGGTCTTGGTTGGAGGAGGTTTACAGATCATTCAGAAGGCTGTGTGATTAGAGGAGTTGAGGGTGCTGTGGCAGGCAGGGCAGAACGGAAAATCCCGCGATGGCGGCATTGGGCCGTGGGATTTCGTTTTTCTGCCGGCATTACTTTTTTTCCCAGGGGTCAGGTGGGGTACTGTGGGCGGTGAAGGATCAACTCTTTTTGTCGACCGGTTGCTTCGGAGGGCTATGGATGCAAAGGAATTTATTGTACACAGTCTTTCTGCTATTGTGCGTTTCGCTCGAGTTGTAGTCATGGCTATATGTCCTCTTCTAACGATCTTTCATCTCGAAATGGACTTCCATTTCTTTTCATCATGTGCGACTATGGCTGCCAACTCACCGCCCATGAACTGTACCTAGTACCCAGCACTGGACCACCAGTCACATGCTGGACAAGTACCTGGTACCTGGAGTCTACAAAGCATAATTCTCCTGAGGGCCCTCAAGATGGATGCTACGTTCCCATCCACTTCTGATGAAAAGAGTGAAATAAACGTACCACTGGCACCTCTACGCTGTAGAAGAAGCACTATATACAGCGGGTGGAACCGCAACGGCAACAGGCGCACCGTGCAGCGGATCCCTCTGCAGGTCTCCGAGACCTTGTACACGCGTTCATGCGCCTCCGCCCGTTTGTAGGCCTGGTGTAAATGCAATGTACAACACGGGACCATCCCATGCCATCTCCCGTAGCCGGCAAAGAGCTCCCATCCACTGCGCATACCCGAAACCAAGTGCTACATGGCCACTGGAGGCTAGATCTAGGGTTACACGGCAGTCTATGAAGTCTCGTATTGGGATAGCAAAAAGAAAGTCTATGTATTTTGATAGAACCATATCGTTAAGAAAATCGCTAATCTCACAAAGAAACCCCAATACAACTACCTCATTCATACACCTAGTTGCCCTCGTGCAACCGGACCGTCACGTTGTCACCGGGAGCATTGGTCAGGCTCACCGCCATGGCAATCTCGCCCTCGGCCGTCTTGCCGACGCCCTCGATCTGGTCGAACCGTTGCAGCAAGCGCACCATCACGTAGCCGGCTTCCGTCAAAGCGAACTGCTGGCCAATGCAAATGCGGGGGCCACCGTTGAAGGGAAGGTACTCCCAGCCGGGCTTGCGGGATTCCCAGCGCTCCGGACGGAACTCATCCGCATCCGCGCCCCAGAGGTCGGGCCGGCGGTGCATCACAAAGGTGCTGTAGAACACGGCCTGACCCTTCTTGACGTACACGGGATCCGTGCCGTTGGGACCACCACCGGTGGGGATGGTGGTGTTCTTGACGGCGATGCGACGGTTACCAGGGACGATCGAGTAGAGGCGGAGGGTTTCGTTGAGGACGTTCTGGAGGGGCTTGCAGCCCTTGAGGCCGGCAAAGGTGATTTCCTTGGGGGAAGCGTAGGAGCCGAACTCTTCGACGACGGCGGCGCGGAGGCGGGCGTATTGCTCGGGGTGACGAGCAAGAAGAAGCACGCACCAGCTGAGGAGGGAAGCAGTGGTGTCACGTCCGGCGAGGAGGATATTGAGCAGCTGAGAACGTAGTTCGACGGGATCCCGGGTCATCTCAGCTAGGGCATGGAGGAAGACGTAGTGAGAAGGCTTCTTCTCAGCATCCATGTTGAGAGCAGCATCCACAAAGCGATCGACGTAGGCGTGGACGAAGTTCTCAACTTCGCGGCTCTCCTTGTTGTTGACAATCCAGTAGATTTTCTCGAAGCGGGCGCGCTGTGCCGCATACCACTGGCCGCGGTCGAACTGAGTAGCAAAGTCATCCTGAGTCTTGCTGCCACTACGAAGAGCAGCAGCCTGGCTCTCAACGCTTTCACCGAAGAGGAACTCCGTAGCCGAGTCGAGGGTCAACCGGAAAAAGATAGTCTGAATGTCGGTGGGTTCGGTCCAGCCAGTAGCATCCACGGGCATGAGGCGCATAGCCTGCTGTACGTGCCGCTCCTCCAGATCCAGATCACTGATCTGGTCGCGGGTGAACTGGGGCCGCAGAAGGCCGCGGGAGCGGGTCCAGTATTCGCCATCGGCAGTGAACTAAACAATTGTGGACCTCCGTTAGTCTCAAGTAGAAAAGTCAGGTGAGGTCGGTCAGTGGACATACGATTCCATTGCCCAAGAGCGAGTGGAAAGCATTGCGGCGGGGAGTGCCAAGCTCAAAATCCTTGAATTGGTGAGCCAGGACGGCCTGGACATTCTTGGGTTCACATGTCAAGATGATATCTTGTCCCAGCTGGCGGAACTGGAAAGTGGTGGTGTAGCGGTTCTGGCTGGCAGACATTTTCTCGATACGGTGACGCGACAAATAAGGCAGGTTGCGGTCCTTGTCATAGCGAAGGGATTCCTTGAGAGTATTGGTTCCGAGCCAGTCTCCAGGGTAGTGTGGGATGGAACCGCAATTCCAGCGGCGAGCGTTCTGAGCATGTTGCCAGCGAAGCAGTAGTGTCCAGAGGACATAAAGGATGGCGGCGACAGCCGATATCGTCAAGACGACAGACATGATGGGCGATCGGTGGTCAGTCAGTCACCGATTGGGTTTTTACAAGCGGAGGGAGGCGTGGAAGAAAACTGGCGGGGAGAGAAATCAGTTCAGCATGGGAGATGATGCTGATATATATCCAATGTCAATTGGTAAGAGGGTCCATAAAACGATACGTCTTGGCAGCAATCGGGGGGCTGGCACGCGGGGTGAATGCCAGAAAGAAAGAATGAACCGAGGCCTAGGCGACAAGTCGGTCGAGACTGGCGGACATCACAAGTAGGGTTACAAGATTGAGATGATTAGTCGTGCAGATGGAGTGGAGTCGATGGCAGGCCCGAGGAACAGGATGTGCAACTCCCGGGTGTACAAGGCAGGACTGGCATGATATAATGCGCACGAACGGGGGGGCTCCCACCCGTCTCAAGCCGACGGCGAAGTCCTAGGCTCATGTGGCGTCGACGGATCGGCGGGCGGGCGCGGAGCTAAAACAAACGGCCGGAGCAGAGGCTGTAAGCAGTAGTCGCTCATCTATTGTATCTGGCAATCTGCTAATGGAGGGTCTCAAGTCTGACCATTGAGGGCTTGACGAAAAGATGAAGTGCAGTGTTGCAGACGTGTCAGCCATCCTGAGCGGGCCAAACAACGGGGTGGCTCCGTTGGTGGCTGTTTGCAGTGCTCCACATTGGCTCCGCCGGAATCAGACATCGAGTCTTGTCTCTGAAGATGATGCTGCCTGTATTGCTGACGTTACTGATGCATTGGTGCTGATTAAGAAGAAGATCTCGGAGTTCATGCGCAGCGAGGATTGGGGAGAAGCGAGATGAGGAAATGATGCAAGGAGGTGGCAGCCACATGATACTCTCAGCAGAGTCGGAGCTGCTGACTCACCACAGCATGTAAACCTTTGCGCCCTGAGGCACAGAAACCTTTCTCTTTCCGGGCTAGTTCTCCGTCGGGAAGCCGGCCAATCCAATTTCGGAGATTATGTTCTTTGACTACGATGACGGAGACGTTGCCTGCTTGGGCGATCTCATCCACGGCTCATTCCGTCGATCGGTATCGCACATTTGGGATTGATTCAGGAGAGATCCAGTGAAAGCAATTGAATGGTTGGGGCCTCGCCACTCGGTGAAGACCGAGAATGTTATGAATCTCGGACATTACCTACGCAGTGCGTATGTACTGTCTATTGTGAGTATCTACTGTAACTACACACGTTCTATGAAACCGTGTCGTCAATATCATTATGACAAGTCGTCATCGTCATCGTCAACATCATCACCATCACCATCCTCATCCTCATCCACAACACCAACACTAAACCTTCCGCCGCACTAATCCCCGGAAGAAATCGAAACTGTTGCTGTCGCTCTGCAGCTGCCACACACGACCCGTCGGTCGGTCATCCCAGCCCAGCTCCTGCGCCAACAACAGTCCATAATCTCGAGTGATGCCCTGGATGCGAGCCCGCGCTCCTCCAGCCTCCTCCAGGGTGACAACCTGGTGCATGTGCAGCCAGTCCGCATAGTACTGGTCCTCGAATTCTCGGTCGAAGCCTGTCCGCAGGAACCGTCCGTACAATTCCTCAAAGGTCGTCAGAATCCGCGCCAGCAGCTTCTCCAACGTGATGGGGGCCGCTCTGGGGCCCACAAAGCGTTTCGCCAATGCCGTCAGCGACGTGGTGGGAGATGCGTTGGTCGCGTTGACCCCAATTCCTACCACCGAGATGTACTCGTTGGCGCAGTAGTGCGAATTCACCAGGATTCCGCAAATCTTCGAGTATTGTTGTTTCTCGGGGTGCTCCGGGTCGAGCGCGTCTGCAGGTCATCAGCAACGATGATGATAGTAATGATCCGAGAGGAGAGGTGGGTACATACACACGTCGTTGGGCCACTTCATCTTGACCGGCATGGCGTCGTAGCCTTCGTCGTACCGCTTGATACCCTGCACCACAGCCATCGCAGCCAAGTACTGAATGAACACCACCGGGGCTGATTGAATCTTCTCCATCGGGTGTCGCAACACCGTTGAGAAGATCAAAGCCCCTGCAGGCGATACCCAGACATTGGAGCCCCGACCCCGCCCAGCAACCTGGGTGGTGGCCGTGGCGGTGAAGCCGGTGGGCAGTGTGCGCAGCAATTTCGGGTTTCTGACCAGTCAGTCCGTCAGTCATGTGAGCTGTCACAGAGTCGATCTCAAACTTACTTTTCCAGAATCGTATTCGTACTGGTGACCACTTCCCCGTATACCAGGTTGGAGCCGAATACAGAGGCACCCTCTCGGGATTGTCCCTGGTACTCGCGCAGGTGCGAATAAAACGCATGGTGGTTGAAGTAGGGTGTCAGCTTGGATGATGGCACATCGTCATGGATCACCAGTCGCTTGACGATCGCGTTGTAATCCACAATACCTTCCGTCGGGGCCGCCGTCGGCGTCTCCGACAGGGCGGGAAGCGAGGCCTCCAACTCACCCAGGTTCCAGGTTCCAGGACGCTCGATGCGGAACGTATCATTCTCATCCTTGAGAACTTCCTTATCACCATCCTTGGTGATATGCTCATCCCACAAGGCCACAAGGTTGGCCGTATCGGTAGGCTCCAGAGCTGACAGGTGCAGCGAGGAGAGTGAAGGCACCGTCGTCGTTGTTTGGCTCACTTGCAGACCCAATTTGACCAGACACGCTTTCAGAAAGTCAGTGCGACCGGTATCATCGGCCGCCAGAGCATCGACGACCTTGGCATACTCCGCACCCCCGTTTTTCTTATCCAGGTTGACCGCTGCAAACCTACGTAGAACGAAAACGTATTGTTAGTTTCGTGACCCAAGTTGATAGCGTAATCACCGGCGCTACTTACTCCGGATGGGGACTCGTGAGAATGGCGGCACCTTCACCCACGCGACAGTAGACCACGGCCGCGGCGCCGCCCTCACCGGGGTCAACATTGACCTCCTCAGAATAGCTGGCCAACACCTCGACGCCTCGGTCGGCATACTGCGCCGCATCGATGAACACACCGCCACCATTGTAGTAGCACCGGAACTGCTCCGGAACCACGCCCGCCCGCAAAGCGTCCTTGGCCACCTTCACCTCGGCGGCGCGGGCGCCGGCCTCACTGTGGTAGACAAATCCGGGGAAGGCACCCCCGCGACAGGTGCCGGGGAAAAAGGCCAGCTCGCGCTCGCCAATCACCTGCAGCGTTTTATCGCCGACCTCGAACTCACACCGGCGGCAGCCGTAGTAGCCCCCCGCACAGAAACCGAGGTAGGCGCCCCCACGCTTGACGAATTGTTCGATGCGACGGTTTCCGGCACCGTTGAGGGCACGACAGTAGCCCATGTCGGCACCGCCGGGGAAGACGAGACATGCACATGTCAGGGTCCAGGGTTCGTGGAGGAGCATGTCGGCGGTGACGGGGATGACGGCGTAGTGAGGGGCCAGCAGGCGGCGGAGGGAGAAGAGGCAGTGGCGGACGGACTCGACGGTGGTGCCATTTCCTGGGAGACGAATGTGTCAGTGTCTGCGAATCAAATAAAACGAGCGAAGAAGATAGGTACCGGAATAGACAAGAACGTTGACCTTTTTCCCGGTCAGATTGGGGGTTGTTGTCGCCATGGCGGAGGAACGGTTCAACCGTGCAACGTCCGGGTCTCGGAAGTTTCTCTTCGCAACTGCAACTCTCCGGTCGAAGAGCAGCTACAGAACAAACAATGACGAACAAGGAAGAGAGACAAAATCCTCCGGTTGAGAACGCGGCGGAGGATGATGAAGATGAGCCAGATGAGTGGTGAGTGTGAAGAAGGAGAAGGAGAAGAGGAAGAGGGGAAGAAAGTGAGAGAGTGAGAGAGTTGACTCGGACTGACGGCGAATCCGACAGGGAGAAGCGGATCAACAGAACCGGCTGTGCGGGTGAGTCAAGAAGAGCCACCTACAGCCATTGACCTGGCGGTCTATCAAGAAGTGATTTATTAAGCCATGATACAGACGAGCAGATGACCTTGAATGATTGCGTCTATCAGAAGAAAGACTGGCGCAGTTGCCAAAAGGAGGTGCGTTGAGTCCGGCTGCGGAGGCCGTATACCCTCACATCGGGCTGAGCCCAGATGAGCTCTATATTGTGGAGACACTGCCCAACATCATCTTGACCATCACTCATCATATGCGCCCTCAAGCACTGGCAATCAATGATCGAACTCCCTATGTGTGGTTGCTAACTCAATCTCAGATGGAAGCCTTCCGCGAATGCTGGAAACAGCAGGGCAACGACCAGCGCACGCAGACGCAGGATGCTTAGGACTAGGGTAACTTGGCCGGCGACCATCCCAGCAGTGTACTCTACAGACTTCCAGTTAAAGTGATCTATAACCCAATCGCAACTCTTCCAGCTTCATCAGCACAATCCAGTGCACTGCATTTCCACTCCCCAGCAGCGTATCATCACGTGACTGTATCCCGACCTTTCCCTCCCGCAGCTCAGCTTCTTCACCTCCGCACTCACCTCTCTACCCCAACTCCCAATCCTCCTCCCATCATCCCACCCTCTCATCACCCACAATGTCCCTCCCAACGCTGGCGCGTACTCTGCGCATAACAGCGTCCACAAAACCCACAGCCATCAACCTCACCCTCACGCGCACCCTCACCACAACCCGCCACCACCAAGCAACCCAACCATCAGCAGCACGCGCGCGACCCAACCATTCTACCTCCAACAACAGCAACAGCAACAGCAACAGCAACAACAGCAATAGCAACAGCAACAGCAACAGCAACAACCCCACAAAACCCACCTCTCCCTCCCCCAACAACACCACCACCCAACAACCCCAACCAAACCACCCCCAAAAAATCACCCCCAACCTCACAACCTCCGGCCTGCGCGACCAGCCCCAATCCCCACTCCCGACCCCCACCGACAGCGCCCCAAGATCCGAGGACCGAATCGACTGGACGCGCTCCTTCCACGGCCTCTCCGCGGAGCCCTTCCCCAAGGAAGCGGCGGACATCCTGCTCGCGCCCACCGACCCGGAGGAGGTCGAGATCAAGCCGGACGGGATCCTGTACCTGCCCGAGATCAAGTACCGGCGGATCCTGAACCGGGCGTTCGGGCCGGGCGGGTGGGGGCTCGTGCCGCGGAGCGAGAGCATCGTCACCCCCAAGATGGTGACGCGCGAGTATGCGTTGGTTTGTCATGGGCGGTGAGTTTTTTACCTTGTCCCCTGGGGAAGGTGGATTGGATGGTATCGGGGTTGCGTTCATGGTGATGCGGATGCTGATGTTTTTTTTTTTCTTCGTTGCCAGGCTCGTTTCCGTCGCCCGCGGCGAACAGGATTACTTCTCCCCGGACGGCATTCCCACCGCCACGGAGGGGTGCCGCTCCAACGCCCTGGTGCGCTGCTGCAAGGACCTGGGCATCGCCAGCGAGCTCTGGGATCCCCGCTGGATCCGCAAGTACAAGGCCCAGTACACCCGCGAGGCCTTCGTCGAGCACGTGGTCAACAAGCGCAAGTCCAAGATCTGGGTCCGCAAGGACGATGAGGTCTCTTACCCGTGGAAGGAGACGAAATAGGGCCTGTCCAAACCTTCTTCTCCGCTTCTCCATCTTCTCGGGGTTCCGGTGGTGTTGGCTGTATGTATTATGGACTGTATGATAGATTCATGGACGGCAAATATCTAAGAAAGGAATTACAATATCTCTTCGGATGGTATTATCGTACTATCGACCTGCGTAAACTACATCGGTTTTTGTCAAATGCACATAACATATCAGCTAAAGTCAGTCTTTTTGCTTCTTGGGGAATAGATCTTCGATAATAATACAGAATTCACGCCATTCCCGCCCCCTATGGTGGAATCGAATTTGATCGTCACTCGTGATCACACTTTATTCTAGTTTGCTGCATCTTGTGGTATCTTTTTTTTTTTAGTGGTTCTTGTTTTTTCATTCTTTATTGACCCTCATACGGGTTCCGCCGCGGGGGGTATGCCCGAGGCTGATGCTCCTCTGCCGAGTCGCCTGAATAGGCCGTCCGCGACGAGGCCAGGGTGTGTGACGAATACTCCCGTTGACCCTCAGCCGACGGCTCCGCCATCGACGGGAGCTCAAAGGGTTGGTTGGGGTCGTACGACTCCTCCGCGGGATTGTAGTACTGGCCCTGGTAGCTGTAATATTCCGGCTGGCGCGCGACCGAGGCCCCGTTCACAGCGGCAGCTGCTGCACCGGCTTGTTGGGTCTGGGCTTGCTGGTTCTGCTCAGAGACTAACCGCACGGGCTGCTGCTGTTGTTGTTGCTCCTGTTGCCGCCGAGGGGGCACTGGTTCAGACAGGACCGGCACACCACCCGTGGCGGTTGAGATGATGTTAGCTGTGCCCTCCTTGCGCCTGCCCGTCGACTGCTCGCGCGTCATCGAGCCGTAGTTGACGCTCCGCGTGCGCTCCTGGCCGGGCGACCCGGCTGGGGTTTGATACGTATCGACTTCTTGGCCATCACGGGAGCTTGGGTAGGTGCGGTCGGCGTGCTCGGCGCTAAGTCCCTCGCTGTAGGAGCTGACGGAGGCACCAACCCCACGACGTTGGATGGAGTCTGGCGACTGGCCCATGTCAAAGCCGGTAGAGCGAGACTCGGTGGTGGCGAAGCTAGAATCCGGGGGAAGGCGGCGAACAGGCTCGGTGGACGAGGCGGAGTCGCGTCTAGCGCGCTTGACCACATCCTCAACAATGATCTCAGGGGTGTCCTCCAGCTTGTCCTCAGGCTTCTCCTCATCGTCGCCACCACCGGATCCTGGCTTGCGGATAGGCACCCGGCGGACCGCGGCGATCAATGCACACATGAACTTGGAGCGGCGTGTCGCGCGGACTGCTTCGTTCGACCAGTTGGACTTGTGGCGGATATACACGCTCAGCTCCAACTTATCCATGTCACCGACGCCGCTAACATCGATGGTGATGTCGGGCTGGAAGTCACGCGAATTGTCCTTGTCGCGCACGAATCCCTCCAACTCTTCGCGGAGGCGCTGGATGTTCTGAAATGTAGTGTCAAAATCGATGGGAACCTTTAAGACCTCGTGCATGGCGTTGGCACGAGTGAAGTTGTCGACCCACAGGCCGTTGAGAATCGAGTTGGGGATCTGCGTGATACGGTGGTCGTTGACGTTGCGGAACACGGTGAAAAGAAGGGAGATGCGCTCAACGAAAAAGGGCTTGTCACTGATTTCCACGCGGTCACCCACGTCGAAGGGATGCTTGACGAAGAGGAAGATACACGAGCCCAGCACTTCCTGGGCCGTAGTGGAGAAGACGAAAGAGAGGGAGAGCAAAGAAGTGGCACCGGCTGCAATGACAGTGCCGAATCCAGTCGTCACAAAGGAGACAAAGACCAAGACACCCACGATGAATGCCACAGTCATCAAGAGATTGTCCAAGACTCGGGTGGCCTGATCGATGTCATGCAAACTGTGGTTCAGTGCCTTCTTGTTGCGCTGGACTTCTCCAATAGCCAGAATCATCTCGTCCAAGCTAATATCGCCGTTACCGTCGCGGTCTAGCATTTTCATGCATTCATCCGCCTCCACTTCCAACCCGGTGCCGAGCACCTCACAGATATCTTCGAAATACAAGGCATCCCGGCCCTCGACCACGAATGACATCCAGATTCTGCGCGCGAGGGCTTCCGAGGTTCTGCGATGCTCCAATGCCCCTGTCACAATTGAGCGCGTGGAGGTGTTGTTGAAAACTTGCTTGCCAGTAAGTTCTTGGGCGACATCACCAAAGGCACCCTTGACCTTGCCACCGATTCTCTGAACATTATGGCCAATCTTCTGGACGTTCTGACCGACTCCGCGGATGAGACGGAGAGGGGCTGAGCCGCTGGTCGGTATGCGCGTCTTGCTCGTGGGGTTTTGCAGCAGGAAGTCCGCGATGGCGGCGTCCTCCTCGCGGAATTCCTTGCAGTGCATGGGAAACATCTGACGGGAAGCATCATACAAGAGGCCAATAAGATAGACATTTCGCTTGCCTTCTTTGATGCGGGCATCAAACTGCTTCCGGTGGTAGCTGATAGAGATCAAATGCACGAGTGCCTTCTCGCCCAAGAAGATCAAACTGCAAACGAAAAGAGCGAATAGGATGTTCTTGATCGACTTCTCCCATGACTTGGTCGAGGTGTCATTGATCTTCTTCTGGTGGGGATTTTGCGTCATAACCTGGATGGGGGCTCAGTCAGCTTGTGTAATCCCCAGTCGTCGGAAGGAGCGTCTCTTACTGGCAAAAATGTCACCAAACAAACCACACACCACAGGACCGTGGCGATCGGAAATTCGAGCTTTCGCAAGATGAGGGCATACTTGCGGGTTCCAGAGCTAACAAATCCACACAACGTTTGAAAGATGTAGGGGATGATTCGAGCTGCGAGCTTGCATGCCCACAGACTAATCCAGACAATCTCGAACCAGAAGAAGAACCAGGGGAGAGTCACTCCGCCGATGGTCGCGTCCTGCGCGGCCGTGGCTCCTACAATAATCGGAATGGCGAGTAACAAAGCGAGCGGTATCACGTAGATCAGGTAGCGGGTAGCGATGGAGTAGTTGAGGACCGCCTGGTAGAAGCGGCCGACACGAGTGACGGTACCATCTTCGGGGTCATCGATAGAACGGCCCGTGGACTCGTCGATTCGCCTGCGCAGACCGGGGTTTGGTGCGACCAGGCCCTGCTTTTCTTCGCTATTATCGACCGGTGGTTGGTAAGGGCCTGGGGAGTCGGGTGCGTTGACGCTTGACTTGCGAGCGCCTGTTTGACCGCGACTGGAGACCGAGTGCAGCGGGATATCGATTGTAACATCGTTAGGATTCAGCATATTGTCGGGGGCCATGTCGCGAAGCTGGTGGAAGCGTTTGGCGGACAACCGCTTCTCCGTAATGCCAGGCCTTCCTGACATCAGGGCGGCCGGACGGGGGGAGGGGCGATATAAGAACGATCGACTAGAGTGAGGAGTCCAGAAGCTGTCCTGCAGCCCCAGTGCGTGAGCACAAGCGCAATTGGCGGGAGGGGGGTGAATCCCAAGCGATTCCCACCAGAGGCAAAGCAGGAACCAACGATCAATGGCAGAAAACGAGTGTGCTGAGTCCACCGGTTCGTGTGGAGTTGAGGGTGGGTCGGATGGTGTAAATTGAGGAGACCGCGTGGATTGGACCAGCGATCGGCAGTCTGTCGAGGGGGAATCAACAATTCCGAAGCGAGTGTTTTAATTGCGATTACTGCCCAGGCTGAGGCACAGAAAATGAGTGAACGAGTGAAAAGACAGAGCCGGTCGGGAAAAGAAAGTGAGAGGAAGAATCAATAACGAGAGGTGAGACTTGAACGGAGTTGAAACCGACACAAAGGACCGACAGATAAGAAAGGCGGAATGTCAACATGAAGTGCGTGCGACTTGTCAGAAAATCCCCCAAACATACGGCCCAGGTCAGGAAAAAACTGGACAGGAAATCAAAATAAAAATAAAAATAAAAATAAGAATTAAAGCAAAAGGATGGAAACCCACGCGGACCATGTTTCAGTTTTTCCCGATGTTGTCGAGTGGAAGAGAGGGCCCTGAAGTCATGGTTGTGCAATTGGAGGGGAGTTTTGAAAGAGGAAGAAGGAATCCGTCGATCATTCTTGAACCTCATTGTTGCTGTCGGACTGGCAACTCACATAGGTAGTAAGTCACCCTGCCTGTTCTGTCCCATCTTCACTCTCCTCTCATACACACAAAGTAGTAGATTTCACCTCCTTCAGCTTGGTGGAATATATTCATCCCGTCCGATCGATGCAGAAGTTCGAAAGAGTCATGGCGATATGGTGGCCCCCACTTGGGAAGTGGTGGCGGTGGGAAGAAAAAGTGAGCTTGAGAAAGCAAGTGGAAACTCCGGAAACTCTCAACCTTGAAGCTGAACGATTTGATTGAGTGCTCCTGAAAGACCCCCAAAAAGACCCAAACAGGCAACGGCCATCTCCTCCACCAATCAAGCCTCTACCTAAGCCGGCCCTAACTCCTCCTCCCGATCAGGGCCAGACTTAGGGCTCATCTTAGTTGTCCTCCAGGCTAGTCTGTTTCCCCCCGCCCCACCGCAGAAAACGCCACTGGTGACTTTCACTGCAACCCAGGGGATTCCCTCCGCCGCCCCTCAGGTACGGTCGGGGCGTGAATGGACAATTCCCTTTGAGATTAAGGATGCCTAACATTCTACATCTTACACGGGATAGAAACCACATACTCAATCCTCAATGACATTTTAAGAAATCCCCCTCTCCTCTTCACCTTGGCTTTCCGTTGTCGACAAAGACCCAACCAAGGGATCTGGACCTGTCACTCAAAACCATAGCATCACAAAAGTCCCGGTCTAGGCTCAGCACGGTGCCGTGTGCGTGTATGTGCGGCACGGCTCCTTGTAAGGCTGGGCGATGGCTTCAGCTCGACGCCCCTTAATCTCAGGGTCAAAACTCGTCTCTTCTGAAACGGGATGCACACTGTCTGTCATACGCAGTGGCCGCTGGCTAGCTGCATGGGCTTTTGGAGGGGGGGGAAGAGGGGCTAGTTCCAATAGTGATCAGTTAGCGGTCTCTTCCCATCTCATGTAAACTTTATTCCAATTCGGGTAATGCAGTATCCAGCAAGCATGTGTGTGAGTTCATAAAGGCATCACAAGTCTAGACAGAGAGAGGATATCATTCAGCATCATCATCAACCCTCCAGACCCAGTTCTTTTTCAGATCTCCTCATCGAGATTTCGGGGTACAGATAAAGTGCCTGTCCACTGTCGATCTATAATTTTCCCTGATATTGACCCGGGCTGGAGTTTCTCCGCACTGCCTTTGTTTCTAAAGATAGCGAGGCATGACATTATCATGACCACATGGCTGAATTGTGCACAACTTATTGAGCACAACTTGAGGGACTCCTTCGCCAGCGACTTCTGTTTCCGCCAGATGATTCAATGTACAGACGTCACCGTATCGAGTTCATGCTGTACTGTACCCAAAGCCAATGTAAGACATACAGCTCATTTTTGAGTGGTCTCCCACGAGATCAGGTGCGTTGGGTGCGGTGTTTGAGGAGCCCGGGAGGGATTGACGGTCTACCCGTAATATCATGATCATCAAGTTTATACAGTATGGACGCTCCTGTATCAGGGTCTATCGACTTGTCGGTTGGATTGGGTCCCCTGCTGCCATGAGGCAAGGCTGGGGTATCTTCGACGTCCTTTGCGACCCAAGCACAGATACGAGCGTCACTGGTCTGTATAAAGCAGAATCTACGCATACCCGCGGTAAATGTATCCCGTACATGTCAATCTCACTGGCGAACAACGACCGGTTGACCTGTCACTTCTGCATTTTCTGTTTGCTTCACCGCCGTGATAATTGGGCCAGCCTCGAGGTTTACTGCTCACAGACGACGCACAGCCAGCGCGGTCACTGCGCGTGGGTTCCAGACGCGTACTGGATGTGATCCCACGGGTGGGTTTTCGCGATCCTGCAAACTGTGTACGAGTGACGCTTCGCCTGTTTGACAGAGCTATTGCAGTCGATACAGGCACTGTTGGCAGCGGTCGGGAGGCGTTGGGCTTCATAGTCGGGGACCGAAACGTGTGATCGGGGAGGGTAGGTCGAACATGGATGCGTCAATGCACCACGGTAGCGAAAGGAATATGCTCTTGGCAGAGGGAGGAACGGCGTTTTCGACCAAAAGACGCAAATCGTTCTCATATCATCAGAGGTAGATATGAGGAGAAACAAAAAGATATGACAAGAGTGGGATTCGAACCCACGCCACTTGCGTGACTAGGAATACTGCTCGGATGAGCGAATATATGTGATCAGATGAACCTGACCCTAGCGCCTTAGACCGCTCGGCCATCTTGCCCGATTGTTGAAATAGTCATTCCGGTAGATACTTATGTTCCCAGAACAATTCATAAAGCGCCCCAAGTTACTCGTATGAGTAGCTCCTACTCCGATGGTTACCGACGCAGGCAATTCACCGAACGCATGCTTATTTGGTCTAATCGTACTCATGTATTTATAGGCCGAGTGAAAAGCACAATGTCTCATGCAATTGACCCCCCTCTCACCCAAATGGACCGGCTAGAGGACAATGCACTGCACTATTGACTGGGAGTGGGCGGGTGGATTCGCTATTGAACCACTCCGTACCGGTAAGACAAGTCGCAGCTCTACCACCGGCGCAACTCCGATGGCGCGCGCGTACCGCATACTCGATCCGTCGTTGTCAACTAAACGATGAGGTCATAGCCGTATGCACGATCGATGCCACTCATCTCGCTTGGATGCACATCTGATGGGTAAGATGGCGTTCGTCCACAAACCAGACAGGAATAAAAAGGGGCAAACTCAAAATCGGACCGCAGTGGGGTGCCTGGCGTGGCAAGGCGGGAATGGCCGACACTTCGCTATGGTAGTCGTATGCAGGTGCAGGACGGTGGCAAAAGGAAGTAGAACGACACGAATTGATGAGTAGAGCAAAAATATCCGACTGAATGGGAGCAAAAAGTAATGACAAGAGTGGGATTCGAACCCACGCCACTTGCGTGACTAGGAATACTGCTCAGATGAGCGAATATATGTGATCAGGTTGCCTGACCCTAGCGCCTTAGACCGCTCGGCCATCTTGCCCTGGATGCTTATTTGGAGATTTGATGGCTCTATGCACAGTGTGAATCAGGACGCATATCTTTACCTAGATGCTTTCGAATCGTATGTAGAACCCTTGGTGGACCCTTTTGGCTATTGCAGGGTTCTTTGCTACTATACTCCGTCGTATCGGCTAGATAGGTCCCTATAATCCTTGTTATATGCGCGTTGGAATGATCCCAGCAAATCCAAGATCGTGTGACTATGCCTCCGCTTGTAGCCTTGTAAAATATGGTGATGGCCATCGCAACCCTGTGAAGGAGGCAGTTATTTGCCAATGTGTTGATGTACCTCACTGTCTATCCAATGCTACCGCTTGATTCATGGCTCTTTGTGGCGTTCCGCTTGGTTCTCGGAGGTGTGCTTGGGACTATTCTAACATGGGGGCACGTTGGCTCTCATCAGCTCAGTAGACGCTCGGGGTTATACCAGCATGCTGGTGCTCGTTGGTGAGTGATGGTGTTGTTGTGGTCGGTGTGTCGTGGCCTGTGCGGTGACTCGCGTGTCACATCGTGTGTATTATCCGTGTATAATGTGTGATACTCGCGTCTGCCCAAAGCTTGTTTCCTTGTATGGCTATCGGTCTCCATTGTTCGGGTACCATGGAAATGCCGCGAAGTTCCTGTTCTCGCTGGGTGTAGCTGGGGATTTATCAGGTCTGGCTTGCCATCGTCTTTGTTAGCACTCGCCTGCCACTGCCCTTGTGGTGAGTATGACTCTCCCTGGTCATCTGAAATCAATCTCGTGGTTGTCACCTCGTTTTTTCGAGGCCAGGGCGTATATATGATTGCTGGTGAGACTCTATGGTTTGGTCGGAAGGGCTAGGGCGCTTCATATATCAGGATACTGGCAGGGGATATCTTTCTTGTTTTGTAAGCAATTCAAGGGACTATACGTGGGCTATGTGGAACAATGTTTTGATTCTTTGGTGGTTGGTTGGTTAATTGTTGGATTGGCTAGGTTCTCTGGGTATAAACAGGCCTGATGAATCGCCTCGGTTCATGTGTCCGCCTACTGAAAAAAACGCCCGGCACATCTGATTTCTGTAGGGCGCATTGGTCCATTTTTTCTTGCTTTCTTATTCTTTTTTTTTACATGTGTTTAGTGTGGTGGGTGGTAGGTTGATTGGCCGGGCAGGCTATGCCTTCCGATATAGCACTGGGCCCGAAACAATATATAACCACAACCTAACTCATCACCCAGTCCAGCACCACCAACCAACACCCCTAATCGACAGTTCATACCTGCTACAAAAGTGACTGAACAGATCCGAAACACCACCCCACTCCCATCGAAGCATACTTCCAATACAACTAACCAACACCCCAAGCCCTAAGCCCAAAACCAAGCGCCAATTTCATCGAGCTATTGCGGCTTGAACAGAGAGCAAAGCTTAGTTTCGCCTTCCATCAAATAGGCAAGATGGCCGAGCGGTCTAAGGCGCTAGGGTCAGGTAACCTGATCACAGATATTCGCTCTATCAGAGCAGTATTCCTAGTCACGCAAGTGGCGTGGGTTCGAATCCCACTCTTGTCATTACTTTTTGCTCATACTCCATCCCCCCTTACCCTCTTCCGTAGCGGGAGAATCTCATACGGCACAGGCGAAGGAAGGGGCGGGATACATTTTTCTCCCCTTTGACTGGGATAGTCTACAACCCCCATGGCCTCCGCGCGGCAAACACGGTGACTGCATTTTATACCGGCTGCAAAAGTTGAACCCCCCCGCTATATCAATCTAATCTAATCTGATATCCTGATCGCATCAACGGAGTTCGCATCTATGCAACACCCCTTGCGCCGAAGGGTCCACCCCCCCCCCTCTCCACCGTGTGCATCCGCGTCGGAGGTCGGAGGGTCAAAACAGGGTCATGCCCGAGGACCCTTATTCGGTGCAATTCTGCAGGGGAGATTTGTTCGATCACATACATTACAACCAGCGCCAACGGTGTTGTGAGCGTGAAGCTTGATTAAGACCGACGGTCCCATGCCTGCCTACGAGTGACTAGGAGAAACCCAGGGAGAATGGTCCCACTCAAAGTCGAGCACCATGCGGATACGGTTACGATTCAATTAGTGATTAAACTGGGGTGAGGTGCAGCGGACGGATTCTGCGTAAGCTCATCGCTTCATCAAATATGTATAAATCATTAATACGGGAACGACAGATCGGGCAGCGGCTCATCCAAGCGCCACCCGGCGTGGCCCGCAGGAGGTGCGAAGTGCCCACCGGCCTCGACGGTCCCCGGCACCGGCTGCATCGAGGAGAGATACATCATCGGCGCCGCCGGTATCTCCCTCACACCATCCGCCCTCCCTGCTGGGTCGTCCGCATACCATGACTCCATGTAAGCCGGGCCTCCACCGGGAACCAGCGAGGGCAACATGCCAGGCGGCTGTGCGCCGGGCACACCTGCCGTGGAGGTCGGGGGCGGGAAGATCCCGCGCAGATACGAGGGATCCTCGGAGGAATAGCCCGCCAGCCGTCGTTGTAGCTGTTCGTACCACTCGCGGTTCTTGACGGCTACGACGTGGTACCATTTGCTCGGGACGCGGAATTTCTGGTTCTCGCAGGCTTCCGACAGGGCCTGCGATAGGCGATCCAGGTATTCGTCGACGTTGATCATCTGCGGAGTGATGACCTCACTTAGAGGGCCGAGCTGGGTCATGTAGTAGATACGCAGAAGGGAGGAAACCCCCAAGATCATCCGCGTGTAGGTCATGTTTGGTAGCTTGCGCATGGTCGGAATGTCGCATTGCAGGAAGACGTCGAGGAGCTGCTGGGCAGAGAGTACCCATTTTGTGATTATCTGTACCCGCGCCGCGCTGACCGGCACATTGGCCCTGTGTCGCTCTGTGTCGCCCTCGAGAGGGGGGAGTGTGTAATACCTGCGGGTTGCTGCGTCGGGGTCGCGGTAGCCCTCGCCCGCGGCTTGTTCGTGAATCGCAAGGTAAAGGTAGTGGTATTCAAGATTCATCCAAGCTAGAGAGAATGAGTTCCGGTGAAATATCATCAATCGCGGACGTATATACGTACTCGTGAACATATCCTTCGGAATCGACATCTTCCACTGCATCATGCGAGTGTCGAACCACTTGAGGATCGGCAACATCTGCGATTCCAACATAGGAGTGTCGGTCAGAGTGTTGTCATGACCTGCAGCAGCCAGTGTCTCATCCATGATCCGCTGCAGCCCGAACCATGCTGCCAGTTGCTGGTCCAAAGCACTGGTCGAGACACTAAGATGCCTGATATAACCGCCGATAACAGCATTGTGACAGAGCATGTTCGGTCGACGTGTCTGCATGCTAACACTATAGACAAGTCAGTCACTCAAACAGTAGAATGCCGGTAAACGAGTAGCCCGTACTTTGATGCGAAATGATAGCAGCCGAGGACGGCCCGGGCCTGGTCACTATGTACTGATGGGGGCAATTCCCCCTCACCCGCATGGCAGCGCTGGGTTTTGCGACCAACGGCACCGGCTGCAATCCCAAGCTCTAGTGCCATAGTGGTTGCGATATGCGTGTATTGATAATACTGCCCATGCATGGCTGATTTGGGAGGGAGGTAGTAGATAAGCATTACGAGGAGGGCTTGTACCAGATCCAGTGACTTTTCCTGCCTTAGAAAGAATCGTGTCGCAAAGCCAGCGAGAAGTTCTTCATGTAAGACGGTCGCGTGCGGTGTTTCAAGCGTTAGCGACGCTGCTGCGATGATGGACAGGAACAGCATTGGCTTCGTCCTGCGCAGGAAGTCGGCACTGGTGTCTCCTGGAAGGACAACCACCGGAAAGAATTGAGTGAGTTCAGAAATGAAGACGGACAGCAACATCTGTGCCGTCTCCAGAGCGAGGATACCACGGTCGACGACATCTGCAGAGCCAGGCGAAGAGCTCATGAATGTCGAGCTAGTGGTGCTGACATGGGAAGGGGGGTTGGCAGCCGGGCTTGTCACGATCGGGCGAGGAGGACAAGATGACGACGCAGTCTGTAAGCGGGCGGAGTCGGAAATGGAGGATGCAAAGGGTGTTGCTGTTGTTGTTGTTGTTGCCGCAGCGCGAGTAGGAGCCGTCTCTGAGACGGGACTTGCAATGGTGGCGGTAGCGGCGGAGGCGGCAGCAGCAGTGTCCGCGGTGGTGGTGGGGGAAAGGGAGACCGTGGCGGCAACGGTGTCAACGCCGGCTGAATCCGATCTTTGAATCGGAGCATTCTGCTCGTGGAGTAAAGCGCGTAGGTCGCGGACGTCTTTCTCAAGCTGAGCGACCCGTGATCCGGTCTTTTTTCGAGGCTGGCGTCGAAGGGTGTGCGCAAAGACACAGATTCGCCTGGTGCGTGTGCAACGTTGGCATTGATGCGCAATATTCGGATCCGGCAGACAGCGGACCTTGAGGGCTCGACAATTTTCGCACGACTGGTTCAAGGGCGGCGTTGGACCTGACGGATGATGCGGACGGGCAGCAGCAGACATGATGCGCGCAAGGTGCAAGAGTTCGCTCAGGACGGTGCCTGCAACTCTGCATTGATATTTATTAGACTTGCGTAGTGCCAAGACCGGTAGTGGAGGTTCGCTTGTCTGTGGGGAGTCAGCAGGTGCAGATCAACATCCCTGGCGAGGCCCAAGGGATTTGTGGCAAGCATTATCATAGAGTAAGAGCTAACAGCTCATGCTCATATGAGAACCGGGGCTCCCCTCCTCACCCAGAATTGTGATCGTGCTAGACGATGGGCAGAAGGGAGTTCATAAAGGCTCCAAGGACAAGTGGTGTGGGCCGCTGCAAAAGCAAGCACGCAGGCACGCAGGCACGCAAAGGTGTAAGATGCAGTCTAGCCACTGAGTGGGGGCCCAACGGAGAGATAAAGCATCGGAGGTCGGTGGTCGATTTCGCACCCGAAACTCCGACAGGGACTGCTGACTACCCTGAGATTAGCCGGTGCAGGCCGCGGTTCACAAGGATGATGTCTGAGATGGCTGCAAGTCGGGTTCTGGAAGCACAATTGGTGCAATGCACAGCACAGCTTATCCCTACATTCCGGGGAGTTTTGGGCCTTCACTGCATCCAATCTAGATTGAAGGGCGGCTTGGTTGCTGGGCAAAGAAAAGGGGAAGTAGAAGTGTGGAAGTGTGTGGAAGTTGGAAATGTGGAAAAAAAGCGGGCTGCGGGCACGGGAAGTCAATTCTATTAATGCCTGAGGTGTCATCCTGCACCTTGACTCCCCAACTCCGAACCAACGGTCTTTAGGATTCTTATCCTTAGATAGGGGAAGCCGTTACATGCTAAATTATTCAGTAACTAACCAATCACATCCCTCTCTGCTGATCATAGGAGACATGCTGATGTACAAAAGCTTTCCAGGTAGTCGTCACCTAGAATTCGAATCATCTACAGCGTCGCCGGGTTCACCATGCAGTAGTCCAAGTTATGAACACTCGTGTCGGGATTGCCGGTCCAGGTACTACCTCAATTAGCCGATCAATGCCACTCAAAGTCAGACTCCGGGACCACTCACGGGAAAGGGTGCGAAGTGCCACTGCCTCCGAATACCGCAAAAGTAAGGATGAAGACACAGATCTGCGTCCCGCCATCCAGGGCCGCGGAGACAATGTAGTTATACTTGTTGAAAAGGTGAGGGTGGTAGCGACGCAGCCAGAACTGGGCGCCGAAGCCAAGAGCGAAATAGACCGGGATGGAGGCATTAATGCCGACGAACAGCCAGCCCATGTACCACAGAATGATAGAGGTATTGAGGTAGGAGAAGATGCCGGAGGGGTAGAAGCGGTGTGCCAGCCAGAATGGAACAGGCGCGACGAAGCCGACCAGATAGGAGATTGTGACCCACTGGTACCGACCGCCGATGGAGAACATGTCCTTGGCCATACTCCAGGCAATCGCAAGGCTGTTGAACTGGTAAACTGAGATCAGCCGGGATTCTCGTGCGCGGGAAGCCAGAAGGGCACTTATCTGAACATTGGCACCGCTCCAGATATTGGTACCGTCTTCGGAGAGCAGGATTTCTGATTGATTTTGCACGATGCTTCAAGACGGCAGGTCAGTACACACATAAATAGAGCAATTGTAGACTAGAACGGGGTCGCACATCAACATCATCACATAATTGAATAGGGCTCCAATAATGCATCCGCTCACTTGCACGAAGAAGGTGCACCGCGGCGATAAGTGAACTTGCTGCGCAAGTCGCAAATCCTTGGCTAGAACCTGTCCCTGCTGGAGAGAGTTATACGTAAAGCAAGTGAAGTAGAGATCTGTGAGCACATTAGCAACAGAAGGTAAGAGTACACACGGAGAGACACATACTGGCCAAGGGCTTGCCAGGGAACATATAACCCGCCAACATCTGACAGATTGGCTGCACATTGAACTGGAACCCGGTTAGTCCATATTGGGCGCCGAAGAAGAGCATGAAAAGAAGCGTGAGCAAGTTGGCGATGATGAACCCCCACCAGGGGAGCGTGGACTTCATGGCATACAGACAGCCCATACCGACGGCGAAACTGCCAAGGAGCACTGCTCCCCACCACCAGAGCGGCGTGTCATAGTACAAGTTGCGCAGCATGAGCCGGTAGTGTGGGTCCAAAGAATCGTCATTCACGCGACGCTGCAACCGCGCCTCCGGGGTCTCCTGGTTTGCCCAGAACTTGTATGTCTCAGGCTTAAGCCACTTCTTGAGCTGGCTCGGGGCAGCCCACGCCCAGCCCACCTTGATATCGTCGAAATTCCATAGCAACATATGCGTCAATGTAGCGGTCAGGCCCATGTTCGATGTGATCAGGTAAGCAACGTAAGTGCCGGTCAGCCAGGGCAAACCTTGCTCTTGCAGGGCTTGAGGATCAACGGTATAGTCCGCGTTGAGAATGAGGGTTTGATTGTAGGCATTGTAGTTTGTGGAGTTTGAGTCACCATAGTAAAGCAGCTGAGACAGGAACGGGAAGTCCTGTGAGCGCCAGATGTTACCATAGTACACACCCATGAAGAGTACAATGCACCCTATGTAGCCAATAAGGTTGTTGGTCAGGTAGTAGAGCGGAACCCAAAGTGGCGAACCAAGGGATGCTATATAGTTCCAGTCGAAACAAAGGGAGAGGAATCCCAGCCCTTCGTTTCCGGATGCACCACCAAACAGGTTGGTGAATACCAGACTGTGCTGGTTGGCCAAGCAGAAGATGGAGACACCCTCCAGAACGGGGAAGATGTATTCGGGGATGATCGTCCAGACGAAGAGCGCCCCGAAGAAGATATAGAAGATCTTCAATTTTGCCTTCGCCTCTTGCTTGTCCTTGTGTATGGACTCGAGAAGAGTAGTGATGGGCAACGTCATGGGCCAGATCATCTTGGTCGGGCGCACGATCACATCGCGCAAAAGGCCCGCAATCCCGAATCCGATCAGCTGAGAGGAGAGGACGATGAAAATAGCGGCGGCATGGTTGGGATAGCCACCGTAGAAAAGCTGCTGGGCCGAAAGTGCTTCAGTGGCCAGTGCAGACTGGGTGGCAGCCGAGGACATCAGGGCAATAGCAGCGTGCTCTTTGGCGTTGAATGGCCCGGGGTTCAACAGACGTCCGATCATGCCACGACGGGGGATGGCATACGCCATAGCTTCTCCAAGAATATAAGCAATGACAGTCAGGAAAACCTGGGAGACGTAGATGGTCTGCGGCTTGAAGTAAAAGATCTCCTGCAGCACACCACCAAAGATAGACAATCCAGCCCCTGTATGAGATTAGTCAAAGACGCCGCCTGGCCTTTGGCAATGCAAAAACATACCCAGGAAAACCATCCGAAAACTCCAAGGGTTGAGGGACGGATCATCCTCGACCTTGATGATCTGGGTGACTAGATCCGCCGCAGTGCTCACCACCTGATCGCTCTCGAAGCCCTGATCCCCGTCAACAGAAAACGTTTCTCCCTTCTCAAGAATCCTGGGCTCCGTCGAAGATCGGTCGTATCCGGACTTCTCCTCATACTTGCCAGCCAGTCCCTCGTCAATCGGGAGGTCTGCTTGTTTGATCTCCATGATTGCAAGGATGAGGAATGTGCGTCCTTGCACCAACACCCATGGCGGATGGAGTTCCCAACTTATATGACCTAAGGGGGCCCTCACACCCTTGAAACCGGCCGACCGGCTTGTAGCCCAGTGGCGGCGGATTTAATTTGCAGCTGATAAGCGAACCATACATTGTTAGTCGCTAAGTTATCGTTCGATACTTAGCTCCGACGCAACGCGGCATGCAGCATCAATCTCGAGGCTAAGCATAGGCTAAGCATCGGCTAAGCATTTTTAGTGGCGCTACCCGAGGGGACTAGGCTCTAGCTGATAAGGACCCTGCTCGGTTACAGTAGGCCTAACGTAAAGACTTCTGCGAAGTTCGTGGTCTTGTCTCGGATTGGGCGCGATAAGACACACCCCGCCCATTTGGTGGGGGCATCAACGAAATCCTTTCTCGCACTCCGTCGGACTTGCGCGGTGGGTGTCGGGTCCAAGCGACAGACACCCCAGGGTACTGGATATCAGAACGGTAGTTACCGCCCCCTCCAACAGATTGCCGGGTCACTCGAACAAATTTTGGGGTCGGAGGGTCCAGGGATGTTCCCCATGGTACTGTACATACTGTGAAAACGGTAACTGCCAAAAGATTCATTTATGTTTCTTACAACCAAGAATAATCTTGGAAATTCGATATAGCACGCTCTCTGTAAGCCAATCGTGTAGAAAACAAGTAAGCAGAGAAGTAGTAAGATAAACAATAGTGAGTAAGCACAAACACAAATCAATTGACGAGGGGTATGCAGTAATGACAGAGATCTGTGCGCAGTGGCAGCTTTGCTGCTCTGGCTTCAATCATATGACAGGTATTCACCAGTCCAGACTATCCAATGGGGTAGAGCCAAGCCGACTGAATTGGCAATAAATCTAGTAACAAGACAAGCTAGATAGAGCAGATGTGTGTTCCTCATGGACACCCCACTTTGAGCCCGAGCTGTTGAACCAATTGTTCGTTGCATGGGCTGCTGGAAGTCGCACTACTACTGCAAGGAATGCAGAGGCTTGTAGGGTGCATGAGGGGCTTGCATATCTGGTCGTCTTGCCCTACCCGTCTGAACTGGTCCCATAGTCGAATGGCTTAGGTAGAGCATGACCCGCTGGTCATGAAGCTTACCATTATAGTCTCAATCATTTGTTATTTCAGTGATATAATTGGTGTACTTCATACATACGAAGACAACTACTTGGGCCGGATAAATCGAGAACTATACTATAATGGGGTTTCGCTGCCACATCGCCATCGTGGCCAGGACCTGCCCGCCCGCAAGCCCCGCCAGCACCTTCATCTGCAGGTCATAGCTGGCAGCATAAGTGCCGCGAATCAGATCCTGTGTTCCCCCGGGCAGGGTCGCGATCACCCCAGTTGATTGTAGGACCTTCTCCGTCACATCTGCCCCCAGAGACTGGGTCAAATGCGAGCGAAGATAGCTATTGTGGATAGTTGTGATGATGGCTAACCCGATGCAGCCGCCCATCACTCGCAACTGCGCAATTGCTCCCATGGCGACCGCTAGAGAAAGATAACAGACAAAATTTCCCTGTCAGCAACGCTTTTGATCGCTTCACCCGCTAATATCGGATTGACTTACCATGGTCTCTTTTTTCTGTAGCATACGGCGTCATCAATGTCAACAGTGGGATGTTGATCCCGCATGCAAACCCAGCAAGGACCTGGTAGCCATATTGACGGGCCGAGATGCCATGTTGTCCGGACACCGTTCCTAGGAGCACGTAGGCTACCACTTGCATCAATGAGCCAATACCAAGCAGATACAGCAAGGGGACCTTGAACATCTTTGCGACGGTTGAGGCCAGAATTGACCCGACCGGGGCCGCCACTGTGAAGGGAATGAACCGGATGGCGGCATGAAGGGGGGAGAGTTGATTGACCATCTCAAACCGCTGCGGGAGTTCGAACATAGTCACGAACCAGATCATCCCAAGGAAGACCGCATTTCTGAAGATCCCCAAAAGAGTTGATCCTTAGTACCGTGCTTTTTCATCGAGAGAAACAGGGAAGTGTACTGTGAATAACTCACAGGAGCATTGCGATCCACACCCGGTTCTGGAAAAACCGCCAGGGGAATACAGGTTCTCGGCTCCCGGTGCTCCGTGTCACTCGTCGCTCCCAAGCCACAAAGATTACCCATAAGGTCCCTGACACAACGAGTAGCGTGATGGTGAATGCCGATCGCCAGACGTATTGCTCGTTCGCTTCATCCAGAGCAGTCACCAGCAAAAGGGTCGCGGCCAGGAGCAGGGTAGCTCCGAGAATGTCGACTCTGAGAAAGCTTTTCCGCAATGACCCTGTAAGATCGAGGCCAGCGCTTACGCGTGGCTTGTTATGGTGGGGAAAGTTGTTAGGTAAAAACAGTATTAGAAGGACGGCGGCGATAACGCCCGGGGGGACACTGTGTTGTGTCGTTTAGCGGCAGAGACAGCGAACTAAGGAGAATAAGGGAGACCTTACTTGAGAAAAAATACCCACCGCCAGGTGGAGTGTTGAGTGATTGCACCTCCAAACAATGGGCCCAGAAGAAGCGAGAAGACAAATACCACAGAGATCAAACCGGTATATTTTGCATACTTCTCAGGGGGCACCATCTCTAGGACAATGATCGTGCAGAGAGAATAATTACCCGCGCCACCGAGGCCTTGAAAGGCGCGGAAGATAATTCTGATCGACGAGGGTTAGCATCCACAGCGGAGTGTCGTGCACCTTGATTACTGTTGGGACTCACAATTGTTCCATTGTCTGAGCAGCACCACAGGCTGCGGAAAAGACTATAAACAAGCCGACGCCAAGAAGAAGGCACGATTTGCGACCGAAGATATCACTGAACTTGGCGGCTAGTACGAGGACACCTGGTGAGCTTGATTAATATCAGCAAGGCAGTTGGGGAGTGGCTACCTACCGGCATATCCAAGCATGTATGCCGTGCTAATCCAGGAAATCTTGTTCAGTCCGCCCAACTCAGTTGTTATACTGACTAGGGAGGTTGTCACGATAGGAATCTCGAGATTTGTCAAAAAGAGGCACAGGCAAAGGCTTTGAAGTCCAGGTAAGCGCGGTACATATAACGCATTATAGCAGGACCTTGGGAAGGTCAAACTCACGTAGCAGTAATTACATGCAATCGAGCCCCGTGAAGGTAAGGTGTGGTTGCATCAAGGTCACCATTGGGTGCTGTTGCATCTTCTTCAGCTGCAGTCTGAATGATGTGAGGTTGCACACTCGGTCCCGGCTTAGGTTCTTTCATGGTTGACAGTGAGCAAGTATGGGTCAAAGAGAGCTTCGAGGACAGAAACTTGAAACCAGAAGCATTGGGATCTGGGAACCTTAAAGACCTTAAAAGAAGATGGATGATTGTAGGTACCATCCTTTCACTACTGCCTGATTAGAATCTGATTGGTCCTTTCGCTTATAGAATTTAGTGCTGACTGCCGGGTCACGGGGTGTGGTTATGGTTAACTCTAGTGCTTATGTTGGTTCTTTTGACATCCAAAACTCAAATGAGGGGCACGTCTTGCTTTGCTCTTATATTTAGACATTTCTTATTGAACATGCGAAGATGATATCTTTACCGTGCTCGGCCTCGTCCAAGGCTGCAGCCTGGGACAACTCTCTGACTCAGGCTGACCTGCAGGCAGTCAGCTCAGACCGTCTCAGCTTTCAGATGCGGCCACTCTGGGAGTCATCTTGATCAATACCAGTCATTCACTGTATCAGAGCCTGCAGCTGACTCCCCTCCATCCTCTTCTCCATTTTCTCACGACAAACCAACCTCACCACCACAACACATCCTCATCTACGGCAGCGCAACCGCGGTTGAAACCATGGCGACTCAGGGATTCCGCGCAGGCGTGGCTAGAAAGGGTAACGCGGTTGCTGGCTGAGGGGGCCACTGGGCCGCATCTCGTGCGGTTTGGGGATGGGGGCTTGCCCCGGCTGATTCCGGGGTTACATGGCTTGCGGGAGGGAAAGCCGGTTCCGGGGTGTAAGTTAGTGTTCAGCGCTGGAGAGCAGAGTTGATAAAGATGATGATGTTGTTGTTGGACTGACGGATTGTTGCCGTATAAAGAACAGTTCAGGTGTAGATCGGAAGGCTGCTAACTCGAGAAACATGATTGCAGAATTGAATATAGCTTTACAACACATGATGACTCTGATAAGCGAAGGCTATGAATAGAGCGATGGCTGTGGCATATTCCTGTCTTCGAGACGAATACCCGAGGGCTTTTATTTGGCGGAAAGAGTGCCTTTGGTGCGCGGAATGAATTAGTACCTGTGATGCAGTGGAGTAAACTTCCTGAAAGTCCATAGTCCCAGGATGATGTATAGCGGTCAACCGCTTTTCTTTCCCACCCCCCTCCCCCCTCCCCGCCTCTCAGCGCACTTTTTACTTTCTCCAGGAGGAGGTTGATATGACGTTCTGCGCCCATGCGGATGTTGCTCTAGCACAAAATAGCATTGCTCGTGCCCCAACCACTTTGATTAACACCTTCATTAAGCGCAACAAGCCAGTTCATTATGCAAGAAGATCCTTTGAATAATGACAACTGGGTAGTCAGCTGGTGATTTGCGCATTTGTCCCATCTTCGAAGCGATTGCGGGTACGAAGCATGGACTTCATTAGCTATCGAACAAATATTTCACAGACCTGTTATGTCCAATCCAGGATATTGTTCAGTACATGGAGAGCTGACGTTCTGTATATGGGCTCGCTCCTAGGCTTCGATGTGAATGCTTCAGCCAGTCGCAACAAGAGATTCTCATCATATTGTGACTGCCCATGTGTACCAATATGATCCCCACGGGTTTTCCTGGTAGAGCCACCAATGATCACCGAACCTCAACCGGGCGGCGAAACTGTACGATTATTCCGAGAAAGAGAGATGTCATGCTCCGTTGCTGGTCGCAACAACGCAAACCCCTATGGTTTTGGTCTCGCCAGTCACAAGAGCTCCAAGCCCTGCATAAAAGGACCCACAGGCCATACGTAGGGTGGAACCACCGGAGAGAGCGGGTTAGAATAGTTCGTGGGCGCACGATGCTCGTGAGCCACGAAGTTCCCGCTACCCCTGACTTCGACAGTTAGCTCTTCGATAGCCCTACTGAGAGTCGGGAATGTGTATGCAGGGAGAGAGACGAAGGAATCGTCTATCGGAGCCGAAAGGCAAGGGAGAGCGCTAAACCATTCTGGAAAGGAAGAAGTGGGTTCGACGCCGTATGAATGGCGGGTGTTGCGCCATGTCAATCAGACCAGCGCAAACCAGATGGCTCCCACATGTGCATACAGTGCATAACTCCCGAGCATTGTCCGTGTTGAGTAAGTATGAGTGTAGCTACCCTTGGCGCCGAGGCGGGCTTCTAGAAGGATGCCATGTCGTGCAATATAGTTGTTTTGTGGTGTACGGCCCTTGGAAATATATGTCAGTCGTATTTACTTGCTGTGTAGAGATCCGGAATTATGGAGTGTTGTAAAGAGTCTTTATGAATCTGAATTGCCTCGGCAACATTGCAACGGTTCTCGTGCCGGAAACCCGGACAAATTTCGGAGCTATCGGGAGCAAGAGTCGGCCATCAATGTCAGAAAAACAAGAATAAGGATGATTATGACGCCCTTTCACTGCATTACTCTTCGAAGGAGTAATAGGATACTTATCACATCCTATTATTGCAGTAAGCCTGGAACCCTTTTCTGCTTGCCATGTGGTAGATGGAGACCAGGAGGTCGCATGGATTTTTAATCAATTTTAATAAGCTTAATTCACACCGACACTGACAGGGGCTGATCCATGTTTTGCTCCCGTCTGGCCATGCCCATCTTTTTCCCTCTTGGGTTCGCTCTTCCCTCCCACGTCATGAGGTTGGACTTGACCTCTCTCCATCTTCCCTTTTCGGAAAGAGACAATAGCCAACCCTTTGTGAAGAATCGATTGCTCTGTGACTATCACCGGCTGATTCTGAAGGATCAACTCTAAACCTCTTACGAGGGGATCCAAACCGCGGTCAGAACGTTATTCGTGGTTCCGACCAATCAGGACGGCAGTAGCTCGTGCCGTCTGGACGCCTCTCCCACAACAGACCACAACAGAAATTGTGCTACTCGGTAGATGTCCGAATGCCCTCGAAGAAAGTCAAAACAATAGTTTCGGTACGCGTATGTTGCCGCCGATAATGTGAATTGCACCAGAAGCAAAAATACGAGGAGATGCCACGATACGAGAGGAAAGATTCGGCGTTGGTCGAGTCAGGAACCCGTTGCCCTGCCCAGTGGTGGTGGAGCCAGCCGCCCGGATTGGGGAAGCAACTCCGTGGTCGGACGGTCCCCGTTCTTGTCAGGGCTGTCATCACCGCGGAGGTGCCCCATCCAGTCCTCCCTCGTTCTCCTTTTGCCCGCACACACTCCCAACGCATTGATTTTATTTTTTTTTTCTCTGCCTGTGAGAATGGTTGGTTGCCCACGTATGGTGTCGCAGATTCGCAACCTGTGTGGCGTGGTTGTGGATCAAAAGGGGATGTGTATGCGATTCTTGTTGAGAGAGACAGAGACAAGGGAAGAGAAAACTCATATATCACGATAATTAAGACGTGGTTACACAAGGCGGAGACATTAATTAACCAAGAATCCTCCGCATTAACTCTTTTTCAAACTCTCCTGCCATCATTCTTCCCTACCTTTCCCTTTCTTATCTACACCCTTCCACAGATTGCATCATTCCATCAATAGCATCCTTCTAATAATCATGGCCGCTCAACAATCCATCACGGTCCCCCACTTGGGTGGCATCGAAGTCGGCTATGCCCTGTCCAACAACAACACCTACGACCCTTCCAAGCCGACCTGCGTGCTCATCAATTCGATGTGCATGACGGTGTCGCTCTACCGCCCCCAGTTCGAGGATGCCGAGTTGACCAGCACCACCAACCTGCTGGCCATCGAGCCGCTTGGCCATGGCGCCACCCGCTGTCTGGCGCCCGCTGCCGAACACTTCACCTACTGGGACTCGGCCATCATGGCCCTGCAAGTGATGGAAAAATTGGGCATCCAGAAGGCCTTTGCCCTGGGAACCAGCCAGGGAGGATGGGTTGTAGCACGCATGGCCCTGTTGGCACCCGATAGGGTTCGTTATTTCACATTCTGATTGTCCCCAAGAAGGGGAGGGGGGGAAATTAACGATCGTATTGACTAACCTCACGTGCTTTTCTTTTTTCTATTGATAGATCCTTGGCATCCTGCCCTTGGGTACTTCCATGGACTACGAATCGGCCGACTCCCGCAGCAAGGATTGCTGGGACCCCGTCACCCTGCTGACCCCGTTCCTGGAGAAATGGTCGAGCGAGACTCCCACCCCGGATTTTGTGGTCGACGATGTGTGGTGCGGGATGGTCGCGGGGATCGGCTTCGGGGCCTCGGCAACGCCCGAGACGACCGACTTCTGGGTGCAGACGCTGAAGCAGGTTTATACCGGGGATGAGGGACGCAAGAAGGTGCGCATGGCCTTGATGTGCCTGTTGACGCGGGACGGGCTGCTTCTGCGGCTGAGAGATGTGCGGTGCCCCGTGTATTGGCTACAGGTGAGTACCCCCCCCAAACAATCTGATAAATTTACATTTGGGAGATGCGTCAGGATGGCTAACGTGTTACAATTCGTACGGCTCAGGGGACGGAGGATTTCCCCTTCAAGACCACGGTCCCCGCAGAACAGATCCAGCGGTTCTCCGCTAGTAAGGAGGCTAAGTTGCAGATGGTGGAGGGAGGGGCCCATTACCTGAATGCCACGCATCCGCGGGAGGTTAACGCGGCGATCCGTGAGATGGTCGCTCGCTACGGTGCCTGAGCGGGCTGCAGGGAAAGCGAGATGAGAAAAATTGGATCTTAGGCTACTACTGTAGGGGGCGCAGATAGATTACGAAGGGTAGTACGATGTTAGTGTCAGGAGAGGATTGGAAGTTGGAACAGTTCAGGAACGAACTGCATGCCAACCTGTGCCAAGTGGGTAGAACAACCCGAATCTGCTAAAGGATTGACACATCGGATGGGGCGACCTCGAGTTAGGGTCTTTCTAGTGGCTTCGACTACTTGGAGCCGGCGCATCCTTGGCCGAAGGTTGAATAAAATGTTAACAAGCCTTGGCCGCCGGCCTGGCTGGTCCAGCCCTAATTAGGACAGTGGAACCTGAACATGTAAATTTTTTGACACTGACAGGCGGCGAACGACAGCTCCATGCCTCCATCAATCCAAGCAGTTCGTTTATTTTGTTTCTCTGTGCTTTTTCCTCTCTCCCCATAGTTCGGTTCGAGGCTACACTAGTTCCTTGTTGACCACGCGGCGTAGATTCCCCCCCCCCAAAGTAAATTTCGCCTGAGCCCATCCTCAAATGTAGCGTTTGTCGGCAGCGTCGGGCAGTGGGTCTTTCACCACAGGTTTTGTCCATGCACGGCTCCCATATTAATAGTGATCGCCTGCCCACCTGAGGTTTCTTCGAGGTCCTCGCTTTCCCCGGCCAGCCATTTTCTTCCCAGGCGTAAGTGGTTATGGCGATGGACGAACAGCGGTGGGCGACCGCCACCACCACCTCAGTGACGGTGCTTGCCTTTCTGTGTGTTGTGCTGCGTATCGTTTCTCGACTGGAACGTAAGCAGAAACTCTGGTGGGATGACTGGATGATTATCTTCTCCATGGTATATACTCTGCAGCGCACTTAGATCCTATCGAAACACACTAACGTACCACACCATGTAGGGGTGGAACTTCGTCGTGGTGGGCTTCATCTATGCCATGATCCACGAAGGCATGGGCGTGCACGCCGACCAACTACCCACCGGACAAGTCATCCTGATCGCCAAATTTTTGGTCGTGGCCGAGATCCTCTACGTCTTCAACCTGGTCTGGACCAAGCTCAGCATTCTGCTGATGTACTACCGCATCTTCCGCTTCGCCTACTTCAAACGCTGGGCCTACATCATCGGCACCTTTGTGATCTGCTGGGTCATCTGCATCACCTTCCTGTTCATCTTCATCTGCGTCCCCGTGCAGAAACTCTGGTATCCGAGTCTCCCCGGCCACTGCATCTCCCAGGTGGGCACCTGGATCGCCAATGCCACCTCGACCATCGCCACCGACCTAGTGATCCTCTTCCTGCCACTCCCCCAAGTCTGGAAGCTGCAGCTCCGCCTGTCCGAGAAGGTGGCCTTGACCATAGCATTTGGCCTCGGGTTCTTGTAAGTCACTCCTACTCCTCAGCATCACTGTCGACATCCAATTCGTCGAATCCACCCCCAAAACTGACAACCACAAACAGCGTGGTCTTTGCCTCGGCCTACCGCTTCAGCGTCCTCTTCTCCTACACCGCCGCCGACAGCTCCTACACCCTGGCCCCGACCGTCGGCTGGACCGCGATCGAGATGTCGGCCGGCATCGTCTCCGCCTGCCTGCCGACCATCCGGCCCGCGCTGCAGCTCGCCGCCCGCACGATGGGCATCCAAGCCGTCATGCCCGCCATCTTCCGGAGCACCGGCCACTCCGCCAACCACCTCTCCTCCAAGTCCGAGGCCACCCAGCTGGGCAGTCGCTTCGCCGCCGGGGATATCCCGCTGTCAACCAATGGCGGCGGAGGGGAGGCCGGGACGTCCTCCAGCCCCGTCGTCCGCCATTCGTTCTACCACCTCCCCGACGAGGGCGAGCTGTCCGAGATCGACAGCGTCCCGCTGAAGATGGAGGTGTCGCTGCGGCCGAAGCATGATCGCGGCCAGACGGTCACGAAGATCCGCGGGCGGACGAGCGTGGCGTCCGGGGAGGACGATCTGTTGCCCTTGCATGGGATCCGGGTGCAGAAGGACTTTAGGCAGGATGGGTAGGGGCTTTCGTTCGGTTTTCTTTGGGGTCATGTTATATAGCGGGGGGCATATTTGGGAGTTTGTAGTCTGTATTTTGGGCATAAATGAGTGGTAGTTTGTTTGTATATAGTGTATAGTAGCTTATTTATCTTACGTGTCTATTATTGGCATGGCATTCCTGAGTGTCAATGCTGAGGCGGTCTTGACTCGGCGGAGCTAGGATTCCACTGAGAAGCTCTACCTTGCTGCAAGTGCCTGTGCCTGACCTTTGCTTTAGCTTTCCTTCATCGAGTAATCTTTTGGTGCTCTATTGTCAATGAGGATTGGATACGAAGAAGGTGATGTAGAAGCCGACGGTAAAGGTTGTGTCTTCTGCAATAGATCCAGAGCCATGCTCTTCTCACATAAACAAAAATGTTCATGCTAAAGAAACATCTCGCCTCAGCTGAAAGACCCGTGCCAACGTCACAAAGACAAGATTGTCAAAGAACGTGGTCACCAACGCCTTGTAAGGTCCGTTGAGCCGAGTCCCGCCGTCAAACAAAGAATGCCATTCCCGTCCGACTTTGTTCTATTACATGCCTTCTAACCCCACCCCCAATCCCTTTATATGTGCAAATCCAAGTTCCCGTGGCTTACATTGTTGCAAAGGCGAAGAGGACGAGTCTACCTATAAAACCCTTCCTCCCCTTCACCCCCCATACCTGACACCTGCACACTCAAACCCAGCAGACAACCCTCCCCAGCTACCTTGTAGACTAAGCACCCCAAGTCACCAACCGTTACCCCCATAGTCCCCGAACCCTTTCCCCCACCCAAAAGATAGCCCACCACCCCAAAGCACCTACCACCAGTACAAATGTCCTACGCAACGCATCCCACCCCCCTCACCTGCATGGTCCGGTGCAACACCCACGCCCACGCGGTCGACGGCTTCTGCGGGCTCTGCCACGGGCCCCCGGCGCCCGGCAGCCCGCTGAAGTGGCACTGCACCGGGTGCAGCGTGGACTTCCACACCGAGTGCTTCCGGCGGTGGATGGACCGCGCCCTGCGCGTGAGTCTGGTGTCGACCTGCCCGAGCTGCCGGTCGCGGTGGGAGATGATCCTTACGGGGCCGGAGGCGAGGATCGAGAGGAATTTTCTGAGTTTTGAGGGTTGAGTTTGGGGTTGTGGGTGTGCTGGAATTTTATGGGGTGCCTGGGTGTATAGGTGGTGGTTGGCTTATGTCAAGTGTGTCGGGTTTACTAGGCAATGAATTGTTTCTTTTGTGATGTTATTCTTGGTTCTTGTACTCTCTAAATCGAGGAAATGGTTGAGAGTCTTGAGTTCATGCCAGTCAAACGTACACTGGCGTTAGTGGATGTGTTTGAGTCATATTGACACTGTCAGCACTAGATTAGACACTATCAATTGCCGAACCAAATTGCGAGCCCCGCTGGTTCTTGTTTGTACAGTGGGGTCGGGCTAGGGGTGAACGGTGGGTCATCGTTCTTCCTTCAGCCTTCTACAACCACCGCCCCGCATTCAAGCATCCTTCGAGGAAGATTACTAGTAGCCTACATTCCTTGCATCCATCATACCGCGGTTGCATACACAAGTGCGGGCTTTGAGTGGAGTTGGAGCCTAGTGACTGACTCTGGCTGGCAATGTGGTAGGTGCACCTTGACCTCCACAGAGGCTATCTTTGCATTGCATGCATAGCTTGCGCGTACTGATACAGAGACCGGCTTGAGTAGAGCAGCTATTTTTGGGCTTGGTTACATATACTTGCTAATACAGGAAAACTTGATGTTACTTATATAGTCAATTATTGACAATAGAAATGATCTAGAAGAACGCAGCTTCGGAGACAACGGTCGCCCAACACGAGGAATGTGCCTGGGGCGCGGTCATCCTTGAAAGCAGACTTCCCAGGTTAATCAATCATCACCAGCGCTGGTGGATTGACTTGAGCCGCCTTCGGTAGACCCGGCGTTGCTAGAACCGGCGTTGCTAGAAACGGCCTCACTAGAACTGGCCTCAGGACTGCCCTCGTTGGACCCGCCTCCGCCGTCTGACGACCCGGTAGGCGTCCCGATCTCACTCCCATCGCTAGATCGACTTTCAGTCTTCAGCGTTTCCCCGGAACCTTCATCCGAACCATAGGACTGCCGGGCAGTAGGAGTCCTGTCGCCGTCGCCGTCGCCGTCCTCGCTGCCGACTTCCAGCTGTGGCGGCTCGAGGCTCAGGTCCGAGTACAGGGCTCCCTGCGTCTTCGGCATCTCCCCGGTCCGGCGCAGCTCATCGTAGACCTCCCGAAGCTTACGTCGGGCCTTGACCGAGAGCGGGTCGCGTTGCAGGCGGAGGTTCTCCTTAATGCTGTAGAGGAGGTCGCCGAACGGCGGCTCGATGTCCAGGTAGCTGTTGTCCTGCGTGGAGACGGCCACCTTCTCGAGCTCGCGCAGCCAGAGCTCCTGCAGCACGCTGCCCCCGATCAGGTCGCGGCAGAGGTTGAGGAAGAGGGTCTCCGTCCAGCAGGCGAAGCTGGGCAGGATCACGTCGCTGCGCCCGGTGTCCTGCAGCCGGTTCTCGCCCTCGCCGCTCAGCACGTAGTCCACGTGCACGGCGCGGGGCCGCCGCAGCGGCGGGTCGCGCGCCTGCCACATGTACACGCTCTTGCGGTAGATCCGCACGGTCAGCTTCGGCTGGTAGGCGGCGGCGTCGTCGTCGTCGTCGCTCGAAGCGGAGCATTCTGATGCCGAGTCAGTGAGATCCCTTGCGGTGCTGGATTCGCGACCGCCACTCACCACAATTCGCTTGACCTCCCCGGGGTAATGGAAGTGAGCTATGTCGGTGGGCGGTTGCTCGTGGCCCGTCATGGTTGGGCAGTCGACGCCATGTGTGCAGCGTTCGAGTCCGTTCTCTTCGAGCGCTTGGTAGGCCTGCTCGATCTGCTTGTCGGGGATGACATAGCCGCTGAAGTCGGGGTAGTCGACTTTCAGGTTGTAGAGCTCGAGGACCGGCGCTCCGAAGACGGTGTATCGGATCTTTTGGGCCTGGAAGCCAGAGACTACCAGCCCGCTGTAATCCATTTTGTACAGATGTTGGAACTCACGGGTGTGTATCTTAGTGTTTATACAACCTGAATCTGGCCAGATGGGTAGGGGGTTGGGACTGGGAACGATACGGCGTTGCTGGGTGATCGAGATGCATTTTATAGATCGGCTGGGGCGTACTTGTCTTTCATGATGGTCTGGGCTTAGAGGGATTTATCTTGCGGTTCGGTCTCGAGACAATGATCCTGTCGTGTTATCCTTGGTTTGGTTGCTAACTCTTTACTCCAGATGGTGGGTTCTGAGATGGAAGTAATGAGAATGATATCTCCGACAGTGAGATATGGCAGACCCATTCTTGCTACTGGGTTATTACCTTTCGAAGTCATCCGTCTCGATCGTCCATGTTTTGTACTATCGTTTTGGCTGAGGATCACGGTAGGCGGATAGCACATTGAAGACAGATAATAGTATCATGGCCGATAGACGCTTCGCATATCACCAACATAGACCTATTATACGGAGGAGAGAAGTAAACAGTACTCCGTAAGTACACTGCCCGCCTGAGGCATCACTATGCATCAGCTCATGGCTCATGCATAACGCATTACTAATGTATTCACACAATCACGGGACGGGACCCTCCCCTCCGCCTCGGCCAGTTCCACCGCCTCCATCAAGCTGTCAACATCATCATCACCACCACCATCCCTCCGTTCAGCTCACCACCACGCAGCTCCATACCGTTCCCGTTCTCATGCTCCACCACCCTCCAAAATGACAGACCTAACCCCAACCCTGCGCGAGCTCCTAAAAAGCAAACCCAATGCCCCGCGCCTCTCGAACGGGCATCATCACCTCTCCACCGAGACGGCGGACGAGTTCCTCAAAGAAGCCTACCGGATTGTACGTCTCGCCCTCACCCAGTTTACCCCAAATCCCCCCTCGAACCCAGCCACTAATCTCCCGCAAGAACAACCACATAACCTCCCTCCTCCACTACCTCCACCGCATCCGCCCATCCTACCTCTCCATCACCAACCACAACCACAACCACAACACCAACAAACCCAAACAAACCAGCCCCTCGACCCCCTCACCCACCGGTAACCTCCCCACCCACCCCACCAAAGATCTAACAGACACCGACCGCACCGAAATCGACACCTCAACCTCCCACCTCCTCCGCCAACTCTCCACCTCCATCTCCACGCTCGCCTCCGCCGAGACCCTGCGCCACGAGACGCGGGCGCAGCTCCTCCGGAAAAAATACGGGAGTCGCATGGGGATCCTGGGCCGGTGGGCGGCTGGCGGCGATGCCCCCGGCGTACACGCGGCGACGCCTGAGCAACGCGCCGAGGAAGCGGCGGAGGAGAACACGAAGCAGCTCCGCGCGGCGGTGCTGTGGTTCCTGCAGCGGAAGTTGGAGGCGGTTGTGGCGGTGCAGCGCGGGATGGTGGAGAAGAGGTTGGAGAGGGTGCGGGAGCGGGAGAGGAGTGTGCTTTATCTGTCGCAGCAGCAGCAGTTACAGCAGCAGCAGCAGCAGCAGCAGGTGGGGAAAGAGGAGGGGGTGCGGGGAGAGCAACGGGGGCTGGGGCACGGCGAGATGATGCTGCCGCCCGGGGAAACGCAGGGCCAGCGGTTGGAAGAGACCGAACTGCACGCCATCGAGGCGCAGCTCTCACCGGAGCAGTTGCTGCTCTTTGCCGAGGAGAATGATGCCATGGTCAAGTACTATGAGGATACGTTGAGTAAGGTCCGGTATGTTGTCTTCCCCCTTCCTTTTGCCCTCGTGGAGCTTCTCGCGGGTGGGATATGTGTCGAGTGGAAGGCTGAGCTAATGTGTGTGATTGTGGGTGTGTGTCGCAGAACCGCCGAGAAATCTCTCCTGGAGATCTCCTCCCTCCAGCAGACCCTCGTCGCCCATCTGTCCACGCAGGAGGAATACATCGGCCAACTGGTCACGGACGCGAGCAACACGCATTCCAACATCGGGCAAGGAAACAAGGAGCTCAAGCGCGCGAGCGAGCGGCGGAGTACCGCGCAGGCGGTGTTTTGGGGCACCGTCGGACTGTGTACGTGGTTGGTGGTATGGGATCTGGTCTTCTAGACTTTCTGGCAAGGGTGGAAGGCAAACTGTACAATAGTGTACAACAACCCATTCTCGTTTTTGGCTTCTTTGCGCATTGGCATTATGATAACCCCTCAATGGTTTATGTCTGTATGTTCTGTATGCTTGGTTTATGATTCAACGAAAAAAGACAACCCGCTTATGACGTCTCCCGCACCACGCTATCCACCGCCTCGGCAAAGTAATCCAGATTATTCGTGTTCAGTCCCGCCATCGAGATGCGGCCGTTCTTCGTCTGTCCCGTTGTTAGTATGTAGCCACCGAAACCGACCCGAAAAGCTTACCATGTAAACATGCCACTTGTCGCGCAGGATCTTCACTTGGCTCTCCGTCAACCCCGTGAAGCTGAACATGCCGATCTGATCTGTGATGTGCTGCCACGAGCCTGGCGTGCCCTTGGCCTCGAGCCTCTCCCGCAGTCCCTTGCGCATCTCCGCGATGCGTCCGCTCATCGTCCGCAGGTCCTCCTCCCACTCGGCGAACAGCGTCTCGTCGTTCAGCACCCGGCTCGCGATGCGCGCGCCGTACGCCGGAGGGTTGGAGATCTCCGACCGCTGGAGGATGGCCAGCTGGGAGGCGATGTTACTGTTGTTGGCCGCGGCCTCGGCGCCGGGCGCGGACACGAAGTGGAAGGCCCCCGTGCGCTGGCCGTACAGGCCAAAATTCTTGGCGAAGGACTGCGCGATGCACAGCTCGAACCCTTGCTCGATGAAGTAGCTCACCGCCCAGGCGTCCCGGCGGAGGTCGCCCGAGGCGAAGCCCTGGTAGGCGCAGTCGAAGAAGGGGAAGTGGTGGCGGTCGCGCATCACGACGGCGACCTCCTTCCACTGGTCCTGGGTGAGGTCGACGCCCGTGGGGTTGTGCGCGCAGGCGTGCAGGAGGATGACGGAGCCGGCGGGGGCGGACCGCAGCGCGCCCAGCATGCCGTCGAAGTCCAGGCCCTTGGTCTTGGCGGAGAAGTAGGGATAGTTGGCGAGGGAGAGGCCGACATTCGTGAAGATCTGGTGGTGGTTGGCCCAGGTGGGGTTGGAGAGGTAGATGGCGGGCTTCGCGGGGTGGAACTTGGCGAGGAAGAGCGCGCCCAGGTGGACGGCGCCTGTGCCGGAGATGGTTTGGAATGTGCAGACCTGATGGGTGGATTATCGTTAGTATGGGATGCTGTTTGTACCGGGTACACCTAAGGGTAGACGAACTCGGTTCTCGCGAATGGCGGGGCTGTCGGCGCCGATCATGAGCTTCTGCGCCGCGCTGGTGTAATCGGCCAACCCCTTGATGGGGAGGTATTCATGGTTGAGGTTGGGGTCGTTGCGAACAAGCTCGTCGGCCTGGGTTTCGTTAGCCGGGATCAAACTCCCAGAGGGAAAAGAACCTTACCTTCTTCACAACGGGCAGGATCCACGGTTTGGCGTTGTTATCGCGATAGGCGCCGATAACGAGATCGACCTTCTTGTCGGAGGGATCTTGGCGGAAGGCCTGAGCGAGACCGAAGAGGGGATCCTCCGGGGCGGCGGGCACGTTGGCCGTAGAGAAGACGGTAGGGCTTGAGGAGCCCATGATGTGTGAAGATAGGGAGGCGAGACGAGAGGTAGCAGTGGAAAGGATGGAGGAAGCTGACGGGGGTTGAAAGGAGGAAGTAGAGGTGGGGATGATGGAGGAGGAAGAAGTGGATGAAGAGGAAGAAGAAGAAGAGGAGGGTGCCATGAGAGCTTTGAAGTATGTCAGAGAGAATGGCCAAACCGGTCACACCACCTGAAGTTTTCTGACTGGTTGGTTGCTGCTTGCGTTCACCGGCAAGCAATTCGACTGGACCGAAACAGATAAATCCCGATGTGGATGATTTGCCCATAAACAAACACGCGAATAAATACTTCAATCGGAGTAAGCTGGACACAGAGCAGGGGAGGGGAGGCCGGCCAGTCGCCGATATTTAAACATCAAATCCGTCGGAGAGCATGGGATAGGATGGTGAAGGGGAGAGGCTCAGCCGAGGATAGATGACGACATGCACATGTGTTTTTTATCTTGCCTTTCCGACTGACTGTCATTAATCTTCCATGTTACTTTGTCTACAAATTCAACATCAGTTTCCAGTACTCTCTGTCCTTCTGTTACAAGTCCATCCGGAGCAAACACCACCCGAACCATGTTCGTTCCAATTGCCCCCCTGTGGTGGTTCTTCAGCACAGCACCCCTCAATCATATGACAACCATCAACAAGACTGATCGCTGCAGGTGAACCTGAAACCTCCGCTTTCATCCACCCCAGCCGCAACATTCCTGCTGCCAATATCCCATTGAGAATTGCCCATTGCATTCTTTCTACCAGTCAATCTTTCTTCCCTCAACTCTCCTATTTTCTCCTCAATCATTCATCCGGACCAACACCGGGGGCAAAGAGAACAGCCACCAGCGTGGCCGACTCCAACCGACACACGCAGGGGTGCCCCGCCCAATCACCGCGGCCTCGAAACCCCGATGTGTCATCCTCTCTTTACCCCACTTACGGGAAGGTTGTCTAGCCCTGCGTGATTTTTTTCTTCGCCCCGTTGAGGGGGCACGTAGTGGTTTATTTTTATACTAAGCTCGATCGCCGATTGAAGAATGAGAATAATTTAACCCCTCATGGGAGGGTGAATTGAAGTCACAAAATTAGCTCATCAGCATCAATTTTTGAGAAAAGATTGACAACATTACACGACCAGTCGCTACAATAATTAAGATAAAATAAAGATATATTGTCTCGAGACTCAGAGCTCAAGATCGCCCGAAGCTCAACTTGGAAGCCCAAACAATCTGTTCAATCCCATTGCAAGCCTCACTCAACTCAGCTTAAGGGACCTTCCGAAGTTCAATCTTAGGAAACACCTTCCTGTTTGTATCCTTGACACCCAGAACAGTACCGTCCCTAACCCAAGCTTGACCCAAACTAGATAGGTCTCCTCACCGGGGAGTCCAATCCAGCCATAACACTTATATTGTTTATACACACAACGAAAAGAACCCAATTGCCCAAATCATTCCAATTTCCAATTCTTGAATTCACACATAACAGTAAAATACTTACTTACAAACTCGAATAACAAGAACCAAACTCCACCACAAACCTCGGAAGAAGAAAGTAGCAAAATCTGCAGTGCCGTCCTACTACCCCATGGGGTTCAAATCCTAGCCTCGCCGGATCCCGGAATCCGAAAAGCAGCTCTCGTTGGAAAACGGCCGGGTACGTAATTTGCGGGCATTCTTCCCCCATCCTCCCCCGGCCGTCACTCTTTCCCCGCAGAATTTCCCCTCACATATTTTGTTCTTTTTCACAGTAAGTTAGGTCAAGGTTAGGTTCGGTGATTCTTTTCGATCCCCCCCCTATTTTTTTTTCCATTCTCCGGGATTAGGGGGCGGGTGTGGCTTAAGCTCGTTACTTGGAACGGTCACGGTGCCATGGGGTGCAACTTGCAAGGTTGGACGGACGGGCCCGGGTTCTGGAGGACGGAACTTCAAGGTTAAGAGGAAGGATACCCGATTTGGAGGGGGGGGGGGAGGGATGCGGGGCCCGGTCAGGGGTAATCTTCTCCAATTACCCGTGACTTAAACGATATTATCCCCTCGGGGCTTTGGGGTAAAACTTGGGAACAGTTGCTGAAGACTTTTGGAGGGGGAGGGGGATTGATCAAGTGAGGGGGTGGTTTGTATATGAGGGGAGGATTCGATTTCTCCACACAGTAAGAAGGTAGTGTCGGGTGAGTCCGCCTCCGCATCGAATTTCCTTTTCTAGCCATCAGCATCAAGGTATCCGTATACACGCTATTGTTCATTGCTATGAGTACCTAGTACTTATACTGAGGCAGTCTCGACCTGATACGATGATCTACACCTACGTATCATCATCCACGACATCGTCCACAGTGAGATTCGATCTCCCATCTTCGATAAAAACGTGTACTGCTATGTACAGCCCAGAATCAATAATCCCTATAACCCAAACAGGAGAATCCCTTCTCAAACGCCGTTTATTGCCCTTGACCATGTAACAACCAACCAAGCATGGTAACGCAGAAGAGAACAAATATTGCAGAAGATGAAGAATAGAGAGAAAGCCGGTAGCAGCCAGGCCGGGCTATGTAACAGCATCCCATGATCGTCATTATCTTTGGCGTTGTCAAGTTGTCGTCATCATCGTTCGTCGCCAATTTCCTGTGCATCTATCTGTGACTGAATGCACAGTATAGCATCAGATGAATGGCGTAAATGAAAGTAAAATTGAAAAGAAAAAAAAATGCCTCGTCTGCGCGCGGTGCTCAAATGGAATATGAAAAACATGTAACATGTACAGACCGAGAAATTCGTGTATGTAGATCGTTAGGTAGTGGCAGGAGCGAGTGTGACCGGTTCTTCCGGTGTCGGCTCGGTCTCATGCGCCCGAGTGCGCACGCGGAAACGCTCGCGCAGCCGTCGCGTCAGACCGCTACGTCGGCGGCGGTGCTCATCACTCTCTTCGGTTGGGTCAGAGGACGAGTCCTGGCGAGTCGCCTCTTCCCGGACGCTGCGCAGCGCTGCGAGACGCTCCTCGACACTGGCATCGCGCATACGGCGGGCGTTCAGCGTGTTATGGAGATAACTGCTCAGTCGACGGTGGCGGTGCTGGTGACTGTTGCCCTCGGGCGCTGCGGGCGTAGAACTGGCCGTCTCGGGAGCTGTTTCCGCGTGGCTATCGCCCGTGTCTGGCCCTTCTTCACCGTCGGGCTGAGCGGGGTTGAGATCGATACGACTAAAGCATTCGTTAGTACGGTTTCACAGTTATGTTCGAGGTGTTCAGAGAACATACCAAAGCGGGCAGGTGCCAGACACGTTCACCAACCAGGGATCAATACACTCCGGGTGGAATTGATGGTTGCACGGAAGCACGCGCAGATCTTGGCCCTTAACGAAGTCGTCCGTGCAGATTGGGCAGGCAAAGTTCGGGTAATCCGTGGTCGTTCCCGCATCGGGGGCAGTGCTGCGTGGCTCGTCCGTGGAATGCGGCGCAGCCACCGGCATCTCCTGAGAATGAGGCGATACCGGAGCAGAGACCTCATCCGTCGTGTTCGTATTCGCAGGCATGGTCGTCGTCTCACCTCTCTCCTCTAGAGTCTCACGAGACTGCGCCTCGGGTCCCATAGCCATCTCGACATCCCCCTTGGCTGCATCGGTCTTGCCGCCTTGGTCGTTGTTGTCCCCGAATTTGACGATCGGGATCGTGTCAAGCATGGCTCGTGCTATGCCTCTTGCTCGACTCTGTCGCGGTCGTCCCGCCGTATGCCGTGGCCCATAGCGCTCAGGGTGGCGATGGGCGCGGACTGCTCCGGTAATGATGATGGCGAGAAAGAGCGCCGTGATAATACCGGTGATTGTGTACAAAATGATCATCGCTATTCACGGGTGTCAGTCACGAGCATGAGTCAAGGAACTCAGACACATACCAGTGTTCGGGCTGTCGCCGGTCGACCCGACCTGGTTGTTCGTGTTCGAAGCTATGAACGACATGTTGGTGGACTTAGGATAGATGGTAGATGAGCCGTCCCCGAAGGAGGTAAGCTGTGTAGAAAGCTGCTTAGACCCGGGCGGGTTCAACACAGTGAAAACGTTGTCGTACTGGCTGGCGGATGAGACGGAAGGTGAGTACGTGCAGTGAGTTGCAGATGCACTGTACAGGATCACCGCGACTGCCTTCTGCGCGTTGAGGACGTAGTTCACAGTGTCACTGGCACCTAAGTTGCCGGAATATGCAGAAGCGTCGCAGCTGATGACAGCGATATCCTGGCTACTTAAAGACCGAGAATTGGTGGCGTCTACGTCCAACAAGCTACCCGTGATGGGGAAATTCTAGGTCGGGTCAGTCCATCGGAGTCCCCGGAATACGCACATGGTCGTATATCTCAACATTCTTGAGGCGGAGACGGCTTACTGTAAGTTCCGACTCGGTGAGATTGACCAAGGCCTGGGTCAGCGGAGCTAAGGTTACGGATGCGGACGGCACGAGTTGAGAGCTGTTCAACAGGTATCTATAGTCTCCGATCCAGGAGAGGTCTGCCGAGTTGTTGGACGGCTTCACCGTCCAGTCGGCCGAGGTATCTGCAGCGACAATGGGCGAGAGAAGAAGTAAGAGGATGGAGAAGATCAAAACGAGGAGAGGGGAAGAGGCTAGAAGAAAAGAAGAAGAAGAGGGAGAAGAAGAAAGTGGGTGGTGACGGGGAGGACCCATCGGCGAATCACTTCGTTAGCGATGAATGATGCTGGAGAATGGCCGGGTGTTCCCCACAGTGACGAGGCGAACGGAGACGGCGGAGAATATTGGAAGTATGGGGATGGGAGGGGGATGGCCGGCGATCATCGGCCACGGGGCAATGAGTAAGTGATGATGTTGGTGATCACAGGAGGAGGATAAAAACTGGGCGTAAAAGGCTCCAGGGTCCGAACAGGTACCGCTGGCCCAACCAGGGTGATATCACTCCGTGCAGGATCGGTTGATCGTCGGCGGCTACAGTTGGGTAAAGATGGAGGGTGGGAGGTGGTGGGAAGTGGTGAGAAGTCGAAGGAACGGGAGGGTGGGTGAAGATCTCACAGGCGGGCAGGTACTGGTACAACAAGAGAAGAGCTGAGAAAATTGGGAAAGTGAGGGAAGATGCCGCAGTGGTGGATTGGATCAATACCAAGGGAATTGAAACAGCGGGGACTAGAATAAGTCCCGAATTCGGGACGAAGTGAGGACTAGAGATTGGGAGAAAGGGTGGAGAGAGAGAGAGAGAGAGAGAGGGTGGGGGGTGGGAGGTAAGAAGTGATGAGAATAGTAATAATGTAATGGATGTTGCGGGCCTGAAGTGGGAACAATAAGGCAAGTGAGTTGAGTTGAGAGTACGGAGTACTAGTCTAAGTATCAGTAGGTTTGAATTGACTAGTTTAGTAGCTGATGGGTGATGCAGTGCCCAGTTGATGGTAGATGCTGGAACCGACGGATGGAACTGGGAGGGCGGCGGGAAGACAGGCTGGGGCTTGCGATTGGATTACTAGCACTTTAGTCTGTCTGCACCGGACAACTATCAACCTGGATCAAGCACCAGCCGAACACTTCCGGTGGGTTGTTCGTCGTCAGTCAGTCAGTCAGTCGGTTGTCAATCAAGTCAGTCAGGCTGACAATAATCAATACGCATGTCATAAAGAAAGTCGTTTACTGCCTTTAAGAACCATCGGCATCATCAGCCATCAGTCTGATCTGTCCGCTGCATCGCCCCATAAATCTGCGGTTGATGAATCATCGCGATACGAACCAGAGACTTGGTTGTCCATTGACTGAGCCGCGCAAGCGCCAGTGCCATGGATCGGCTCGACCATTACGGCAGGCCTGAAGTCGATGGATGGGATGGACGGATGATGGACGGATGAGCGACAGATTACTCACCCCGAAAAAAAAAGAGGCAGGGCAATATCAGAAACGATCTGATTGCTGGAGGCATCTGTCCGTGATGGTTGAAAGTGGATCCGCAAGCCGGGATAAGATAAGCAAGACTGACTGACTGGGTGGCTCTGGCTCTCGGTCGAGATTGTTTCAGTCCAGGCCTAGAGCA